GTTTGTATCTTCTCCATCTTCATCTCCATGTTCTTCTTATTTTCATGGGTGGACAATATACTTTCTAGTCGAACATTACACATCTAATCCCAAAACCAGCGGATACCCTAGACCGATGCGAGGTTCCAATCTTTGGCAAAGTAGCTAGTAGCATACTAGACGACGACTGAAGGTGAAGGATATGAAGGACGAAGTTATGATACCATTTTGTTTTTCTTTTGGCGATTTTGCTCCATATTCCCCAGTTAGTACGAGATACCCTTGCCTTTGTCGTAAAAGTTTGTTGTCAGTGCCGGTTTCTGAGTTTGGAGAAGATGGATACAAATAAGGATGGATGTATATCCTTACTTAATATCTAATTCATGAATTTGATGGTGCTTACTTGACTTGGTTGGATTTCCAGTGAGTTTGTATGGATGGTAGTTGTGTCCAAAGTAAAGCTAAGATTATCTATTTGGAGTGCGTGTGTAAGAGTTGACAATAGCGAACTCATAGTTACAACGGTTCTTTTCAATGTATCTAATAGTCCGCCCAAAGGTCTCTCAAGCTTCAGATCTTGCTATATCTCAATATTTTGTAATAGAAATTTCAAATCTTTTCATCCTAAAATAGATCAGAAGAATATCGACGCCGGATAAAAAAGCCAGCCGAGTTGTTATCCGGTCAATTGCCCGCATGCTGGACCGGACCGTCTTTTCAGTCTTGGCAAGTATCCGAAGGCTTGGATGATTTTTGTTGTTCCGTAATTTTGGTGATGATTCATTTATTTCTTACCCAGGTATCACAAGATCTTTCATCTCAATAGATGAATCTGCAGCTAGTGTAAGAGGGGTCTAGATTTCAACTCCCGGTGAGCTTACTGCACGCGCAAACCAGAAAACGCTATTGGGCACGTGCAAGCTTACCCAAATCCAAACCTCTCGGCCTTTACTCACCCACGTTCCGTCAACTCGCAATCTCAGTGGTCGGTATAATCTGCGCAACATCAACAAAGCCTCATAACCAATCGAATGAAGCACGCGACATTAAAGCCGTCCTTGATGGGTGTTGGATTCACGTTTGATGTTCGATAAGTGCGCAAAGCTAATGCTGTCGTTTTTCGATGTTGTTTCTAGAAGTACCGGGAAGGCCTTGGGTTTTATTAATTGCGAGTATGATATAGATTGTAGAAAGATTAAGTATTTCTAATCCTCCTTTCCTCTGTTTCATTCATTGCTTTCTTATTCTCTTGTTTTACCTTGTTTCTCTAAGTTTGAGTGCGGGCATCTTATCTTCTCCAAGATCTCATCAACATTCCAGCTCCTTTACAAAATCCCCTCGTTATTAAAGATTTATCCTACCTTCCTTCGATTATTTCTTATACGTATTTCTGAATTATTTGCCTCAGATTGAAGTCTCAGAAGTCATTCTTGTCGTAATACGTCGTAGGACCTTCTTCATCGAGCACAAGACCAACTCAAGTTACATAAATACCTCATTTTATAATGCCTCGCCCAGCTCATCTGCCGACCCCCGCTTCATCTACAGAAATCAAGGGAAAAGATGGTCCAAGGTACTCTTCACTACAGATGTCATTTGAGCTTCCTCCACCTGCTGTAGCAGGAATGGAGTCTCGACCAACCAGCTCCTCTACCGAAACATCACCTGCCTCCTCACATCGACCTAGTTGCGCGATTGCTCCAGCAATTCCTGCAAGTGAAGCCGTTAAACTTCGTCGAAGACCTGCTACACAAACTGCCGCCAAAAATTCCTTCGCACTACCACCTCCGCCTACTCGTTCCCGAAAAATTATACAAATGAAACCTCGAGGTCAAGCAGATGAAACCATGAATCCACCCGAAGAAAATACAAAGGCTGGTGGGAAGCTACTCCAAATGCGTCCAAGAAGAAACAACCGTCCTCAACAAGTGTTGCTGGACGGAAGATTGCAAGAAAAACCGCACATAGTTTGATTGAGCGTCGTAGGAGGTCAAAGATGAATGAGGAATTTGGTGTATTGAAGGATATGATACCAGCTTGTACAGGAGAAATGCACAAGTTGGCAATTCTACAGGTATGCAATGGATTATTGATGCAATTAATAATTGCACGCTGATGTATGATAGGCATCTATTGATTATGTTAAATACCTTGAAGATTGTGTTTCAAATTAAAAGCCGAGAACTCTCGGGGAAACTTCTCAAACACTGGGGAATTCACGTCACGACATGAATATTCTGCCCGGGAATCAGAAGAGGATACAGAAATGACTGGTTCAGAAAATCGCTCAAGCAATTACGCCACTCCTATTCCACCATCTCAGCAAACTTCTCCAGCCATGCTCGCACAAGATTTCCGCGATAGACAGAATTCATACTCCTCAGTCTCAACAAATAATCGTCATTATAGCATCAGTACTTCGTCTACAACATCTCCAGCTTTGGCCCCATCAGTATATGATTATGCTCGAAGTATTGATTCTGTAGGCTCGGCACTCACCAGTCCTGCTCTCATGCCACAAAGAGATCAGAGGTATATAGATGAGGAAGCAAGTGCGGCCCTATTGATGCTTAATTCAGATCGTAGAGCTACAAATTGTAGGAGTAAGAGGAATGAGTGTCAAGGATTTATTGAGCTCGTGAGCATTATGGGACTGGCTCGAAAGATAATTTCCTTTTGTTCTTTTCGAAAAGGAGTTCTGGAAGAAAATATAGTAGGCTATTGGTTGGTTGGCTGTTTGAACATTGGTTATTTGAATGGAGCTTGGATGGTGGCATCGTTTTGGAAATGAATATATATATGTGCGAGTGAGTGAGTTACTCTGGATATCAGATTTGCTGCTTTTGATATAAATAATGCAGAGACGACGTAACCTAGCTAAATGAATGTACTTTTTTACATCAATTTGTCAATGAGTCAATTTTTGATATTTCGGATTTGTTATTGCACTGCAGTCCAGACTATCGGACACATTAAATTCTTCCAATTAACTCTCACAGTAATAGATCGAGCTTTGTAGGATTACCATGATCGAAAGATCTTTTCTGTAATCTTATAATTACTTGTTATTAATTATTCTATACCAATTAAAAGCCTCGTTCTCTAATTATATTATTCTTATCAGGTACACAACATCGATTCACCAGTCTACCTACCTAATCTCAACATCTTAGAAATCCGCGTCTCCACAGAATTTATTATTCACAGTAGTTAGTTCTAAGTGATATGGAATCTTTCTATTAATTAAGATGATTAATTCGAAATCTTGCATTATTTAGGTATAATTGGATTTGTCTGATCTATCGTTCTTGTGGGGGAAGCTTGATTCAAAATAACTCTTGCTAATAGAATCTGGAGGCTATATACGGGATAAGATGAGATGAAAATATCTAAATGTTTAGGAGTTGGTGTGGCTGTGTGGAACGACGGGCTAATTATCAAAGAAGAAAAATCAAACACTTTCTGGCTTGGAGTTACTTTTTGTGCTCAACTGTCTTTGCGCTTCAAGTGGAGACCTTTGAGATGTAGGGTTAGCTGGTTCTGGTTTTTGAGCTGAATCTTTCTCCTATTCGTATCGGGGTAGGTTAATCTGATGTAACATTTATCATGAATGATTTTATGGGATCAGAATATCCATATTTGGAGCAAGTGACTTTGCATACCACCTTTGGTGCCTTGAACTGGACTCTGGAATAGCTACACTTAGTCTGATTGAATCAGCAATTTCTGGCCGATTTATTCGTTTGATTCTAATATCCTATCCTTCCCGATATCACAATATTCATCTCCTAAGCTGCTACAGCCAAAACTCACCTACTAATCAATCTCAACACAGTTCTCAAAAGTCTTAACCCCCAACCTAAACCCTTGTTCCCATTCCCATAAAAATTCCCCCCTCTCTCCAAACTCTATCATCCGTTTCTTAATCCATATCTCCAAGCAACCTATTCTATCAGCTCCGCCCTTTTCACCCCTCGACCCCAAAAATGCCTTGGCATCCTCCCACCCGGTTTCCCACCCTTTTGATACAAATCATGCTGAAATTGTTTCCCAGGATTCGTATGGTTCCAATAATCCGCATGTTCTTTAACCATTTTCTCCATAAGGCCTACTTTTTGTTCGTCTGCCTTCCTCAATTTCTCTTTAACTTCTTCTACAAGCCAACTCATGTAGACTGGAGCAACAACATTTCCTTTCTTCACTTGTTCTACAAATCCCCATTCACCGCCGTCCATCCATTCCATCTTCCACGTCCAGAAATAACTTCCTGCACTACATCCATCAGACCATTTCTTGCATTGGAGTTGTCCGAATTGTCGGACTAAACCTTCTTTCATATCAGGATGACATTTTCCCAGCTTTTTCCATCGAGCACACAACTATATTCACCAATTATAACTTGTGTTTCTCCGCCAGAGGATATATGTGTGGCACTGGGACTACAATTGGGTAATTCACCCATTTCGTTCGGGATCTGACGAATAAGATCATGTGCGGCTTGTGAACGATGTTTATCTGCGAAGGTGTAGTATTTATGTGTATCTATGACGACGGGATTGGCAGGAATCTTTCCAGATCTCCAGTGTCGCTCTTTGACCCATTTCAAAGCAAGAGAAAGATCCCAAGCATCACTTATGTAGATCGGCATGTCCGGATCAATTTCGGAAATTGATCGAATGATGGAGTCGTAGAAAATATACATTCCTCTTTTTCCGGCATCCCAACATGCTTCGTTGCAAAGTTGAATGCCAATTACGCCGTCCAAGTCCTTACATTCTTTTGCAATGAATAACAATGCCTTTTCGCGAGATCGAGGTTCTTTTTTGAGCCCCAAAGTTCCGCTTTCCCAGTACTAGACCCAGAATGCATATCTGTATTCGCACCGCCAGGTAAAGCGTGAAGATCAATGAGAACTCCGACTCCAAACGCACGAGCTCGAGTAATAAATTCCTTAACGATTGTCCATGAATTTTGGTACACATCTTTCGTGTTTTCAAAAGGTGTTCCAATACAAAATTCCGGTCCGAGAGTGAAATATCCAATGGGCAATCGAATACTAGTCGCCTTTGCCGATTTTGCCAACCATCCAAACGCTTTATCGGTAACTCTGGTTTTCCAATGCTCTTCCCATTTCTGACGTGTAGCTTCTACACCAATGGTCTTCACCGAAGAAGTTACAGCATCGAGCTCAGATGATGCACCTCCTGCGAATTTAGGAAAGAGCCATGGTTCAAGGACAAAGATTGAGCCAAGATTGACGCCAAAATGATGGCGATAGCGCAGAATTTCTAGAGGAGTCGGCGGGGAGATAGTAGATGGATGGGGTAGGTGAATATTAGTGATCTGGTGAGATGAGTCTGAAGGAGAAGACGGAGAAGAAGAGGAGGAGCCTGAGCGTATGTGAGCTTTAGCTTTCTGAACGAGTTTCTTCATTTTAAACCGAGTTTATTCGTGAGGTATGAATTTTCAATTCATCGAATTTCAGGAGCTCGAGATGAGGAGAGAAGTCTTTTGTGTTTATTGAAAAATAAATACATCATTGAAAGGAAAAGCAAGTTTTGTTGAGATCCATGAGTAGATCGACATTGCTTTTGATATGCAGCCTTAGCTGGTTCCGGCAGTTGTCCCGTTGGTAGGATGAAAGCCAATCATTTTGATGATCTGAGACAAGGAAAGGAGGTTGATGCAGACGGCAAGTGGGGGCATTAGACAGGGTTCGCTTATGTAACACTAGAGTTTATCTTATTAGGTCTATTCTTACATAGATTTTTGTTCAATCTTTCAGATATTTCAATGCAAAACAATTAGCGATCTTTGTTATGAAACTATTGACCAGATGTTTAACCTGGGGGATGATACCGTTGTATGATAGGACAAATTTACCTGAAGTCAGAGTTTCGAGCTAGTACTTTTATCCAACACGTCACGTGCTTCGTTACAAAACTACGAGCCAGCTAATCAATCGAGGTATAGCGATTACAATGAGAAGTAAACTAATCTTTAATACTCAAGCTGCTTTGATTTTGAAGCTCCCAAACTAATCATGTCCTTTGAACGAACATGATACCATTAACTAATACGCGTTTGTTGTCACGGAGTGTGTGACTATATCAGTTGCTCGCGACACACCAGACCGTGACAGAAGTTGAAATCAACCTCCTGAACTTCGCGACGAAGAGATTGATCACAATGACAAACCCAAAATTTTTCATCCACAAGTTTGTCTTTATCGATTTGTTTGCCAGCACCTTTATTTTCAAACAGATGCAATATCTTTTGGATCCAGAAATTAAACTCCAAAAAGTCCTTGATAACTCAAAGTAGAACTTCGAATACATCTTGAGTTCGATATGCCGATATCTTGATCGACAGGATCAGAAGTTTGTGATAAATGGGACACTTGGGATACATTGACAATTTTAGATCCCCTTCCTTCTTCATCTGCCCCTCCAGCGAAAGTAACCGATTATCCTGGCAGTTCTGGTGTTCCCCGACTGTTTCATGCAAAGCCAGAATCAAATCCACAAATTATCTCTGAAAAATTGAGACTACTAACGCCTCTTTCCCGCGAGCTTTCCCGCCGTCGCTGTCAATATCGATTGATCCTCCACATTATCCAACATCAAATTATACAGTTCAGAAGAACCACTTTTTAAAGCGCTGAGAACAGCTTCCTCTGTAATTAGGCCATCCAGGGATCCTCGCAGGCGTATGATAACATTCAAAGTATCAACACTAGATTCTGATCTAGCCAGCCTAGCTATTGAGTCGATGTGGGAACTGTTAATCATTTCAATTCCGCAGGAGTGCAGAATATATTCGACACTTTTGGCATCTGGCCGGACAAATAATGAGTCAAAAACCTCCTGATCAACGAAGTCTTTACCTTTTACATCGAGAATGACTTTCCACATATCTTCCTGTTTAGGCTCTTCATCAATGACCAGTTCCCTTCTTAGAAGGCTGCTATCGGATTGATTCATGAAGTGTGCGAGAGTACGAGAATCGCTGCTCTTCAAGGCATACCTAATCATCTCCTCTGTGATAGTGTCGATTTGTTTTAATTCGAACAATTTTTCCACTGTTTCATAGGAGTCGAAACGGATGACTCCCAGTACCATTTTGTCGTTAAAAGTCTCTTCATCAATTTGGTATAGGACATCAGCTAATTCTCCCAAGCCTTTATCTTTTATCCTGCGCTCAAGTATCTTTGCGGGTAATGGAGTCCCATCGGCAGCTCTATAGAGAGTTTCCAAGGCTCGTAACGGCTCCGAATGGGTATCTTTCTCTAGATGTCTTTCAAGCTGCTCGATAAACGCCTGGCGACTGCACTCATGACTTAGGAGAATTTCTTCTATCTGTAAACGTTCCTCGAGGTTCTCTTGAGGATTGCCACCCTTCGCAATTACCCAGTAAACCATATCCTCATCAGCAATCGGCATACCCATATTGTAATACTTTATATGGTGCCTATGAGCGGTCGAAATTAGATGAGGATTGGCACCGCGATCTAGGAGATACTTTACAGAATCAGGACTGCCATGTTGAATGGCTACAAGCAGTGGAGTACTTCCATGGCGTAATGGCTCATCAATCGATTCTTTATATTTATCGAGTGCGTTTTGTATTATTTCAGGAAGGTTGAAGGCTGCTCCTAACATTCTAAGACGACTCTTTGACGGGTATTTATCTGAGCGTGGAAGATCCCCAAGAATTCGATCTGCAATATCCATGATGTGATATCGTGTGCTTCCTGAGTAGTTGCCGGCATCAATTTGAGTGTACCACCACTGGAGCGAAGGGCTTATCGTGGCTCCAAGAGTAAAACGCTTATATAGGAGATCTTTACATCGTCTCTCCGATGTTGCTTTATTGGAGTGATAAGCCCAATAAGAGACGGAATAGGCTAGAAAATTGGTCGGCTCTTGGGGGAGCATCAACGTCTTTTTTATGGCGGAAGCCACCGAGCCGCGTTTGAGCCCTGATTTTGTGCCTGAATTGACTCTTTTCTGTACCAACAGATTTAAGCACATCTTCATCACGAATAAGTGACATTCCTCAGTTTGGAACTCGACTTTGAACCCGCAATGGTTAATAAGGTACTCCTCAACAGATAAATGGGCAAATCGAAATGTGCCTTCTGAGCTCTGAATAACAAAATTGCTACAGCACTAGTGAATACGAGGTCAGTATCCATCTTCAAATCCAACATAACAAGTATTCATCTTACATAAAACAATTTTTGTGCTTAACGGACTACGTGCTATTTTCTGAAGTTTAGGATCATGATCTAAGGAAATCTCAATGACTTTGAGAACTTCCTCCGCGGGCAGTGGCGTTTTGCAACACAGTAGCCACTTACAGACTGACTTAAAGACGCTGGCGTTGTAGGCCCCCGGCTTGGTGTTCATCGTAAAACCGTTTCGTATGCATCGTTCAAGGATTGCTCCATCATTACGCAGATTGAAGCATAGCAAGGTTTTGTGTCCTACTTACTCACTTTGGAAAGATTTTGAATGGCCATGCAATACGGAAAAGTGCATTTTAGTCTAGTCATTTTTAGCCATAAGATGCTGTTATGCTTTCGAGCCAAGAGGAAGGGTGGTTTCGGTCTGCGCCCGGCTCTTGCCTGCTTGCTCAATAGCTCAGTTCTTTTCAGCTAAAAATTCTTACTTCTTCTTGCCCTTCCTGTTTGGTTTCACTCCGTTGCTTTCCGTGTTTCCCCATCAATCACCCACCAAAGCATTGTTTGTGTGTAGATTTTGTTGCATATTTCTCCTCAATGGTCGAGTATCATAAAGTTTTTCTCGTGAAAATTTAAAAGACTTGTTGTGAAAATTGCGGGCCCACTTCCGTAGCAAGCGGTGCAGTAGGAGTCATTTCCCTTGGCCTCCAAGTATCCCAAAGCCTAGTCAAGTATTGTTCACAATGCAAGAGCTTTAACAAAGATATTATCACGTTCAAATCCAAAGCAGAGACTCTAAATGCTATTTTACAACAGCTTGGAGATAAGCTAAAGCCCTTTGAGCAGGAAAAATGGACTCTGCCTACCTCTGTTATTGAAACGATTGAAAAATGCGAAGCCGGGTTACGAGGTCTTGACAAGGAACTTCAAAAACATGGTAGGAACACTATCTCGAATCGAATTGCATATCCTTTTATCAAGGACTCTTTGACACTTGCAAATGCAATGTTGGATAGTCTACAGAACAATCTTACGCTTGCCCTTCACAATTTCAGCGTGTAGGTCATCCAAAATCATCTAGACAATGAAATTCAATTTTTTAATGCTGAACAGAGACACCTACGAGCATGTCATCGAATTGTCGCAAACGACCTCGCAGTACAAGACAGAAACTATGCAGAAGCTTGATTGCCTCACCACAATGGTTGCGGCGAATAATGACAATACGGTATTGTACTAGTCTCCTGTCTAAATCGCGTGTCTGATTGTTGCAGAAATTACTGCTTCGTTCCTTTCAGGTGTACTTGAACAAATAGTCTTACTACAGCAGGGAGCTTGCATAAAGCCCGAGCCATTCCAGAACAAAATTTGTCCCTCAATCCCAAAGAAAGCCCCGAAATAAAGTTTCTCGCCCTTCCATAATATTGATGCTTGTCCTTGCCGAAGAGCAGAATACACATCTGAGTGGGATATAATCTTTCATACGGGTTACCCGATCCTCTCATACTTATTCTGGCAACAAGTGTCTGATCATAGACGCGATTCTCCATGGTATAAATCAGGGCACCGAACCGTCGTAGTCGAAGCCAAGTTTCTACCCTACAATGAATTACTAAGATATTCAGTGGCCATCGCCTTGTCCGTAACTAGGGGTGCAGGTAGCTTTTCCATCAGCCCTCATCTGAATATGAGCTATGTAGTTCCTCATTATGCTCCATCCTTTGAAATTTTCTGTGGCCACGAACCAAATTATAAGTCTTCGTCGTGGACGTGCAGTGGAAAGATTAATTGGATGCCAGCGAAAGTCTTACCTGAACCAGTTTTGAATTTGCAGTTGACAAAGCTTCGCCTCATGTTTCACCAACGCAAAGCCGGCGCCAATGATATCACAGTTGGTGGATTGACATTATTTGCTGTGAGTTCTTATGTTATCACATCTTTAACTGCCATATTGGCTTTGAAGGCCGCAAATATTTGGTGGTGGTCCTTGATGAAGGGTTACCTTTGGCGATCTTCTTATCTTCGCAGCGAGTTTAAAAGCAAATACCTCCCTCGGCTTCAGAAAAATATACGTATTTTGGCCAATGTATTGTGAGAAAGTCGGAATTATAAGCCAGATACATAGGGGTTTTTGATTAGTCAATTATATGACCTTCTGTAATTAGATATAAAAGGATAGCTTTTGTCTTTTCTTTCTAGAATAGTTAATCTTCTATTATGCATTTGAACCTATATAGCTTCAACCCCAAAACCATTGTGAAATCCGTTTTCTGTATAAATGATATATTACGATATGATCTAATCAGCTTTCTCTTCCAATTCCCCCTCACAGTATGCTATCGGGATGTATGTATCTCGATCTACCACTTTTACAGTATATCGGGAAGTAATAAGCATATTCAAATCTGCTGAGTGCAATTTTGAAGCTTGCAAATACTACGAGTATGATTTCTCCTGTCCTTTTCATAGAGCGTGTACCATCTGCATGCTTCGGCTCCGGAGTAAAGGACTCTCATTGGTCTTTATGATGTTCGAGCAGTCCTCAACCCTTTATCAGTGTCCCTAATATGAATTGTTGTCTCTTTAAGACCATTTACGAAAATAATTAATTATTTCTGAAAATATTATGCTAAGTGCGCACAACTCATAGGGACTACGTAATTTTCTTTTACCAGTCACGCCTCCCGGAAAAACTCGATATTAGCGAATTTTACGATACTGCGGAGACTCTTTGTGATCTTGGCTCTCGAATCGATCTCACTAATTTGCATCTCTATGATGACAATGGATTTGGGTCGGCGCAACGCAAAATTGAGCACTTCATTTATAAAACCAAACAAGCAGACGGTATGTGTACACCAATACCGTTAACTGGAACAATAATCAATTTGGTTTCAAAGCTCTTGACGTACCGGAAGTTTTCAAAGCTATACTGACAAGATCAAAGTGTGAATTGGAGAAGATTCTGTCTTGTGACGCTGCTGCGGTAAATTTTACCCTTGAGGATGGGACAACGCCTTTGCATGCTTCTGATTCTTGGCCGCTAGGTATTGAATTGTTACTAAAGGCCGAAGCGGATGTTAACAAACTGGACCGCCACATGAGGCCGCCAATATCCTATGCAGTTAGGGCAAAATGCATGCCTTCAATTCGAATGCTTCTCGCTAATGATAGTATGTTAGGCGAATGCGAGTCTCCTGTTTTCACGATGAGAATTGAGCCTTATGAGGACATGGATATCCTCAAAATCGTATCAGCGGGTGTTGTGAACAGAAGACAACGTCTGTATGAACTTGCAATGTCCGCATGTCAAGAAATGCAGATAGACATACCTTCCTACCTCGAAAATAGTAAAATTCTTGATGCCTTTGCCTGGAAGGTAACAAGGCTTCTCCTCGATCATGGGGTCTCCGTCCAGCCCGCACTCTTGCCCTGCCTGGTGATGGCAAGTTGGAGTATTTACCACGCAGAATACTTGTCTCGAGAAGCCGCAGAGTATCTATACCAAGCTGGTTTTAAGAATATCAATGAGTATGACGACTATGCATATACCCCATGTATGAGGTGTATTTAATGGATAGGCGCCTAATATACCACAAATTATGTTCGAATTATATTCACACTCGATCATGTGGCTCTGATTTTGTGGTACATTTCTAAAGGGGTTGATTTCGCCAAAGTTTATGGTCAATACAGCCACACATTGCTTCATCATATTGGGACAAGACTTAGACTCTATGTAGAAGCAGTTTGTAAGCACTTTTCTATCATCAAAAAGCCCCACATTCTCGCACTAAGAAGGTTTGTGGTTGAGGAAGTTCATGATAATTGCACATGCACTTGCTCAACTGGCGGTTGCCTTCTAGTCACCAGAATGATGAATCTGCAACGAAAAGTGGAGTTCCGGCTAGATAAAGAGGGAAATAGGCGAATTAATTTTGACTACGGATGGGAAACTGCATGTGAGATGAGTGTCTTTTTGGACAATGAGGCCACGGATCATTCGTGGATAGCTGAAAGTTTCTTACGAGCCTTGAAAGTTTATATGCTTGAACTCACCCACACATGCTTCTGCGAGAAACATCAATCTACCCATTCGACTGCGGATGAAATAGCAGAAATTCAAGAAGAAGAAGCCAGCTTAATCGAACAACTCGAGAACTGGTGCAGAGTCCCAAGAAATGTTCCGAGCCTTCGAAGGTTCCCTGAGTATTTTCCTCAAAACCAAGTGGAAACCAAGAATGGACAAGTATCTCGCGCAGAACGACAAAAAAATGGATGAGGAAAGTTTGCAGAAAATAAGGAGATTGGAGTGATCACGGAGTGATTTAAGAGCTTTATTTAAATGGACGAGGTAGGCATTACTATTCCCAAACATGGTACTGGCGGCTAATAATTCAGTTGGAATGTTTCGGGTTCTTTGCGTATTTTAATGGGGTTGTTTAAGGAACGAGATAGCAAGTGAGCATGTGTGTATTTCAATGATGGATGGTTTCATTTTTTTAAGGTCTACGAATTAATACAAATAAACAATTTCTGGATTTTTATACCTGAGGATGCTGTTTTGATGTATTTTTGAATGAATTTATGCATCAATCAATGAATACTATATTTATTATCTTTTATCAAGTTATCAAATTACCACTCGTCTGAAGCTATATTACAGTGTTTTTAATAACATATTTATATTTGCCCTCATTACTCCTTTCGTATATACATAATTAACTCCCAACACAGAAACCAGACAGCGAGCATTATTGAAGAACAAAAAAGACTCTTCTTTGGTATTCTACCAAAGAATTCTACTATTCTATTAAAGCTATTTACTTCTACTATCTTAACAGCAATGAAGCAATATTACAATACCGGAGGACTCTCAACTATAGAATTAAATCCTGTTCTATGGTAAGATCTCGACGCGAAAAACAAAACTCTAAACTTGGGCCTGCGTTTCCCAAGTGAGTTTTGCTTAATTTGGAGAATATGTTTGTTTTTGTTTCACGGCTGTTTCTGATTAGAAGCCATACATGGCTCTAATAAATATTCTACAGGTTCTGATTGTGAGAAGATCCCCATTGATAGCTTTTTATGAGCTATCAATATTAGGCGAGAATTATTTTAGCATGATGAGGCAGTCCTCAATTTGGTATCACTTTGGGGTAGGCTGCAATTGTCGAATCCATATCTTTGTGCGTTTTATATCAATGACCTAATTGATGTTGAAATTTCTCATTTGAAAGCCCTGTCCCAAGTCTAGAAATATGTCTGTTCAGACAACACAGATCGTTTCTCCAAAGATTATAAGACTATTTTGAGCTGATCGTCTTTTATGAGATGAATTAAAATTTAAGATCTTACAACAATGAAGAAAGACAGAAAGTCGTTGGACACCTGCACTTCTTGGGATTAATGAAAAGCTTGATGATGCCCTGCATACATGAGTCTTCTTAAAATAATACAGTGAAAACTCCCGGGTGGAACCAAGTAAGAGGATTCTAAGATGCGCTCGGATGAATGCTAGCATGGATCTTAGCCACTGGCACGTGAGAAAGACTGAGAAGATGGAAGATCTTCTTGGCTTGGAGACGAGACTCCGAATTCATTCTCATTGTAACAGGAACAGTTTGTCGCTTGATTTGTAATAGACCATGCTCCCTAGTATGGCCAGCTACTTTGTCCTCCTTGTCATTGCCATGGCCAGGAATTTTGAGGTTGACTACTTCGAGCAAGTCAGGATTGAGCCCAAAAGCAAATCTCAAAGGTTGTTGCGCAAAGTTTTGACGTGGAGTATGAGGTTTGTTTTGTATGAAGGTATTTCTGTTAGAAAATGGGTGTTACGGAAGTAGTTGGTAACGCTAAAATGTTTATCATAATGTTGCAGTCAGGCTCATGGACTCAGGAGGAAGATTGGAGCTGAAAACCAGGACTGGAAAACACAACGCCACATCCAACTGATGCTGGGTTTTCAGTACATCATATTCAAATGGCATATATTGTATGGAACTCACTGTCCATGATAAACAGAGTCGTACAATTAACCGTGAATCTAAAACAAACCACTGAATAAGTGAATGGAAGATGAGACGTGTATTTTGAATGATGGCTTCCTTATTATTACTCACTTGGGTGCATTTGAAGTAGCTAAATGCAAGTAATCGTTGGAATGATAACACAATAAATAGTCAGTCTCCTACCTGGAAACGAGCTTGATCGATGTGCGTTTATCTAGATTTTCATCAATCTACATCCCCGAGGCTCCATATTTTATGTTATACACACGAAGCTCTAAAGTCTACCATTTAAAATGGTTAAATTCACTATTTAACGGCCCAGCGCAAAGCTGCGGTAGGTTGCCTTCAAATACAGGCAAGCAGTTTGAGGGATGAGTCAAGTATCGCAGTATGGAATTTAGCAATGAGAGCAGTACCAGCGCAAAAGATATGGCGTGATTTCAATGTATTCTTCAATCTTCCTGCTTTAGAATAGCGACGCCAGAAGCTCCATCTCCCCAGGTTATTTTTTTTTTGAATCAAATCCAATCTCCCTCAGCAACACAGTCAGCTATTTCTATTAAATCCACAACAAATCTCACCAAATAATAATAGTATATTCATAACTTTCAAATATGGCAGACTTCTCTATCTATCAATCAATCGGCCGTAATTTGCAACCAATGGTTGTCGCTGAGGCTCGTTCATTCCCCGGAAAAGTCACAAATAAAGAATTTCTGGAGGTTGCTCAATATTTGAGTGAAATGGTTCAGAAAGATGAATATCATCTAGCTCTAGGTCGTCCAGACTTCACTATATACATTATCGATTTTAAGATCTGGGAGCACTTCTGTAGGTCAACATTTATCTTCCTTGAATTATTCTGCTACATGGCAGAGTCTAACAGTGTATTACAGTCGCCATGAATACCGCCATAGACTAGGTGCCTTTCACGAGGGTTGATCCTCCGGGACCACTCAGCATGGCTGATTTGAATCCGTTCCCAGTTTTCTCTTACACTCCTCGTCCACCACACAGCCAGCTATTGTACCAGGCCAAAAGACGTCGGTTAACAATGGTGTGGGTGCAGCTGCTCACGCTCAACCTACATCAACTAATAGTCAACTTCGTGCGTACCATCACGGTTTTTCAATAGATTAAATGGAGCAATTAACGCGGCGAGAGGTTGATGACCTTTTAATACGAGGAGTCGGAGCCTCGTCTGGTCATTCCATAAAGCCCTAAGGATAGGAAATAGGTTGTGGATTGTATAACGTGGGCTGTAATACGGGAGCTGAATTTGGGTGGGATTTTTTTGGCTTTAGCACTCTTTGCCAGCACATTGTGATGATGTTTTTAATGGCGGAGGAGCTGTGTTCCGCGCAGGATAGGGTAGAGCTTTCTTGAAAAGGACTTGGAGAACATATGGATCTTTATAAAGTAATACTGCGTTATATGAGAATTATCCTATGGAGTCTACTCCTATTCGAGGCATTTATCCTAGCTCATGAGCACAAAGAAAGGTATCAAAATGAAGAGGTGCACTTCCTTTCACTTGAAAACAGCCGATGGAAAGGATTTTGCACTGCAAAACACTAGTTCTGGCACTCCGAGCAGGTTCTATAAGATGTCATGATCCTAGTTGTGTAAATCAGAAGCCAAAATTTTTTTGTCCATAAGCTCTAATTTATACCTTCATGTGTGGTAAGTTTTCGAGTGATATACGTACTTCATCTTACATTACCCGCCTATTTTTTTGGTAGCAGTCGCTTTTTCCTAACAAATCCCTCTTTCTTCTAATGTAGAACAAAACTCCACTTCCACCTAATAGCAGAAAACGACATTACATATCCCAAAAATTGTCTCTTTGTCGCGACTACAGACAGATGTATTGATGTCTTTTCCGAATCAAGCGTCGCCTACAAGGCTTGGCAAAGCTCCACTTTTGATGCTCCCAGTTTTGAATTCTAACAGGAAGGAGATATTCAAGCCGAGGAAAATACACTAGAAAAAGTAGTAGAGGATAGTAGTATGGAATATAAAGCTTAAAATCTATAAGATAAGATATAACCAAAGTGGTCTAATAATAAACCTTGTCGAAAGGGCATAGGAAAACAGCTAGGAAAAAATATAGAGAAACTAGGAACTGGAATCTACTTTGCGGACAAACCCCGGGCATCTAACGAAATGATAGGTTTGTTGAGTATGATGCAGAGTGGAAATATAATTTTGTCACTTCACTGAACTATAACTTAAGATTCTGTCTTCTAATTTGACTACCTTGGCCAGTAACACCAGTGAATTACTTCAAGTATTGTTTTTTATGTCTCTAAAGCTTTGGGAGACCCTTTTTTTGACTTTAAAATGAAAAATAAACATTTAGCTTGAAGACATTCAGCCAAGTGTTGATCGGATTGCAGGTCATAATCTCGTATTCCGCACCATCACGCAAATGCCTAACTTGCCAAAACATCGCCGATTTCCGCAGCCGCAGTGATTCACTTGCTCAGCGCCCGTATTCTTGAATCACTTTTGGACAGTGAATATTTTCATGGAAAGCAGGTAAAATCTTCGAATAGGTCACGATTCATATCTTGAATATTACGGTGCCTTAAAAGAACATCCAGGCACCTCGATTTCTCACTTTTTCACCTCATGATATTTCTTTTCAATCAATAAATTTCAGACTCATCCAAAAACTGATGTATGCAAGAATCACAAAATGTCATACGCATCAATAATGCAATCGCTTGACCGCTGTGTTGCCACCGCGGACAGTTGTCTTGGCAGCGTGGACCGTTGTATTTCAATCACAGACAGTCGTATTGCCAAGCTGAACAGTGGAAGTCTTGGAATTTCCAGCGATGCACGCCTTTACGGTCCTAAAAATCAATGGGAGAAAACCAAAGAGTTTCCAAAACCTGGTACTTTTAATCTTCCTGTAGATCAGGCAAGGAACATGTATCAATACAAAAAGGAAAAAAATGTGTGGGAATCTTCCCGTAAGTGTTTTTAAATTCATCCCCTGGAAAAAATATCCGAACCGAAATCTTTTGGAATATTAGGAGGAAAAGAAAAGTTCAAAGGGCTGCCGGCTCTTGATGTTCCAGGTGTAGAACCATGTTTTGATCAATCCAATAACCCATTAATCAAATCAGAAACTACGCTAAGATCAAATGATACCAATCTCGAATCTGACTCTCCAGCAGTTGTTAAGGACGAAGAAGGAAACAAAGACCATCCAGCAGAATCCCTTGCTCAGCAAAAGGAGAGGTTGATTATCAAAATCGCTGAACTTCGGGTTAAGGCGAAGGGCCAAATACTTGCTGCCGGGTTCCAACGTCAAAAGTTGGAACGAAAAGCTGGTACCGAATATCAGAGATTGTGGAAGATCGCTTTTAAAGAGGATGCTAAGTCGAAGCTGGATGCTAGAAAGTTGAGCGCCAAGGCTAAAAGACTCCAAGGAGTAGTAAAAGGCCTGGAATCTTTGGAGCGGGAGAGAGAAAAGGCCAAAAAGGAATTTCTTGAGGCAAAGAGAAAGTGCGAGAGGCTTGAGCAGGTGGCCAAACGTCTGCGAAAAGAATGAGTTGCTTGGTTACAATAACTTTGCCTCCCCCAGAACATTTTCTCAGTAGCTGGTTCCTCGTTCAATTGCAGTTTGTATAACACAGGGCATCTAAGTCTTGATTCTACGACTTTTTGAGGCAGGCTTCGGAAGACTTTCGTCGTGGCAGCGAGACTCTCCTCTTAACTTGTAATATTAATTCGCTGTTTCCGTCAAAAAAGCTTATGTAAATAGCGTTTATCTTGAGGCACTAGTACTAAACCATCATCAAAATGGATCACTAAGAGGATTTTCGTATGTATAAAACTGGCAAGGAAAGGAAATTCTTGATCTTTTGGAAAAATAGGGGTTAGTGACGGCATTCAGAGGTTTGGTGGTGAGCAACTTAAACAATAATCTTGGTAATTAGAACCATTTCCTACTGGGAATGGCGATGTTCACATCGAAGACAGCACTCATATCAAATCTGCTCGCAAGGGTAGTCTCCGTGTAAGCAAAATTGTTACCCAGAATACAAGACCTCCCTTGGCTCCTTATATGAGTCCAAAACGGGAGTACTTGAATCCATTGGCCAAACTAAATCTAAAGTCTATCTAGAAATTTTAATATGATCAGAATAGAGCATATAAGGTCTCGAATTCAAGGTAAAAACGGGTAAGGGGATGCTAACTTGCACAATATGTAGATAGACACTTTTAAATTTTGTAGCTAATTTATTTTGCTAATAAAAACCCGAGATTGATCAACTTCTTCTCTGATAAAACTAAAAATTAGCTCAGCTCATAACCTCGGGTGTTGTGGGCAATTTGTTCATTTCACCGTCACCATTCCCCACCTAGAAAGGCATTTTTTAAGTTCAATAAGTTTTCATTCTTTTTAACTAAGTGGCAGCCACACCTTCACAAAAGAAAGGTCTTCCCATAGTTTGACAAATACCTTTTGTTGAGCATTCAAGGCATAACTATCCAGTCAATCAACACTTCAATACTTACTACTACAATTGATACAACGGCTTCATCACTTCTAAGCATTTTAAACAATGAGCAGGTGTCAGCAAGTTCGTCTATCTTCCTGCTCCGCCGCAATTAAATGAGCTATCAATGGTCCGATCGGCGAAAGAGGCGTAGTTTTGCCCCATGATACTCAATCTGAAGAGAGATTCAATTTCAATAGAGACAGGGTGATTGATGGAATTCCAATCACGGTTTGACACAATAAACAAAGTATTCTCGAACAATTGCAGCATGAGAGATCGCACATGGGTTTGCATTGGCAGCCCGGACGATCATACAAGTAAGGTTTTTCCAAGTGACATAGCATTTAGCTGACTGCAAGGCTGGACGACGATCTACTGGCAATTTGGAAAAAGCTTTTCCTTTATTTTCATCTGAACCATGATAAAAAAAACATACTTAAAACCAATAGCAGAGCTGGAATTAAAACAAATTTTAAATATAGATTTGTATGGCATTCAAATCAAGAGCAGTAGGCCAGTCGGAATACTGAGTATTCACATTTCTAACCGATGTTGTACGGCCGATATAAGCGACAATTCTTTTAATGAACCGAGTGGGCCGAGGCTGAGATTGCCGTTGAAGAAGAAACAATCATACTTGGTCTAGTAGTCCAGCAACAGAGCTTAGCGAGTGAGAGAATCAGGCCATATACGTACGATTTAGGTGTGATGTTGACTTCTATGACTGCAAAGTACCTTTATTTGGGATTTCTGCTACAACCTCATAGATACTTTTGTAAATCTTTGGAAGCTTCGAGCTTAAGTAATTTAACTACAATTATTCCCACTGAAACCTACAACCTTTTTTCTTGATCCATCATAAATTCCAGCTTCTGCATAAATCCGTCTCAGTAACAACCTCATCTTCACAAACAAAACACCCGCTCAGCATCAACCACTTTTCTTTTAGAAGGCACACCATAAGTACCAGCTACATTCGAAGGATCAAGTCAAAGATATCTTCAAAATGGCCAACAAAGAAGCCGCACTCCCAGGATGCGGGGAACCAACCTCGAAAACATATAAAACGGTGATTCCAGAACTTGGACGTCTGCTTCTTGGTCAACACTTACCATCCATAGACGGAAAAGCTGTTACAGTGGATGAATTTGCCTCTGCAGTGGAGAAAGCAACCGCTCAAATCCAGAGCAAGAAGGTATTCCTTCAACTCCAAATTCTTCGACCAGATTATGTACAGTTCCTTGTCGACCGTGAAGCATGGGAGACTTTTTGTAAGCATATAATTTATCATGTCACATCTTTAAAGTAACACTGAGCTAATTTTCCTTCAATAAAGGCGGAGGACCAAATGAAAAGGAACATGTAAATTACAGAGCCTTTCCTGCAAAAGATCCTCGAATCGACAATCCCCTTCCTCAATACTTCGACCCCGGCACACTCACACCCGACAGCTATGGTCTCATATACCGCGACAATGTACACCCTTCCTGCCCTAATTGCAATTGTGGCGCCATATCCTCACGATCCGATTACAAAGATCAAAAACCCTACCGTGATGGTGGCATTCGCGTAACCACCCCTGAAGAAGAATTTGCGGCTTTTCGCGTGAGACTTGAAGCTGAGTCTAAGAGATTGGGTTACAAGAATTCTGATGAGCGTTGGGAGAAAGAATGTGCGCTTCAACAGGCTGAGGATGCAGAGAACGAAAGACAGGAGGTTGAGGCGATGAAATTGGCTAGGCTGGAGTCAGAAGCGCAGGCAAGGGTGAGCATGACAGATGTGAAGAAGAAGAAGGGAAACAAGGTTGGGAAATACATATCCCGTTGTTCCAACATGTAAGGAAGGAAGGTGGAGTCAGGTTGGGACATGTGACTGTTTTCGCGGTGACTTAGCATAATCTTCATGAGATGCAGTGAAGGCACTGGGGAGTTCTGTGTCGATGCTTTATCATACTTCTGTATTTCCTTTTATGCTATCTACTAGAGATGATAATATCAAGCCCCCAACATCTAACCCCAGCAGTAGCCAATGACAGGGCAACAAAGACAGTTTTCTTTTCGTTTCGTTTATTTACAAGCTTTCCAAGTACCAGATATGATTTTACGACACAAGTTCAGGTGGCACTTTGAGGATGAGAGTTCCCAGTAGAAATTGACTTCTCAACTGAAGCCAATACTCTGTCTTTAACTGCTGAGTAACACCACACATACGTTTTCGAAGGGTTTAACCCCCTATAGTCTAGTTTAGTCAATCAATATCCAAGACTAAATTTCTCCACCTATGAGAGTGCTCATTATGTTTTCTGGGAGATGTTTTTCCTGGTCAAGACGGTCGATTGAGGATGGAAAAGATAATAGCTCATGGTGAATGGTTTACGGAGGTGGGATACACAGTGATAGAGCGCTAGATGTACCATAAGCTGTAAATATAATCCTGTCTTGAACTTTCAATGGTATCACAGGTAGTTGTGTGAAATGAAACTATTTGATCTAATCAATTGCGAATAATTGCTATCCATGATGTGGTGGAGGTTTAGACTTTCATACTGGAGCTTTCAGAGTTCAATATTCGGGGTTAAAGTGGGGAGCAGTATGGTTTTGCTAGTGGTGACAGTGATGATAAATGCAAATGCAGTGAATCGGTAGGTGAAGAGGTAAGATGAGGTATTGATAGAGTGATATTCGACATGACCGGTTTGGAATAATCACTTTGTATGCATAAATAAACTGCAGAGGTCTTCTTGGCAGGAATAGCTGAACAGGGAAAGAATTAATGATGATGACCAAGTGAGTATGTCTATTGCTGAGGCATATATTAATCGTCAAGTCCTATGCGTTTGGATATTTAGGCATTGGGAAGAGATAATCATAGCCGGAGACGGTTGATCATATTGCGCGCAGATACGAATTAGCTCTGTTAGGCCGTGTGGTCCAGCTGATACTTTTAACCTGACTATAAATAAGATTACATCCTGTGTATGACTCTATATTTCAGCTATCCATGAATAAACACCTTGGTTTATCCCTAACTACCTTTAAATTCGAACATAGTGTGCATTTCCTTTAATGAATCAATGCACCCATTCTACCATTGAAAGCAGGGCTGGGTAAAGAGTAGGGTATAACTAAGATAACCCAGAATAACCCTAATCGAAAAACTACCCTATTAAAACTTTATAAAATAAAATAACCATCCTACAAAATACTTCAGATATTATAACATTTATAAATATATATTTATATATTATATCATATAATTATATTTAGATATTAAATAATAATATCAAACAATTATACAATATTTATTCTATAGTACCCTAACATTTATTAGTAACCACTCTATAAAATCTTTATGGAGTACGTTAACCACCTTAAAAAGATCAAATACCCCAGGTAGGGTAAGGCTGCCCAGCCCTAATTGAAAGTGGTGAGACACTCGTTTAGACCACAGCAAAATGAATCTGCTTCACATTCATATACGCATCCTTGATATGAAAGGGCAAGAAAGCAAACCCCAGGAATAAAATATATACACATATTGGACTTAAGCTGTCCTTCGCGTCCGCCATTCAACTGAACGGAAGTACCAGCTCGAGTTGGCACTCCAACTCAAAAATGAGCTCGGAAGAAGATCTCATCAAAATGTACCCTTAAGCACAAGATTCAGGTGAGACTCTTTAAATTTCCACCCGTCGAGCAATTTGCTAGCAGCACTGGCAGTCTTCCTCGTTTAGCACATTTTAAGAACAGGACAGCAGAGTTTAAAGTGTGGATAACCAAAGCTAGATAGACCACACTCGACTGGTATCTATAGCTAAATATTTACTCTACCAGTCTCTGACATCTAAACTTGGCTTGTAACACTTTTACTTTGGCTTGCGCAATTGTTTCAGTAGGCTTGAGTGGCATGGTGATGTTATTTCACTTTTTGTGAGGGTTGTAGCTATGAGCTGCTGGAGGAATGAAAAAATACTTGATTTCTAGAGATGTATACTGGTCTGTAATATTAATAGAGGTTGGATATCCCATTGAGAATTCTACAAATTTCGCGTGTCACGTCAAGTGTGGGAATATAAATCAACTGCAAAGTTTAGCAGGGGCCTATGATAGTCATAGCCTAGCGTCGCTAAAATTAACCAGCCAATCGCTAAAGTCGCACGCTCAACGCTTTTTCTTCATCGCCGGCTTTCTTCTTTATATCCTCACCTCACGTGGATAATTGGAGAGATACGAAGGCATTATTGTTACAAATTAACTGGTGTATTTCTTTCGCCACGTATCCGTTGATGGGTCAAGGGCTGTCAATACTGAAATACCGATACATTCCAACCGCCCAAGATAGAAGGGAGAAATGTTCAAACGCCAATTAGATATCCGGGAGAGATCAATCCACGTACAAGTAGGAATGTATTCTCGCATTCTTTCTCGGAAGCACCATGACAACTTCTACGTCTTGGCAATGTTGTCTGTTGTTTCTTTTTCCTGTCATTTTCCTATCAACACTGTCTTTACAATAAATCCCACAATAGATTGATATTGCAAGTGCAGATATCATGCAACAGATAGAGAAGTTTCCTTTACGATCTTATTATCCACGTTCATTTAGATTCTACCACCGAAACAAGGGCATCGAAAATAGAGCTAAAAAATTCCCAATTCGTTAAAATAACTATCTTGTACAATTAATATTTCAACATGCCTCCTCCGTCTATAGGAACCGAGATCCCAATCGGTTCGACAACCATATCTCTTGGGGGGATTATTGGTATTGCCATTGGCGGTACCATCGCGTTGATTGTGATTGGGGTTGCAGCAGTTACATATGTTAAACGAAACCATCGAAATGCACTCAAACTTCGAGAGAGCGAAGCTGGAGACGGCAAGGAGACGAGCTTCGCTGCTCGAGCAAATTCATCGCCATATTCCCTTCCTATTTTCGCGACTCCTTACCATTATCTACCGCCTAGAAATGCCCCTCGACGACGTAGCACGGTCGTACACACAAGCTTTATTGATGAGGATGAAGATGAGGAGGATGATAACATAGTCAGACCAGGCACGAAAAGATCATCAGGACCGAAAAGCGTTTTTCAAAAACGGAGGTCTAGCATTAGAGATTCGTGGCCATTGGCATCTAGGGTTCAAACTACCACAGCACCACTTTCACGTGTTCAGTCAGAGAAAAACATACGAATCAATTGTGTCGCCCCTCCAGGATATGTTCTACCCGAGCCGCAACGTCCGAAGAGAACATTTTCCAGAAAGTCTCCTGTCAAAAATTCAGATTCAGTAGAGGACATCACAATCGTTGATGGAGAACCAAGAATAAGGCACAGCAGGCACCGATCGAACTCTGAAAACCAATTATCTTCGATTCTGAAGTCGACATCTCAACGTCTAAGAGACACCCACAGACACTCTGTGAGGAAGAGTTGGAACAACCTTGGCAAATTTCCAGGATCTCCTCCCAAACAGAGGCTACCGAGCCCGCCAATAAACAAAGCCACTGAAAGCAGGGAGGTCTTACTCGCTCCTCAATGCTATACGCCAGATAACGACTCCCTTCAGGAATTACAATCACCACGAACTCCAAGCCCAGGGAAAAGGGTTCCAAGAACTGCTGGTAGAGCATTTAAGAAACGAGGACGTTCGCCAACACCTTCTGGAGACTCCGACGACAGCCTTTGCGGAATCGATACCCCCGATCTTGTTATTCCAGCACAGCTTACGTCGCCAAGTAAAAGTGGACGAAGGCTTGAACAGCGGCATCGAATGAATCTCTCTCCCACGAAAGGTTCTGCTAGTGCAGTAAAAACATATCTTGCCCCAAAATCATCACTCACAAGCGATCCTTTCTTCTCCTCCGTGAAGAGCGCAAAAATTACTCCATCTACTACAATATACGGACCACAGCCGCGTTACATGAGAAAGGCTACTTTCGGGCAAGAAGAAACAAAGGAGAAGCCAGAAATTCATGGAGATTTACCCTTGAAAAATATCTCAGGCAATCACTTGGGGCCACTGGTCAAAGAACCTCGACATCCACCTCAATCTTCGGAGCTCAATACGTTCCAATGGTCACCTAAGGAGGCTAGGCAGTCTCGACGTGTGTCAGCAAGTCCCAAAAAGGTTATATCAAAAAGGAAAGGTCATAAGCGATCAAATGTTGTCAGAATTTCTGGCTTGTCCAGACCCACAAGCGTTAGTGTTGTTCATGAAGAGTCAGAAGGTGACTCACCTGGCATGACAACAACAATATCTCGTCCAACACTTCGTGTAGTAGAGCCAAGTCCTTCGTGTACTTCACTCGCTAGTCGACAATCTAGTGCACTGGTGCCACGGCCACCATCCGTGTCTACTTTCAACCCAAGCATTTCCGTACCGTCTTTAAAACCAGAGTCACGACAGGTATCTTTGAGTAGTCATGAATCCAAAACACAACCTCCTCTGAAGATCGATCCTACCTTCAATATTCCATCACTTAAGCCCGTGGAGAGACATGCAGCTCCAGAATCAGAAGAGTACTCTCCCACGCCACCGTCGTCAAAAGTTAATCCACTTCTAAATGTTCCATCCTTGAAGCCAGTAGAACGGTATATATCCGAGTCGCCAGACCTAGAGGAATACTCTCCTACCTTGTCAGTTTGTAATTATTACGCCGAAAACCTTAATTCCGAAGTCGAATTCTTTAAACACGCTCGATCGTCACTTGCTATGAAGTCCCAGGTCCGCCGTCATTGTCAAAACATTGACGAGGAAATCATAAGCCCCGATACTCCCACTGATACCTTGGTTTCTTTCCCGGCAATTCCTTCGCAACAACCTGCAAATGGAAAAGGAGACCGAACTAACCCCCCGGGTGTTCTAGAATCTTTGAGATTAGGACGTCCACCATCACTAGCTAGCAACACATCCAGTTTTCCACGGCTATCAAATACCAACATCACAATGATTAGACCACCAAGCCCTAAACGAGTATCTTTCAGTGAAATCCCCATTAACAGATCATCTAGCCCCACTCGCCTCCCTCAATCGTTCACGAACACTGCCAATAATGCACTAGTCCTAGGTCCCAGACCCCTATCTCGCCCCAAGGCTCCATTACCTTTAACCATTTCATCCGTCTCCTTGCCAGCTCCTCCACTTCTCAGCAATCCTCTCCCGATCCCTGCTCATCTTACTGGACCTCGCCCGGAGGCCCACAAATCAGCCTCCTATAGCTCCGCGATGACTTCTTTCACATACAATACACCGAACTCCACGCGTGACTCAATCGCCACAAGCATTGGTCTCTTGCGTCGAATGAATTCCGAGATTTCTTGTATTAGTGCTGGAGACACCGATTCTTCTCCCATGGTGCCTGGAATTGGTCTGGATTGGGGTGATCGTCGCCGCATGAGCCGTGCATCTCGTTTCTACCTCTCGATCGGCTCACCTATTGATGGTGCACCTGTCCCAAACCATCGATCTTCTCTCAGTATGCTCTATCCAAATTCCTATTCTGCATATTCTAGCTCTTATTTTCCGCAAGGCAATGATTCAAGTACCAGTATCAATAGCATTGGTGAAAGGCGGCAATCTAGGAGTGATTTAATGAATCCCAATTACGGGAATTTGCAAGACATCCTCGAGGATATAAACGCCAGTCGCGGGGGAAGTAGTCCGGTGGCAATGGGGAGGTATGCATTAAATGTTAAGGAGAAGAAATTATCATTGACAAGTCTTACTGTTCTTCCTGACGGAGGAGTCGGGTATATGATGGATTATCAGGAGGAGGATGAGCAGGTTATCGAACCCTTATCGTTGTCAAAAGCAAGCGCAAATGCAGAAAAAGAAGCAAAACCCAGAAAAGAAAAAGAAACACGATGGTCTGATGCAATGATCAAACCACTCACGAAAAATACCCGTCGAGAGAGTAAAATGGAACATCCAAGCCCACAAACACCACCGAAGTGGGGCTGGAGTCAAGCTGTAAGTGTGGCAAAAGAGAGATGGAGTGGAAGTCCAACAAGAGATAAAGAGAATTCGTTAGATAGCGAGTGGGATAAAGGGAGAGATAGCCCAGAGAGCTTAGGATTGTACGATCAGGATGGATTCCTTAGAAGTTCGCCAGAACGGACAAAAGTAGATGCTAATGAGGAGAAGAGGGCAAGAGCGGGGAGAGCGACAGTTAGTGGGCTAAAGACGGATTTAATGGAGGAGAAAATGAGGGAAAGACTATCTGCGAATATCACCACATGAGGAAGTTTGAATGCGATGGTCCGGGAAAACGAGGTGAAGGAGCGTGGATCATATTCGTACACCGAGGTGGAAAACATATTTGTCTGCTTTTGTAATGAGTTTTGAAACGTACGAGATTATAGTTGATCTTTGTACATCTGGCGTTGCTCGCGACGGAATTCCTTTTATGATCTCTATTTGATATTACAGTGCTAGTCATATTCTTTCGTATCCTTAGTTTATAATCTTACATCTAATCATTAATTTTATCAATCTCCACTTAAATGTAAACTGCACAAACAGTCTACAAGTCTACAGGCACGAATACTGCTAAAAGCAGTATGCTAAACCTCGCATTGTCCCTAACTCCTTTTTCCACCTCCATTTTACTAGTTCTTTTATTTCCGTCTCCTCTCGCTTTCTCTCGTTCCCTGTGTCTCCGTGAATTTGAGTTACAAAAGTAGCATCTCGTTTATCTAGCACAGCTTCTCACTCTTGAACTGTTTCTACGAATTGAAGTTCAAAATTATGATTTAAAACTCCAACTGTCCTCGTAAAACCTGACACTCGTGCGACAGGCTTAACTGAAGCTTTAAAGATAAGTTCACCGATTATCCATACTGATGGCAGTGTGCTGGGGTGTAGTTGTTTTATTGTTTGAATGAGTAAACGCTTATTTTTGTGAAGAGATTGTAATTTATATGGGATCTCAGCTTGTGATCTAGCTATTAGTGGGATGGTAGGCATATCGAGAAGATATGCAAATAAACCATGTATATAATCCACATGATTCAAAATCCAGTGCACGTATATTGGAGATCACCTCGAAGACTGCCCGAACAAATTCCCAGAGAATACAAAAGCTTACTGCAGTGCTATGGCTAACACGAAACAAAACAAATTTTAACTTTAATTCAGAAAACTGTCCAATATATCGACTCTCGAACTTAAATACTATATCCCCAAATATTTAAGTACTAACCACATCCCAACCCTCCATAAACTCTAACCTAAAATCCAATCCACAACGTTAACCCCATATCGATCACCGGGGACCCCATACATCACTAATTCCATGCATGCATGCATGCATCAACTCAACCCGAGTTCTCCTTTTCCTTTTCAAAAACCTCAGTCACGCCTTCATTTCCATGGACTAATATTTCTGATTTGCGCAATGAATATTTGACTGGTTTCGCGGCGTTGAAGATTTCGGTTAGTTCTTCGAGCTTTGGTTTTAGGGTTAGTTTTTATTTCGTGTGGATGTGTGGATGGAGTGGATGGGATGAATGGGATATAGGGGATGATGGGTTAGGTGAAACGGATGGGGTGCATAGCTTTATAGGGAAGGAAAAGGAGAGGCGTTACCGTTCTTCCTTTTGTTTCTACGAAGAAGAACTGTGAGGTGTTAGCTGTTTTCATCTGATTTATAAATCTGGAAGGGAAGGGTGAAAGGAGAAGTAAGAAACAAACTCACATAAATAAAAGCCACTTCCAACAAATCCCAAAAGATAAACCTACACCACGAATAGATCAGCATCACTCCCATATCCCATATCCCAACTCCCAAACCAAAAACAAAAACAAAAACAACCCACAAATAATAATACTTCCACCCGGCCCTTGAAAACGCAATTCCAGTTACAAAAGTATTATAAAAACCCGCCACATTTCCCACCAGAGTATAAAGTGCCATCCCCTTAGCTCTACTTTCATATCTCAATACCTCCACAGCATAAAGTCCCTGCAGGGGTGTCCAACCCACTGCAAACACGAAACTGAATAGGAATATCATAGCGATTTCGGCGCCGGATGCAGCGGCTGATTTGGCGACTATGGTGTGGGTGCTAGGGGATGTTGTGGTGTTGAGAGCGTTGAGGATTAGGATTATGAGGAAGAGGAGAGAGATGAGGGATGTAGAGATGAGGAGTTGAGGGCGTCGGCCCCAGTGGTCGGTGTAGGCTGCTCCTATGAGCGCTCCGGCGAAGGAGAGCACGGATTGCATTCCTTGCTGTTTTTTCTTAGGTGAGGTTCTTGGTTAGATGACTGTATTGGATGCTTACCAGGAGTAACTGTGTATGGTTATTCTCGATTCCTGCACCCGCTAGCATTTGCGGGTAGTAGTAACTAACAGGACCTGATCAAGCATCAGTAATCAAGCCCCTTCTTTATCATCCACTTTCCAAATATTCAGAGCGGGATAGTAGATAGCGAGCCTACCATTACCAGTCCATTGTCCAAACAAAGCAATAGCACAAGTCAACATAGTTCGATATCTAACTTCCCTTGAGTCAAACAACTCTCTGAAATCCCACCATCGTTTATCAGCACCTGTTTTCGATATCTCTTCCATCATTTCGCGAAGTTCTAGTTGCACTAAGGGGGAATTACGATTGCCTATGGGACATTCAAAAGTTAATGTCGTTTTCAAGGTTTTGTGAAATGATTAGTTAGTTACCTTCACCGTGGTATTTGGCCATAATATCAAGAGCTTCCTCGTGTCGATCATTTGCAATCAGCCATCTCGGACTCTATATCTCATCAACATCCGCATGCATTGTCTCCGGGCTTCAAGCTCAAAGCAAACAAATTACATACCTCCGGTAAGAACAAAACCGAAATGAACACAATACCAGAAAACGACATCTGTAGCCACAAAGGAATTCTCCAAGCTTGCGATCCAGATATGTAGCTCGTGCCATATGGTACTATACATCTTTAACACCTATCTCGTTCTAAGAAAGAAACAGGAATGACTAACTGAACGTTCCAGGTATTGCACCCACGAAATAGAACGTAGTGTAAACACCTGTCATAGCACCACGAAATGACGGATGTGCCATTTCGCTTACGCTGAAAATGATCAACATTTTCTTTCTTTCCCCCTTTTGGAGATTACTTACTAAGGTAATGCCGAGCTAGGACCCATGGCAGCACCAACGCCTGTTTGATCAGCACGTCGCATCTACACTGCTTGACTCAACGATGCATAGGGAGTACATACCAAGCAAAAACCTTCCAATCATAAAAGCGGCCAAACTCTGGCTCGTAGCCTGGACAATCGATCCCACAATAATAACACCAGCACCTAAGAACATACCCCATCGTCTCCCTTTCCACTGTATCTTTGTCAATAATTGAAGCCTCAAAAAGCCTATCGCATTCTCCAGAGAAGAACGACAAGAGCGATGAACTGACGAAAACGTACATCAGCAGCCGGACCTGCAAAGCCCGCTCCCACCAAATCTACAAACACGAAGTCAGTCAAGGCCTCCAAATCTCCAAATCAAATTTCCGGAAAGAACCAAAGAAGAAACACTATCGTAGGATAAACCTTACTCCCAATAGTAAAAATTGCATAAACAATCCCCGTAGCCGGCGTTCCCTCTGTGAGCGAAAATCCAAAATAACTCCTATACTGCGCGTACGAATTGATCGAGCCCATTACACTACCATCATAGCCATTAACAGCAGCATTAAGTGTTGCAAGAAGGAGAATTAGATAGAGTTGACCCATGCGCCATGTCCATAGACTAGGTTTTTGTTTCGCTGTCGCGTCTGCCAGGGCGACATTTTGTACGGTTTTGATCTGGGTAGAGGGTTCATCCCGTTGGTGGATGTGCTGCTGAGGTGGAAAGGTGTCCGATTTCTGTTTTTCCTGGGAAGGATTTATTTCTGCTGGTTTCGGATCTGCCATTTCTATCGTGTATTTTTGCGTTGTATATTTGTAGATGAAGTGAGGAGTACGAAATACAATACCAAGAGATTGAGAGGGTTAATTGAAGCTGCCTAGTAAAACCACTGAAGCTTTTCGAAGGATGCGTAATTTTAAATACTATGACATATATCCCATATGCTCATTTGTCATCATAATTCACCACCATCAATGAACGAAGATCATGAAGGATACGTTCGAAGTCTTTCAAGAGTCTACCACAAATTTTCAAAACAGCGCCTTCAGGAAGGTAACATGTACTCCTTCCATCTCCGGTCTAAATATCGGTAATCGCTGACCCAGGAACAGCGAATGACTTTTTCAAGAAAATGTAATTATGCATGTTGGCCGGTAAATAGTATGTAGTGCAACTCAAATTTTGTGTTGATTGGCTGAAAATGCTTTGATCGAGGGGTGCATTCATCGATGATCATTTACCCCACTTTCGATAAGATGTCTGCTGTCCTATAGATTTGGGTTGATAAATGAATGTCACAAAAATGGATGTAACGTTTTGCCCCAAGCTGTTCAAACGGTCACTGTCGGTGTTTCTTTACGACCTGGAGGAAAAATGTGCCGAGATTCACGTGATCACATGGGTAAGAGCGGAGTCAAAGTCATTCACATTGTTAATTTAATTTGTGAAAATGTGTACTATTGGATACCTGAAATAATGATACAAATTTATGCAGGATCACCTAGTCCCGGCTACGATTGGGTGACCAACGTTTGAGGACAACTTCTCTGACCTTATACTTTTGAAGTAATTCATCAACACTGTTTTCTTTTATGCTTCCATCAACAGGAGCAGGTATATCCACGTAAACCAAAATCAAGGTCTTCTTCACCTGTGTAATGACTCGATTGATGCAATGCATCCATGACCAGCTTCTTTCTTGCTTGCCTTTCACGTAATTTTGTAAAAATGGACCACTAGACCAGTAAGGGTCACTGTATGATGGAAGAATCAAAACAGCAAACTCAGCATGACTGAAAACTGGCCCGCGATTATAGAGTAGATAGTCAACAGAGAACTTTATGCCACCACGCACAACCCAGCCTAGGGAACGGAAATGATGATAAACAACGTAATTTATTAGGAATGGGTCATCCGTCGACAAACTAGGATTTGAAACAGGCGGGAAATAGGATGACTTCCTGAAAAGAGAAAACAAATCCTGATTTGAAATGCCGGATTTGGTGACAGGGTCAAGAACTGTGAGAGCTCCCAATCCATAAGAAAGAAAGAAGGCTTCTTCCATTGTCAATTGGAAATGTTCCTGATCTTCAATGACCATCTCTTCATCCAGAACAAGTTTAGATATTTCGTCAGGTTTCTCTTCTGTACTTGCAACAGTGCGCCCAGGACTTGGTGGTTGTGACGGTAAGAAGGTGGTTTGCTCTACGATCGGGGAGAATCGAACACTCTTCTGACGATCTGACACAGATGTTGATGAGCCAGTCTCAAGCACTTCAACATCAGATCCACTATTATGGGCCGAAATCGATGATACTGGCGTCATTGGAACACAAGTATTGTTATCGACAACGCTGCCATTGAGTAGTTCATCCTTCTCCTGTGTTCCTGCTTCGTGGCTTTCCGGTGTAGAGACAGAACTGATATCAATCTCAACTAAGGTGGGCGGAGTGGTAAATTCTTCTGGAACAACATCGTTCTTCTCAGAATCATCATTGATTTTATCATTTGTTGCGAAAGCATCAGCAGCGGAGTTTGGTAGAGCGAGCAATTCCAGTGGACCCACCGGAGCTGAGATATTGGACGTAGTGACGGATACTGCCACCGTCGAAACAAATAGCGATTGGCCTGAGGAGTTTGTACAGTTTTTTTCCCTTACAGAATTAAGTTCGAATGCAGAATTTGGTAGAGCAAGAATCCCCAAAGGTCCGGTAGGTGCGTTGAATGATGCGACACTGGACGAAGCAACTTCAATGGCATTCACTACATGCTGAGACGATAAGTCCTCAATTGTTTCCACCCTGATAACCTCGATGGACGAGTTTGGTAGAGCAAGGAGTTGCATTGGACCAGTAGGCGCATCAGATGATGCGGTACTAGTAAAAGCAACATTTGCATCAGCTAAGCAATTGGACATGGGTTCTTTGATGGTTTCCATCTTCTGGTCTTGTTCAGCAAGAGCAGGAAGATTGTCAAGTGGAACTATAAATTTCTCATCGGATGCGATGACAGTCTTGGTATTTGGCAGTTCATTTGCCTGTGCTTCTGCCAAGAGAGTCTGATCAATAGCCTCCCTTTCTTTTCTCGCCCGCTCCCACTTGGTTTGTTGACGATCGGCGCGACGCTTTCTTGTAACATCCTCACTGGCAATCGCTTTTGAGACACCTCTTCGCTTTTTCTCTCGCGTCACCCAACTGGGTTCACTGCGACTCAGACTTCCTTTCCCATAGAAACCTTGCTCCCAGAGACCTCTGATAGACCGAGAGTCAGTGATGTGAATGGACCGCGTCTCAGGCGAGAACCATCCACTGTAAAGGGTATCAAAATGTGACGAAGGGCGATTAATTGTCTCTGACAACCAAACATAAAGAATATGAAAAAGTGAAAGTGGATTATGAGGTATGAGAGTAGGAAGAGGAAATGTGCGTATGGGCGCAGGAAGTCCGTAAAGTTTGTTTAATTGTTGGAACTTAGACGGCGGTCTTGGTCCAGCATTTTTGGGTCTTGCAGGCGTTGAGGCCTCAATAGCAGGACCAGTTGGAACCACAGTTTCTGTATCTGCCATGATTGAAATGGAAGCTATCGTGAGGTCATTGCGATTCCCTATTTGATCAATTGATTAGTGACTGTTGTAATCTACGTGTGTCAATTGAAACAAGAATATGGAATTATTTGCAATGCTCAGATACCGTTGTAGTCTTCTCCGAAGAGAATTGAGCGTACAGGGAGGACGAACAAAGTCAGAGCCGTCACTCTAAGCATCGAATTGAGTCATCACCGCATTGCATTACAGCCAAATTAAATTGTGCTGTTAGGATAGTATATACCATCAGGCTGGTATAAGAAAATAGGGACATGACTTACAAAACACCCAAACTCTTCTCCGACTGGTGGGAGAAGAAATTGTGGTCGATGAAATTGGTTTCAATTGAAGTTTTTGATGTTGTTGAAAAGAAGAATATTTTTTCAAGAAAAAGTTTCTAGTTTTGTAAGTCGCGAAAAAAAAAAAAAAGATTTTCTCGGTAACTTCTGTCTGGCCCAAGCTTCAAGCTCTTATCCATTATCTGATACATAACATTACATAATCTTCACGATGTTTAATTGTTAGCATCATTCTTGTTAGCACGAGCCCTGACTGAGCGACTGAGCGTAGAACATTCATTTTGTTTGAGCTTTCTATTGTTATCTTTCTTTCATTCCTTCTTCAAACTCAATCTCATCCCCTATGTCTTGCTATACACAGATATAAAGCATACCTGACTGGAGTGGAACTATGAGTATTTGATCTTCCTAAGTATCATTCATGGAATTAGGAGGAGAAAATTACTTGATTATCTTAGATTCTTAGTGTTAACTCCAGTCCTGCCCCAACACACTGAGATGGAGACGGAAACCTTAATATACTGCATAGCCTTGGCGTGTTGGACGTGGTATTTCTTTATCCTACTCGTACAAGGAATAGGTTCTACTCAATTGTAAGATTCCTTCTAATACTACTGGCATCATAGACACATGGAATTCTAACATACTGGTGCCTTCAAGATTTCGTCACTACTCTTCGAATCCAAAGCCGGCCATCTCTCCGAATTTAGACACCAATGATATTCCCCATATTACCATTTTACGACCAGTTAAAGGACTCGAGCCACAGTTATATGAATGCCTCGCGGCCACATTTAGACAGACATACCCAGCGGAAAAGTTAACGATATACTTCTGTATTGACTCATCCACCGATCCTGCATACCCAGTTCTTCAGCGTCTCCTGGCAGACTTTTCTGAATTCGATGTAAAGATTTTCATAGAAGAGCAGGATCCAAACCTGAGTGGTCATGGAGGGCAGGTTGGGAATCTTGGTCCCAATCCCAAGATTCGAAATATGAGCCGTGGATACAGAGAGGCAAAGGGAGATATTTTATGGATTATCGATTGCAATGTGTGGGTGTCAACCGGTACTGCTGGAAGAATGGTTGATAAATTATGTGGCTTTAAGGCAGACGGCACCAAAGCAACACCTTACAAATTCGTTCACTTACTACCATTAGTTGTAGATACCCTTGGAACCAGCACAATTGAAGAGAATGAAGGACTTTTCACCGCCGGACAGCAAGTTTCATCCACAAATACAATGACCTCTAACATTTCAATTGCACCCAAACACGAGTCCAACTTTGATGCGAGCGCAAGGATTGGCGGTGGCCGTTTCGAAGAATCTTTCATGGCATCATCCCATGCGAAGTTCTACACTGCAATCAATACAGTTGCAATTGCGCCTTGCATTGTTGGCAAGTCAAATATGTTTAGACGATCTCACTTAAATTTTCTCACCTCCACATCTCCTGATTATGCTCCGGGAATCGACTTTTTCTCGGAAAACATTTGCGAAGATCACTTAATTGGAGACTTATTATGGCGAAAGCAAGTGCCGAAAGAAAAGGCAGGGGAAAAGTGGAATAAACACGGTTTAGTTCTTGGCGATTTGGCTATCCAACCGATGGCTGGTATGTCAGTTCGAGAATACATTGCACGCCGAGTACGTTGGCTCAGGGTTCGAAAATGGACTGTTACACTGGCCACATTTGTTGAACCTGGAGTCGAACCCCTTTTGTGCTCAGCTTATGGTTCTTTCGCAATCACAACATTACCTTGGTTCCATGAAAATTTGGGTGTGCCTCAAACGTGGCTTGCTTTTTCCATAGTTTGGTTATCAAATGTTGTTGCTTGGATGACACTTGATTGGTTTGTCTATGCCAACCTTCATTCTGGTGCTTCTATTGAGCTGGATGTAAATACGCCTTCCTTCGCACAACCTCCTCGGAGTGGGTACAGAAGGCCTTTTAAGGAGTGGGCATCTGCATGGCTCGGCAGAGAAATTCTTGCGTTACCCATATGGACATGGGCTTGTCTTGGTGGAACAACGGTGATGTGGAGAGGCAAGAAATTCCGCGTTAACCTCGACATGAAAGTGGTCGAGATTAAGGATGGGAAAAAATCATCCACTCCTGAAATCGAAAATGGCCGCTCGTACAGTAAAGATAGACAGGATTAAACGACCTTGTACAAGAATCAGCTAATACCCGATAATGACATAATATACAGTTCACGATGTTGTACTACATCTGCTTTTTGGCTTTGCGTAGAACAACGACAGTAACATTTCTTTACATATGCCGGCACAAGTGTCAATCCGGGGTCCCCTCAGTCTGCAAAAGAGATGGGTCAATGGCATCGGAATATTCCCACCTTATTTTCCAGCATTTCAATCCTATCAAATGCTCGTAAAAGTGACCCTCCAAATCACCGCCGATTGCTTACCGTTTGCATAGCGAAGGGCTTCGCGAACGACTATTAGCCTTATCTTCTATTGCTATCCTTTTCATGTTTCTTTATCTACATTTTATATTTCGTGTTGGCTTGGGCATCACCGCATAGCCCCTCTGAAGCCCTGCATACCTTCTTTCTGCAGTCATACGTGTTATCCAATGTCCTTTTTCTTTTCTTTCAATGAACGATACTTCTCTGTACTATTCTCCCCCTTCCTTCTAGCATCTCCTTAACAATGGCGTGTTTGAATTCGCACTCCAGGGACATTTCCTATCCCCTGACGCCGCATCACAAAATACCAGGATCTGCTAGGCGGCACTACATATCTGAATTTGTAGTCATGTTTGGATTTTGGCTCTGGGACACAATATGTAATCTTAGGTTGTCTGCATCCAACTTGCACCTTTTATTTCAAAAGTCGCTCGCTCGAATGATCGCAAAATCAAAGTCGATCACAGATTTCTGAGGGAAGAATCCTAAGGCTGTGCCGCGACTTTGCTGATCGGTGTTACGTTTTTGTTCAAGTGAAAACTGCTGTACTCACGTACCCTGCATATGTACTCGAGTGCCACGACTAATGGTCTGATTAACTGCTGCAGAGTACATGGAGTAGGAAAAATGGGCAGCATAAAGTCGGCTAGTATGAAAGAAAATGGTGAGAAGCGGGGTTGGAAGAGATCGAAATCGAAATCTTCATCGTGGGGTATTCATAAAGGTAATAAAGGCCCGAGAAAGTACATTGTCGAAGTATCAGATAGTAAGGAAGAGGTTGTTAGAGAAGAGCTATTTGAAGGGCTATCTGGACCGTGGTCAGATTGGTTCTGGAGTGAAGATTATCAAGTTTTTTATAGAGGGAGGCTGGATGCTAATGGTGGGTCTTTTTTTCCCCCTATTTCCCTCATTTCATTACTCCCAAGCGTGATACAAGATCTCTTTCCTTTTTCTCTCTGTGATTTGACCCTGATTTGATCTGATCTGATAACCAACAATACTTCAACTAAATTTAACTAATAATATGTATGGCAGATATGTGGGACTACGAATACGACTATCAAGTTCCAAAGCGCGAAACACCGCGCTTTGTACCGCCGATCAATATCGAATCTGTGGAAAGCGAGAAAGTTGCGCTGGAGGTGTCGATGGAGCTCCCTGATATAGGAGCAGAGGAATATACGTGGATGATGGGGTTTTCTGAGGATATGAAGATAGGCGTAATGGATGAGGAAGAAGTACAAGATGTGGAAACAATGAAGGGAAAAGATGGGAATGAAAGCTTCGAGGTGTGTACATGATATTTTTTGTTTTTATTTTATGTGGAGTCAGGATGGTCCTCATGAGATATAGGATCAAAATAGTAGCGAGAATAATACGCAGATAAATATAGAGGATGCAGGAAAAAAAGGTATGCGCACGTCAGAGTTTCTATATTAGAGATGAGGAAACTTACGAGAGACTAGCGAACAAGAAATCAATGGTTACAAAAGATTATGAGAGGAAGCAGTATGGGTATGGCGGGAGGAAACGTTAAGGGAATATTGAATTGTATTAATTATGTGATATGGCGTTTGATCACGGCCTAGGGGTGCGGTATAGGACATGCATGTGACATGCATGTATGGTAGATTTTATGGTTAGTTCTTGCAATCGATGTTTTGTTAACTAAGTAACTAATTCGAGAAATCTCTTGAATTACTGCTCTAAACTTCTTCATCTTGGTATGCTGTTATTACTTCTAAGGTCGTATAGTGGGAAGGGGAAAAAGGGGCATCGCTTCGAAATTTCCAGGAGCATAAAATCCGAAGGAATAGAACTCGATTATGTCTTGAAAGCCTGGATTGAGAAAGAAAGTAGAACTTGCAGTATTCTTCGCAGCTCGAGATATTGAGAGACATGGTAGATATCCTGCAGGCTGCTTTACAGATATATAATTATATCACAGATAACGGTCTTTGGGGATAGTAGATACTACACCTGAGTTTTAATATCGATATGTATCATTGAATGAATGAGCTTCGAATCCGTTCCCAATTCAAATTGAGAAACCGATAGTTTAGGTGATCTAGATGGTCTAGAAAAAACTTTTTTCTGGCGTAGTAGCACGTTATGTAGGGTTCTATAGGAAGCCGGGCTTTCTCCATGATATAGTAGCCATCCGGTATATCATAGAATACTGCCTTACCTCAATTTTAAATGAGGGAATGAATATGTAAGTTTTTAAAATTAAATTGCAACTTTGAGTACCTAGGTATCTACCGAATACTTTTATGTAACGAAGCACAAACGCCATAGTATGACACCTCACTCCTAGACTCCCTTCCATAGCCAGTAAGCATGATGATTCGAATTTGCTCTCTCCCACCACGTCTCACTCTCTACCATTTCTTTGCTTCAACTCCTTCAGGTGGATTCGTCTCAACGGTGCCCTTCTTAACATCAGACCAGTTGGTGCTCAATGCAGTACCATTACTTTCTTGGAAACTCTTCATCATAGCCCTCTTAGTATCTGGATCAGCATCTTTATAGAGTTTCTTGAAGAAGGCATCCATTGGATCACCACTTTCATCGTCATCGTCTCCAGTTGTTTCCTTGCCTCCTTCTTTCTTCTCGGATTCGAGAGCTGATGATGCGAGGGCATCCCAGTCTTTGGGTCCATTACGAGATGAGGTTGGGTAAGAAGGGGCCTTTCCGACTGAGGGATTTAGAACGGCAGCTGGAATCTCTGATTTCTTTTCTTCGGTGGATGTGCCGATTATAGGCTCGGTTCCTTCCAAGCTAGACCACTTGAGCCCTTGCTTTGACTTCTGTAAATCAATTTCAACTTTGTTTGGAGTGATAGTGAACTTGCTTTGGGCAGGATCGATTTGAGCGTAGAGTGGTGAGGCTGTAAAATCGTATGTAGTGCCAGTTTCTCCAATTGGGAATGAAACCTCAACCTGTGACGTATTAGCTTATGTGAGTTTTCAATTTCCATGATTGACATACCTGTCCTTCTTCGATCGTAATTTGTGCAGTATCTTTCGCAACGCCCTTTGCGAAAATAGTAATAGTAACCTTCGAGCTTGATTGAAACCATCTGTAAAATCTGTTAGCTTTGTGACATCTTGCTAAACAATTGGTTAACATACTCGTGTCTAATCTTTTCCTTCGGAGTAGTTGCTGCAGCCGGTACTGGAGCAGCTGAAGCAACAGCTGACTTTTCAAGCTCTTTGCCCTTCTCCACCTTGGCAACCTGTTTCTCAGGAATCTCCTTCACAGTACACTTATTACACTCAGCCTCTTCACCACCGGCATTGTCATAATCGGCCTTAACTTTTGCCTGCCAAAGAGTTAATCCCTTCTCCTTCTCATTCTTCTGTCTACACCAATTCAAACACAATCTCGCGTCTCCAAATCTGCCTAGACCGTGAAGAGCAACCGCGCGACGGAATTGTGCTGTAGCGATGAGTTCGCGACGAGAACGAGCAACAGCTGCATTGACGGCAGCATCAGCATCCGCAAGAGCTGCTTCGTGATTTTTGGCACGTTGGTATGCTGTGGAGCGGAGGATGAAGTAGTTTGGGGAGGCTGGGTTTTCAGCGATAGCTTTGGTTAAGTGTGTAATGGCCGCGGGGTATTCTTTCTTATCGATGGCGGCAGATCCGAGGGCTGCATGGGATGCCATGTTAGATGTTGGGTATATCTTTTGAATTTAAATGTCTCGGGAATGTTAGATTGTGATGTTTCAGAAAATGCACGAAGCCGTGGAATGACTTCTTTTTATAATTGTTCTACGGTATTTGGACTGGAAAGTTCGATGGCCCAGCCTCGTCGGTAGCCTGTACTGTACGGTGTAGTGTGGTACCGAGAGTGCTGTACCAATCAAAAACGTTCTTTTATTGCTAGGGTTGGCGGGGTAGGATAAGCCTCGTTTAGCGCTGGAATCGACACTGGACCCACCATAGCTGTAGAACCAAAATGTTTCATTCCCGTTGGCCCCTTGAGTTCCAGGGTCATTTTCTTTACTATGACTGCCGTGAAGTAAAGCTCAATGAGAGTTGTGTAGGTGCAAAGTAAATTTGTCATTATTAAATTAAGCTATTATATTTATATATGTATTCATAATCATACGTCGTTGTCCAAATAGCTTCCTCCCTTGGATCATGAAAGAAGCTTAACATCACCATATTTCTTGGCAAACATCCCTAAAGCTTTCATCGGAAAGATGAACTTGTAATTAGGATATGAGATCATGCAACTTTTGTTGAAAACACCCTCAATAGCTTCTTGTAGCCATTCCCCATTGGCTTGCTGTCTACTCATAATAAGCTTCAGACCTTTCTCGATTGGTGTACGGTCTGGGTAGTTGGCCTCAATTAAAGCAATACATGCCCAAGCTGTCTGTACAACCTGGGAGCCGGATGGGTGCTCGATATATTTTGCTTGTTCGCAGGACTAAAGAGTTGTTAGCATTACATGCATTCATGCCAAGGGATGCACATACTTTATAGCTTTCAGACCATCCACCATCACTTCTTTGTTTTGAAATGAAGAAGTCACATCCTTTCCTCACATGCTCACTGTTTTCGTAGGTCTCTCCAATACTTGCAAGACTCTCGAGAGCGAACATTCCTGCGTATGTGAAACAAATGCCCCAACTACCATACCAGCTACCATCGGCATATTGAGCCCTTCTGATATATTCAATAGCTCGACTCTTGAAAGCTTTGATTTCTGATGCGCGATAATCCGGGTAGTATTTCGTGAACAGAGACAAGGCAGTGACCACAGCAGTTGTGCATTCGGGATAATCGTATTCGATCATAATCCTACCAAATACCTCAGCCGCATTCAGCATCTCCAATTTCTCTGAGCCCCGGGTTGGTTCGTATGATGCGCAGCCACCAGATTTGTTCTGGTAAGTGAGTAGGGTGTCAATGGCATCGAAGATACGTTGGTCCTCCAGCAAAGTCGGATATCCAGGGGTTCTTTGTAAAAGTATAACAGCTTTTAACGCTTCAGAGATACAATCGCTAACAGCATATCCTTGATCTTTATTACTGAAACCCCAAGCCCCTTTTCGCTGCTGGCGGTAGCAAACCTCTTGATCGTCAACATTCTCTCGAATTTGCTGATCTTCAAGAAATTCGAGTGCTTTAGTGAGCATTGGTCTCCATCTTGCATCCTCAGCCAAACCGGCATCCATCACGGCCTGTATCAAGAATGCCGTGTCCCAGCACTGAACTCCGTTCGTTCCATTCATCAACATACCCTCGTCCTTAACCCACATAAAGTCAGCCATCCTTTCTCGATGCCTTTGCACGGAGTATGCATTAGGTCCCTCTCGGATATAGCATGCAAGAAAGTTCATGGGTCCATTCACCGGTCCGAGATTGGAGAAATCAGTATTTTTGTCTTCCATTTGAATTAGCTTGAACACCCAATCTTCAGCTTGCTTGGCTAATGCATCAGTCCGGAGATACGGATTGTAGATATTAACTAGAAACCAATTTGCTGTGTTCAGAAGCCATGACTTTGGGTGATAATTATCTTTCGGATGAATACTGTTCCGGTTTCCAGCCCAATCTATAGCGGTATATGGTTCTACAAACAATTCCTGTCGCAATTGCTCAACAATGGGTGTTGGTTTGTAAGTGAACTTCTTAGACCAGATGAATGACATTGGCGTATAAACTTGGCGCATATGAATCCACCATCTCCACGGATGGAAAGGTACCCAATCAGGCAACAACCAGAACTCTGGTGGCACGGGATTGACAATATCCCATTGACATACACCAAGTACGCTCAGCCAGAACTTTGCCCAATGTGGTCCGTTCTTAGCACCACCAAGCTTGTGTAATGTTCCTCTAGCTTTGACCATTCGTTCATCCTCTTCGCTGACCCCAACTAACCGGAGAACTGTATAATTCATAGCAGTCCCAAAAACACTGCTATCTCCCTCAATATGTAATCCCCACCCTCCGTCACTGGGGTGTGCTCGTGCAAAAAGGTAATTCTTTATTTCGGTTGCAATATGATCGGGGATTGGGGTTTCGGTGACAGTCCAAGTGATAACCAAGCCAGGAAGCAAAAACATTGGTCCACCATACTCACATGCCCAGTTTCCAGGAGGAAGTTGAAGGTGTTGGAAGAATTCAAGGCAATTTTTGACGGAATCTAGAGGACTTTGCGCTTTAGGAAGATCGGGTAGATCCTATTCACATTATTAGCAACTATGTTAGAGCCTAGTACAATATTCGTACAGTCGGCAGCCCCAAAAAATACTTGTCTGCGGTTGTTTGAGGCCATTCGGCAGCATCTTCGTCATTCTCAAGGTAATGCCAGGTTTGCCTACCTCTTTCGTCGAGCAAACGCCATCGAGAATAATCGGTACGTTCTTGCAACTTTGGTCGTTTCATAGATTGTGTAGTAATTGAGGAATCCAATGACCTCTTTTCTCCTGTTTTCATCTGGTTCTCGTTGCCGCCCGGTGCATTAATCTTCATTCGTGCCATAATGAGAAATGTTGAATTGGAATTGATCTATTATGAGCTGTCAAAAGATCATTTGTATGATTCTAATTATGGATCTATTCTATGGATCTTTGACATTCCAGGGGTTGATGTATGGGCGGTCAGGGCTGGCAGTTCGGGGTCCAAATTAGCGTAAACCCACCTGTTCCTGGCTCCCGTCTCCCGCCGCCTCCCCGCATCTCCAAATGTACCGAATTATCAAGGCGTCTCACATCAATTATTCACAGACGAAGTACAAGTACATCATGTGGAATCATTTCTCAAACATCTTCAATTGACGAACATGCACTTCGATCAGATCTATTTTGAGTCAACGTCGAGGATGCCATGGACTTTGATCTTTCACAGGACATTGTGAAAGACGCGTCGTATTCATCATCTCAATTGCTACATAATTTACCTTCCAGCAGACTAATAAGTGAAACTCGTTTTGTAGATCACAGTGGCCACAGTAATCACAGCGGTCAGCAGCAATTTTCGATATCTCATCACACGGATTATATTAGCAATACTAGTTTGTCGACATCGCCAACATCGACGACTCCTGTGAAAAGCGAAAAGGTTGGTCCTAAAAACATTTCCGTGTCATCCTACCAAACAGGATCTGCCATATCAAAAATTGAAGAGATTTACGAAGCCATGACAGACTGTATTATCGGGCGAAGGAAACAGTTTTCTTTCGATCTGAAATCTCGAAACCTCAGCCCAAGAAATGCAGGTGAAGACAACAAAGAACTTCCCATTTCAAGGAGTAGAGTTGTGCAGTTTCCGAATGCCTCCCCTCGAGAGGCGTGGAAATTTAGTAGGTTGGAGGTTGTTCCTTGGTAGCCCATACTAATACCAATTTAGCTGCTTTGCTGCGAATAGTGACGCTTTCTCATGAGGCGCTTGTCACTGGCAACATCATTACGAAAAGGTATGCCATTGCCATTTCGTGGCGATATCTCTTTCAAACTGACTGTTCATAATCAGAGACATGTATTATCGAGATCCAGAACTCTTTACGAAACAAGCAATCGTCGATCGTTTTGTGGATGACATCGCCTACACCCTTGGATTAAAGCGCGATGCTATGAATGTGGTCAGTGGATTTCGTCCAAACCCGCTTTTTTCTTTATATCTCACTCATACTCCGCAGGTGGCAGCCGCCAAAGGGTTAGTCGCAGGCTCGTTTGCTATCAGAAGAAGGAACAAGTCTGTCATTGACTATTCAACAGCAGCAGATGTTGGCTCACCGTACTATCTCATTTTTTGTTTTTACTAACCTTCTTAGTCACAATTGATGCCGTGGATCAGAGAAATTGAAGAAATTGACCTCTTTCAGGTCAAATGGATCTTGGTGATTGAGAAAGAGGTTGTACACGTTAATTTGCAGGGTTGCAACATCTCTAACTCCATATAGGCTACCTTTCGCTCATTGGTAGAAAAAAGATACTGGGAATATTCGGTCTCAGGGAAAGGGATATTACTTACTGTTCGTCGAATCTTCTTGTGGTATTTCCTTGATCCTAATAATTCTAGGCTAAAGGTTATCCTGATATTCAAAGTCGACAGTTTCTCCACTATCTGGCAGAAAATCATCCACTGATACCAATATATGCTCTGGTAGACTTCGATCCCGATGGCATAGGTATTATGTCCACATACAAATACGGCTCTGTCACGCTCGCACATGAAAACGAAGACCTTTCGGTTCCTTCAATACGCTGGCTTGGACTTAAAAGCACGGATATGATGCATAGAGGGGAAGAAAGTGAAGGCCTACTCAAATTAACGAAAAGAGATAGGCGAATCGCGGTGGGGATGCTGCAGAGAGACGTATGCCAGGATGATGGAGTTGAAAAGGAATGGAGAAGACAACTTCAAATTATGTTGATGCTAAATACAAAGGCGGAAATTCAAGTTATTGGTAATGGCGACCTTTTAGAGACCTGGCTCAATAGAGAGCTAGAAAGGCAAAACAAAGGGGCCAAAGTATCATAAAAACATTATTTAAGAATTTCTCTCTGACAAACAGATCAACCCGTCTAAGCAATACCATAAACATGTCGCTAAATATATCAAGCAAGAAAGCAAGCTCCGTCTCATAAATTCACCATCCTTTGAGGAAGATCTCCAAACAAAATCAACCGGCCAGAAAAATCACAAAAACGGTAGTGATGCGCTATCTTTCTCTTGTCATCATGAACTGCGATGAACCGCAGCTGATCTTTGATGCGAGTCGGTCAGAACTCGCGTTAAAGGTAAAATTTCAGCCATTTGCCTTGGTCCCACTATGTGCCTTGTGATGGAAACGAGCTTCTTCGCATACCAATCATGATGAAGGTATGTGTCCTAACTACCAATGGGTGGTGGAAGCGAAGGCGGTGGATTGGCGGAGAGAATGTACAGTTCAATGTTTACGACAAGAGTATATGATAACTAAGATGTTTCTATATCTCTGCGGTTGTTCTGGGGATTAGGATGCTGATAGTTTCTACTTGTGTTGATGAAGGTGCTTGATATTTTGCATGCAGTCTGCGTGGTGAATTGGCCTAATGGCAACTGGAGGTATTATGTAGGGAATGCACATATCTGATCATTAAATTGAAGCAATATGGCGTTCTGTTTGATTCTATCCTTCTCCTGGTAGAAATCAAAGCTCAGATGGCTATTGTGTGTTAATATTTTTCTAGTATTGACTGATTATTCATTTGTCATTTTTGGATTGCTAAAAGAGGGGATGCGGTATTTCAAAGAAGATGCGCATTGCTCATTACTCAGTTCATTATTTGCTCTTAATGATACTTGATAGTGGCATGCGCTGGAGTGAGTGAGTTTAGTCTGGGGTTGGATACGACTTCCACCCAGTGGCGTCATTCAGTAACCTGTATATAGAGGTACTAGTTGCTAGGGCAGCGCTAGTATCCTCTCGCTTTGCATGAGGCGAAGCCAGCTCGTCATCGCGAAATCACAGCATTTTTGAATAAGGAGTAGCTCTGTCATGATCTTACTCTTTTTTTTGGTACAGCCATTTTTGCGGGAATAAGGACTTCAACAGACACAGCAAATATATATATCAAGTTAACTCATACCATAACTTTTTTCTTTGCTTTCATTCATTCTGTTCTTGAAAAAAAGCCATCTGCAAAAATACCTACACCATCTATATCCTCGATCGATAAGATCGTATTAGTTGATTTTTTTAAGGAGCGTAATGCTTCTAACTATGATTTCACACATACGTATGTAGCTTTAGAACGCTAATCACAAGAAAAATATACCTATATCCTGTTTTACTATAATGGGGAGAAGGAAGAGTTGTATGATGAGATTCATGATGTAAATGCTGTGATTAGGGTTAGCTTGAGTTGACATTGGGAGCTGAAGGATGGAAGGGTGATGTGACTAGTCTTTTAGTCGTTGAGCATACGGACTTTGCGTTGAGCTATCTTCGGTGGGAAGTATTTTACAGATGAGATATCCTGGGGGCAACAGCTGAGATCACACCGTCGAACGGGATGAGGTCCAAAAACTAAATATTGGGGAATAACTAAACAGAGTTGAGACTAATCTGCCAGTCTTTGAGCTGTGAAGGCAGCCATCGAGAAACTATGCCAGCTTTGAGTTTTCAAGACAGATTTTGACCCATTAGATCGGCCTATATGTCTCGCTGTGATTGGCAGATTCTGATTCCATCAAACTACTACTTATCTTCAGGAGCGCTACAAATCGTAGCTAGATGTTGAAAGAGAGAAAAATACTCAGGGGAAAAGATCCAATAACACATAGCCACTAAGAAAGATCTCAAGATTTCTAGTCAATCACAACAGTGCTGCACGAAGAGACTGAAAGTGAATTATATAGTGTTGTAGTCAGAAACTAGAGAGCTGGTGGTCCAAAGAGATGCGCTGACTTTCATCCCTATTGTAGGATTCATAGAAATTCTTAGCTAGGAATATAGCAATGGCGAGAAGACCAGTATGTATACCAAATACAGCGAACAATTTATATCTCCATGCTACGTAGTTTTGTCAACAGTACTCAAGGAGAGTCGGGCTTTTCGAAGATAGGCTATGGAGCCAATGTAAGATCACAGCTAATAGACTATACAGTTAACTGACAAGACCATAAATCGGTCAACTACAGAAAATACCACTAGGCACATTGCTGAACACACAAAGTTCATAATATTGAACATTGAACGGCATCATGTGATGGGATCACGTGCCCGTGAGTTTTGAGTCTCAAATAGGTAGCGCCGTATACCCTTGCTGAGATAGTGTACGGACTTGATGATCTAGAAGCGTAGCCCTACCGTGGATCGCCTTCTACGCTTGATCCAAATCTATCAAGGGGGTTGAAAACATCACTTATCGCTATCGCTATTCTTTCCATGCTCATGAAATAGTGGCTGATCAAACCAATCATAATCCGGACTGACCAATAAATGAATGGTACAACCCAACCCTAAGCCATGGCACATTTTGGGCTTGACCGCTGAGCCTATAGATAGAAAAGAATGTTCCAAATAAAGGGAAAGGGGTATGGTGCAGGGACACATGTGAAGGCCGAGTCATGATCAGGGTCCCCGCCACTAAAAATGAGGCTGTTGATGAAAGTTTGGCTGTGGAGAATTTCATATCATTTCATATCATTTCAAGGACTTGAAGCAGATATCTAATAGGGTGAAGGGGAGAATACTTGGTAATAGTTCTAATGTTGTAGTTGTATACATTATTATAAGCTCATATCCGTATGTACTAATCTATTACATAATCAAGCCATTTCGAAAAAGCCAGGTCTATGAAGTCATTTCCCCTGTCAGCCAATCGGGGATTATACAAAAAACTATTCTCCACTTTTTTGATAAAAAAACATCCAAATCTAGAAATTGATACTTAATATAATGCCCGGGCACGATTGGTTATACTGAAGCATCAATTGATCAACAATACCCACGACTCAATCAAAGCAATGGTCATACAAAATTCCCATGAGATGACCATGCATTATTCTAAACCTACTTGGATAGGACGGTAAGGTGACACAGAGAAACACATAGAGATATATGTCGTCCAACATCCCATCCCGCACACGAGATTGAGACAAAATTAAGAATCCGTCCGACCATTCGATAGTCTCTTGTCACCATGAAGTTCGCAAAAGAACTTGAGCAGAGTCTTGTGCCAGGTGAGAGATTCACCAGAATGTTGATTTTATGGCAATTGAAATCTTACTAATTATCGCATAGAATGGCGCGCAAAATATCTCGATTACAAACAAGGCAAGAAAAAGGTCAAGGCAGTTGCTCGTGCTGCCCATCGTGTCAATTCAACCCCTAAAACAGATGCAAGATCGAACCTGAATCCTCAAAACGGTAGCCTATACGGTGCTACATCTCCTGTCGTCCCAAGAAATCCTCAATCGTCTCGAACATTCAATGAATCAACCAACCTTCCGGAATCGTCTCCAGCAAGGCAGAATGGCGCGACACGGGAAACTGCGGAGAATGCGCCGCCATCAAATCGTACTTCGTCAATACCTATCGCAAAAAAGCTTGTACCGACAGATCATACAAATAATGGGACATACGGTAGCTTTGTGCCAACCCCTCCTACAGTGGACATGCATGCGTTTGAACTTCCAGATCCAGCAATACGACCGGACTCTCCACTCGAAACTTTAGAGCATTCCATATCCACAATTACCCCCCGAAGACGTTCTCTTGAGATAGAAATACCAGAAAGGACGCCTACGGCACTGCCCCAGAATGCATATGAAGTTGGAACAACATCAAGTCCTATTAAACCTACGTTCGCTTCACTGAGACGCCCTGGTTCGCGCCCTAGTTCGCAGGACGGAAGGCCAAATTTGAAACGAATTTTCTCAGTCGGTACTCCCTTGTCTAAACCCCACAGTCGCCCAGACGTGGACATGGTTGCCTTTGATCATATACGAATACGTCAGCAAGAATTCTTCTCATGGATGGAGAAGGAACTCGAAAAGGTTGAACTATTTTATAGATCCAAGGAGGATGAGGCAGGAATTCGATTACAGGTTCTAAGGGAGCAACTGCATGAAATGCGTAATCGCAGAATACAAGAAGTTGCGGACGCGGAACATGCAAAGGCAATGCGTAAGGATGATGAACGCTCCATAAGCCGGAGGATATCTCGTGTAAATCCTAGAGATGAAGATTCAAACGAACATTCCTCTAAAGATCATCGAAATGCTTGGTTACTGCCGCTTGGAAGATTGGTAGACAACGCAAAGGCGACAGCCCTGGGGCCACATCCAGGATCCAACTCGAGGGCTTTAGCAAGCATGAAAAACTCACCTGAGTTGCAATTTAAGCCTCACCCGGATGACTTAATTACCACGAATGGTAACCGTGACTATGTAAGACGGCCTCATGAGAACGATGTGTCCTATCGAACTGCGAAACGAAAATTGAAGCTAGCGCTCCAAGAATATTATCGAGGTATGGAACTCCTCAAGTCCTACGCGCTTTTGAACCGCACAGCATTCCGTAAGATCAACAAAAAATATGACAAGGCTGTCAATGCGCATCCACCACTTCGATTCATGACGGAAAATGTTAACAAGGCATGGTTTGTCAATAGTGATGTACTTGACGGACACATACATGCCGTTGAGGATCTCTATGCAAGGTATTTTGAAAAGGGCAATCACAAGGTCGCTGTCGGGAAACTGCGGAAAACTGCTGGAAAGACAACGGATCAGTCTGGTAGTGCATTCAGGAACGGGGTCTTTATTGGAATCGGTGCTGTCTTTTCAATTCAGGGAATCATTTCCGGCACTGAATATCTAAAGCATCCTGACTCTATGATTAGATTTCAAACCGGCTATCTGCTGCAAATATATGGTGGCTACTTTCTCGCTTTGTATTTATTTTCTTTGTTTTGTTTCGATTGCAGTATTTGGACTCGAAACAAAATCAACTACAAATTCGTCTTCGAATTGGATCCCCGACACGATTTGGATTGGCGCCAACTCAGCGAATTCCCAGCATTTTTCATTCTTCTATTTGGATTATTTTTATGGGTCAACTTCTCGGGATATGGGACACCAGAAATGTTCATATACTACCCTGTCATTTTGATCTTCGTTACAGTCCTTATAATATTTATGCCCGCTCCTGTGCTTTTTTATAAAAGTCGGAAATGGTTTGTATATTCTCATGTAGGTCTCTTACTATGATTCTCTTGCCTAAATGATGCTAACTGCTGATAGTGGCGTTTACTTCTGGCTGGATTATACCCCGTGGAGTTTCGAGATTTTTTCTTGGGTGACATGTATTGCTCTCTCACCTATTTAACAAGTGTAAGCTGCTATTATCCGATTACCACGAACGTTTTTTCTGATATCCCACAGAATATAGAGCTCTTCTTTTGTCTTTACGCAACGTCTTGGCATAGTCCTACGAAATGTAATTCTACCAACTCACGACTTCTCGGGTTCTTTTCTACCTTACCGGCCATATGGCGTTTACTTCAATGCCTTCGACGTTATCGTGATACCAAGAATATGTTTCCTCATTTAGGTGAATACTGCTCCACAATTGAAATTTGTAGTCGTTTGTTTATTAACCCGGCATCATAGTTAATGGTGGTAAATACGCTATGACTATCGTCTACTACGTCACGTTGAGCATCTACAGGATAGAGAGAAATAGAACAAATTTAATTGTGTTCAGCTTCTTTGCTGCACTGAATGCAGTATACGTCAGTGAGTATCACATCTTCAACGGACCATGATTTTTTACTAAATACTTTAGGCATATGGGATCTCTTAATGGATTGGTCTCTACTTCAACCCGGAGCGAATAAACCATTTCTTCGCGATGTCAGAGGCTTCAAAGCCACTTGGTGGTATTATGCGGCTATGATCATTGATCCTCTCCTCCGTTTTAATTGGATATTTTACTCAATATATACCCACGACCTGCAGCACAGCAGTTCTGTATCATTTTTCGTCGGGTTGTCTGAAATCAGTCGTAGAGGAATGTGGACGTTGTTCCGTGTCGAAAATGAACATTGCTCCAATGTCGTTCGCTTCAAGGCATTTCGCGATGTGGCATTGCCATACGATCTGGAATCCGGGGATTCCGAAGAATCTCAAACCACCACTCCTGTCGAGCCGGACGAAAGATCTTCGGTACTCGAAAGAGAACGCACCCATACCAGCGGTCTTTCACAACAGCAGACCAATACCGCATCTGTACGCCGTCGTCCACACAGAACCTTTACGAAAGTCCTGGCGGATGCTCATACTCAAGATTTCCAAAAGAAGAGGAGGCCTTCCACAAATACTGGGAAGGAACTAAACGCGGGCGGTGAGGCTGATGCTGGTCATGTCACGAGTAGTGAGGATGATGATGACGACGATGATGATGAACAAGATACACAGGATCGTTTAGCTGTAGATCAATTGGTTAGAACTAGGCAAGCTAAGGGTGAAAGGAAGAAGAATAGAGGTGGCGTTTGATTATAATATGATGGAACGTCAGTCCATATGTTGATATATGTATGATTTATGACGAGGTTGGCGTTGATGTTTTAGGTATACATTTGTTTTTGTTATAGATGTGGTTAACGTTTTTCAAGCCCTAATATAGAATTTCTGTTCCTGCACAGCCTCTGGACCATAATTACCGTGATCTATGCCTGAAATTACTTTTTCAGTGTTGCAGTAAGAAGTGCTACCATGAAGTGAAAGCATTTCTAGACCGCCGTCTTCGATGGGAAAGTTATTCTGCTGAGATCAAGGTATGATATTGCTTCCGTCTATGCATCAATGTTCATACATAAAACCGTCCAAATATCTCATATTGACAGCATTAAGCAAAGAATTGTCGGGACCTTCTAATCGCTTGGCCTGTCGTGATTGAAAACTGCATTATCGCTACGGGAGTGTGAAGAGGTCTGAAGAAGGTGGCGTACATCCCGCCTAGCTCAGATAGTTGATAGCAATCAGTACTAAGATCTTACCTAACCGATGGCAAGATACATTTCAGCGTCGAGGTCTATCTACATGCGTGAAACAACCTTCTATATTAGTAATTTATTGCGCTGCTAGCTATAGGGGGATTAGGCTAGACTGGTGAGTGCCATGTCTGATGTAACATGCTAGTCTGAACTTGGTGGATTAATCACTCGCTGCTGTGGTTCCCGGTGTTGAGTTGCTCGCTAAATTCTCTAGGCTGTCATATAAATACTCTATCTTCATCTTTATCACTCGCACTTGTTGTTATCATTCATTTTTTCCCCCATAACTGATTGTTAACATACAAGAACATAAGCAGCGAGTGGATTGATTTGGCGCCGGAAAGCGCAGGCATCGAGAACTTGTAGCGGCAGAAATGCGTGGAGAAGGTCTTCATCAAGATAGACTGTAAAATACAGTCGATTAAGGTTACTCACTATGAATTGTTATTAATATTAGTTGTCACAAAAGATGAGTATATCACAACCACATTTAGAGTCAATCATGTCGGTAACAGCATTTCAATTTCTTCACTTTCTTATCGAGACCCAGACAAGAATCTGAGAGCTTGCCGTTAATTCTATAGCTAATGAGTCTTAGATTATACCGATTTTAATCTACTGGAGACTGGATTGGTTGAGTAATAGATATAGAGGATGGGAATGCAGAACTCCTATTTTCCTTACACCTATTTCTGATGTACCTCTGTTGTTACCTACCTGTTCAACCTCTCGCTTGTTGGCTGTCTGCTTATGAGCTTGTGGGTATACATGATAATTCATTTTATCCGAAAACGGGCAGAGATTTGGATTCTTCTTTCAATATATTGTAAAAGTGGTAGGTCGAGATATGTGCGTCCCGATAACATATTATGAAGGGAAATTGAAAGAGAAAGCTAATTAGATTATATCGTAATATATCATTTATAAAGAAAACAAGGTTCATAAAAATTTTGAAGTTGAGATTATATAAATTCAAATATATATATATAAAAGATTGATTATTATAAAAAGAAGAATCAAAAGTTTTTTTTTATATTTAATTACAAAAGATTATATAATTGACTAGTTAAAAACCTTTATGTATCTAGCCTATAATTCCAACTTTCTCACAACATCCTTTGCACCCGGTGGTAAAGAGACGGGTGTTCATAACGTTTTTGATAAGAGGGAATGAACATTTTCTAGTTTCCGATGCACATACTCCGTACTAGAGAAGAGGCTATTCATTTTAAAATCTCTAACTAGAGCCTTCTAACACATATTTCGACCTCACTTTTCCACTAGGTGATGCGCTTAGATTAGTGATTAGAGACTTGAGGATGAGGAAGGAGTTAAGGAATTTAGGGTTTGGATTTGATGTTCGCGGTTCAGAGAGACAAAGTTTTGAAGAGGAGAGAGATTAGAAAACAATTCCACGGGATTAAGAAGACTTGTTTTAGGGTCCGAGGAAAAGCAGGAGAGAAAAGTATTACGAAGCGGGAAAGCATATGGGACGACGCTCGATTCTGCATGCTTTATCCGTATCCTCACCACCCATCAGCAAATATAAGCAATAAGTGTTTCCAAACCTACTTGATGCGTTTCCCATGATGGAGGTTCGGATATTCAAAGTGGATGTGCATATATGATGATTGATAGCTATGAAGAATTTTATATATACAGCCCCTTACACGTGATGTGGATTACCCGAGAATGGAAGAGGAGAGGAAAAGATGTCAAAAAACATTAAATGTATCAAAACATAGTAAAACAAGTGGAATGTATTCATTTGATTTTAAATAGGCTCTTTTTATATGAATAATAATATAATACGTGAAAAAGAATTATTTATAATACTAATCAAAGACTTGTTTGGTAATATAACTCTTCATACTAGTGTACTCAGAAGCGAGGATTATATATCTAACGATCAATCTCAAAACTCTCTTACTTTTCATTATGTAGTTACTCAATCAGATGTGTGCAATAAGGGTAGATATTTCCAAAAAAAAAACAGATTTATCCTGAATCTACGTCTCCGTCTTATGTTGCACAACAGTAAAGTTTACTCAATGTATAATAGATTACCGGTCCTATAATACCAATATTGATCTTCTTCTTATTATTATTTTCTTAGTCTTTGGGGTTTGTTACTTCTTGTTCCTTATGCTTGCTTTTTCCCTTTGCTCTTTACTCTATGCTACTACTACTGTATGCTGACCTGGTTGGTTTATTGTGAGCTTTAGCTCTATTTTATTGGTTTGCTCAGATATTTCTTATTGAATTCTCTCATTCATTTCCATTTTTGACTATTAGCGGAAAAAAGGATGTTCGTATACTTTTGTGTTTTATAATATACTTTAAATTTCGAACACAATATACTCCGCTAAGAGTACCATAGTCTTCTAACTTGACTTTGAACACTGACTTATTATTTTAGGAAATTCCCGATCCTACTACGAGAAGTAACTAGTTCGACGTGAACAATAACCTGGTTCTAATCACCAACGTCTCGTTAAATTTCTCTCATGCCCTTCTTTTCCACACCCTCCTCCCATAATCCCCCAAGCTCCCAACCAAACTCTAACCCCAGCGCCATCATCCCCTTCAACAGCCGTTAATATTCCTGTTTCAGTTCCTGAACCGAGACAGGGCGTTGAAGTTGATTCCATTGTCTAAAACTCTCAAATCAACCACTCTAAGTCAGGCAATGCTGAGTTGGATGTCAGCACCGCCAATATTCACTTTTCGGCATCTCAAACCGCCGTTCCGTCTCTTACCAACAATCTTGCAGCACTACACAGCTATTTTAAAAACCCCTCCCTATACCAAGTAGCAAAACTTCCCACCGCCTCAAACCACGCATCACCATGCGGCCCTCCCACCTCCCACGGTCCGCGACTTCCCCCGATCTCTCATCTCCTCCTTTTGATCCCACTACCAACGAAGCGCACGAAAATACACTAAATAGAGATGGAGCCATAAGTCGCGTAGATCGATATTCACGAATCTTACCAGCTGCCCCAACAAATCCACCACCTCCTCCTCCAACAATTGCTAGCTCCTCTCGTCCCAGTGGTCTACGCCACGTAATACTTGCTTCCGAAATTAAAGCTACTATGCAAAATACCATGGATTCCTCCTCGAGCACCTCTTTTCTTACCCCAACAACATCTCATCCTCTTGAAACATCACGAAAACATCGCTTTCGCCTCAATACCGCGCGTCAGGGAATGCAAAAAGCTTTTTCTAGTATGCGTACGCATGCTTCTCCTTCCAATATTGGTGGACTTTCTTTACGCAAAAAGAGTCCAGGTTCAGGTTCTGGTTCTGGAGTTTCTGCTAAGGTGATGCTTAGAGACTCTGTAGACTCTGCAGCGAGCTCTGGATCTGTGGATAAGATATTAATCGGTGCGCCTACTGGAATGATTAAAAAGACGCCTGAGGAGATACAGGAGATTTTGAGACAATTGGGTGGTAATGGTAAGGATTTTCGTTCTAGTGACGGGAGTTGTGGAAGTTTTGATGAACATGGTGGTGCTGGGCGGAATGTTGGGATCGTTGGGAGAGGAAATAGGATAGGAGAGGAAGGGCGAAAAATAAGATTACAAAAGGGGAAAAGAAGTGCTAGAGCTTATTCTACCACTTCTCAATCAACTTCTAATTCTAGATCGACATTTCTTTCAAATAGTATTCTTCCCTATCCGAAAATATCAACATCGATCTCAACATCAAGATCAACCCACACACCTCATGATCAGCCCAAATTAACCGCAAAACAACGCGGTAAACTACCCGCTCGATCTCCCTCACCCTCTCCTTCTCCACAAATTTCACTACCGATTCCTTCTCTAGAACTAGAACAAGAAAAAAAACCCCTAGGATGGTACACCACAGCCACCCTCGACGAAATCCGCACTACGCTTCCTTCTATCAAAAAAGAAGATTTGATACCCGATGAAGAAATACCAGAATTTGTAGAGGGATTAATGAGAGATTTGGAGGTATTGAAGTGGGTTAGTGGGTGGAGGAGTGAGCAGTTGGATGAGGAGATTGAGGAGGTGAGGAGGATGGGTGGGAGGGGTGGAGAGGAGGATGGAATGGATGAGGATGAAGATGAAAATGATGAGGAGGAAGAAGAAGAAGAGGAAGAAGAAGAAGAAGAAGAATACACCTGGCCCCAAACCAGCAAAATAAACCCCCGCTTCATAGACAGCGGCTGGTGTCAGGAAGAAATCAGCAGTTCTGGGGTTGGAGCCCGCTGGTTTGTATTTGATGATGTGGAGAATATACTTGGAGGACCGAAATGTCCGATTACATATTCGGCTGATGATGTTGAAGATGATGAAGTTGAGAATCAGGATGAACATGAACATGAGCAGATCACAGAGACGCAGGATATGATTGAGAAAACCCAACAAATCACCACGGGAGATGATCGATATAAAATTGAAGAGGATTTCGCAGCAGAAGAAGAATTTGATGAGGATGCGAGACAGATTACTCGAGAGGAGATTCTGAGAGGGGAGTTTAAGTTTACGCAGGTTGAGATTTTGGAGAGGGAGGGAATGATGTGAGGGTTTTCTTCTGTTCTTTCTGTATTTTTTTGTTTGGTAATGGTCTCTTTGATTATGGTTCTTTTCTTGATCTTTGGTGCTTGGTTTGGGGTTGGGTATGTGGTTTTCGGTTGAGTTCTTTGATACCCGGGGTAATTTGCGTGAGGTTAATTTCTTAAGGTAATTTGGCATTGGAAGGTTTATGGATGGCCTACAAGAAGGGTGGTATGATATAACTCATTATACACTCATTGAAAAGAGAATCTTCATTCTTTTTCTTTTCTCCTATCTCCTTCCTTCTCCATTCCCCATCGATATCTCTCCCCCAAAAGATCAGCACTTCAATGCATAGGAATCCGAACATCCACAAAAAGCCCGTCACGCAAATCCGTCAGTATACTCACTACTCACTCAACAACCTCTCTAGCTAACCATTTCTCTCGAATTTCAAGACAAACTCTTTGACTATTTATGATTCATTACCCACCATAGAGAAGCAAATTCATCCTCGATTCTTTGTAAAATATATTCGTATTCTATAAAAGTGTTAGTGATACTCAAGTGTATATCGAATCTTCCATAACCTACAGTTTCTATATCTGTCCAGAAGAAGGAGAAGAGGGAGGACAAAAAGGATAAGAGGAAGGATAGAAAGTGCCAGAGCAAAATAAATGTATCGTTAGTATGTAGTCATTGAATGTGATGGATGTCTGAGATCCAATTGTGTATTTTGGAGTTTTCTCGCCAAGGTCGTGACTGAGTGAAGTTGTATTGGTTTGTTCTTGTCACGTGGCAGTCTTGGATCCATCAGCCCTTTCTTGAAAGCTTCTTTTCTTGGCTTCTTCCATAAGACTTGGCAGGCACCAAAATCAAGCAACATGTCCTGACCTTCGTTTATATCCTTGGACTGGTTCATGCTTCATGTAAATTATTGGGTTCTTGTTGGTGAGAAACCATTGCTGTCGTTTTTCAATTGCCTTGACACGGTATCATTCTTAGCAACAGAACACACGGTTAATTGCCAATGCTTTCCCATCCGAGAATTCGCAATTGCTGCCAAAAATATCTATTCTCCGCTTCCTCCGCATGGATGATGCCAGTGACGGGTGTACTGCGGAACATGTTCAATATAAACAATCTGCAGCTTCCAGATAGGAAACTCTACAAACAATATACACTCTGTATATCCTCAGTACGGTACCGTTATATATCCCATCACTCAAGTATGGGAAGCTGTCAGAGAAATCATTTATCAATTTATGAGAGATATCGTACTCAGTATGAAGTCGCAAGTCGTGTTGTGTTGTCTCGCCATAAGAATTGAATTGCATCTCGCTGCAGGAAATGATCCACGTCGACTTACCGGCCGGCAAAAGTGACATCATACATGTTCCACCACTCCACCAACCAAAATCAAGGTCAATAAGTAGGTACGTACCCAGAGAAGTAAAGAAATGAATGAATGAATAGATCATAGAGCCGACATCTCAGAGGATACATCAATTCATGGTAGAATATACCAATTGACCTTTTTACTTTCTATTTTGCCTCTCTCTCTCTGCATCAGCTCTCTCGATATACTTCATTCAGAATGGCAGGCCATCGAAATTGGACAAGCGGAAATGATAATGGATACAAGACCAAACAAACTACATATCTACGGAAAGACTTGGAGCAAGGAAGACCATCAAAAGATCGAAAATACAGATTTAGAGATCAAGGACCTTTAGAACCAGATGATCGAAGACGTGTCGAGTTTAAGAAGAAATTGTTAGATGGTGTGGAAAGTTCGAATTTGGAAGATTTTCGCAAGAAGGATAATGAGGTAGCCTTATCTTTTTATTCTTTCCCAGATGTACCATTTTGACCCTTACTAATTCCATACCTTCACTATACAGTTGAAAGAAATGCCAAAATGTATCCGCAGTTTCTACGAAGAACAAAATAATCGTCTAGATGATTGGCTCGAAGTCAATGCCATTGTCCAAGCACTTGCAGATGATATTCTCGAATCCTTCGATCCTAGAGATGATAATGGAGATGGAGTTGCAGAAGGAGGTGGTGCTTTACAAGATACCCAAGGATTCGTCGAACCCTTCTTACCAGATGCCGAACAGGAGAAACGTCAAAAAGCTCGCAGGAGTGCTAAATGGGCTATCAATATTAATGTTATCGCCAATATTATTCTCCTCGCCGCTAAAGGTGTCGCGGCTTTTTATTCCTCGTCACTTTCTCTGGTAGCTTCTCTCGTTGATTCAGCTCTCGATCTTCTATGTACGGTTATAGTATTTACGACAAATCGATTAGTAGAATGGCGATTAATGAGTCTGAAACGGAAATTCCCAGTGGGAAGAAAGAGATTGGAACCTATTGGAATTTTGGTATTTTCAATTATAATGATTATTTCATTCGTACAAATTCTTCAAGAATCGGCTCAGAAACTCATGTCCAAGGGTCCACATGAAGCAAAAGAATTACCAATTATTGCAATTGCTTCTATGGCTGGTACAATTGGTCTCAAGGGTCTCATTTGGTTTGGATGTATTAAAATAAAAACTACACAGGTACAAGCTTTGGCTCAAGGTATGTAATTTTCTGGAATTTCGCTTTTCAACAACAACATTAGATAATGAATGAACTAACATCCTAAAGACTGCAAAACCGACGTAATCTTCAACACCCTCTCCCTCATCTTCCCCTACGTCGGCAACGCCGCCAACATCTGGTGGCTGGACCCCCTAGGCGCAGGACTCCTCTCCCTCTTCATAATCTACGACTGGACATCCACCTGTCTCGAAAACATATTCCGACTAACCGGCGCCGCAGTAGATGATCGTTTACAACAAAAACTCACATTCCTCGCATGGCGCTTTAGTCCCCTCGTAAATGGATACAAAAGTATCACGGCTTATCATGCAGGTGATGGGGTATGGGTTGAAGTGGATATACTTCTTAGTGAGGGGACGACGCTGGAGGAAGCGCATGATGTGGCGGAAACGTTGCAGTATTGTTGTGAGGGGTTGCCGGAGGTCGATAGGGCGTTTGTTACGTGTGATTATGCGGTTCAGGGGCCTACGGGTCATGCGATGGAGGGGCTTAATTAGTGGGGTGGGGATCATAGGTTGTGAGGATTGATTGTATGAGTTATGAGTGAGGGGGATGAGGTTTGGAAGGTAATAGGTAGGGGCGAAAAGACTCCAAAGAAGGGTTTGTATAAATTGCATATTGGCGAATTGGAATTGGTCAAGATGAATGGAGACGGGTGGGGATTTATAATTGGTGTATGTATATACTACATAACAATTTGACTTTTAGGCGTATGTATTTGGAATAGGCGCAATATACTGGACTTGGGTTGGACATAGCATAACATAGTACAGCAGCATAGCATAACATAGTATATAAATCTAGTAACTTACATTAAACTTATATAAAAATATCAAAATCTATATCCACAATCCTCTTTACTATTCCTCCTTATAATTCCAATTTGCAAACTAAGTTACATCATTCCTCATCATCCCCACATATACGTCCACAGTCCTTCCCCTCAAGTGCACCAGTCATAATCGTCATTTAAGCGTGCGGTTTTGGCGATATATAAGAATAGGTTAAGGTTACCATATTCTTGCTTTTGAGCGAAATATTTTTCTTCGTTAAAGATGTTGATTTTGATGTTGGTGTTGAGACAGACAATATCTATTACTCTGCTAGTTAATACTCTTTGTGTATTTGTATTTGTATTTGAGAATGCGGTTTGTGGAAGGAGAGGATAGAGAGTTTCTTGGGAGATTTCTAGAGGGTTTCTGGGAGATTTCTGGGAAAGTTGGATGTTGGAAGGATGAGGTGGAAGAGAGAGAGGTGAGGTGGAAGAATTGGGTGAGGGGGGTTTGATGTTTTGACTTGGGGTTGCGTTTGCGGTTAGAGTTAGGGTTAGGGTTAGGAGGTGTGGTGTTAGGGTTAGGGGGATGGGATGGGAATGGGAATGGGATGGGGATATGGGAAAGATGGATTGTGGAAAGATATTCTGAGGGAAGGGGGGGAAGGCGAAAGATAATTGTGCTACGGTTTATGGTGTGCTGGGCTATAATGTTTATAATGTCTATATTTCGATCACGGATATCATGGATTTCGGATGAGGGTGGATGTGGGTGGATGAGAGCGAGATAAGATGGGTGGATATGGAAGGAGGAGTCAAATGTCATGTGGGAATTTTACATGTTAATGCTCGGATAATGGGGAGGGGTATACCGCGCCGGAGGCAAAGGGTGTGGATGTATAGACGCGGAATTTGGGGTTGGATGCGGAGGTGTTGTTAGAGTAGGAGGGAATATATTGTCATGGTTATTTAGATGATATGATTGATGCGGAGAGAGATTGGTAGAGGAATTCGTGATGGGTTTACTTGGTGGTGTTTGTTGATTGATAGATTAAATTTAAAGATTAGATAGTTGGACTCGAATATTGTATTTGCGAAAACGGTTCTATTGTATCTAATTGAAGATTCGAATTCAAAAGAAAGTGCTATTCAGGATTTTGATGTAATGATTGATGGGAAATATATTTTAGACGTAGAAAAAACACAAAGTAGTGAGATCTTACAGCAGAGAAGATCTAACACACGAACACCAAGCGATAGATATATCAAATTCTCGAGCCTCAATAGTGATCCGAGGTTTTATTCTCGATATCCTGACAGGTCCCGACCCTCAAGATCCATTCCGACAAGATTCACAGGGCTGAAAACCAAACCTAGCTTCTAATGAAACATCAGTGCGAAAAGAAATATGGTGAGTTTTCCGTGACAAATTGACACAAGTTTCCGACGTCCAGACTTTGACAGGTATCTAAACGTGTTAGTGCCCGTACAAATATTATGTATTATGGTTCCTGGATTGGCGAAATATCCAATGAATGAGATTTGTCTGTTGTACTTGAGATTGGAGATGAAGTTTGAGACGGAGAGATATAAAGGCTTGAGATGTTCAAAGTAAAGTAGTCTTAATCGATGTGGTTTGAGGAATGTGAGGCATTTGAGGAATCTTTGGTGGAAATCCTCTTCGCGATTGAATGTATGGTTTGTATATTACTGGAAGGTGCGGATTAACTTCGACGGCATGAATGAAGGTGCGAAAATCAACAATTTGGATAAAAATATATGATGGGACGAAAGGAGTTGCGATCAGTCGAATTCGCCTTCCCATTTCTCGTTTGAAGCTCTAAGGTTCATCGAACAGTAAAATAAGCTTTGTTGGTCCATGGCGATACTATCTTCCTGCCCTTCAAAATTGCCACCAAACTCTCTTTCCCCCAAATGAAGCTCGAAACAATTCATAAAATTCACAAAAGATACAGATTCCTTTTACTAAAATGTCAATACATGGTCATTTTTGGAAATCAACCTTCTCTCGACCTATGATAAATCTTTCACTTGTCACTCAAAGCTTTACTGGCAACAGAACCATGACCAGCAACCCCTTACCATTACTCCCCTTTCCAAAAATTACACCACTCCCTCGCTCTCTCTATCCAACATCTTTCAACTTCACTCGGTCAGATTTCCGTCGACAAGATGAATCACCAGACACTGAATGGTATTCTCAACCACGATTTGTTCAACACATTGATGAGGGCGCTATCTTCACATTGAAACACTACTATTCCCATATCATCACACCGGCATCATTTGTTCTGGACATTTGTTCATCATGGGTTTCCCACTTACCCTCTCCGCTCAAACCGATCCTGATGATAGGAATTGGTATGAACGAAGCAGAATTAGAACGAAATGAACATTTAACCAGCTATTTGGTCAAAGATTTAAATGTTGATCCAACATTTCAGGAGGTCATTGATGCATCGATGGATGTGGTTATTTGTAATGTATCGGTGGACTACTTAACGCAACCGATTAGAGTATTTGAGGGAATGAGGAGAGTGTTGAAGGAGGGGGGTGCGGCTCATATTGCTTTTAGTAATCGATATTTTCCGACCAAGGCTGTGGAGAGATGGTTGACGATGGATGATGGGGACAGGAGGAAATGGGTTGGAGGTTATTTTTGGGCAAGTGGGGGATGGGAGAATATTGAAGAAGTAGTTTTGAAGGAGGGTAGGTATGAGGATCCACTGTTTGTTGTGAGAGCGAGAAAGATGGGAGGGATTTGAGAGGAGGTATCATTTGAGAGGAGGTATCATTTGAGAGGAGGTATCTTGACTTGTGGTCATGGAAATGTTCCATCGCTCGAAAGGATGGTGGTGGTGATGAAAGGATGGACGGTTTTAATATTGGAACGATGAAGAATTGGTATCTGTCCCGGGCAGAGAAGAAGTCGAAAAAATATAATCTTACCATCACCATTACTAACTAGGTATACAATATTATGACGGATGGAAAAAGGAATCGTCGCTTTTAATTGTGATTGGTTCAAGATCAACAAAAGAGCCTCAAAAATGGTTCGTTATCTTTTGAGGGGCCAGGGCTTGGAACAGATATGGAATTGCGTGGCAGTTTATCTCGACGACAACACCATCCTTCATCCATCAACACATCACCATCCATCAACACCATCCACATTCCATCGTCTTATATCCTCTACGTAATTAAGAACTTTCCATGCATCTGATTCAATCGAAGATCCTATTATGGAGATTATTTCACTGCTGGCCGAATATCACCATGATGCTGGGATTCTGCCCTGCTTGTAGTCCTTGCAAATGTCCAGTTGGGCTTTGAAGATGGATCTGCACTCGACTACGAGTGCAGCAACGGGACCTAAGCATGAACTTCAAAGAGTTGATTGCTTGCATTATCAATGTCTCATCAACGTGCTTATATTTAGGCACACCAGTGGTGTTGGGCGAGGCCTAATCTTGTCTTTTTCAAATCCTTCCCACAGCTCAGAGTTACAGCCGCAGGAAGCATGTACCTATCTTTTCTTTCCACGTATTTACATGAACCAATCATTCATTTTTCATCGATATATAATCAAAGCTTTTTGGGGCTCTGCGCACCTCCATGATTCAGGAATTGGTCCATAGTTACAATTTCAACTCCAATGGATATTCCTTTCTTTGTGGGTCACAATCCTGACCCACGCTGCCGTCTAGTCAAGCGGGGAAATGTGTTCGCTCTCTTCTTATATCTAGCGTAAATGTTTGCAGTAGTCTGTACGCGCTTTCCAACGTTTCAAAAGAATGCTTAATACGCTCGAAAATCGAAACTCATCATCAAAGGGAACCTTTTTTTTTTCATTCACCGGCCGTCGTGAAGCTTTAATCAATTAAGCTTAGAGTCAAAAGTGGATTGAAAGTCGAGACTCCAGTCGACTTGTGATATATTCATCACTCAATATTCACCAAAAAAATTCTTTGATCTATTTTTTAGTATTTGGGAGAGTCTCTCGGCGACCCCTTCGCTTCAGATTTCAACGGTTTCGGAATATAATTTAACTGGCGGGTAACTTTTTCAACAGCCAACACTTTGCCATTCGATCGTTGTGGCAGACCTTCAGTCTTCTCATCTCGTGGGATTGGATAACTATGTTCGTATGGCGAATAGCAATCACGAGGTCTTAAATTCAGAGGATATAATCGAAATGGATGAGCAGGAAACGAGAACACATCATTGTCCAAAAACAATACATCAAAAAGAAGCCTTTTATTTTCAACATGTAGAAATATTGGGCCAAGAAAACCGGCAATATCCCATTCGAGTGGATTCGATACATTCAAATCTTTCTGTCAAGTCGGAAAATTCCGATGGAGAGAGTATTCATTCAACAATAAGACATTTTAATGAATCAGAGGATGATTCAGTCGAAAGTTCGAAACCAAGTCATCACACTTATCACGATGGGATTTTTTGGCGTTCGCCGATTACGATGGGTGGAAATCTTTTAATTGGAATTCTTGCTAGTATTTCTCATCATGTGTTTAATACTTCCATGGTAGGGAAGCAAGTTGGAGATGAACTTTCGCAGCAATGGACATTGAGGTTAGTCATTTTCTTTGGGCGAAAGGCTTCAGCAACTAGTTTTACTTTTCAAATAGCAATAGATGAACTGATACAATAACATAGATATGGAACATCATCTGCTTTTATCTCACAAGTATGTCTTGTCAGCTCTGTTGGTTTTGCTTACACTCAATGGCTTTGGAAATCTTTGTATCACAAGGATACCAAAGTCTCCATTAAATGCCTTGATGCTGCTTTCGTTGCCGATACATCCGTTATATCATTCTTCAATAAAGAAATGCTTTGGAAGCTTAAGCTTACCTCATTACTTGCGACGGTTATAAAGTTAGTTTATTTCTTTTCGACATGTCAATGTTTGTAACTCGGCTCTTGTTCATCGAATTTCCAGATGTTGAATGGGACTGGGAGTAAAACTTTACATCTCCCCTCCAGTGAAAACCTTATAATAATGACCCTATAGGACTCTACCAATGGCTTCTATACTCACTCCTGGCACACTGTTTGTTATGCCCAGTACCAAAATTGTCCGAACACATGCCAATGTCTCCTCTCTCGATATGTATGGTTCCGACCAACCTTCAAGATTTACATATTCTGTCCCAGTGAACTTGACGGAGAATCTGCAAAACGAAATATTCCTTGGACCACGAACAATTATCACTCGTTTGTCCACTGCCACCGCAACTCAAGGCCAAATCTTACCGATAAGCGCACCACTTTTCAATTCAAGTTATGAGGTACAATTTTACGGACCCATTGTTAAATGCAAAGAGGCTGATGCAGCTACCGCCAAAATCATACAAAATCTTCGAAACCAGTTTATTGCAGGCTTTACAGCACCAATCACGGAAGTCTCAAACTATTACTACGCATTCGTTCCTAACCTGAGTAATTATACCAATAGTTCTCTACCCAATAACGGCGTGACCGTTATCCCTCAAATGCGACTCGAACAACCTCAAAATGCTTCAAATGAACTCTGGATGGGTTATACACGTTATGTCGAGTCAAAGTCATTTCAAACCGAGGATCATTACACAGTCTGTTCACTCTACAACGCCTCTTATAATCTCAATATCACCCTCCAAGAAGGTACTCAGACCATCACCAACAAATCTCTCCATGTCCTAAATATGGTACCTTACCCAGATATCAAAAGCCCAGCCTCCAATAATCTCATGGTCCAACACGCATACTCCGCCTACATGTGGTCCCTTACTGATCTCATCGTCGGGTCAATGGGTATCTTCAAAGCTACTCCTTCTTATCCAGGTCTTCCCAGTACATATTTTTCTGAAATCACTAGTCAAATTTCTCATACATCGTTACTTGGCAGTTCCGATTTAGATGCTTTTTTTGAGAGAAAATCAACTAATCCTATGGGAAGTAATAATACCACAGCGGGAGAGCAAAGAACACAAGACATCAACCTCTCCGGAAATGCAACATTGGAGACCTTGGTAGAGGAATTAAGTTGGAATATCACATGTAGTTTCATGAATAGTAATTTATTATCGTACGTATCCCCCATCTCAGATCCATCTATCATATCTATCAAGCAATAAACTAAATAACCAAACCTCCCAGTCCCTATCGCAACACCTCCATCCTCTCCACAACATCTATAAATATCTACGCCTACCATTCCTCCACCCTCCTCCTCTCCTACGGTCTCGCTATCCTAGCTGCCCTCATCGCAAATGCTCTTGGTGCGTATGCGTATCATATTAATGGTCGCTCACATAATAAATCTTTCTCGGCTATACTCGCCGCGACGAGAGACAAGGAGTTTGGACATTTGTTACCTGGAAAATTGAGAGGGAAGATTCCCCTGCCGCATTCGGTGTTAAGGACTCAGTTGAGGTTTGTGGATTTGGATGGTGGGGGCGTGGATGAACAGGGTATGGCGCATGGGAAGGATAGGGGTGGGAGGGAGTTTCGGATTGTGGGGTGGAGAAGGTGATGTGGGAGGAAGGGGCTGGGGAAGGAGGAGGGAATGCTTGGGGAGGGTCAGAAGGAAAGGGAAGAGGGGTGGGGTGTTTAGGATTTGAAGATTGTCGGTTTTTAGTCTAGTCGCTAACCGATTGGGAGGAGAAATGATGGTGATATTTTCATGTCTATTTAGCGTGGAGTTTAGGGGTTATGAGTTTTGTATTTCGGGGGTTGGAGATACATATACAGGCACTTTTTACGGAGTATGTGGGCGGGGTATACCATTTATATACATATGAATATTGGATGGAGTTTGGGGTTGATTCTTTATTTTGTGGGGGGAGTGGTGATATTGCTAGATTGAGTTGATTTTATTGGATCTTGATTAGATTTTGATATCCCCTGTGGTTATATCATCCGCTTTGTAGTATTTCAATTCATCCTATCCTCAAGATTCTGTATGATTTTCACAATGCTGTCCATCTTTTACTTTTCTACTTTTTTGTATGAGAAGATGTTTCTGAATATACAATCGAATAGAATTAAGTGAAATAATATACGATGCAAGTACCTAGTAGATATAACAAAAGTAGATGAGGTCATCATCGCTGTTCGGTTCACACGATCTCACTCTAGAAGATTAGCCTTATCAGCTTTGTGGCTGGACGGAACCCAAAAACTGACGCCACACCATGCCGCGCCACGTTTAGCTATGACGTTTCGGGCAGGGGGACACGAGACCTCGGCCCGTTCCAAAATAATGCCCAAAACTTTCCCATAAATTTATTTAAGTCTTACAACAAGTTTTTTTTTACATATTAATACAAGATAGATTCAAATACATAGCCATAATCTAAATTTAAATTCGTTTCTTTTTGATTATATTCATATATCCAATTTCCTTCTACTTATCATATTCGCAAAAGTGTCTCCCCTTTCATTCAACATTCTTCCTTCTATCATCAAACTCCCTTTACGACTACGATTGCCACTTCATAACACCATCACCAATGACATCCTACTTCTCACGGCTCAGTCCGATTCCAGGATTCCCAGAATATACTGGACCTCATAAAGTAGGAACAATTGATGTCGAAATTCCCATCTCAGAACTCGATTCACCGTCTCAAGCACCAGGTAATGTAGAAAATATCCCAACAATTCAATACCGAATCTTCTACCCATGCGAAGCGGAATCGAAACATAAAGGAAAGAGTGTGAATTGGATACCTGCGCCCCAGAGAGATTATATAAGTGCATATTCGAGATTTCTAGGAGCTGGTAGTACATTGGCAGAGGTTATCTCGTAAGTCGAGTGATTCTTGGGACAAGGGGCAAATGCTAATATATTCCGTGTGATAGATATTTCCCTAGACTTCTTCATTATGTTACAATTCCCGTTCGCAAGAATGCGCCACTCCTCCAACCAAAAACGAATAATAATCGTTGGCCCGTTATGATATTCTCGCATGGCCTGGGTGGTTCAAGAAATGCATATTCACATATAGTGGGATCAGTAGCAAGTCATGGCATGATAGTTATTGCAACCGAACATCGTGACGGCTCAACACCTATATCATATATTCGAGAACCACTTTCCGGTGTTTCCGCAGCGGAAAAGGAGAAACTCCCGAAGAAACAGACAAAAAAGACGGTCGACTATGTTAGATTATCACATACTCCAAGTCCGGAAGTTGAAGAAGGAAGAAATGAACAATTGAAGATTCGACTTTGGGAAATGGGATTGATTCATGATAGTTTATTAAAGATGGATGAGGGAAAGAAACTTACCAATCTCAACACATCTTCTACTTCATTATCAATATTCAGAGATCAAATGGATGTTCATGAACCTGGCAAAATTACTTTTGCGGGACATTCTTTTGGAGCAGCAACAGTGGTACAATTCATAAAATCAGTTTTCTATTCACCTGAGGCTTCTTCCGCTCCCAAATCTTATAAGCCGATTTATTCACCATCTCCGAATTCTCCTATTTGCTCTCAAATTACACCCAACAATCCAATTGTTCTCCTAGATTGTTGGTGCTTTCCACTCCGTTCCCAGGCAACCCGCTGGTTATGGAATCATCCTCTTCCATCATACGCACCCTCAGGTCCTGGTGGTTCTGCAATCCTTGCAGTAGAATCGCAAGCGTTCTATAAATGGACCGAGCATTTTAATGCAACCAAACGTCTTCTTTCTGCCGATCCATCTTCCCATAATCCATCCAGTAATGGAAAATCAGAACCTCATTTTTACTATCCTACATCGAGCGCACATTTGAGTCAATCAGATTTCGGCATTCTTTTCCCATGGGTTACGAAAAAGGTTTTTGCAGCAGAGGAACCAGAAAGGATTATGAGATTAAATGTTAGAGCTATGATGCAATTAGTTAGGGAAAGAGGAATAGAAGTCGGTAAAACGTCTAAGAAAGATTTGGAACTCGAGGGGGATGGAGAGGAGACAAATGATGATGTCAAAATATTTGGAAAGGATGGAGGTGTTAGAGGATGGAATTGGTTGGGTATTTCTGAGGATGGTGTAGGGACGAATGTAGACGAGGGCGAGGAATCAGAAATTGCGGATAAGAAATTGGATGAAAAACAAGTTGAGGTTGGAAAAGGAGGGGATGAAGGAGAAATCAAGAAACCGATGGATATCGAACCTGCGGAGGTGGTAATGGGGAATGAGGTTACTGCTGGTGCGGGATCGAAAATATAAGCATGAATAAATCAAGAAACGATATTTTTTCTTGTTATATAGTTTGGTGGTTCATATCTGGGCGGGATTCTGAAGCGTTTGAATAGCAAGAGCGTTTTGTATTTTATGGCATGAATCATAGTTAGTTCAGTTTGGATATCAGTGTCTCTATCTTGGGAAGTTACAGGATCTATTAGATGAGTTAGGTATCTCTGATATAAATAGATATTTGAAAATTGAAAATTGAAAATGAGAATGATATAGTTTATTCTAAAGTACATTATAATTATAAATAGAAATCCTTATCTTTTTATATTTTTATATTTTTATATTTATAATCTTATATACAGACAGATATATATACTCATTAAACACTCATTAGCTTTTTCAAGTCCTATCTTGTAAGGTTACTCGTCCTTCTTGCTCTTTCTCGAATCCGATTGATAGATAATTTTCATTTTCAGTCTCTATTTCTCTCTGACTCCAACTTTAATTTTGATACAGCTTTTGATTTCAATTTCGATATCTAGTTTTCTAATCTTCAAAATGTACTCACTCTTATTAGTAGTTGGTAGGCCCCAGGCTCTGTATTTATAAACCGGTGTATTGGATATAGAGTATTAGTTCATCTAATGAATGGCCTTGAAGTTCTGAATGTTTGTTTGGGTCTGTAGGATTAAGATTGGAATTGGGATTGAGATTGAGATTATGTTTTGGTAACTTCTGAGGATGGTGGGTGGATCTTGAGAAGTGAGTGTGGGAGGAGTGTGGGAGCAGTGAGTTTGATTATTTATGTAAGACTTATTTGGTGATTTACTAATTCGAGAGGTTTTGTGGTGTTAAAGATCGTAAGATTGCTTTAGAAGATTTAATTCTCAACGCGCAACGCTCAGTGTTCGTCTCTTGAGCCTTGAGTCTCGTCTTTTAGGTCTCGTCTCTCAACTGTCGGCTTTTAACCCTTATTTGTGAACCTTCATTTTTTAAGCTTCATTTCTTGACCCCCTTATTTTCTAACCCTCATTTCTTAACCCTCGTTTCTTAACCCTCATCTCCCACATATCATATCTCATCCATAATCGATAACTTCATACCGGATTCGAAGTCGAGTGATCACTTAGCTTCTCATATGAGAATTACCAGCCAGCACGAACGGGGACGTGTGATCAAAGCCAGCCGCCCTATAGACGAATTAGTAGTTAGAGGAGAGGAAATTACTTATCCTAAAAGATATGTATGTCCTAAAAGACATTCCTCCTCCTCCACACATAATCCATCCATAGGGGGTTTTTTTTTGAGATTTTTTTGAATTTTTTGGAAGTTAGTAAATCGCTGATGGATGGTAATCCATGGGAGATAAATGGTTGTATATCGCTAATGGAGCCGGAAATGTCCATGGAAAAGAAAATAAATTGATTATATCGCTAATGGATGGGATCCATGGTATTTTTTTGGGGTAAATTGAAAACAAAAGAAAAGTAAAGTAAAAAGACCAAAAGAAGAACGCCGAGAACGCCAAAGGAAATTGACTTAAGAGGGTTAGTAAGCCGGGGGAAATATTAGGATTTTATAGATTTCATACCAATTTGTTTTTATTTTTAATTTTTGAGAAAAATCAAAAGAACGCCGAAAGAAGCCGAAAGGAAAAAAACAAAGGAATGTTTTTGTAGGTTTTGTATTTTGATGTTTTTTTGATGTTTTGGTGTCCGGGGACTTTTCTAGAAAAATTAAAGAAAAAGAACAAAAGGAAAAAAAAAGGACAAAAGAAAAAAAGAAAAGAACAAAAGAAAAAAAGCCCTCGTGCCCACAATGATTGTATAGAAGAACTCTACCAATCCTCGTCAGAATCATCCGCCCAGGAAAATGACTTCAAACCTTCCCCATTCATAGAAGGTATGATTGGTGACGAGCCGACCAACTTGAAGTCACGTTCCTGGGCTGACGAGTTGTCCGCTTCCGTCACGGGTTCGACTACCGCCTCAGGAAGGTTGCCCAATCCCTCGGTTTCATCACCCATCAACTTCATAGAACACCGTTGAAAGTCCGAAAACGTATTCAACGGGCCAGAAGATCTGGGTCCCGAGAGGACGATAGCCTCATCTGTGTATCCCTCAAGAGGAACTAGTCCGCACCCATCCGTGCTACAAGAGCTCGGTTCGGAGCGGATTTCGTAACCCTCCATATTGGGCGCGGGAGTATACGCTTCCGGATTCGCGGTGTTGTAATACTCCCCACAGATCCCACAGCGCCTAAGACTAGACGACTTTAACGTGTTGTCGGATGAGGGCTGTATAAATACAGCCTCATCAAGGGGGAGAAAAAGTGAGGATGGACTCAAATCTTCTTGATCCCCCGACGTCTTTTGGAACGGACGAACTTCATGGATGGACCATCTCCCATGAAGCCCCTTGAAAGAGACCTTTTTCGTACTAACCCCAAGAGGTTTTCGGAAAGTTGGATTCATGGGTTTGTCCGAAGACGCACCCCAATAGTCCAAGGTCCTTTCGAACCCCCAGAGCCGCATGCCATCAAAGGCATTTTGGGAGCGCATTCCCACAGGGAGAATGGCCGACCCACATCCAGGCAACCAAGGTTGTCTGAATGTTCCACCCTCGATGAGATAACATTGATGACCTGAGTCAACAATGAACACCCGTTGAGGATGTACAGAAGTGCTGCGAACTGTGTCAACTGGGATAGAAAAGTCAGATTGGAAAGGGGGATCCTTAGCCTGTTTTTGAAGGGTTTGCCTGAGCGAAGCCCAGGCAAAAGAAGCCGCCTTGTTAAGGCCTAAATACCACATCTCGAGATGTGGTTGGTCGAAGGGTGGAAAGGGGTCGAAAATAATCGTGAGTTTGAAAAAAAAGTTTTGTAACTAAAGTATGATACAGATAGCTATAAAAGTGATCTGTTTTGCGTACGAAGAACAGAAGAGGATTGGAAGGGGAAGGGGCTTTATATAGAAGATTGAAAAATCTAAGAACGTAACTACTACGCACCGTTTCGTAAGCTAATTGAAACTAAAAGTCTAGTTGCCGATAGTTTTGATAGGAAACGCTCAGATGTTGGATTTGCGTTTGGGACTATGTTAGTTACATTGTCCAACTGAAAAGTAGAAACTCAGGGGATCTTATGCCATTAGTCAAGTTCAAGTGCCGAATGGATCGGAATTGCTAAAGTGATTGGAGATATTGACTTGTGTAACATGACAAATTTAGTTAGACACTGAAAAGATATGGAATCTTACTTCGGTTTGAGAGCTTGAGGTGGGTTGGGATATTGAGTCATATAAGATAATGAATTTAGTTTAGACATGGAAGTGGTTTGAAGTACTATTTTGATTTGAGATACTGAAGTACGCTAAAATATTGAGTTTATGTAAAATACTGGATTAAACTTGAACATTAGGTTGATTCAAGATGCCATTTCAATTTTGGACACTAAAATAGTTTGAAGTATTGGATTCATCTCAGATAGCCTTCTAACTTTAGATACTGAACTAATATGAGATGGTGAATCAATTTACATCACTCAACTGACCTGTAATATCGAATTGAGATGTGATACTGATCCCAACAAGAATAACAAGCTCATCTCAAGTTTTCAACAACTTTTTGGGATTCAAAGCATTACGAACTTTAGATATCTTGAGATTCCACCAGGTATGTCGATCGATGTTACACTACTCTTTATATGATCAACTCATCAACTGCTGCCGTTAGGGCTAGACGCTAACGTAGTACTGACGTATCTTTCTACGCGGTAACTGTCATTTCTTATCTAGAATCCAAGAAGTGACTACCCCGTTAACTATTACTAGTATATTGGAGTATCTATGACGTGTAGTACGATTTCGGGGTTTTGTATGATAGTAATTTTTTCTTTACTACTTTATTAATGAATGGGACACTCTACCAAGTAGATCGGTGGTCATAATAAGATCATCTGTGCTAAAAGTAGTGATTTTAGTGAAGACCTTCTTTGTCTGACGTCTTAATTACCGACAAGACTTATATCAGTAACAGCCGGAGCTAGGGAAAACTTCATATCTGAGATCTGGGCTTACCGGCTTCGTTAAGATGAGCTAAAATTGTTTGGAAAAAATCTAGACGGCTTGGAAGCATGTAGTCGGTCATGGAAAATTGCATAATTTATCTAACCATATTCATAAATATGGTAAGATAAGGACCGGAGACTTAAAAATGGAGCAATTGCGATCATTGAATCAATGAAAAGTTGCCGAAAGCTAAATACAATCAGCCATTGAAGCGATTTCGGCACTCAATATTTGCCGGACAAACATATCGGTTCTAACTATCAGGAAACATAATCGACTAAGGACTGTCTAATCTTCATGATTTGTTCTAATAAGCTATTAAGCATGATCTTCGAGGCTACTAAAATGGTTAAGATGTTGCCAGTATCTCGACCGGCTCAAGTTTAACACTGTCCAATTATGAGATACGTCATGAGAAATATTGATTTTATGGTCAACTATGAAATTAGAAGGAAGCTACAGTGGCCTTATCTAGACATAGCATGAGCATAAGTTAGGAAGTAAGTTGTCACTCGGAACAGGTCTTACGTTATCTCAACACTTGCAATCCCAATTTTGGTGTAAGGCCTAGAATAAGGATATCTCCATTTGCTATAAAAGCTCGGAATAGAATTCTATACATAAGCTTATCTTTAGGTCAAGTCTGAGCATCAAATATAAATTTGAAAGTTCCGAAGTAACGTGAAAATAAGGTTAAGGTGATAACATTTAGTTTCCCCGCTACAGCCGGCAGTTACTTCCTTCGCGCTAAGCGGATATTCTAGCTTACACAAATGTAAACAGGGAGTAGCGAACCTTTTCTGTACAAGATGAATAGGCATCAAATATGTTGTGCAGTTGATGATATGACAAAAAGAATCTTTACATCAATACGGGTTTTCCAAGCAATGTTGGCATGGTGATGACCTCGGCATTCCTTAACGGTTTTCCCAAGAATACAGAATAGACCGTTCCAGAAACTCCAACAGCCTAAGTTCTAACTCACTAATCTAAAGTCTTCCATCCGGAACGAAGCGTATGATGTATTGTACTCTAGATCAATTGTATATTGACACGAAGATCTGAGGGAGGGGCGTGGGGAGATTCCGCGATGACAACTAAGTAGTTAGAACAAATCTTATAAACAACCTATCATCGGAGCAAATTCTTGGTAGTTGTACACTAAAGAATGGCGATGCTTTCCAGTAACTTTTCTGAATTGGTAGGCACACTAAATTAGTATGCTTTTCCTATGGAGGCATAAGCTAAGACACGATTAATGAAAGCTCATCTTTCGACTTTTTATGCTTAAAATGTACGAAACTTTAGTACAAGACCTTTCGTATCAGGACGATAAAGCAAGTGAAACATAAGCAAAAGCTAGATCATACCAGAACTCTCGAGTAAATGCCGATTACATTCTAGCCTTCCGCGCGCCCCGAGTACCTGCGAGTACCTGCCGATAGTTGAGGTATAAAATCAACACGACATCGAAAAGCAGGAGTCTAATCGATATCATAGATACGGGGTTTTTGAACCCTGAGATCTAGATCGCAGACTAAGACTAAAAATAATAGTCGATATTGTCTTTGCACTTGCACATGACAGAATCATACTAATACAGTGGAGTTCTTTCCATTCCTTACTTTAGGAGCAAAGGAATTTTAGAAAACTGTCAAGACAATAACATGGATTTTTCTGGTCTGGACCGCGGTTCTTCCATGCGCGAACGATGGAGAATTTCAGGTACGAAGATAGAAAGCTTATACAGGTTGATCATGAGTATCAAACCTTAGAAAGGAGTAATATCTAGGAGACTACCCAAAAATGCATCGAGTATGCCAAGATTATTTTACGTGAACTTTACGGCTAATTAGTAAAGGGGGTGACCGAAACTTTTCACCGCCAGATATTGCGATATTGCCACAACATCCTGAGGCTCTCATTACATAAACCACTTAACGCGCCCAAAATCTCGACGCGTCTCACAACTCAAAGATAGGTAATGGGGAATATTCTTTTAACGTAAACTCAACTCACAACAACAATTTTTCAACGCACCACAAACAGCTGTCGCAGAAATGTCGGACTATGAAGATGATATGGATATTGATGCTCCTCCTGTAGGAGATTCAATAATGTTCAACTCTGATAATACGAATTCAAAAGGCAAACGAAGCGCAGTAAATTTACCCGTGGAGGCAGAGGATAGTCTTCCATGGTGAGATGTTTTGTGATCTTGATTGTAGATGGATAGTGCATGTACTGATATACTTTTCAAGGGTCGAGAAATACCGTCCAGATACTTTAGAAGATGTTTCTGGTCATCAGGATATTCTTGCTACTATTAATAAATTTGTCGACACAAATGTACGCCATTCCTCCCTGTATCTTTAAATCTAGCCTGACAGTTACATGCAGAGACTCCCACATCTCTTATTCTACGGTCCCCCAGGAACGGGTAAAACCTCCACTATCCTAGCCCTTGCACGACGCATATATGGACCCAAAAACATGCGACAAATGGTCCTCGAACTCAATGCCTCCGATGACCGCGGTATCGAAGTTGTGCGCGAACAAATCAAAACATTTGCCTCCACTAAACAAATATTCTCCATGAACTCTGCCACCACATCTCCTGGTGCCTACAAACTTATTATTCTTGATGAGGCGGATGCGATGACTTCGACTGCACAGATGGCTTTAAGACGAGTGATGGAGAAATATACGGCGAATACACGATTTTGTGTTATTGCTAATTATACGCATAAATTGAGTCCAGCTTTGTTGAGTAGATGTACGAGGTTTAGGTTTAGTCCGTTGAAGGAGAGTGATATTAGGGTGTTGGTTGATAAGGTTATTATGGAGGAGAATGTGCAGATTAATGCAGAGGCCACAGATGCTTTGGTTAGGTTAAGTAAAGGAGATATGAGACGAGCGTTGAATGTATTACAGGCTTGTCATGCCAGCAGTAAGTTTTTTCATGGATTGAGGAATGATATCTGAGAACTAATATATTTTCGTCAGGTACACCAATTCACATCAAAGGCACACCCAAGATCGAAGAAAAAGACATTGTACGAGATCTCATCACCGAAACCACTATATACGATTGTATCGCCTCACCTCATCCAGCCGATATATCGAAAATCATGAACACGATTCTCAAAACCTCAGATGTGAAATCATGTTTACAAATGATCAATGCCATTAAATCCACACAAGGTCTCGCTTTGGCAGATATCATAACCGCTCTCTCGGAAGAGCTCACAAAATTGGATGTTCCAGCATCAGTTATGATTACATGGCTTCAAGGGTTAGCAGAAGTGGAATATAGGTTGAGTGGTGGTGGAAGTGAAGTTATACAGACGGGAGCAGTGGTTGGTGTTGTAAGGGAGGGAGCAGAACTTATGAATAATTAATGATATAATCACAAGTATTATTATGGCTGTGGAATTGTAAAAGTATAGGCGAAAATTTGAGGTAGGATAGGAGGGGTTCTAAAATATACCAAATTAGACTTGAATACCCATTCTTGAGGAATAGCTAAGATCAACATCAGTGATCTACTAATCCAAGCACCAATGCTTTCCTCTCCCCTGCACAATACTAATTTCTAATCTCTCACTTCGATAGCAAATGTTAAATAATCATTACTTGTATGCTATTATTAAAGGCTATACAATACTCCTGATATGATTTTTGGATTATGGCAAGCACTCACTTTTTAACCTCTCAAAATAAATCTATCACCATACAGCTTTCAACGGCCGATATAGGATCTTGTTAGAGATCAATGATATTTAACCATATGAAATGATGAGTATACCAAATTTCTCCATCTCTACGACCTCTAAGAAAGAAACGTGTCGAGCATCTGACAATCTAAAAGTCCTTATACCAAAATAAAAACTGTTTATCTCTCTTCTCATCCCTAATTCTAACTATACTCCCAACCTGTCAATAATCACCTATTTATCCTATATCTTACTCCTATCCCACCTCCACAAATGTATTCCCTGTAATCCATTCCTCTCTTCTTTTCTTGAAATTTGAATAAAAACCTCAATACCCATTCCTGAATCAGATCTAGTACGCATTATGACCATAGATATCTAATAGAATTAAAAAATTTAAATATCAAAATTATTTTCCTCGAGAGAAGTCTCCGTGTATTGACTTATTCAAACCTCTAACTAAGAAGCTGCCCTAAAAGTTAGATAACCATTAGATTATCACAACAAACCAAGAAAGATTTACTTCGCTGGCTCTGGGATGAAATTCCTACATTTTTCCTACCTTTTGGGCTTAAACCCCATCCATGCATCTCTCGATGTCAATAATTAGAACATCAAAAATGACTTTAAAACCATCCCTTTACAACACCAAAATGTTTAGCGAGAGATGAGCTCACCTCCTCATATACCAAGGACCTGAGCGAAGTCTATTTAAGCGATCATCCTATAATTGGCAAGTCAAAATTTTGAAACCTCCGCAGAGAATTATTTGCGAAAATAAACCTTCCCTCCGCAAAAATCTTTTTTTCCGTTCAAGTCAACATTGCTGTCAAAACAAACGTATTTGATGATGTTCTCGGCATTATTGGTATAAAGTGTTGTTTGTTACTGCAGACATCTAATCAACATTACGGGACTAACACCTGATTTTTCGAGTCTTGCATCTTCTTAACTTAGATCTTCTTTCCAGTATCTATCACAAGGTCTAAAATGGGTCACCAGACCATTACCTTTCATTCATCACTTAAATGCAGTATCTTAGCATTATCACACCAAGCTGTCTTAAAACACCAATACATCATGAACACAAAATATGGTTTGCCCTTCGCAAATTCTATGCTATGTGCTCGACAGCAATATTGATTTGATCTCCTAGAAATGAAAATTAAGCTCCATAACATTTCAGAACATCCTATCAAAGCAATACCTTCTCTATCTGTAGCAACCAAAGCGAAAACACCACTCACTTGCTTAAAGAGAATCCTGAAAATCCAACCGGGAAAAAGTCTACAAACTCCAAGAAAGGTAGCCAGTCTCATACTTAGAAAAACCAGAGCACCACACGATCCGAAGGCTATTCAAGACTAATGAATCACATTTAAAGGTGATAAAGCTTCGTATTAACTAGATAGCATGAGCATGAAGACCAAGAACCATCAACTGCAGGAACTCGAGCAAACAAAGATCTCTGTTTCATCAACAACAGAGGACGTCGACTTCTCAAATAACGAGCAAAAAAACCAGAGGAAGTTCTCTTTAGTATGAGAACGAGACTAAACTATAAAAATACATAATTGTGAAATAGTAAGACTTCATAAAGCGGCAAATGGAAATGTGATTTATTAGCGTGTTAGCTAAATCCCTCTGGTATTTATCTATTAATAATTTAGATATCTAATTTTGGAAAAAAGATTATGGATACACACACGCATTTGTGCATTTCCTTGAAACTGCGGTACGCTTGAGAGGAACGGTATAAGGATAAAGGTAGAGATGAGGTACTCGGACGAAGTAAGTATTCAGCATCTTGATCTCTCTTATAAAAAAAAAAAAAACCCTCAGAAAAATAATAAGACATTAAAACAGAAACCAGAACTAAAACGCCGACGAAGTGAAAATTATGGAAACTACTCCAATCCTTATTACTTACTTACTTGAACTCAGCGAATTCTAACCAGGAAAAAAAGGAAAGAAAGAAATATACGCAGTAAGATCTTATTTCCCTCCAGTAATTGATCGCATCATTAACCCTAAATCAGCTATTCGACCACTCCGTATACCGACCCAGCGCAGATATCGATCTTTTTGCAAGGTGATGATTGGTTTCAAGGCTTCTTACGAAAGGAAACCAAAGACAGCGATAGAATCGATATCTACGAACATCTTAATAAAACTATATTAAGATCTTACTTAACTTCTTTCTATCAAGCTAGAGTAGAAAGCACTTACCTCATACACCGAGCTATTGTAACAAATGCATACAACACATATAAATAAAGTAACAAAACAATCAATCAATAAACTAACTATAAAACTCAGCCAGCCCAGTACCGGTACCGGTACAGGAAAGAATAAACTGACAAAATCCGTAACTGGTAAACCTTATTCGAGTCCACCATCTTTAACTCTAGTACACCAGTATACAGCTGAAGATTCCCCCCCCACCCCACAGTAAGGTTACCTCCAGGGGCCACGATTTTCACGTGTGAGCAACTAATTCCGAATCCCATGCTCATTCTCATTCATATTCATAATCAGAATCATTCCGACATTTCAAGGTATGTATCGGTCTTATCCCACTCCGTTTCTTCAAATACGCAGAACATCTCCATATACATCGCAAGGAAACATCATTTATATACATACCGAGTACACACTACCGGTATTCATCCACACATATACTCCATACTCCATATTCCATTCCTAATCCATAAAATACAAGTCCTCGTACGTCCGTAGATCAGATCCGCCACAGAAACCACAACCCGGGACCCGATCTCACACCTCACACCTCACACCTCCCATCCACCAATCCACCAACCCTTCCTTCCCAATCAGCTCCTCAACCGTGATATTCCCGCATGGGGGAGGGACCTGCGTTACCTGTACATATCTGGACATGTCTGCAGCGGGTGCTTTGTAAGAAAGAAGTAGCTAGTACCTACTAGGTACATACATATGCCCGCCTCCTTATGTAAACTTGTAAATCAAAATCCATTGGATTGATTAGATGTCGATTTATAATTCATTACGGAGACATTATCCGGTGTTGTCGAATTTTTCATTTCAGAGGAGATTTAGGCAGGTATATTAATTGTTGAGCGTGTCATTTTCGTGCGGCGGTTTCTGTACTTTTGTGAGGTTACGCCGTGTTTTTATTTTGTGAAGAAACGAAACGAAAGAGCGGCAAAGGATTCGGGATTCGGTCAATAATGGGCTCCACCGATTTCGCAACAGCTTCTCCCTCTCTGCATCATGATTCTTTTCAATACGATGAGGACAAGACACCATATACCGCTCCTGTCATATCTCGAGATGAAGATTTGGATATTGATGAGGCTTCGAGGAAGATTTTGGAGAGGAGATTGGTGAGAAAGGTGGATTGGAGATTATGTACCATCGCGGGAATATTATGCAGTTTGAATTTGATGGATTCGGGAATCATTAGTTCGGCCAGTGTCGCGGATGATTTCTTCACTACTTTGGGATTGGGTGTCGGAAATAGATATGTGAGTTCTTACATTTCGCTGATTGAAGCCACTTTTGCATATGTGCTGATGAAGTAAATAGTCGGTCTCAATCTTGGTGTACACAGTGGCAAGTGTAACATTTCAGTTGCCAGCTACACTTTGTGTGAGGATGTGTGGTCCACGATTTGTATTCTCGTTGATTACAGTTGGCTTTGGAATTATTACCATGGTATGTATCTCTTGACTCGACACACGATTATTCAACATTGAAGAAAGGTTCTAATAAGAGGAAAAAGTGTACTGCATTCATCAATACCTGGGAACAGATGGTAGTCCTTCGTCTTCTACTTGGAATTGCCCAATCAGCTATCTTTCCTGGCTTGAGTTATCTCATTTCGACTTGGTATACGAGGAAAGAACAACAGCTTCGTTTCGCATTTTTGCAAACAGGTGAAGTTATTGTCGTGGGCCTGGGAATCTTTCTCAATTATGGTGTGAACCATTTGAACGGTAAAGGGAACTTGGCCGGTTGGAGGTGGATGTTTCTGGTGCAGGGTTTACTTGCTATAGGTATGTTATCCTGCTCAAAGGAACTTAGGGAGTCAAGAGTTAATGTGATAATAGTTCTGGGATTCGTAACCTATTTTTGGATGGTGGATTTCCCGGAAAATGCTCATAAAAGTCTTCGCTTCTTGACGGCCGAGGAGCAAAATCTTGCAGTGGCGAGAATTTCAGACGATAGGGGTGATGTGAAAGCTGAGGAATTTTCGCTTTGGAATTGCCTCGTCCATTTTCTAGATCCAAAGATCTACGGCTTCTGTGCTTTGTTGTTTTGTTTGAACTTGGTATCGACGAGTGAGTGTTGACTTCAATTTACTTTTTGAAATCAGTGTGCTGACATCAACCAAAGGCATGTCCTACTTCCTACCCATCATTCTGAAAAGTGGAATGGGGTTTTCTGAGGATAGTTCAATCATGTTGTCCGCACCACCCTATTTCTATGCCGTAATCCCCGTCATAATCTCCTCAATAGTTGGAGATTATTATCAACTTCGGGGCTTGGTAATAATTTTCAACAGCATCTGTACCATTGTAGGATTCGCTATGTTGGGATTTGCTAGCCAGGACACAGTTCGTTATATCGGAACCTACCTCTCCACGGGAGGATATGTATCGAACTGGGCGGCTATGAATGCATATCAATCATCCAATATCGTTGGACAATGGAAAAGAGCAACTTTCGCTGCTGCAAGTACTGCTTGCAACGGATTAGGAGGAATTGCCGGTGCATTCATTATCAGATATAATGAGGCGCCTCGATACATGACGGCGATTTGGGTCAGTATTGGATCTCATATCGTCATTATTGCTATCGTTGGTATGCTCTCGATATATTTCTGGCATGCGAATGGCCGACAGAGGAAGGGGATGGTATTGCTTGAGAGGACCATAGACTTCAGGTATACCTATTGAATTAGAGAATATATCTTTGGTCAGTAGAAGGAAGAATTCTCTTGTGTAGCTATGTATTAGAATGTCGGATATGACTACCTACGGTTTCGCATTCGAGGCGGAGCAGACAGAGGGGAAGTCCGAGTACTGCGTAAGCCGATTTTGCAGGCATGTGAAAATGACAATGTCGTCTTAATACAGATAACTGATTTCATAACCACCGTACTAGTGAAATATATATCGAGAATTCTGTTCAATAATCGGTTTGTCAGTTTAAACTTACTTGTCTTGATTTCCACATATCCGGAAATTCGGTCACTCCATCGAAGTCTGTGGCGCGTTGAAAGCTCGACCATCGTTCATCGGATCTATCGAATGGATTCCCCATGAATACAACACTTGTTGTTATCGATCTTCATGTCGTTATCATATACCGGTATAGATATCTATACCCCAGTAACTCTTACATGATATAGTTTATGCTTGGTCGTCCGTTGGGATATCCTAAGATAAATGCATAAATGTTGACTGATACACAAAGGCCTGGTGTAGAAGTTCCAATGCTGACTGACGCAGTTGATGGATGCCACTTAACCACGACATCGCTATATCGATGGCTGGTGAATGCGATGAATGACATATATTTGGGTTCTTAAATATTATCAACACAAGTTTGACTTTGTTCCAAAACTACTGAATTAGATGTTGCATCCTCAGATAACATGTCTCCTTGTTGTGCAGATAATGGGAACGGACGGACCGACGCTGTGATTTATTAATTTTATAATATCACATCTAGACGTGACCCTAGATACGGACATTTATTAAGACCACTCGCGCAACGTCATTTCCTATCAACTTACACCTCGCAATATCCGTGTTTACACTCATTTGTTCAAAACTACCTAGGTATTGCTCCTAAGATCTTAGAATATTCATTTAATTTGGTATCATTTAATTCCTCCTCATACATAAACCGTCGGCTCCAATAATCTAATACACCCCGTCACATTTGTTCGAGGCAGCACGTTCAATCCAGAACTGGGTAAATACGGCATCGCGAACTTGGAACGAACTACTGGATTTCCGAAATTACATGGGGCAGTACTTAGACCACTTCGCAGGACGATAACAATTTCCAGTCAAGCAGGAGAGTTTTCTCTCCTCATAGCTACTTTTCCGACGATTCATTCAAGATGGGTTTCTTGGGTGTTTATACCGCAGCATACGATTATGTGCCGGCAGGTGAGGGTGAGCTCACTATTAAAGAAGGGGACATTCTCTACGTACTAGAGAAGAGCACGGAAGACGACTGGTGGAGAGCAAAGAAGAAGGCTTCTGCGGAAGATGAGGATGAACCTGTGGGATTGATCCCGAATAATTACATCCAGGAGGTATGCATATTCTAATTTCATTTGGGGATTGTGACAATGTCATCTACGGACTGACATACCCTTTCACATAACAATATGCACATACTTGCTATGTCCGAGATGGCATGGCATATATTAACTTCTGTTTACAGTCAGCACCATCTGGCAAAGCTCGCGCTCTCTACGATTACACAAGACAGACGGATGAGGAGCTGTCATTCACAGAAGATGCACAACTCGAGGTCTTTGATACATCGGATCCGGATTGGATATTAGTGGGCTTTGAGGGAGAGTATGGTTTCGTACCTGCGAATTATATCGAGTTGTCCGAGGAAGAACAGCCCAAGGAAGCACCTGCTCCAAGTCTTCCAAGTCGGCCAAGACCAGCACCAGTTCCAGTAGAAGAAGAGGCGCCAGAAGCGCCTCAGTCTCCTGTATCGCCTCAGCCTGCCGAATCACCGGTAGCAACTCCGGCTGCTGCGATTGCTGGTATATTAAAGCAGAGGCAAGCTTCCGCTCCGGCAGCTCGAGCTCCACCAGAATTTACACCCGAAGCCTCAGATGAAGAGCCACCTACACCAACATTACCCGCGAGACCCGTGTCGCAAGTGCCATTGCCGCAGCCTAATCGAGAGCGGGAACAAGATCGGGAGCGAGAGCCTGCCCGCCGTTATTCTCCGAGACTTCCTGCATCTCCTGTTGTTACCGCGTCTCCCCCTCATAACAGAGTATCTTTCTCTACAATGGGTGTAGTGAATGATGTAGATGAACATCAAGCGGCTCGCGCGCCTGGTGGATTCCACATGTATAATATCAGCGAGATGGTGCATGTGATGGGTAAAAAGAAGAAAATGCCTACAACTCTGGGCATCAATATTGCTACAGGCACAGTTCTGATTGCTCCCGAACAAGCCCGGGATGGACCAGAACAAACTTGGACAGCTGAAAAGATGACGCATTACTCGTTGGAAGGCAAGCATGTTTTCATGGAATTAGTACGCCCAAGTAAAAGTATTGATTTCCACGCCGGAGCTAAAGACACCGCAACCGAAATTGTTAGTGCATTGGGAGAGCTTGCAGGTGCTGCCCGTGCCGAAGGATTAAGAGAGGTTATCGCCGCAGGATCTGGCTCCGGCCAAAAGAGAGGACAAGTTCTTTATGATTTCGTAGCACAAGGAGACGATGAAGTAGATGTGAATGTTGGAGATGAGGTCGTTATCATTGATGATGTGAAGAGTGAGGAATGGTGGATGGTACGGAGGGTCAAGAATGCAAAAGAAGGAGTTGTCCCAAGTAGTTACATTGAAATCATGGGCGCAGTACAATCATCAAGTTCGGCTGGAATAAACGCTGGGCGATCGACCGTTGAACAAAACAGGCTCGAAGAAGCGCGATTAGCAAGGGAAGCCCTAAAGACAGCGAAGAAAGACGAAGTTGAGGTAGGCCCTGGAATGCGACTACCCGAACGGGGTAGCAGCTTATTTGCTCGTGACAATGGTAACCAATCTGGGCAACAGAAGAGACGAGAAAGTGTCCGAGAAAGTGGTCAATCAAGGTCTTCGAAATCCAGTAAGAGATATTCTTCTGCAACATAACATGCTGAGGCTAACATTCATAGAACCCGATCCCGCTAAAGTACGAACTTGGACAGACCGTTCGAAGTCATTCAGTGTTGAGGCACAATTCTTGGCGCTGAAAGATGGTAAGATAAATCTTCATAAGATGAATGGTGTGAAAATTGCCGTCCCAGTTGTCAAGATGTCGGTTGAAGATCTAGAGTATGTTGAACGGATGACCGGTATATCTTTGGATGAAGATAAGCCTTTGTCAGACATCAAAAAGCAGCAGAAATCACGAGCAGCCGAGCGAGACTCGAGCAATGGTGTAAGTTCAGGTGTGGGTGCAGGTACGAGTGCAAGGACGGGTGCAGGTGCAAGTATCCAAACCCCTGAGTATGATTGGTTCCAATTCTTTCTGTCTTGCGACGTCAATGTGGGACTTTGTGAGAGATATGCGCAGGCATTCAAGCGGGATTCTATGGATGAAAGCGTTTTACCTGATATCGATGCAACCGTACTACGAAATCTTGGGATACGCGAGGGAGATATCATTAAAATAATAAGGTTTTTGGACAAGAAATATACGCGGAAAGATGGCAAGCGGAATGTCAGCTTTGGAGGTGAGGATGAGGGCGAAGCTGGCCTCTTTTCTGGACCAGGTGGTGCCCTGAAGAATAACACCAGGAAAGGTCGCCCGGCTCCTGCCGTCCAAACTAATGATGTGGTGGATGCCAATGCTTTCTCGCAAAATGGCACTGAGAAATCCTCACTTCAAGGAGTTGCCACGCCTCTTGCAAACGCTCCAACCCCAGCGGAAAAGGACGTCAAAAGGGAAGGATTTGACGATGATGCATGGGATGTTAAGCCATCGAAACAAGAAACCACGAGCAGTCCTCATGCCCAACCCATTCCTGCTCCAGCTCCTCAGCAACCTGCTATCACGGGCTCAATGCAAGAGCTCTCATTATTATCTACACCTTTAGAGCCGGTCAAGGCACAGCCAACTGCTCAAGCATCACCGCAGCCTCAAGCTCCACCGGCCGTTACACCTTCAATGTTTGCGGGAATTGGAAATCAACAAACCGGACTTCCTCAACTACAAACCCTTCCTTCAGGACCTTTATTTCCCGCAAACTTAGCACGCCAACGTCCTGGCCCCCCTCAAATGACCGCAAACTCTACTCTGATACCACCACTTCCCCCTTCGCGTCCTCTATCAGCTCCTCAAGCTGCCAGTGCTTATGCTCCACCTCCATTGCAAGCTCAAGCTACTGGTTATGGAGCCTTCCAACCTCAAATTGCTCCTCCTGGACAAAGTCTTCATGACCTCAATCAACAACGCATGCAACAACAACAACAGCAGCAGCAGCAGCAGCAGATGCAACAACAACAGTTTATGCTACAACAGCAACAACAAACAGGCATGATGCAACAACCTACGGGATTCAATCAATTTAATCCAGGAGTACCTAACAACTTTCAACAATTTCCTATGCAGACAGGTAACCCCCAACAGCCTTTCATGCCCAACCAAACCGGTACACCATTCGCAAACCCCCCAGCACAACCATTCCAACCACAACCGCTTCAAGCCCAGCCTACTGGTTTTCAGAGCGCATTCCCTCCTGGGCAACAATATCCTCAACCCACTGGTGTAAATTCATACTTGCCTCCAGCTCTGCAACCTCAACCAACTGGCATGATAAATGGAGCCAATGGCTTCAATCAGACTTTTACTCCACCACCAATCCCACCTATGCCGCAGCAGCAACAAGCCGCATTACTCCCGCAGGCGACCGGGCCAGCACCACCAGGTAATTTTGTGCTCTTATCAGAATCTCCGTGCAAGCATTTAACTAACTCCTATTGCAGTTCGGTTCGGAGTCAATGGCACTAATAATATTGCGCCTCAACCCACTGGGAGACGCGCGAACCTTGCACAAGCCAGTAAGATTCCGTTTATGCTAAGTTATGAATGCAAAGTGCTAATACTATCTAGCTCCTCAAAATCCATTTGGATTTTAGGTTGACTATAAATGTACATTTAATCCTGGCTATGAATTAATTTTCTCTTGTAGCATAAGCAAATAAGCATGGCTAAGCATTGAGATGTTTAAAGTTTTTTCCACTTCACTTTTCGCAGTTCGTTTAGATGGCCATATATTTGTGGCCCAAGCAATTTTAGGCGTACGTAGGTTATGGACGTCCATAGCGGTGGGTATCATATGATATTTAATTGAAGCAAAATTCATGAGGGTATTTCTGTATTATGTTCAGATTGTGATGGTGATGGTGATGGTGATGGTGATAGTAGTTAATATTCATCTCTTTCAAATGCCTAATCATAATCATAATCATAATCTTAGCTTTGTGGCTATAAACGAGATAAATGTTTTATAGATGGTGTTTTGAGTATTATTATAATATATACTGTGTATGGAGAGCTATTGATATAATAAGTTGGTAGATAGATAGGTAGTAGGCAGGCAGGTAGGTAGAGAGATATAGGTAGGTAAATTGAAATGTGGAAAGTACAAAGTGCTAGGGAGAACTGGAATCTTGGGATTTATTTATAGGTTATAGATTATGGATTATAGAATATAAAGAATGGGATGGGTATGGAGTATGGAGTATAGAATATAGAATATAAAGTTGTTTATTTGTTCTTTAAACTCCTACTTAGGCTTTCATGTAAGTCACTAATAATCTCCACCTCTCTTCTAACTAGCCCAGGCCAGTTCCGCGTCCCTCTCTGCTTTTTCACGGCATCCTACTCCTTACTCTCTCCCTCTCTTCCATTCAAGGCACTTCATTCCCCTCCCTCATTGCCTTCCCCAACTCCGACTGAGCAAGATCATCCGCATACCTTTGATAAATCGGCAAATAATATTTCGTCTCACTCAAACTCATCTGAATACTCTTCCTTTCCTCAATAGCCTCTACCCATTTCTCCCATCTTTCTCTCATATCGCCTAATTCCTCGATATGCAAACCACCTTTGAAATAATCAAAAACCCAAATGCGGAGAGCCCAAGGTGCTAGGGTAAAATCTACCAGACACGGATCTTTCCCTGTGAAATAAGGTCCGATGGGGTCCATTTCCTGGGTGAAGTCATAGATGGACATAAGGAATTTAGTGCGGAGAGAAAGGAATTTGGGATCCTGAGAAGATAGAGGTTGATATTGAAGAAAGCGGTGAAAAGCAGGGATAATACGAGAAGTAGTGTGATCGATCCAAATCCTCAGACGAGCTTTCTCGAATGGCTCTCGAGTCAGTAAACGCGGCCAGTGAGATGGATATGCATCCTCGAGGAATTCGCAAATGATGGTGCTTTCGTAGAGTGCTTTGCCTTCATATTCCAGAGTGGGAATCAAACCGCGGGGATTGAGTTTGAGTAGAGAGGAAGGTTTGTGGTATGGGTTTACTTCTATGTATTGGAAGGCAATATTCTTTTCTAGGAGAACGAGGAGCACGCGTTGCACGAAGGGACAGAACTGTTTTGCGTGAGTGGAGGAGCTTGTTTAGGATTAGACTTGGGGATTGTATACCCATCCAGCGTACAGTTTGACTGGCTCTTCTCTAGAATGCTCTCCTACCATCTGAGCTGCAAAGCCGGTAGCGTGAGGAAAGACATCTGCATCTGGGTGTGAGTTCGTCATGGCGAAGGGTCGAGCGATGTGACTTGGATACTGCTATTACAGAAGATAAGTTGTTTCTGGCAGAAAAGAAAGTTTTGTTTACCTGATCGACTTGCTTACTTGCTAGCTACCTACTTTCCTGGCAATGGTCTTACCTATTGCCTGCTCAAACTCAGAAGGTGTGGGCATAAATCAAAGATTATTTGTCATTTTGGGGATCAAACTTCGATGATGGGAATGTTGGCTTTCCATACAAATCGAGCCACACCTGTTTGATTTTTGAGCCACACTTTTGAATGTGGGCTGTTACCTTGGAGTTTGGTATCTTTAATGATCGGACGAAGATGCCCACAGGTGTATGCATACTGGGTAGATAGGTAGTAAGCAAAAGTTAGGCATTATTACAGTCATCAGGGAATATCCATATAAAATCTAACTTGCAATAAATACTAACTTTTAACCTTGTCATTTGAACAGTTACTGACCAATTACCAATTGCTCCTTGTCCAGCTGAGAAGAGTCAGATTTACCTGTCAGATGTGTGGCTGAATTCTCTATGAACGAAGAGTGGCGGGGCTGTGCGAACCACCTTTTTGTCCAACATCCTTCACTATCTTTCTCCAAAGATTTCAATAACCTCGATTTAGTATCGACATTTACCTTCCTATCTATTTCCCGCAAAGAAATCTCAAATCGCAAATCGACACAACCACCCGTTGCGAAAAAATGACAGGACCGTCAACGTAACCACTCCTCTCCTCTTTTCCAACTAACAAACTCAACCCCTCCCTCACTCAAAACTCAAAGAAACAACCTACTAACAAACACACCCAACCACAGACCCGGGCAAGAAGGGCCCTCCTTCGCACCACCACCACTCCCCTCAGGCTGGATCGCCCAATGGGACGGCAACAGCAAGAAATATTATTTCGTGCAACTAAGCACCGGAGCTTCGCAATGGGATACACCTATCCATGCTGCACCTACGGGACCCACACCTCAAGCTACACCGCAGGGAACTGAACATCCCTATGGATTACCTGGGGAAAGTCACGGGGGAGAATATGGAAATAATATGAATAGTATGCACGCGCATGCGCAGCCTGCTGAGATGGGTGGTGATGGGACGAGGGGATTTGGAGGGGAGAATGCGGGTGGAGATGGGGAGAGAGGTATTGGGGTGAGTTTTTGATTATTTTGTGGTTTTTTCTTTATATTTTTGATTATTTTACTTCAAGGTGTGGGATACTAATCTATAATGTTGCAATAGTCCTTTATTACAAACCAATATTTGAAAAAGCAAACCGGAGGAATCCTAGGTGGAAGTAGTAGTTCCAATCAAGGAAGTGGTTTGGGAAGTCTAGGTGGACTCGCAAGTTCATTCTTGGGAGGATCTTCAGGATCAAGTCATAACAATAATAATAATTCGCATTCAACAAGTGGCAGTGGCACATCTGGGATCGCGGGTGCTTTGGGTAGTTTATTGGGTGGTGGAAAGAAAACAGACAAACCACCAGCACAGAGTTCGAGTTATTCCAGCTCGCAGACTGGTCAACATGGTCAGGGTGGTGCTAGCGGATTGATGGGAAGTTTGGGTGGAATGTTTGGACATCAAGGTCAATCTGTAGGTGGAACTGTTTCGTCGATTTTTGGTATTGTGCTAATATCTAAATAGCAGGGTGAAAACTTCGGATATTCGAACAACAGCAGCGCAAGCCAAGGAGGTTATTCTGGAGCAGCTCCTCCAAGTTCTTATCAGCCTGCCGGCGCAAGTCAGAACTCATACAGCTCTCCAGCTCCCGCACAATCCTATGGCCAAGGACCTACACATACAACATCGTCACAGTCCTATTCCCAAGGACATAACCATTCTTATTCTCAAGGATCTGCATCATCCCATCAATATGATCCACAAAATCCATCTCATGGCATGCCACCAAAACAACAATATGGTGCTCCGAGTCAACAATCATCGTACGGTGCTCCTCAACATCAGTCTACATTCGGAAATGCTCCGCAATCGCAACATAATCAATACCCGGGACCTCCAGTTTATGGATCTGGTCCAAGTTCTCCAGGTGGATACGGTGCGCCTCAACATCAACAACATCAAGGGCATCCGCAACATCAACAGCACCAGCAACAGCAACATCAATATGGTGGCCCGCCTGGTTCAGAGATGTCAGGGGGCATGTACGGTGGCGGAGCTCCTCCTATACCACATGGAAGCCATCCTCATCATGGCCAACATCATCAACAACATGGCTCGCAAGGTGGTTCATCTGGTGGTTACCCTCCTCCTCCTTCCAGTGGTTATCCTGGTCAACCAGGATGGTAGTGCTTTAATCGTAGTATGATGGATAGAGTAAGCGAGCTAATAACTCCGGTGTGTTTGGGACGGCTAGGGCTTCTTCTGATAGATCGATATCCTGTATATGCGAAAACTGCATGGCTTTTGGAGAGAATACTCTTTATGAAATATGATAGCCTGCTATTCATGAATTCTTCTTCTCACTCTTCAACTCATTGGCACCAATCGTGCACATCCAATCCATGACGTATTTTGAAGCATACCAGCTTCCGACAGCAAGTAAAATTACATATGCGATAGTGGGTACTAATGATCTGGGAAGGATATTGAATATGTAAGGGTCCAGAATAATGTCGACTAATACAGGTGGAACATCCTCCATAAGAGTTCGATTCATGGTATAATAATCTGCAGCTGCATAAATCTGTAGAAATAATGTTGAAGAGATATCATCTTTATGCTTATATTTAAAGTCGGCATGGGAGATTTTGGGGATATGATCTTGAACATCATTGAACACAGGCTGACGAGTCTCTGAATATTGTGCAAGAGATGTAATCAATTCAGGGGTTTCGAAAACGGCTGTTAAGTCATAAGTGTTAAGACGAAATGAAGTTGGATCCTGGATTGATTAAGATTCATTAGCAATGATCCAGATTTTAAGCATTTCAAGCTCGGAAAATATGGAATACGGAGAGGCGTCTCGTACCGTGGCTGCCCAGCACACTCGCACTTCATATCGTTGTCCCTCTTCCAATCCCTGGAGAAGATACCATGAAGATTGGCCATATTTTGAATTGGATGTAGGGAATTCGGCATCGATGTGTGTTCGTAATATGTGGTGTTGGGGTGAGAGGGCGGAGAGATGCAGGTCGGAAAGGGTTGGATGAGCTGCGGGGATTTGCAGGGCTGAGGGACCGAGGAATATGGCTTTTTCGGTGTTTGCTGATGCTTGTTGGATTTGTGAGGTTAATAGGAGGAGCAGTGAGGGAATGGGAAGGAGGTTGGTGGTATATTGCATGGTGAAGTGTTGTGTGGAATAATACCGGTATGAAGAGTTGGGGTTGAATAGTTGTGAATCTCCGATCTATAGCTAGGTACCCAGCTACTGTCCCTAGTACATACCAACCAAATTTCTTCTAGAAGGCTGGTTATTCCGAGATGTTTCAAATTTACCAAAGGTTACCAATCTCCATCTCCATATTTAGTCCATTTTGGGTTAAATTGATTTAAAAATGGAGAAATTCTAGAAGCAGTGACTATATATTCTTAATCCTTACTAATTTTCCAATCGCCAACGCGGTCACCCCTTTATTCTATTAGATAAAATATCCCGTTGTTTATTTTTGATCCACTTTTCAAGAAGCGACGACTTTAATTCCTCAACACCCAAGTTCCAAGTTCCTAGTCCCCCTGTGCTTTCTCATTCCCCACTATCGTATCTTCCCAAAAAAGTAACCATATTTGACCAACATCTTGCAAGAGATTTCCTTGCTAAGATCATCTTTCTCTTCTACATAATCTCAAATCACAACTACCTCTTCACCTATCTACTATCAAAATGCGTGAAGTTATTAGCATCAACGGTAAGAATCCTTTCGACGCGTTTATACTATACACCGCTATCACAAGGGGTTGTTTTGTAAATAACACAATGTTGACGATGAAAGTATACTGATGTGTATCTCCTATAGTCGGTCAAGCCGGTTGTCAAATCGCAAACTCTTGCTGGGAGGTAAGTTCTCAAGTCGACAAAATCCATATTGTCGTCGCGGCGGATGATGGCTATGGAGCTCGCATAACTGACAGATGTTTCTCTCTTGCAGCTCTACTGTCTTGAGCATGGTATTCAGGTAAGCATAATGTTTATAACAACCTTTCTAATACTCCTAGCCTTTACTGACAACGTCTCTAACAGCCCGATGGATACTTGACCGAGGAACGTAAAGCCGCCGACCCCGACCAAGGCTTCAGCACCTTTTTCTCCGAAACCGGTATGCATACAAAATACAGCTACAACATTATGATATGTCAGAATACTGACAGGATTCTGCAATAAAGGTCAAGGAAAATATGTTCCACGTACTATCTACTGTGATCTCGAGCCAAATGTCGTCGATGAGGTCCGTACCGGTACATACCGCAACTTGTTCCACCCGGAACAAATGATCACAGGAAAGGAGGATGCCTCCAACAACTATGCCCGTGGTCACTACACTGTTGGCAAGGAGTTGATCGATCAGGTTTTGGATAAGGTTCGCCGGGTTGCCGATAACTGCTCTGGTCTCCAAGGTTTCCTCGTTTTCCACTCTTTCGGTGGTGGAACTGGATCTGGTTTCGGTGCTCTCCTTATGGAGCGTTTGTCAGTCGATTTCGGAAAGAAAGTAAAGTTGGAGTTCTGTGTCTACCCAGCACCACAAACTGCTACCTCCGTCGTTGAACCATATAACTCTATCCTTACAACCCACACTACTCTTGAACATTCCGATTGTTCTTTTATGGTTGACAATGAGGCTATCTACGACATCTGCAGAAAGAATCTTGGTCTTGAGAGACCTGACTACGTCAACTTGAACCGATTGGTCGCCCAAGGTATGCTGTTCCTGGGAAATGGAAATTGTTTCTTGTGCTAATAATCTACAGTTGTTTCTTCCATCACCGCCTCCCTCCGATTCGATGGTTCCCTCAACGTTGATCTTAACGAGTTCCAAACCAACTTGGTTCCATATCCACGTATCCATTTCCCTCTCGTTGCCTACGCCCCAGTTGTCTCCGCCGCCAAGGCATCTCACGAGGCCAATTCCGTCCAAGAAATCTCCATGTCTTGCTTTGAGCCCAATAACCAGATGGTCAAATGTGACCCACGCAACGGAAAGTACATGGCTACTTGCTTGTTGTACCGTGGTGATGTTGTAACAAATGATGTTCACGCTGCTGTGGCCACTCTCAAAACTAAGCGCACCATTCAATTTGTTGATTGGTGCCCAACTGGTTTCAAGATTGGTATCTGCTTCCAGCCACCTCAAACCGTTCCTAACGGTGATTTGGCCAAGGTTAACCGTGCTGTGTAAGTTCAACCCGCCCCTTTATTGAAAATACCTTGCTAACCCTTTTTGAAGATGCATGCTTTCAAACACAACTGCCATTGCTGAGGCATGGTCCGCCCTTTCCCACAAATTCGACCTTATGTACTCCAAGCGTGCTTTCGTGCATTGGTATGTCGGTGAGGGTATGGAGGAAGGTGAATTCTCCGAGGCTCGTGAGGATCTTGCCGCTTTGGAGCGTGATTATGAAGAAGTTGCAACAGACTCTCTTGAGGGTGACGAGGGTGCTGATGCGGAGTACTAAATCATTCCCTTGTTTCATATGTCAATCTTCTACGAGGTTACATATCCGCAAAGCTTTATTTAGTACTTGATATGGTAGCGTGTGAGTTCTTGAGGCGTGTTTTAAAGCATGATCATGTTTCCCGGCAAGCCGATAGAGTCATTCTTCCTTTCAATGAATTCACGAAGGAATCTCTCTTTTTTTTAATCAGAATGCTTTTTTGTAATCCAAATACCACCAATCCTAGTAGCCAATACAGATAGCAATAAGAAAATGTTGTGAAATGTGATTAATGAATGTAATTGGGGACTAAAAATGGCACAACTTGTTGTTTTTCTTGTGCAAAATACCAGATTTGCACATTAATAAGTAGAGTATCTATTTTAAGGGGTTCATGAGAAGTCGTCAAGCTAGCTGCACAAGCAATGTAATGTCTGTATGTCACACATTCAAGACTAGTGTATATGTACGTACCACAATAGCATAGCAGTAACCTCACAGAAACAATAAGATTGGGCAAATCGAACCAAGGATTTGGCAGCAGAAAGTGGCCCAAGTAGGTGAGATTCCTACATGAAAGAATGTGAGTGGTTGGGTTTATGCAATGATTGATTCTCATTCATTTACAGAAGCGAAAGGCGGAGAAATCGGAAATCGGTAATAGGTAGGTATCATCTGCTGCTGCTAGGTTATGAATGTGACCGGGCTTGTTCGTGGCTCTGTTCTGTTTACTCCGTACGAACCACACGGGTGACGGAGTAAACTAATAAAACTACCTACCCAACTACTTCCTTAGTACCTTGCTTAGGCCTGCTACCTCGCTTTATTGGTAACCTAGTTTTACCAAGATATCTACCTACCTACCTACCTACCTATCACAACGCTACCTGCGCTTTAGGTTGAACTTGGAAGAAACGAACAAACGAACGCCCTCCTCCCACGTTTTTCTTTCGATACAAGTTGATAATTACGGAAGGAAGGAAGCTACCTGCTTTTCGTTTTGTTTTGGCTGTTTTACTTTGAATTATTCGAGATCGCGTCATTTGAGATAGCTCCCTCTAGCATTATCGCAGCTTCGTTCGGCGGTTACGAAGCTTCCCTTGAGTTATTGTCGATTTCGCATTATCTGATTCTTGACCTAGATATTCAGCAGAGCAATTATAAGATCAACATGGCAGAAGATCCTAGTAAGTATAAATTCATTTAAAGCTCCATGAATGGTCGCGGCTGTTCATAGCTATATGCTATGTTATACCATAGCTGCACGGGATCTGGTGGACGAGTAAATGCAGCAAATACTAACACACTCTAGCGGCACCAGCCTTAAATTTGAGCCCGGAAGAAAAACGTGTCTTTGGGCAATTGTTTCGACAGGCGGATACGGAAAACATTGGAGTGGTGACGGGAGAAGTGGCTGTTAAATTCTTTGAGAAGACGAGATTGGAACCAAGGATTTTGGGGGAGGTGGGTTTCAGCTGTTTACTTTTGCTTTTGTTTGTTGTAGTCGACGCAGCGCGCGGAAGATAAGTGAGTTTGTATGCATATGATACTGACTTTGCTCGTAGATATGGCAGATTGCAGACAAGGAGAATCGAGGACTTCTGACACCGGCGGGCTTTGGTATTGTACTACGACTGATTGGTCATTATCAAGCTGGACGAGATCCTACCCCTGAATTAGCTTTGCGCCCTGGACCACTACCAAAATTTGATGGAGGTTTAGTTACTCCCACTCCTACATTTCAACCTCCTGCTGGGCCGCCCCCCGCTGCTCTACAACCTCAACCAAGCGGATCTGGACCAATTCGAGTCCCCCCTCTTTCCGCCGAGAAATCGACACAATATGCTCAACTTTTTGAGAAATCGGGGGCTCAAGGAGGCATTCTCCCAGGCGAACAAGCTAAGCAGATATTCGAGCGCGCGGGTTTACCGAATGAAATACTGGGTAGGATATGGAATTTGGCAGACACGGAACAACGAGGAGCTCTTACATCTACGGAATTTGTGATTGCCATGCATCTTCTGGCTTCCTTTAAATCCGGTCAACTTCGAGCTTTACCAAATATTCTTCCCGCGGGACTTTATGAAGCTGCTGCACGGAGAGGAGCCCCTAACCGTCAATCTACTGGTAATAACATATCGGCGATGCCAAGACAATTCAGTGGCCAGCACGGAAGGGCCAATAGTCCTTTAAGTCGACCCGCATATGCTTCTCCTCAGCAGATGCCTCAGCAGATACCTCAGCCTACCGGTGGTGAATGGGCTATTAGTCCTGTAGATAAGCAAAGATTCGATGGTATATATCATACCCTCGACAGAACCGGCAAGGGATATATTACAGGAGATGAGGCCGTGCCATTCTTCTCGGATTCCAAACTCCCAGAGGAGGTTTTGGCACAAATTTGGGATCTTGCCGACATAAATTCAGCTGGTCATTTGACCACGGATGAATTTGCCGTCGCCATGTACCTCATTCGACAACAGCGAGGTAAAAAGGATGGCCGAGATTCGTTACCTGCTACTTTACCTCCAAATCTTATTCCGCCAAGCATGCGAAATCAAGTCAGACCGGCGCCCATGCCCACAGCTCCAGCTTTTGAATCTCATCCCCCAACAATGCCCAAGTCAGCTGCCGATGACTTGTTTGGGCTGGATGCACTCTCATCACCACCTGCACCTGTTCAAGCACCACAATCAACTGGAGGTTCTGCGTCTTTTGGTCCGAATCGCCAATTACATGCTGATCCTTTCGGAGTCAGCGCCCAACCTTTAGCACCAAGTTCGCCAGTTCAACAATCTCCCCAGCATACAGGATCTGTCTTTAAGCCTTTCGTTCCATCCTCCTCTTTCGGTCATACCCTTACCGCTCATCTCACGGGAGGATCTAACAATTCTGCCCCCAATCGAGCGTTTTCGCAACAACCATCTGTCAGTGAGGATCTTCTCGGTGATAATGATCCAGAGATCAGCAGCAAGTTAACTAGCGAGACTACCGAGCTTGCAAATTTGTCTAACCAAGTTGGCACGTTATCGACACAGATGCAGCAGGTACAGAGTCAAAGGAGTGCAACACAAAATGAATTAACCCAAGCCGATTCACAGAAGCAACAATTTGAGGCACGTCTTGGTCAACTGCGAGCATTGTATGAGCAAGAAGTTAAAGATGTCCGAAGTTTGGAAGAGAGATTGAATGCTTCGCGTAATGAGACTAAGAAGCTTCAAACAGAAATGGCCATGCTTGAAGCGACTTACACGGATGTTCAAACACAACATCGACAAATCGTTACGGCACTGCAAGCAGATCAACAGGAAAATGCTAGTTTGAAAGAGCGAATGCGTGTAGTCAATGCAGAAATTACGCAATTAAAGCCAGCACTTGAGAAATTGAGGTCAGATGCTCGTCAGCAGAAGGGTTTAGTTGCAATCAACAAGAAGCAATTGGCAACTAATGAAAGTGAACGGGATAAGTTAAAGGGTGAGGCCTCAGATTTGACAAAAAGTATTGAAGAAGATACCGCTGCTCTTGCAGCAGCCGCTAGGGCTCGTAGCCAAAGCCCTGTTCAGGCTAGAGCACAAAGTCCTGCTTCAGTTGCAAGTCCTGCACCTTCTACCATGAGTGCTAATAACCCATTTTTCAAACGCCAAGCAACGGGTGGAAGTAATACTGATATGGGCTCTGCTTTTGCTGCTTCGCCCGTGCAGCAAACTGATCGTTCATTTGAAAATGTATTTGGCCCAGCATTTGGTTCCGCCTTACCACATCAAGAAACAGCAGCACCTCCTACTTCGTTCAAGCAAGATCTTCCAACCCGACCACAAACAAGTGGTGGCTTTTCTACCCCATCTATAACAGGCGAAGCAGCTCCACCGATGCCTGCATCAAGACAAATTAGCTCAAGTTTCCTGCCATTTCCAACCCACGATGATTCTGTAAGCTCATCGCGACAAGTTTCTGCACCCAACAGCAGATTCGGAGATAATTCAACCGGAGGTGAGACTCCGACAAACTACATGGGAACCACTCCTACAGGTTCTTCTATTACGAATCAAACTGAACCCGTTATAACAGCCAGAGCAGTCTCCCCTGATATTGATCGTCGCTCTACAGCTTCTCCTGCCGTTACCGAGTCGAAGGATAGCATTCCGGGAGCATTCCCAGGTGATGACAATTCTAACATTGTTGCTACCCCTACTGGTGGTACTACGTTAAGCGAACAGGTTGCTGCAGATCCATTTGCGACGACTAAGGAGCCAGTACGATCTGGTACAGCAAAGGATGACTTCGATGCAGCCTTTGCCGGATTTGGTAATTCTAGCAAGGCCCCAGAGCGCTCAAATACAGGAAGCTCTACTGAGCCCTCAGTAGCTACCGCAGCTTCACCTGGATTTGGTCAAGAGTTCCCTCCCATCTCGGAATTAGATAATGATGATGAAAGTGATAGTGCTAGTGAGGGTGGATTTGGTGGCGGCGGTTTTGACGATGACTTCAACCCAGCTTCTCCCGCGCAGGTTAGGAAAGCCGCGGAGGGTACAACTGGAGGTGCAAAGGAGCTTTCGAATACACCAGCTCCTGCTGCTACTGTTGGTGGTGATCCTCCAACTCCTAATGCTCAAGCTTCACCACCAGCTTATGACAAAGCTGTTTCCCCAGCCGATCAAGCACACTCGGAGGTTCAGCAATATTCTGGACTTCTTCCATCTCGAGAAGTTCCACCTTCCGAACATTCTTCTGCTACGGCGGCACCTCAAACATCTTCGCAGCCAGCTCCACCTGTTAAAGTTCCTTTTGATGATGACTTCGGTGACGAATTCGATGATCTTGAGGACGCAAAAGAAGGTGAAGCTGATGATGAGTTTGCCAATGCAGCTTCATCTATTCATGAATCAAGAAATGGCCTAGATGATTTTAATCCCATGTTTGATAGTCCCCCAACATCTAAACATCAAGATCATTCGGGCAATTCTTTCGGTGGTGATGCTTCCGGATTTGGAGATTTTACCTCGCCTCCAAAACCAACAGCAACTGGGGCAACAGCTGTAAATGATAATCATGATTGGGATGCAATTTTTGCCGGTTTGGATGCACCAGGGGGTGATGCAAGTGCTTCTGCGGCGCAGGGTAATGGTAACGGTGCTGGTGCAGCTTCAAACGATAACTCTATTGCTGGTAAGTCTAGGCTGTTTTCTTCTCCGATCGTTTTTCCTCCTACACTTTGTTTCCTCAGTTAGCACCTTCACTTATGGCCAACCAACATGGTGGCAGCCTCATTCCTGGAATAGAATGACTCATCCGTATTGATTGGTCGAAATCCAAAAACGAGCACGTTTGTATGTGATGGAAATAGTAGAGAAATTAACATGTTATTTAGGAGGAGCTCCAAGTGGGAGTGAAAGACCACTAGTTGGGAGAGCTCTTACCGAAGCTGGAGAACATGACGATCCGATTTTGAAGAACCTTACCGGGATGGGGTATAAGAGGAATGATGCTTTGGCTGCGTTGGAGAAATATGATTATAACTTGGAGAGGGTGAGTATTTCTTTTTTTCTTTTGGTGAATTTTTGGGTCCTTGGTGGTTTTAACGTTTTTGAATCTGGGAGTGGACTCTAAGGCTATTGATTGCGGTGTCGTCTTTATTGGGTTTGAATTTGTTGGATGAGATGCTAACTTTTGGGTGTTATAGGCAGCCAACTTTCTAGCGAGTCAATCTTGAGTGTGAGAGATTAACGGTTGGGGGTTAGTGAAATAATGTAGATGGTATGGGTATTGGGATAGAATTGAGTATAACGCTCATAGGAGAGGATCAAACTGTGAGTCTGAGATGGTCGAAAAATGGAAGACGGTTGAAGATAGGGTTGGGGACGGTGGGATGGGGGGACGGGGGAATGGTGGGAATGGTGGGATGGGGAAGGGCGGAAATGGAATGATGGAAGACGGAAGGAAAAGACGAAGGAATTGTGCATACATAATAATCACGTTAATATTGTACTGACTACGTTATATTATATCTTCTTTGCGAGCAGCTGAGCTTAGTTAGTAACTGGTTTGTTTTATTCGTTTATATCGTTTACTTTTAATAAGTGGAAGAGAAAGAGAGGTATATGAGAGGTTATTGAATATAAAAGAGAGAGAGAGATTGATATCTATTACTATACTCTAACCCTAATACGAGGGTATGTGTTAACAAAGACACGTATCGATGAGATCATATGTTGATGAGGGTATATGTTTAAGATTGGGATAGTTAGACGGAATCAGGGAGGAGTGATATAATCTTACATGAGGCGTTTTTTACTCATATATTAAAATTCTATCTGCTTTAGAAGAGCGTTGAATCATTTCCATTCCATACCAATTATCTATCTGCAAACAGGCATCATCATGAAAATCGAAATCGTCAACATCCTAGAAAAGGTCAAAGGTTCCCATGTCACTTCCATCCAAATCCAAATTCAAATCCATTTCTAAACCCACATCCACTTCCACTTTCACTTCCTCATCCTCATCCTCATCCTCATCGTCATCGTCATCGTCATCGTCATCGTCATCGTCATCGTCATCGTCATCTTCAGCATCACTGTCAAACTCCAAACCACCTGCAAATTCATCATATCCATCGTATTCGCTATCGCTTTGCGGAGCCTGGTTTATTGGATGCGAGCAATCGAAATCCGAAGTTGAGTTTAAGACTCTGAGTTCATCTGGCATAGTCTCCTTGTTCAGAGGAGTCAGAGCATTACGACCAGTCGTGATCGGCTTCCGGTTTGTGGTGTATCGGAATGATTCTCCGTCGGCGTTTGACTTTGCGATTACATAGCGAATGGGCGGTGCATCCTGAGCTCGCACTAGAGAACTTACATCGCCCTCTTGGAGACTATCGCACCATTCTCGAAAATATTTCCAGAGTTTCCTTCTTTGCTCCGCTTCTCTGAAATGAGCAGAATTGGACTTCTCGTAACCTTGAGAGGTAAGCATATACGAAGGGAAACGCTCATTTGGAATATCCTCCGGCTCAACGAACTCCACGCCGTTGAATAGGGAAAAAGCAACTTCGTTCAGAACAATGTATATCTCCTCGCACATTTGAAATGGTACCCAATCTATCGATCCCGGAGTCCACCTATTACCATTACCCCGACTAAGGCTCGGCTCACTCCATACCCGATAATCGATAGCCAGAATCTTCACCATGCGATACGGAGCACGACCATCATATAATGACAAAGAGCAAGGAAGAAGATTGCCTGGCTTATTCTGAACCACCCACATGATATCCGCATGTGGATTCATATAATGTTTTGGAAGTGAAGCGTGGGAGTTTTTATCACCCCACGAACTGTAATCGCAGTAGGTGAAATAGGGAAATTGTAGTACCATGCCCTCCTCATAAGCTTCTTTACAGCTTTGCATAATCACTGTAATTCTGCTGCGAGTCGCTGCTCGATCCGTGATAACGTGGAGATGCGGACCCATAAGAGCATGTTTCCAGATATGACGACGAATTTCCAACGGGAACGTGGGGAATAAAGTAAAGGAAGGCGAGTTTGTTTTTCCGGTGCGTTGATAGATAAGAATCTTTTCGACTTGTTTTCTTATTTCGGCCAGTTCTGCTGCGTCTACTAGAACTTGATTTTTGCCTACTTCATCTTGAGTTGCTCCTGTTTGTTGTTGATCTTGCGGTGGGGATAGAAGACCTGATTCTGATTCTGGCGCTAAGGCTACAGTCTCATCGTTTGTTGTTTGCTCCTGAGGAGTGGAAGTCTCCATATCTTTTGGAATGGGTTCCGATGGTGACATGAGGATTTGCTCAAAAGGTGGTTGTTTCCAGGGTGGCGAAGTGTGATTTAGCTCACTCAGCTCAGGTGATCGAGGCTATTTAAACCGCAATAGCAATAAACTTTACAGATAAAACCGACTGTCTTGAATGTGAGCTCTTGAGATGAACTTGATAGCTGAGATATCTTAATCATAGTAGTTTGAAAGATACATTGGTAGAGAAGAGAAGAGATGAGCATTGTTTTATTCTTATTTTATTTACAAGATCACGTTCGTTGAGTGAATGATGTTGTGCTGCATGAGCGGTTACTCGGCTAGGATAAACGCCAAAACTTCGAATTTTCTAGTACCTACCTACTAGCAGAGTACCTAGTTCTCCTCCGAGCATCATAGAATTATGCTGTTTTTGCTTTCAAAGGTAAACAAAAGCAATGCTATCTGCAACATGATTGGCCGGAATTTTTATTATTTCTATATTTTTGTCTATGAAATCGGCTGTGGTTTGTTTGTTACATATACAATCATTGGTTTGCATCAAATGGATTGAGTCTGGTTTAGAATAGGGGTTATATATTCCCACCAAGGTGTCTTCAAGTTATACATTAACATTATATGAAAAAGGGAGTGTTGTTTCTTATCCTCTTTGAGATATTTGTGAAACTTTTAGAGATAGGTGTAAGCACTCAATTACCCTCATGCTAAATCAAAACTGGGTATCATTGCTATGTATAGATTATCTTTCCGTGTATCGCTACTATTCATCACCAAAAACTACCAAAGCCAACCTCTACAAGACTTGGTTCCACATAAACATTTCTCACTTCCCTCCTCTCCATTATCATGACCATCAACATAATCAAAAGTAAGTTCCGTCATGGGTCGAATATCCTCCGACGCAAAGAAAGCCAAATCATGAAGATTCTTCTCAGAGTAATCCCCCACACGAGCAAAGATATTCATATTAGGTTCGCAGGAGTGATTGAAGAAACGACTAGGTCCCGAGAAAAATTCTCCATCGATAACATATGGATCACCACGTAAAGTCTCATCGAGACTATCTGGGTCGGTGAACTTATCAATGTTGAATAGGTAGAGATCTTTTCTCTTACTGATGATTGCATTATCGCGACGCCTTTCAGCTTCTTGAGATGTGATTATTTCGCCAATGTAGCAATCTATGAATGCACCTGCTTTGATGGGAACCTTGCTTTGAACACCTAGGATTTGTTAGATTGTTCAATTTGATATTGGGAGAAAAGAGGAGATGCATACCCCAACCACGGGTTTCTGTGCGAAAAACTTGTAATGGTACACGTCTTCCTCTCGCAACAATTCGATTATCACAAGTCTTATCACAAGCGCAAGCTTCATGACACTCATAGATAGGCGCTTTGCTACTCAAAAGCCGTTCTTTCAAACATCCTTCGCTATTACCCCCTGCTTGATAGGCGTAGACGTTATGATCTGGTAGATCGACTTCGGAATCTTGTAGACAGTGACAAGTGATTCCATGGCAATTATTTTTGCATTCGCAGCCCACTCGAAATTCAGGATCAGCTCGGGATACTCCTTCTCGAAGAATGGACTTCTGGATGAAGGTGAAGTCACCAGGGAGAGTTAGATTTTCGTCTTTACAGACGATGGAAATTGGGTATTCGTCGGCATTGGAGAAGCTGCGGAGTTGGCACCAGTGACAATCTTTGATGGATGGCTGAGATGGTGTGTTAGTTGTTGTTTGATACGGAAGATTTAGATGCTAGTCAAAGGAGAGGAAATAAATTCAGATAATAGGATTAGCTGTAGGTCTCCAAGCTAGGGCTACATAGTTCGTAGGAAGTGGGGAGTCATGCCTCCAGAAGACTTCTTCAGTTGTTCAACTCTAGCTCCACAATCTTGGCCGAAAGTTTGGGCATGCCTCACCCCGTTGATATATTTTAGAATCACGCTGATTTCTAAAGCAAGAAACAAGACAAAAAAAGGTGTAAATAAACCTCAACAACCTAAGATCACTGAATCTTCGAAGAGCCATCTATTGAGTCTCGTTCCATACGATTTTCAAATCTAGGAGAAAAGCAAGCAAAAATACTCAGTTTGCCCCATCTCATCTCTCGCAGTACCACGGAACTCCATTTCCCAATCCGAACCAACCCATCTCCTAACAACCAAACCTCATCCCTCCAAACCCGCCCTGAACCACCACAACCTCTCGAGCAACGTAAACTCCACCAGCAAAAAAACCAAACTAAACCAAAGTACAAAGAAGAAAACACTTACAACACTGTGACCAAAATAATGATCTCTGTACGTCGGAGCCATAATGAGTTGAATAAATGTCCAACATATAAGCTGCTTCTCCTAGCTTCTTCAAATCCCTATGTCCCGTTCGTTTCGTTCATAAATCTCATTGTGATTGGTTCGCTTCGTCGCCGCGTCGGAGAATGGATGCATGGGCCATCTTTATAGATACACACCTTGGGTTTGAGATTAAATTTTGGATGATGAATTCTTTTTAGTTATCGTAGACTGAATTGTAAAGAAATACAAAGCCTAGTGTAAGATCTTAATCAACTAAAGATAAAAGTAAAAAGTATTGGTAGTTTATTTATAAACCCAAAAATTCATACACCCGCAACAGGGTGCATATAGCTTGAATCTGCACTTAGACCTACCTGGTGATCCCAAAGCAAAAGCGGTCAGCAATTTAGTGACCGGCAGAATATATTTTTATTTTTGCGAACTCCAAAGAGTACCAAATGCATCAAGTAACTTCCATGCGCGGGGAATTTCTATTACTTTCTCAACCATCCACCATCCAAATTCGACCTCACCAACCCAAAAATGGCAACCGATATTAGGGATACAAAGTTAATTAAAGAATTAGCTGCAAACGGTACGTGAGAATTAAACAATCCATTCCGAGCAGCTCTCTAATTCTCTCCCCTCATTCTAACCTCCCCATCCCTCCTCTCAGACAAAAAAACCCGCGACGCAGCCCTCGAATCCCTCCGCACATATCTATCCTCCTCGCGACCACTCACACCCCTCGATTACCTAAAAATCCACTCTGGACTCTTCTACTCCATGTGGATGTGCGACCGACCACTCCCACAACAATCACTTGCGAATTCACTCGCCTCACTCCTGGGCACTCTTCCCGCCTCCAAACAAGCATCTTTCTACACGGGTTTCTGGAACATCATGTGTAAAGAATGGGAACGGATAGATGTGTTACGGATGGAGAAATTTTTGCTCCTAGTGCGTCGGTATCTAGCGGCTGGGTTTGAGGTGATTATTTCGAGCGCTGAGGGTAGCGGAAAGAAGAAGGGAGGGTCAAAGAAAAGTGGGAAAGGGGATGATGGGATGGGTGGAGCAGGGGAGGAGGTTTTGGGTGTTCTTGCTGAGATTCCTTGTGGGACGGGTCCGGATGCGCAGCGTACGCCGAATGGGATGCGTTTTCATGTGATTGATATTTGGGTTGATGAGTTGGAGAAACTTGGAGTTCTTGATGCGGCGAAGGAGAGTGAGGAGGGTGCGGAGAGATTAGAAAGGTTGTTGGAGCCGTTGAGGAAATTGGGAAAGGAGAGTATCAATAAGGTGGTGAGGAATAAGGTTAAGGAGGCGCTTGGGGATGAGAGGTTACCGGGGAATGGAAAGGGCGGTGCGGAAGAGGACGCTGAGATGAGTGATGCGAGTGATGGGGTGGAGGATGGATGGGGTGGGATTGAGGATTGAGAGTCGAAAATTGAGAATTGAGAAATAATTTACAAGGGACTGAATTGTCCAAGAAGATACATTTTAGTTTTACAGAGGATGGATCTATGAAAGAAATTTCACGGCGTCTAGGTGTTATTTGAGGAAGGAAATTCAATATCCAATGTAAAAAGTCATTCCACGTTCAATTTCTCATAGCAGAATAAAAAGATCTCTAATTTTGACAAATATATCAACCAAGCCGCTGATGCGAACCAAACCATCTTTGGGTATCATTTTAGGTCGGCTTTGAAGAACCATAATGCACAAGAAACCTAAACGCCTCGCCAAATCCCTTCTTGACGAGCCCCTTGCAGTCCCAAAGGCTTGCATATAACTGTGGCATTCATACTTTAAAGCCTAGTCAGGCCCAAAGTAACGTGCACGATGAAATATGCAGACATGAAAAAGCTCCATTCCCGAACCAAAAATTCAAACAGGACCACGCCACTCATACATGTGACCCGTTTTCGAGAGTACCGTACCCAATCCCTTGTGTACCTCCGCTTGAAACGGTTGAAAAGGAACCCTCTCCCCATCGATACTTATATACCCATCGCCCTTCTGCTTCGGAATGATTCGGTACCCGAGGATTTTGCGGTACCATACATTAGGTATATCGAATAATTTTCCCGATTCCACTGACAACATCATCTTGATGGCTGAAAGACGACTTATGTCGCCATTGATACAGATCAGATCCATGTATCCGTCGTTTGGAAGAGCAGCCGAGAAGAAACTGGCGTCTGAGGCCATGTATGCCATCTTCTTTTGGTTAGTATTTTGATTTTGAGCAATGTTGACATTTCGACGTCTATGCGCCGGCGCGGCATCTGATATAAGGATGCAAACAGAGGAAACCAAAACTTACATTCCCACAATAGAAGTTCCCCAGTTTGTCATATGGAACCATTTCCCAACCATCCGGCAATTTATCGTTCACAGTACCATATCTTAACGGAGGTAATCCATCATCCATCCCGCTACTAGCCGAAGCATCATCATCTAAAAGGTACTTGTATCCTCTTCTCTCGCTTGCTGGTTCGTGATTGCTCATCTCCTTTCTATAATGTTCTCTTATGCTGGGTTTATCTTCTATCGCAACCTTGACGGCAATATCACAAGGATAAAGTGCCTGTCCAATAATTCTCTCCAGAAATCCATAGGTAAATCGTGTAGATCCCATCCAACGCATATTTTCCGTAGCTAAATCCGCCTCGGCCACAATTCCTACAGACTGGGATAAAAAACTAAACGTTCGTGTCTCTCCTTGAGTAATCGATATGAGATCTAGAGGCGTGGGAATTCCTTTGATAATGGCCAACGTAGCCATACTCGCACTATCTGTCCCACTTAGATTCATGCTCATAGCATTTCCACTTCCACATGGTACATGCGTCACCGCGATTTTCGATAGAGCCCTTTTCGCATCCTGTCTTTTCCCGAGGCCATTGAAAACCTCATGCGCCAATCCATCCCCAGAGCAGCAGACAACCATATCATACGCTTCAATATCCATATCTTCGACTATCGTAACCGCCTCCCCTTGAAATTTCGTCTTCACCACGTCGATACTACAGCGTGCTGCCTTCAGAAGTGGTTCTACGTCGCGGTCATAGTACTTTTGCGCCTTTCCCTTGCCACTATGAGGATTCACCAAGACTTTCGCCCGTTTCCCTTGTTGCGATTCGCCATATGATCGATCTAATAATTTGGCTATCCATTTCTCTACTTCTTCTTTAGAATGTGATTCCACCGCAAAATTTAGCGCTGTGGGTTGTACCCTTTTCTTCGAAGTAGGCGTCGCGTATCGAATGGAAAGCTCGTTCGTATCTGATATCTCGGCTGAGAGGACGTTGTAAAAAGGAATTGGTCTCGTATTCGCAGAACCTATATGGTGTATCAATATGGAGTAAGTCGGAAGGATACAATGAGCTAGACTCACTCGAACCAAAAGGCCAAAGTCCACAACAAGTTGCGGTTCCCTTCTCAAAAGCCTCATCTGTTCTTCCATCAGCAGAGTTCCTCCAATTCTCCCGGAATTCATAATCTAGAACTCACCTAGCACAATTAGAGAATCCGTTCCCAAGGTCAAGGAAGCGTTTCTCCCTACCGTCAAAGTTCCATCCGTCACAAATGCCTGCTCCCTCGTAAATTCATCACTAGTAAGTCCTAACGTCTCGATAAATGGATGATTTGAATCCGTAGAAGTAGTCATGGTCACCTAAATTGTTTTGATGGCCCAAGCATTCTCTCTCTTCGTACAACCCAGGTTTCTGTCTACCCCTCTAGTATGTTGACTATTATAATGAATGACTGAATATTGTGCTTGCGAAATGTGTTATGTACGAAAATAGAAAAATAAATAAAAGAATTTCTTGTGCTTTTCTCTCCCTTTGTTGAATTGAAGGTTGAATGGTTCTAAGGTTGTTGTTACTTCTAATATGAAATGGAAGTCAAGATATGCCGAGCTCCAATGACACGGAGCACAACTTCTTCCGATCATTCAACCCAGTCATGAGGTCACCAGGATACTTTTCCAAAGGCGAAAATAAATTGAATAGGAAATTTTATTACTCAATAATATAAAACATATGAGGGTTTTAAGTTTATGCTGCTCGGGAAGGTGTGAGTTATTGATGTTACCGTTCATCAAATCTTTCATTCAACTGTTTAATGTAAGTCTTAAGATATCTCTCTGTGAACCAAGCACAAGAACAAAGCCATGAACATATGATTGGTATGGTAAGACTTACAAGGGTCCTTTCTGATATAATTGAGTGCTGATGCGCCGCTGAACCTGGAAATCACACTTTTTATACCAATTGATTGAATGACCAAACAGGGTGACAAAAGCAAGATTCACATGTCAAATGCTGGGAGCAGCAACGTTCCGACATCTATACACATCTATAACCTTACACCTCTTTACACTAACCTTACACCTCTTTACACTAACCTTACACCTCTTTACACTATAAGCGAGAATGAAACTCAATATTAGGAGATTCAAAACATTTATTTGTAATGCCTCAGATTCTAGATAAAACTCCTTTTTGTGCCCTTTTTGGCGCAAGGTCCCCGATCATCATCATTTCAACAACAAAAACGGCAGGCTTACATATAACACAGCACGACTTGAACAAGATTGACGCCTGTAGTTGAGCCAGCTTCAGCCCTCCAGCGCCTTCCTTTACCATCTTCGTCTTCACCTTCGTCTTATTAGCTGTACCTGTCCCAAATGTCCATTAATCCGGACGTGACAAAATGATGATACAGATTTTGTCATTATTTTCCATTTCCTCAAGCAACTTCAACAACCTTGTTCAACCCTTTTAATGATCCCAAACTGAGTGCTAAACCTTGAGACCTGCTTCGAATTCGAACAAATCCAGTGACTGGTCCATCCTCACCCTCTTTTTCAATGCTGAGGTTAGCAAGAGCATCCTCGCCTAGAATGTTGTTAGTAACTAGTTCAACGCTATATTAAAGATACAACTTACCGAAAACACTTCGTGCATAAAGATTAGCACTTAAGAATTGACAATCGCCCTTTAATGAAGCCTCCGGTGTTAAGCAGTTCATGTTTGTGCACGCCATGAGTTGATTCAAAAATTCTCGCAACGTCTTCGCCTTTGAATTGATGTTGACCTTATTCTCCCACTCAAATTCTGTCCACATTGTACGGAATTGAGTTTCTGTGCATACAGCAGGTTGAATATAGTCCATAATGTCTACATGAACATCGTTCAAGATGACCACACTGTTCTCAGTCGAGCTTGCGCCATCATAGACGACGTTTCCGAAAATGACTCCAGTGTCTGTTGAGGAAACCTTAATGGTAGCTTGTACATTTTGGAAATCATGTGGCCCAAGGTTCTGAGTAGTTGGCTTTTCTACAACCTTGAGATCACCTAATGTTGCAAATTCGACAGACAGATTTTGGAGAGTCTCGGTTGTTTGGTTTACCAATAAAACATCTAATACAATATCAAATTGATGTACTGTAACGTATGCCTCAGCGTAGACTGGATCGGAGAAGCCGGTGAGCTGTACAACTCGACTGAGCTTTGATGAGAGATCTTCAACTGAAGAATCTCCCCCGGTTGCCTTTTCAAGGTCAAGTTCAATCTCGTCAGCCCCGTCGACTGTGTTCTTCTTTGCAAGCTGTCTGATGGAAACGACATCATCAACTTGGACGGCCGATTTGGCTTTCTCCACTGCTTCCTTAGCTGCTCGCTTTTTCTCTTCTACTTGAACCATATCTCGGAATGCCTTTCTAGTATCTTCCAGGAACGCGCTTTCGAGTTGCTTATTTTGGGCAACCTCTGCAAGGGATCTAACACAAGACATAATCCTATCAACCGAATCTTCGTCAATTGGCGCTTTCACGAACTGCGATTGACCAACACGAATAATGGAAATCATGATCAACATTGCTTCAGCACGTAAAGCATTGGTTCGGGCAGTATCCGATGAGATTTCAGAGTGGCGCATGACGAGTTTAGTAAGTGTGGAAGAAAGAACAGAAGCTAGGTAATAATCTCCATCGAGGATGAGTTGACGAAGGGGTGGCTTTTGGGCGGCTTTGACCGCCTCCAACTTAGCCGTAACAGCAGATTGACTTGTAAGGGCACTTTCAGTGGCATATGTACCGTCGGCGAGGACTCTCCGTGAGCCTGTTGGTGCTGCCTTGGAATGTCCGTTGATCTGTTCCGCCTCTTTTGGCTCTTGCCCGTCAGTTGCTTCGTCGAGGAGACGTTGTTCAGAAGCCAAGATGGGGATTTCCCCCAAGCTAGCTCTGATACGTCTCCAAGCATCTCTAATGTCATTGGCCTCTAGAGAATATTCACCAACTATCCAAAGAGCTCCCCTGTACACCTTTCCAGCACGGACCTCGCTTAAGGTTGATACCAAGCGCTCAACTATGGATGGTCGCAGTTTGGGGAATTTCTCCACTACTTCTTTCACAAATGAGATAACATCAACCGCCGATGTGTTATTGAAATCGGCGATGAAGTCCATTAGGAGATCAACCACACTTTCAGCGACTTCGGAGAACTTAATTGCGCATTGATGTATGGAGTGAATCAAGAGTTGTCGATATTCAGCGTTCTTCTCATATTCCTGGTCGACAGTCTTTGACAATTCTTTCTTCAAAAGCAGGACAACATCCTCGACGTTTTTGCTTGACACCATCTCCAAAGCTAGATCCAAGGCCTTCTTTCGTACATCGATATCCGGACTCGACAACACGCGCAAAATCTCCATCGTCAAATCATCCAGAACACCTTCATTCTTCTGTCTCAATAAATCTACTTTGTCGAGCACAATCAGTTTAACGTTGTTGTCTGCTTCCTTGATACTGAGTTCGATAAACTTTGAGGCTGCTGCTTTCACAGCTACTGGGTTGTTGGTCAAGGCTGTGAGAGAAGAAGCAGCTTCATAAACAACTGTGGAAGCTCCGGCTTCCAAAAGGTCAAAAATAAGTCGCAAATATCGTGCCTACACATGTTAGCCGGGTCTTGTGAATTGGTAGTGGAAACTACCTTATTCTGTGAATTTTGAACTGCATCCTTTCTTATGAACTCCAGCTCCACAAGTTGTAGCAGCTCGTCCGCATTTGGTATGCCATCAAAGACACTACTGAGATATGCCAAAGCTTTTTCATGGCTGATGCTAACCAATGCAGCAAATGCATTGCGCTTGCAGGTATGATCACTCTCTGTCTCCAAAAACGCGGCTATCAATTCAGGGGCATCTGGGATCAGACTCTCGGAGTGTTGAAAGATAGAAGCCACGGCAAAAACTGCGTTTTTACGCACGTATGCATGACGATGCTCAAGACATGCTTTGGTCGGAGCGAGACAGGGTTCGATGAGTTCTGATTCGCGGAGCTTACACAAAAATCGCAATGTGTTGCCTCTAATGTATTCGTTGGGATGTTGGAGATCGTTTCTTATACCATTGCTGTAGGGTATGTCAATATAAGAATCACAACTTTCGCATCTCAGGGTTCTCCTACCAAACCAAGATCATTTCCTGCTTGAGCTTTCCACTGGCATCCAACTTTGGGCATATTTCGTAGTAAAAGTAGAGAAGCTTCTTCAATGGTTTATATTTTGAAGGCATAACAAATCGAATGATATGCATAAGTAATTGGGGCATTGGATCTCCATTCAGCATAACTGTGAGAATGCGCTTCATAGTCTCGACTTTGCTCTCATCTGTCCCTTTCTCCAACTGCGTCCTCAAATCTGACATTGTTGGTACGTCTGCCGCATTGTCTTGATGTACCAAGCTGTACGACTGTTCCAAGAAGGTCGCCATATTGGCTGTATTCGTAACTGCAGAGCGGGCAGGTGTTTCTTTTGTTCTTGACTAGGTATTAAGGGTAGGCTTCTTGAATTCGAGATCGGTTCTTCCTTTAAGATTATGGTAGATTGAAAGGTCGGGAGTTTTCGAAAAATAAAAAAATGGCGGTAGAATCAATTGCAAATTAAGAAGATGCGTGGGGAGTTACGCATCAAACATACATATTCTTAGGAATATTATCAAAACGGTGTCCAGCTTTCTGGGTGCTGTGTTCAGAAGACTTAGCGTGGCCTGTTTCAGCCTTAGATTCTCAGGCACAAAAAGCGATCCCCGCCAAATTCTAGCCTTAAGCTATTTTGCCGGGGTCGAGTCTCAAAAGCTATCAAAAGCTTCAGCCTTCTCAATCAAATCTACAAGAGACAGACCTAACAACCGCCGTCATTATGTCAACTCTCAACGAGCCCTTTTATATTCGCTATTAGTAAGTTAATGACACAGTTTAATACTGATTTGCTAATTCGTATAATTAGTTCCGGTCACCAAGGTCGACATGGGCACGAATTTCTTGGTGAGTATCTAGAAGCTTGCCCACAGCTTGCGCGATTTGTTAACAATGAATCAAGAATTCGACTTTCGAGTTTTGGGGGATGGAAGAAGCGCGTCCGCACGTTATGCCAACAATTCCAATTATCGAAACGATTCCCTGATCCGCAAAGAAAGTACGTGATACACGATGTTCTATAGAATCTCCCTCGCAGCTAACTTTATGGGCCACAGTGAATATTAGCTCGTTATTGGTTGAAGAAATCAAGAGGATCATCAAAACTAGTGAGATCATGAAGTATACCTCTCAAGCTTATACAGTGTAGTGCACGCAGCTCATGATTTCAATAGGGAAGATGATAGCAAATGGCCCCAGAAGAACAAAGATGGACGCCAGGAATTGGAAATCAAAATAGGCAGTGAGGTGATCTCTTTCGAAGTAAGCATAGAATTACTCTTGAGTGCGAGATCACGGCACTAACATAACCTAGACTGCCAAAATTGGATCTCTCGTTGATGTCACGGAATCTCAAGATCCTGAAGGTCTTCGGGTGTTCTACTATCTTGTGCAAGATTTGAAAGCATTGGTGTTTTCATTGATAGCACTTCACTTCAAGATCAAGCCTATTTAAGTGGTTTGATTTCATGAAAAGTCCAGGGGACGAAGGAGTTAGGCGTTGAACTATATGTAAGACAAATGGATACCAATAGAGAGGAAAAGCCAGTTACTTGTGTAAAATGCTAATAATACTTAAAATCAGACATTCGTTGTCAAACTTTTCGTCAGGCATTATAATTTGAGATTGTAGATATTCTCCGATCAGTTGGAACTGCCAACGTTGAGTAGATGTGTGCTTCGTTCTGCTTCATTAAATTTTGGTTGGATGAGGTAACCGGTAACCATCTGACATGCCAAGTTTTACTTGCATCGGAGCTTTATTATTATCACTATTGTACAATATGCTACGACTATGTCTGGCACCACTGCATGAAACTATCTCTACCGAATTACCTATTTGGCATACGACCTCACAAAAGCACATCTTACTCCTTTAACTCTGTAACTATGGGCAGTCCGTGTCTGATTTGGGGGGGCGAAGTGCATCGGATTAAATCACTGTGTAGATTCCGGAATGCATTATTAAAGAGTGGTTCTCTAGATGTGTTGTCGAATCACTGGCGGTACAATTGACTCCTTTTTGCTAATTTGGGAAGTTCACATTTACGAGAACAGATGTTTTAGCTTCGGTATTGGAAGATGCCATGTTATCACCGACTCATAACCACTTCATCAATGGTACGTAACTGTTGATATGTGGGCTTTTAAATAGTTCAATCAGATAAATTCCTTCTTTCCGAAGTAACACTAAAGGATTTGCAATGACGAAGAAGTCCGTAGGTGACGACCACCGAAAGTTGAATCATCATAGAATGATGATTACTGTAGAACTAGTTACTCCAGGGAGGGAAGGTGAGGTGATACTAATGATGTTGGATTCTTGGACTATAAATTGGTGAGGGTATTGATAAAAGTTATTGTGCAAGAACATTATCAGTAAGGGTAAGAGTAAGAGTAGAAGAGAGAATAACAGCAACAGAACGAAGCCCACCATTTACCTACTAGCTATTTCATTTATCGACTTGTTCCTTTTTTAACATTCACTTGCGGGGAGAAAGGGACAAGCGAATACCTGAGCTAAGCCTCATTAGAGATAGCTTCAGCGTCGTGCACCAATTGGATCAACTTGCCCATAGTTGCTTTTGTATGCAGTGCCTTTATCATATCTTGACATCTCGTCTCCTCGTCTCCTCGATAATTTCAAGTCATCTAGTTCATTCAAATAACGTCGGTCATGTTCATCTAATCTTATCTTCAACGAATTTTTGTTTTCACACTTTAACTGTATCATTAATTTCTTCCACACGAGCCTGGCTGGTGCCGGCGCGACCAAATGCCAACCCCTTCTTCACCTGAGTCCAGCGTTGGAGCTACGATATCGCACACATCGTGCCCACCTGAAGATGACAGGTCTATCTGGAGAATAGCGGAGATGGAAGGTACACTCGAGTCTCCAATTCTAGATGCAGGAACTACACAACAACCTACGCCTCCGCCCCATGATTTACGAAGAGCTGATACGACGGTAACACCTCAAACTGACTTGCGAAATACCAAAAATATGGATATCTATGAAGAAACAAATGGACCCGACATGCTATCTCCTATCAGTGCGGATGGAGATAAGCAGGATGACGCTGAAATAGGTGCCATCGCTCATCACCGGATTCCTTCGCCATCCTTAGGTTATGATTTTTCCAACGTTAGAGTTAGTATAATGACATCGAGCTGGTCCATCCCATGATTTGCTAACATTTTGTTCAGTTATTACCATCTTCACCTTCCTCCAAATTACGACCAGGTAGCAAATTTCATGGCACACAACAATCAGAACGGCAGGTCTATGACGTACAGGTCGAAATTAAGCATGTAGATATGAGAGAATCATTTCTATGCGGATACTTGCGCATCCAAGGTATGCGAGTAGTGACGTGTTTAATAAAGCATTGGGGTCCTCTAGCTAAGCATGCTCTTTAACAATAGGCCTGACGGAAGACCATCCGACACTTACAACCTACTTCGAAGGTGAAATTATTGGATCGAAATATTCATTTCTTACCCAACATGAAGATTGGGGGTCGACAGACAAAGTCGATTTAACACATTGGGCAAAATTTCAAGCCTTCCGCCCTTTTCAGAAATCGGCGAAAAAAGGAAACTGCCACATACCAAATCTCGCACAACGAGAGAACATTTTTATGAGATGGAAGGAACACTTTTTAGTGCCTGATCACCGTGTTAGGACGATTAGTGGTGCAAGTTTCGAAGGGTTCTATTACATCTGCTTCAATCAGGTCGAGGGAAGAGTTAGCGGAATTTATTTCCATGCCAAGAGCGAGAAGTGAGTAGATAACGTGGTGCCCACAAATATTTTCGCTAACACGATTTCTAGATTTCAACAACTAGAGTTGAAACATGTTGAAGACAAAGGATGTTTTCAAGCAGTGGAATTTAGATGAATCACGAAGCACGGATATTTGGCCAACATTCTAGGAACGATCGAGGGTATTTGAATATTAGGGATCTTTCATTTTTCTCATCACGGAAAGATGCAGCGGAGCACGGTGTTAAAGGTTAATGGGACATATGGATACATGGAAGCGTGCATACGAGTGGAGGGATGTTATGAAGGCTCGGTATTTTCCTTTGGGGCGTGGAAATGAGCATTGTCACAGCAAGCATCGAAATTTGATGAATGGCCACGGCGATATATGAAATGAGTCGCATATCAAAGTTACAATACCAAGTGCTTCTAGCGATATACCAATCTTAAACGTCTGCCTAAAGTGTGATCTGGCAACTACATGGTCTACGACCTACTGCGTACTACTGTACATACCTACGGACCTATGTAGGTAACCTACTGATCTAATTAGGCTTATTAGATGATTAAATCCCCTGTTTACATTGATATGCTCTGCTCTGCCCAATCCGGATTTCAATTCCGAGCGGGTCCTCTCTCCACTCTTCCACGGAGACCTCATGGCGTGATCCCTTCACTTCGCCATATGCATTCATGCCTCAGGCTCAAAGTGATAACAGTCGATAAATCCACTCTCGAATAATATTAATGTTGTAAAGCGTTTATCGCGATAAACAACATCTCATATCTCATGGGATTCTTCAACGACCCCTCTATGATAAAATTGGAACTATTCTCTTTTCAACAACGAATTTCCTTCTGTTATAAAACTCTCTTGATTGCAGGTGTCCTTGAAAATCACCTATCAACCAAATCAATCTCTTTCGCACCTCTACTCTTCTAATTCTACTGATCAACTGGTCCATATATTTTATTTACTGCTCTACAACAACATCAACCTGGAAAATCAAACAATCTCCCACCAAAAATGGATTTCGCTCCATATCAAGTCTCCCCGGAAGAAACTCGCGCTCTCTCTCCTCCTCCCCGCACTTCTACCTCGTCTCCTCGTCAGAGCATCTCACCTATCCGTAGATCTTTTAGTCCCGGTGTTCGCAGTCCAGCTTTCATGCAGAGTACAAGTAATGCTGCCGCGAAGAATGGAAATTATGCTCCGAATGCCTATGCGAATCCATGGGCGCAGAGGGATAGAGATGGTTATTTTCCGGTTGTGAATAATGGGGATGGGTATCAGGATGTGGAGAGTGGGAGGGCTGGGGGTGGTTATCCTTCCGGGGGAAGTGGAGCTGGAAATACTGGTGCGGGGTATGGAGGGGGTAATAGAGAGGGCTTACATGAGTTTGAGACGAGTCTTCCGCTGAGATTGGATTATGAGGCTTGTTTGGCTTATTTACTTTTACCGCCAGCTGGGGCCGTACTACTTTTGGTGTTGGAGAGGAAGAGTGATTATGTGAGGTTAGTTGTGAGAGAGGGAGGTTGGATGAAAAGTGACTGTACTTGGAGATACAGTATGATCTGTTGGATGAAATAATTCTGATCAATGGTGATAGGTTTCACGCTTGGCAGTCTGCGTTACTGTTTACAGCCATGTTTGTCTTACATCTGATGTTTTCATGGAGTAAGCTCTCTCCTTACTGTTTGGGATGTTTCAAGACCTTCGAAGATCAAACCACGCACAATAGCTCGGGGATATGGTACTGATTTATTTTTCTAGGTCTCTTTATGTCATGGTCCTTGCTCCTTGGAGATATTGTTTTAATAGTGTGGCTCACTAGGAGAGCATATTTAGATGGTAAGTTTGTATCTTTCCTCCATCTTCATCTCCATGTTCTTCTTATTTTCATGGGTGGACAATATACTTTCTAGTCGAACATTACACATCTAATCCCAAAACCAGCGGATACCCTAGACCGATGCGAGGTTCCAATCTTTGGCAAAGTAGCTAGTAGCATACTAGACGACGACTGAAGGTGAAGGATATGAAGGACGAAGTTATGATACCATTTTGTTTTTCTTTTGGCGATTTTTGCTCCATATTCCCCAGTTAGTACGAGATACCCTTGCCTTTGTCGTAAAAGTTTGTTGTCAGTGCCGGTTTCTGAGTTTGGAGAAGATGGATACAAATAAGGATGGATGTATATCCTTACTTAATATCTAATTCATGAATTTGATGGTGCTTACTTGACTTGGTTGGATTTCCAGTGAGTTTGTATGGATGGTAGTTGTGTCCAAAGTAAAGCTAAGATTATCTATTTGGAGTGCGTGTGTAAGAGTTGACAATAGCGAACTCATAGTTACAACGGTTCTTTTCAATGTATCTAATAGTCCGCCCAAAGGTCTCTCAAGCTTCAGATCTTGCTATATCTCAATATTTTGTAATAGAAATTTCAAATCTTTTCATCCTAAAATAGATCAGAAGAATATCGACGCCGGATAAAAAAGCCAGCCGAGTTGTTATCCGGTCAATTGCCCGCATGCTGGACCGGACCGGACCGTCTTTCAGTCTTGGCAAGTATCCGAAGGCTTGGATGATTTTTGTTGTTCCGTAATTTTGGTGATGATTCATTTATTTCTTACCCAGGTATCACAAGATCTTTCATCTCAATAGATGAATCTGCAGCTAGTGTAAGAGGGGTCTAGATTTCAACTCCCGGTGAGCTTACTGCACGCGCAAACCAGAAAACGCTATTGGGCACGTGCAAGCTTACCCAAATCCAAACCTCTCGGCCTTTACTCACCCCACGTTCCGTCAACTCGCAATCTCAGTGGTCGGTATAATCTGCGCAACATCAACAAAAGCCTCATAACCAATCGAATGAAGCACGCGACATTAAAGCCGTCCTTGATGGGTGTTGGATTCACGTTTGATGTTCGATAAGTGCGCAAAGCTAATGCTGTCGTTTTTCGATGTTGTTTCTAGAAGTACCGGGAAGGCCTTGGGTTTTATTAATTGCGAGTATGATATAGATTGTAGAAAGATTAAGTATTTCTAATCCTCCTTTCCTCTGTTTCATTCATTGCTTTCTTATTCTCTTGTTTTACCTTGTTTCTCTAAGTTTGAGTGCGGGCATCTTATCTTCTCCAAGATCTCATCAACATTCCAGCTCCTTTACAAAATCCCCCTCGTTATTAAAGATTTATCCTACCTTCCTTCGATTATTTCTTATACGTATTTCTGAATTATTTGCCTCAGATTGAAGTCTCAGAAGTCATTCTTGTCGTAATACGTCGTAGGACCTTCTTCATCGAGCACAAGACCAACTCAAGTTACATAAATACCTCATTTTATAATGCCTCGCCCAGCTCATCTGCCGACCCCCCGCTTCATCTACAGAAATCAAGGGAAAAGATGGTCCAAGGTACTCTTCACTACAGATGTCATTTGAGCTTCCTCCACCTGCTGTAGCAGGAATGGAGTCTCGACCAACCAGCTCCTCTACCGAAACATCACCTGCCTCCTCACATCGACCTAGTTGCGCGATTGCTCCAGCAATTCCTGCAAGTGAAGCCGTTAAACTTCGTCGAAGACCTGCTACACAAACTGCCGCCAAAAATCCTTCGCACTACCACCTCCGCCTACTCGTTCCCGAAAAATTATACAAATGAAACCTCGAGGTCAAGCAGATGAAACCATGAATCCACCCGAAGAAAATACAAAGGCTGGTGGGAAAGCTACTCCAAATGCGTCCAAGAAGAAACAACCGTCCTCAACAAGTGTTGCTGGACGGAAGATTGCAAGAAAAACCGCACATAGTTTGATTGAGCGTCGTAGGAGGTCAAAGATGAATGAGGAATTTGGTGTATTGAAGGATATGATACCAGCTTGTACAGGAGAAATGCACAAGTTGGCAATTCTACAGGTATGCAATGGATTATTGATGCAATTAATAATTGCACGCTGATGTATGATAGGCATCTATTGATTATGTTAAATACCTTGAAGATTGTGTTTCCAAATTAAAAGCCGAGAACTCTCGGGGAAACTTCTCTACAAACACTGGGGAATTCACGTCACGACATGAATATTCTGCCCGGGAATCAGAAGAGGATACAGAAATGACTGGTTCAGAAAATCGCTCAAGCAATTACGCCACTCCTATTCCACCATCTCAGCAAACTTCTCCAGCCATGCTCGCACAAGATTTCCGCGATAGACAGAATTCATACTCCTCAGTCTCAACAAATAATCGTCATTATAGCATCAGTACTTCGTCTACAACATCTCCAGCTTTGGCCCCATCAGTATATGATTATGCTCGAAGTATTGATTCTGTAGGCTCGGCACTCACCAGTCCTGCTCTCATGCCACAAAGAGATCAGAGGTATATAGATGAGGAAGCAAGTGCGGCCCTATTGATGCTTAATTCAGATCGTAGAGCTACAAATTGTAGCGGAGTAAGAGGAATGAGTGTCAAGGATTTATTGAGCTCGTGAGCATTATGGGACTGGCTCGAAAGATAATTTCCTTTTGTTCTTTTCGAAAAGGAGTTCTGGAAGAAAATATAGTAGGCTATTGGTTGGTTGGCTGTTTGAACATTGGTTATTTGAATGGAGCTTGGATGGTGGCATCGTTTTGGAAATGAATATATATATGTGCGAGTGAGTGAGTTACTCTGGATATCAGATTTGCTGCTTTTGATATAAATAATGCAGAGACGACGTAACCTAGCTAAATGAATGTACTTTTTTACATCAATTTGTCAATGAGTCAATTTTTGATATTTCGGATTTGTTATTGCACTGCAGTCCAGACTATCGGACACATTAAATTCTTCCAATTAACTCTCACAGTAATAGATCGAGCTTTGTAGGATTACCATGATCGAAAGATCTTTTCTGTAATCTTATAATTACTTGTTATTAATTATTCTATACCAATTAAAAGCCTCGTTCTCTAATTATATTATTCTTATCAGGTACACAACATCGATTCACCAGTCTACCTACCTAATCTCAACATCTTAGAAATCCGCGTCTCCACAGAATTTATTATTCACAGTAGTTAGTTCTAAGTGATATGGAATCTTTCTATTAATTAAGATGATTAATTCGAAATCTTGCATTATTTAGGTATAATTGGATTTGTCTGATCTATCGTTCTTGTGGGGGAAGCTTGATTCAAAATAACTCTTGCTAATAGAATCTGGAGGCTATATACGGGATAAGATGAGATGAAAATATCTAAATGTTTAGGAGTTGGTGTGGCTGTGTGGAACGACGGGCTAATTATCAAAGAAGAAAAATCAAACACTTTCTGGCTTGGAGTTACTTTTTGTGCTCAACTGTCTTTGCGCTTCAAGTGGAGACCTTTGAGATGTAGGGTTAGCTGGTTCTGGTTTTGAGCTGAATCTTTCTCCTATTCGTATCGGGGTAGGTTAATCTGATGTAACATTTATCATGAATGATTTTATGGGATCAGAATATCCATATTTGGAGCAAGTGACTTTGCATACCACCTTTGGTGCCTTGAACTGGACTCTGGAATAGCTACACTTAGTCTGATTGAATCAGCAATTTCTGGCCGATTTATTCGTTTGATTCTAATATCCTATCCTTCCCGATATCACAATATTCATCTCCTAAGCTGCTACAGCCAAAACTCACCTACTAATCAATCTCAACACAGTTCTCAAAAGTCTTAACCCCCAACCTAAACCCTTGTTCCCATTCCCATAAAATTCCCCCTCTCCAAACTCTATCATCCGTTTCTTAATCCATATCTCCAAGCAACCTATTCTATCAGCTCCGCCCTTTTCACCCCTCGACCCCAAAAATGCCTTGGCATCCTCCCACCCGGTTTCCCACCTTTTTGATACAAATCATGCTGAAATTGTTTCCCAGGATTCGTATGGTTCCAATAATCCGCATGTTCTTTAACCATTTTCTCCATAAGGCCTACTTTTGTTCGTCTGCCTTCCTCAATTTCTCTTTAACTTCTTCTACAAGCCAACTCATGTAGACTGGAGCAACAACATTTCCTTTCTTCACTTGTTCTACAAATCCCCATTCACCGCCGTCCATCCATTCCATCTTCCACGTCCAGAAATAACTTCCTGCACTACATCCATCAGACCATTTCTTGCATTGGAGTTGTCCGAATTGTCGGACTAAACCTTCTTTCATATCAGGATGACATTTTCCCCAGCTTTTTCCATCGAGCACACAACTATATTCACCAATTATAACTTGTGTTTCTCCGCCAGAGGATATATGTGTGGCACTGGGACTACAATTGGGTAATTCACCCATTTCGTTCGGGATCTGACGAATAAGATCATGTGCGGCTTGTGAACGATGTTTATCTGCGAAGGTGTAGTATTTATGTGTATCTATGACGACGGGATTGGCAGGAATCTTTCCAGATCTCCAGTGTCGCTCTTTGACCCATTTCAAAGCAAGAGAAAGATCCCAAGCATCACTTATGTAGATCGGCATGTCCGGATCAATTTCGGAAATTGATCGAATGATGGAGTCGTAGAAAATATACATTCCTCTTTCCGGCATCCCAACATGCTTCGTTGCAAAGTTGAATGCCAATTACGCCGTCCAAGTCCTTACATTCTTTTGCAATGAATAACAATGCCTTTTTCGCGAGATCGAGGTTCTTTTTTGAGCCCCAAAGTTCCGCTTTCCCAGTACTAGACCCAGAATGCATATCTGTATTCGCACCGCCAGGTAAAGCGTGAAGATCAATGAGAACTCCGACTCCAAACGCACGAGCTCGAGTAATAAATTCCTTAACGATTGTCCATGAATTTTGGTACACATCTTTCGTGTTTTCAAAAGGTGTTCCAATACAAAATTCCGGTCCGAGAGTGAAATATCCAATGGGCAATCGAATACTAGTCGCCTTTGCCGATTTTGCCAACCATCCAAACGCTTTATCGGTAACTCTGGTTTTCCAATGCTCTTCCCATTTCTGACGTGTAGCTTCTACACCAATGGTCTTCACCGAAGAAGTTACAGCATCGAGCTCAGATGATGCACCTCCTGCGAATTTAGGAAAGAGCCATGGTTCAAGGACAAAGATTGAGCCAAGATTGACGCCAAAATGATGGCGATAGCGCAGAATTTCTAGAGGAGTCGGCGGGGAGATAGTAGATGGATGGGGTAGGTGAATATTAGTGATCTGGTGAGATGAGTCTGAAGGAGAAGACGGAGAAGAAGAGGAGGAGCCTGAGCGTATGTGAGCTTTAGCTTTCTGAACGAGTTTCTTCATTTTAAACCGAGTTTATTCGTGAGGTATGAATTTTCAATTCATCGAATTTCAGGAGCTCGAGATGAGGAGAGAAGTCTTTTGTGTTTATTGAAAAATAAATACATCATTGAAAGGAAAAGCAAGTTTTGTTGAGATCCATGAGTAGATCGACATTGCTTTTGATATGCAGCCTTAGCTGGTTCCGGCAGTTGTCCCGTTGGTAGGATGAAAGCCAATCATTTTGATGATCTGAGACAAGGAAAGGAGGTTGATGCAGACGGCAAGTGGGGGCATTAGACAGGGGTTCGCTTATGTAACACTAGAGTTTATCTTATTAGGTCTATTCTTACATAGATTTTTGTTCAATCTTTCAGATATTTCAATGCAAAACAATTAGCGATCTTTGTTATGAAACTATTGACCAGATGTTTAACCTGGGGGATGATACCGTTGTATGATAGGACAAATTTACCTGAAGTCAGAGTTTCGAGCTAGTACTTTTTATCCAACACGTCACGTGCTTCGTTACAAAAAACTACGAGCCAGCTAATCAATCGAGGTATAGCGATTACAATGAGAAGTAAACTAATCTTTAATACTCAAGCTGCTTTGATTTTGAAGCTCCCAAACTAATCATGTCCTTTGAACGAACATGATACCATTAACTAATACGCGTTTGTTGTCACGGAGTGTGTGACTATATCAGTTGCTCGCGACACACCAGACCGTGACAGAAGTTGAAATCAACCTCCTGAACTTCGCGACGAAGAGATTGATCACAATGACAAACCCAAAAATTTTCATCCACAAGTTTGTCTTTATCGATTTGTTTGCCAGCACCTTTATTTTCAAACAGATGCAATATCTTTTGGATCCAGAAATTAAACTCCAAAAAGTCCTTGATAACTCAAAGTAGAACTTCGAATACATCTTGAGTTCGATATGCCGATATCTTGATCGACAGGATCAGAAGTTTGTGATAAATGGGACACTTGGGATACATTGACAATTTTAGATCCCCTTCCTTCTTCATCTGCCCCTCCAGCGAAAGTAACCGATTATCCTGGCAGTTCTGGTGTTCCCCCGACTGTTTCATGCAAAAGCCAGAATCAAATCCACAAATTATCTCTGAAAAATTGAGACTACTAACGCCTCTTTCCCGCGAGCTTTCCCGCCGTCGCTGTCAATATCGATTGATCCTCCACATTATCCAACATCAAATTATACAGTTCAGAAGAACCACTTTTTAAAGCGCTGAGAACAGCTTCCTCTGTAATTAGGCCATCCAGGGATCCTCGCAGGCGTATGATAACATTCAAAGTATCAACACTAGATTCTGATCTAGCCAGCCTAGCTATTGAGTCGATGTGGGAACTGTTAATCATTTCAATTCCGCAGGAGTGCAGAATATATTCGACACTTTTGGCATCTGGCCGGACAAATAATGAGTCAAAAACCTCCTGATCAACGAAGTCTTTACCTTTTACATCGAGAATGACTTTCCACATATCTTCCTGTTTAGGCTCTTCATCAATGACCAGTTCCCTTCTTAGAAGGCTGCTATCGGATTGATTCATGAAGTGTGCGAGAGTACGAGAATCGCTGCTCTTCAAGGCATACCTAATCATCTCCTCTGTGATAGTGTCGATTTGTTTTAATTCGAACAATTTTTCCACTGTTTCATAGGAGTCGAAACGGATGACTCCCAGTACCATTTTGTCGTTAAAAGTCTCTTCATCAATTTGGTATAGGACATCAGCTAATTCTCCCAAGCCTTTATCTTTTATCCTGCGCTCAAGTATCTTTGCGGGTAATGGAGTCCCATCGGCAGCTCTATAGAGAGTTTCCAAGGCTCGTAACGGCTCCGAATGGGTATCTTTCTCTAGATGTCTTTCAAGCTGCTCGATAAACGCCTGGCGACTGCACTCATGACTTAGGAGAATTTCTTCTATCTGTAAACGTTCCTCGAGGTTCTCTTGAGGATTGCCACCCTTCGCAATTACCCAGTAAACCATATCCTCATCAGCAATCGGCATACCCATATTGTAATACTTTATATGGTGCCTATGAGCGGTCGAAATTAGATGAGGATTGGCACCGCGATCTAGGAGATACTTTACAGAATCAGGACTGCCATGTTGAATGGCTACAAGCAGTGGAGTACTTCCATGGCGTAATGGCTCATCAATCGATTCTTTATATTTATCGAGTGCGTTTTGTATTATTTCAGGAAGGTTGAAGGCTGCTCCTAACATTCTAAGACGACTCTTTGACGGGTATTTATCTGAGCGTGGAAGATCCCCAAGAATTCGATCTGCAATATCCATGATGTGATATCGTGTGCTTCCTGAGTAGTTGCCGGCATCAATTTGAGTGTACCACCACTGGAGCGAAGGGCTTATCGTGGCTCCAAGAGTAAAACGCTTATATAGGAGATCTTTACATCGTCTCTCCGATGTTGCTTTATTGGAGTGATAAGCCCAATAAGAGACGGAATAGGCTAGAAAATTGGTCGGCTCTTGGGGGGAGCATCAACGTCTTTTTTTATGGCGGAAGCCACCGAGCCGCGTTTGAGCCCTGATTTTGTGCCTGAATTGACTCTTTTCTGTACCAACAGATTTAAGCACATCTTCATCACGAATAAGTGACATTCCTCAGTTTGGAACTCGACTTTGAACCCGCAATGGTTAATAAGGTACTCCTCAACAGATAAATGGGCAAATCGAAATGTGCCTTCTGAGCTCTGAATAACAAAATTGCTACAGCACTAGTGAATACGAGGTCAGTATCCATCTTCAAATCCAACATAACAAGTATTCATCTTACATGTAAAACAATTTTTGTGCTTAACGGACTACGTGCTATTTTCTGAAGTTTAGGATCATGATCTAAGGAAATCTCAATGACTTTGAGAACTTCCTCCGCGGGCAGTGGCGTTTTGCAACACAGTAGCCACTTACAGACTGACTTAAAGACGCTGGCGTTGTAGGCCCCCGGCTTGGTGTTCATCGTGTAAACCGTTTCGTATGCATCGTTCAAGGATTGCTCCAAAGATAGATTTCGATCTTTTATATTCAGCAGCTGAATCTCGATGTTTTCTGGTAGGAAGGTTTGTGTCTCAATCGGAAACATGATTGCTAGTTGTAGGGTTACCCATTTGAACCTAAGACTCTGTTAGCTCCGTTGAATGTGTTAGTCAGTCATAAAACCTACATTCCACCTGCGAATTTCGTTAAAACAAGCACTATCCGATCAATAATCTGTCGTTTGGCTGTCTCGTCGTCACATTCAATATCTTCCTCTTTAGCTCTTACTTCGTTCTCAATGTATGTAGACATATCCCGCGATGTATCTTCAACGGCTAAAATAACGCCATCTGGGTTGGAGAATACCTTCTCCACATCAACATTTAATCGACTGGAGAAAACTAACTTGACACAATCAAGTTGCTTGACTTGGATTTTTTTTAGTGTTGTCAAAAGCTTACTGAAGTCTTTGCATTCGTCAAGGGCGTCAATAACGATGATGACCTTGCTGAGTCGTTGACATAGTTTTAGAAGCGCGTCGGACCAGTCCTCAGGTTTTGGCATAGTAGGGTTAGGTGGTTTCGTAGCATTGAACATACTAATAATATTTGGTTCTATCGCGTTGCCGTCTAATTTCCATGCTAACTGGGATACAAGGCTTCGAATAACGTCGCTTGATGTTGTTGGCGAGATGCAATAGAAATATACCATGCGCTTCTCATCTTGCCGGGCAATATCGGAATAGAACGACTCAACAATAGTGGATCTTGAGTAACTGTTAGATGTACTGTACACAGACGTCGAACATGGTACACAATAATCCAGATTGGCAGAGCAGATTTAGACTTTCAGTAATTGAACAAGTGTAAATCTTCAAGATGATGACTGCACTTCGGACTGTTGAACACCTAAAATAAACAAATGAAAGTAGCAGAACTCACATAATAGATGTCTTCCCCGTTCCAACTAACATTATCATATTAGCATGAACCTAGGAAAACTAATTAACAAATGAGAAGCTCACTCGTTCCACGTATCCAGAAAGTAGGTGCCTCAGCACTATCTAACCATCTGGTATATTTCTCGATAATCCATTCCCCAGCATGGGGATACTGCGCGAGTAATTGTCTAGCGGTGTAATGCTGGGAGATGTATGGTTTATCAGATACCCACTGAATTATTTCAAGGTTCTCTAGAGACACATGGAGTGTTAGTAGGGATATCGTAATGCTATACCAGGTTGACTCACTTTCGTCTGTTCTGTCCAGTCCCAGTATCAGCTCTCTTAGTTCAGATTCGAAACGTTTCTGGTCTTCGTATTTGATAGCAATGAGCGTCTTTTTCAATAGTAATACGGGAAGGATGAATACATCTTACTTTGGGAGTCATTCAATTGAAGGTCGGTCATGAAATTGTTCTTGTAAACCTCGACATCGCTGAGCAAAGTCTTCCAGTCATCCTTCCTGGCAATAGATGCAGCATATCTTGCTATTCAAGATGTTAGCTTAAACTTATATGAGTTGTGAGTCTCGTACATAATGTGTGTCTGCTAAAATTGTGTATGGCTGTCGCCTGATAGCGAAGTATTTTCCAGTACAATGTCACGATAGATTCCTTCAGTTGCTTCTCGGATTTTTCTTTCGGGATATTAAGATGATCCCAATCGAATGAAGTAAATTGTTGAACAATCTCTACCACTTTTTGCAACCCATTCAGTGCCGCCTCTTGTTCCTCAGAATGGTTTAAAATGAGCTATGAAAAGTCAGCTCAAGCCATATAGATTAACACCATACTTACCGGCAATAAAACCGAAACGCAAGCCCAGGGAATTCCCGCATGAACTGGATCAAGTGCGGCCACAGTATCACCAATAGGCTTGACCAGTACGAAAATTTTGACAATCTTGTCAAACTGCGGTCCAATTTTGATGGCTTTCTTGCGCCAATAAAATACCCACTGTTTATCCTCCATGATACGACGTTTTCTGAGAAGGAGATCACCGAGCTGTTGCTCTTGTCCTACACTACTTTTGACATTGGGGTCCTTGCTTATGATCGATTGCAATCGCTCATACAGTTCTGGATCATCGCGCTTGAACTTCTCATACGCTTCTTCCCACAAAGCATCGTTTTGGTTCGTCAAGGCAGCCAAGGATGGCTCTGGAGTAGTAGCCATTCTCAGATCCCATTCAATATGTAAGTGAGTTCGATATTCAAATTGCTTTGGTACACAAAAGAATCCAATATTTTAGAGCCCCTCATCGTCGGAAGAGTCCAAGTTATTGGAAACCAAGCTCTATCTGTTGTAGAAATAATATTCTAGTAGGAAGAGTATAGTTCCAAAAAGGATGCACCAGCTGAAGAACAATAGCCGCCGCACTCGTCATCTCACAATGTTTTGTGCATGGATGACTTGTCAGCGTCACGTGCACGCAAGCCTCGATGCATACCCCTCTGTGATGAAACTATCCATTGCATTGAAACAATATGCATCCCCTAAAATACTTATCCAGTCACTCATACAGCCAATCAATCAACTTGAATTTGTGTTACCGCAGCTTACAACAGCAGCTAACATTTAGCCTTACATACTTACCACGAAAACTTTCTCAAATTGATATCTCTCCTCTTCTAAATCATACATGCATGACGACTGCTCCTAATATTCCCTTCAATTCATTTTGATACACCCACTCGAAGATCTCATTCTCATCTCTTTGCAAATCTATTTCTTTCCTTTCCCATCCACCACCTCCACCAACTCCGCCTTAATCTTCCTCTTTCCCGTACTCTCCTCCTTAATATCGCTTATCCTAACTACCACCTTCCCAAACAATTCCACTCTAACTTCTCTACTTCCCTTCGTTTGCAATACATAGTTTTCCGCATCAAAATCACCCTCCGGTTCAGGCTCTGCTAGATCTCTCAGACGAATAAGTGACTCGATACCGAATCTAGGTACGAAGACTACAAATCCATTACTGAAAACTTTCATCACAAAACCCTCTTCTTCAACTATACGACCTTTGAGTGCTTGACCGACATAGTATTCAATCGAGGCACGACCTGCTTGCTGAGCGTTGCGGTGACGGACGTTGATGTTCTTGCAAACACCTTCTAGTTTTCCCTTACTGCGGACACTGGCAGCAAGAGGCTCGTAGTCAATTGCGGCAGCAAGTTGACGATGAGCAACGAGATCGGCATAACGACGAATTGGCGATGTAAAATGAGTATAAATTTCAGAGGCTAGACCATAATGGCGGAACTCTGGGTAGGCCTGTGTACCAGAGCAGAAATATTCTGCGGACATCATGCAGCGAGTTGCCATAATACGGACGAGGGTATTGAAAAAAGGTTCGGTAGGATCAACACATCCATCGAGGGAGTCGGCAAGTTCCCTTGACGAGCCAACCTTTAATTCAAGGCCACGCTTGACTTTGAGTTGATTGGCGAGTTCTTCGAAGTTTGTTTTGGGAGGGGCGGCGTGGCGACGGAGCATGGCTGTTTGTGGGAAAGCGGAATAAATCTTGGCTGCTACGCTGGTGTTGGCGAGAAGCATAAACTCTTCGACTAACGACATTGTGTCAAGGTGCTTTTTCTGTTTGATGTCTATTGGGTCTGAAGTCTCAGATTCCATCTCCACTCTAACTTCAGGTGATGAGAGACTCAAAGCTCCAGCATCCATACGCTTTTGCTTGAATTTCTTCGAAAGCGTGAGAAGCGTACGGATGTTGGTAGTAAGCTCATCTTGTTGCGAAGCATCGTCGACACGTTTTTGGGCATCTTCATAACTGAATGCTTCTCGAGATTTAATGACAGATTTTGTGTATTCTGCATTTACGATCTCGGCATCCGGTGTAATTTCCCATAAACAAGAAAAAGCATATCTCTCGACGTATGGCTTGAGGGAACACAAATCCGTCCCAAGTAGCATCGGTAACATATCAATTCGCTTATCTACTAAATAAACGGTAGTGCCTCGTATACTTGCTTCTGCATCCATTGCATTATTTGGCTTGACGAAATGTGAGACATCCGCAATATGCACACCCACCTCATAATTTCCATTGGGCAAAGGCCTTGCATGTAATGCGTCATCAATGTCTTGACAGCCTATTGGATCAATACTGCAAATGTTAAGGCCGCGAAGATCGCGTCTGTTTTTCCATCCAGGATCATCCGTACTTGGAGGTACAATCCAATCATGCCCCTCTGCTGGTAAGCAATCTAAAACTGCCTTCGGGAATGGTCTATATTGTACGTCGTATTCCAAAAGTAGAGCTTCTGTCTCGGCACCTTTTGTTTCTAGCTCGCCGAGAGAACGAACAAAATGACCAACCGGATATCTAGAATCTCTATCCCAGGAGTCGATGGTCACCAAAACCCGCTTTCCTAATATCTCACCCGCTTGTCGCGTCCTAACACGAATTTTCGGTATTCTCTTATCCATAGGAATAAGGAACACGGTTTGTTGCTTGCGACTTTGTTTCACCGACTGACTAACAGATGATTCGTCCACATGACCGACATATTGTCTCCAATTGCGCTTTACGACACCAACTACTCTTGCGGTTGGCTGCGGACGATTCTCCGCACCCTGGCTGTGAGTCTTCTTTACCTCTTCTTTGAGCGCACGTCTTTCCTTTTCAGTAACGACCGCTTCTCCCTCATCGGCATCAGGATTTTCATCTTTGTTTAGGCTTTCCTCTTCAATGATTTTTGTAGATGGCTCTTTCCATTGGTCCTTTGGTAATATCTCAATAACAACAACGTCCCCCTGGACAGATCTATTAATGTTCTCTCTGCCAAGAACAAGTAATGGTTTGTCAAAAGCGGGGACGTTCACTGAACCCTCCAGATAGTTGTATGGTGAAACGTTAAAAATACCTTGATGTAACGTGCCGTTCTTGACACCAGTCATCATCTTCGATACTGAGAAGTACTCCTCGTATAAGTTTCCAGAAGTTCTGGCATCTCGGGCTTCTTTGTCTTCCTGTGCCGCGCTGATCATATCCAGTAGTTGATCCGCATTTTCCAATCCACTAACATATTCCCGAAGGGAGCATGCTTGAATGCCATCACGCTTTGCTTTTTTGAGATTCTCTTTATCATCACTAAGCATGACAACAGCAGGTGTCTTTTTCGAACGTCCTCCCGACGCCTTTACTGCTTGTCTAATATGTTCATCGTACCATTTGACCGCTCGTCGGACTGCCCTATCGTTTCTATCGTTTATGCTTTCTCCGGTTTCCCGAACCACATAAGTTTCTAGACGAAAGTCATTAAAGAAAACATAGAATCGTTTGTCTTCACTCTTCGTAAGCCCAATCAAACGATTATAAAGTGGCAAGGACCTATTTCGCAGCTCTTCAAGTACGGTTTGTAATATGATGACATCGTAGAAAGCAGATGCCTGTTCGAAAAGGTCGAGGGCGTTCAGCAGTGCATTGGTATCGGGAACCAGGTAATGGCCTTGAGGGTACGCTTTCGTTCCAGCAGGCTTTTCGGAAAGAACAAAGGGTGGCACTGCATTAACGTGAGCATTCTACCATGGATGAACATACATTTACGTTATCGAGACCAAACTTACCAACACCGCTTGCATCTGGTGGCGCACTTTTGAGGCAGCTGTCGCAAAGCTTGGATGAGCAGGGAATATCTTGTCGAAGGTATAATTCACGAACAATCTTCTGAACTTTGCCACTTTTGGTCGAGCGTACATAGACTTTACTTGATATATTAGATGAGTAGGGATCCGATCCCATAGATCGTTTGAGACTCGTCATATTGGATGAATTGGAGGTGTGTTCGGGAGGGTTGTTCAACAGCTTGCGACAACTTGGATGCAAATTTAGGAAATTTAGACGCGACGGGCGCCTAACTAATCGCGGCTACTACATATCTTATCGGACACTACCTAGGTTAGAACGATAAGCTTCTTATCGTCTCACCCCATCAATTCAAGTGAAAGCTTGAAATATATCACATCTCAGACAAGCTGAACATATCACAACCAACTTCGGAATTTTTGATTGAAATATCATCACATTCTACTCAACGGATTTTATCTTATATTATTTGGTTTGAATCCATGAAAAAACATAATCAGAAACGAATATTAAAGATCACTGCCTTAAAGTTCAAAAGTCACAGGTACATTTAATATCCAAGCAATTCCTTCCTAAGGGTTCAAGTGATCTAAATCTAATGCTCATACCCCTCCCTCCCAAATGCCGTGTAAACATTCCTCTTTCGAAATTTGAGAGACACAAGGAAGATACACACAAATACATGCGTGAAAGAAACCCCTCCCGATAATGCATAACGGCCGTTTCATCTGCAATGTCGTACACGTGATGAGTATGTGTGTATGTATAGATGCCCGGCAGCAGTAGCGAAACTACATGTGTCACTTGACTTCCGATATCCTGGAAACAGGTATCTCGTGGCAAAGGAACGTTCCGATTTGTAATGAGTCACTTTGATGAACCTGGGTACTTTGAGACTTTGTCTTACTATTTGAGAGCTTGTCTAGTTCGCTTTGTACGAAGTAGCCCACCTTCATGCAAAATAGATCCGAAGTAGGAAAGGAACGCAGCTTAGAGAGCTTCTCCTTCCAAGTATGTCGTAAGTTCTAGAGGCGGCGGAGGTTGCGGTAAATGCTGAGAAGATGTCTCAAAAGTCATAAGTTTTTAACTTTCCGCTGAAGAATGAAAAAAAGGTCTTAAAGCAATTTATTCAGCGGGGTCTTGGGTATCAAAAGAACTTGAAAGGGTCCATCAAGCTTAGCATCTTACATGTAATTGCTGCGAACCGCCGTCATATGTGGGTGACTGCAGAAGATCTCCCGCAGATGGTCCATCACCTCCCACCATTGTAGAAGCGAAACACGAAACCCGCAATTGAGAATTGAGAATTGAGAATTGAGAATTGAGACTTGCGGGAGTAAAAGCTTAGACACATTTCTTCGCCTACAGTAGTGGGCTCGACGGGTATCCCATCCAGGATGGACATCGGGAGGGATGTGCCCGTAAGCTTAGCTATGCACAGCCTGATGTTGTGCATGGGAAGCCAACCAAGGGAAATCATTCTTATCCGCCGAGCATACATTAGTGGTTGAACTTCTGAGATTTTCTGCAACCATCAGAATTTCATTATCTGCCGAAAGACTTTGACCCCTCCATGATACTATTTTGACCGGGGCAAGCAATTGCGGTTAGAATTGGGGGGAGAGCAAAGAAAAGTCGCTAAAGTGTCTTAGTTTGAAAATAGACTAGGTTAAAATGATCCTATGACCATTTGCCTCGTACACGTTCAGAACATTTAGACTATGCAAGCGCGGCTCTGCCCCGTATCAATTTTTTTTTTAAAAATATCGCGAAAGATTGGCAAAGAAATAAAAGGGAAACTTGGTAGAATCTGCCACATTCCATCAAAAAAGTGGATTCCCCTCTGTCCGAGTCATCTTTCTTGTATCGCATGTTCTGAACGTGAGTCTCATTCAACCAATCATATCCCAGAGAATACAAATCTTCGTGTGTAAGGGGGACTGTCTGCGAAAGAGACCCTAGAATCCTTGAATGTGTCTAGCGCGGGTAGATGCACCGAAGAGTCATTTCTAATGGCGGTTTAATATCGATGATATCAATACAGAAACAGACCAGCCTTGCAGGATATTCTTCGAGAGATGATTGGCGTTCCTCATACGAAGACAGTAGTATATTTCAGCCACTGTGGGATGCGAGGAGGTCGCGGCTCTCATAGACCTTGTCTTCATACTAATCATGTCCAGAACATTCAGTTAGTCATGTCTTCTCATGATCTCCACAGCCCAGAACGGAAGACATGTGAATCCAGAGTTGAAAATCAAGCATTGATGGTGATAAAACAAGGATGAGGAACTTGAACTTGAACCGGCATCGACGGCGCAGACAGACGCCCGAGATCTACCTCGTAAAAGGATGCCGAAGCCTCCCCCTGATCAAAAGAAATGGAGAATTTTTTTGTTTCCCGAAACGCCGCGCTGCAATGTGTGGATATCTTGAGAATAGCAGGGGACTCTACCAGTGGCTTTTGCCATTGTGTTCGAATGGAACGAGACGAGTTCATCAGCATTAGCCCACTTTCATATGTGACCAATTAGTGGCTTTGAAACGGTCGTCGACATCATGATTGCAATCCTCCTGACCAATACGGTCTTGATCTCATCAATATTTTTGATCTGGTTTTCATCTGAAGTTTTAAATTAGCTTTTCATACTTTGGACGAATATCCAATATCCCAATTCAAATCACTAATTATTCTTAGCCATGTGTCGTTACATTTGATCCGGATGGCAGTACGAATGTGAAGTTCTATGTTTCAATCCCTTCATGGCTGAGCAACCTATCAGCCTCGCTGCTTTGACATGCGGTTGTTCGGTATTTAAATATTCTGGTATTTGTCTGGGACGAAACTGCAATCGGATGATTAATATGCCATTAAAGGAACCTTGTTTCGATTCAACTGCACTTCAGCGCTGGAAATAGTTTCAAGGGGCTCTTTCACATCTCAGATGTACCTCCGTACATCCTGCAGTAGATATGAGCATACTATCTGCTTCCTTCAAGTTGGGATTTTCGAGCCCAGATACATTGTGACAGCGTGCCAAATCAGCCCGAGAATATGCAGAGATATTACCTGACACTTTGATTAATTCTCAATCCTTGAAAGAAAAGGACTCATGGACCCAAATGTTTCCTCCAGATTGAGCGAGGGACATGTCGAAAAAGATATGAAGCTGCATATATTACCCAATTAGGCAATTGCCAACTTTTGGTGGTCCACTAATATCGTGATAAACGTACGGGGATACTGCAGGCTGATCTCATCCATATGTACTGAAATCCTTGAAGAAGAGGCGTGAATCCCTGAAGGCACAGGTAGGGTATTTTTTTTAATCACCTTCGCTACTGTAAGTCTTGCTGATATGTACTACTCTCCGCAAAAACGAATGTAGATGTCAAAGAAATCCAAGCATGATCCTATCTATGGTAGAGAATTAGCATAACTTCGTCATTGATTATACAACTTGAGACATGTTATCGTTTCTCCATTATTTTATGTGCCAGTGACCAAAACTTTCAAGCCCCGCGACCGAAATACGATTGGTGGCCCAAGACGCGCATAATCTGGAACTTTGAAGGTTGAGGTTGTACCCGAAGATCAAAGGAAAACCTCCTATCATACATTGCACGTCCTTCATGTACTTTGTTTGTATGTGCACTCATACACGCGATGTATGGAAAAATAAAATAAAAAAATAAAAAATAAAACTAAAACTAAACTCCATAAAATAAACCTATGCAAGTCTAAGAGATCATTAGATTATCGAACACAAATTGAAGAATAGTAATATAATGTTCAGATCATTTTTGAGCTTCTTGTAAGATTGCCTACCTTGTAATATCGAATTGGTAGACGATATATTTCGTATATCGCGTGCCACAACATTGAGAACTCGACCATTTCTAGGCATAAGCAAAGTATAAAAGTTTTTAGTTTATTCATCTCCGGCTCTCATCTGCAAATACAATCAAGAAGGTGTCAACGGGCGACTCCTTCCGAAGTAACGTTTGGTAAATGTATGGGACTTTCCAAAGTTGGCCCGAGCGAAAGATAGGAGAAGCGGCGCTTATTATTTCAAATTTCAATAACCTACCACATGTCTTTGAAATTTGTGATCTTTTATGAGTATCATAATTTTATAATCCCTCTCAATTTACCTAAAAGATTTCCGTTTCTCGTTCCCCATAGCGTGACTGAGCCGGAGACTTGCCTGAATAAGTTGCTTCAAAGTACATACTCTTCCTTCCATTCCACAAGCGATCTATTTTTCCATTTCCTCGAACCATATCACCGCATATCACCGCATATCTTCAACAATCCATCCATCTTATGCAAGCAAGCTCGTGGGATCTGTCCGTCATACCCGCCCGCTTGAAGGAAGGAAGGATCCTATCAATCTCCATATTCTTCAATGCCCTGGTCAGACTGTTTACCCACGAGTCATAATCAAGCGAACCGATCTTACGACCTCATGCTCAAACATACATACACACGCATACTGTACAGTATCTTGTGGAGATCGGATATTTTGAGAATAAAGTACCTCTTATCCAATGACACAGCGATAGATGGTTAGAACTATCAAAGAAAAATCGGGCACAAAGGCTACTTGGATCTTTAATATCTCGGAGGTTATCACGAGAAGTATGTGCAGTGCCAAAAGTTACCAAAGACGCAAATGAAATCGTGCATAACAACATTACATTGGCCAGGATTGAGATACATTAAATACATGGGACATATAAACTTTTTTGGACCCTCTCAGCCTTGAAGCTCCATTAAGATTCACTTGCGCCTTTCCGATGCCAATCACATTTATCTACCAGTGTCAATCAAAGGGAGCAAATCTGGAAAGCAACGAATTGTCAAACTACAAGAGAACGACGTCGACTTACATATCAGAATATAAAAAAATACCACACAGATATCCCAAACTTCAGATTCAACCAGTGACAACCAAGAAAAGTTCCCATCCTTCCTTTCCCTAGACCCGTTCAAAAATCCTGTAATGTGAATTATCTATTTATCATTTCGGGCATTTGAAGGAACTTCAAACTATTCGATCTAATTGGCGGCTAAAATATCATTTTGGATTCTCCAACTTTTCCTCGTCAGCTGGTTCTTCCAATCACAAAGAAAATTCGGAAAGATACCTTGGAACGCCCAGCTTCAAAGATACACTTTACCCGTACCAAACCTCGTCCTTGCGTCTGGCGTAGCAAGTCCTTGCGTAGCATTTGTCGCAATTGTTACTAGGATTACAGTGTCCGCAGCCGGGTCTGTGTTTGATAACGACATCAGGGAAAAAAGAGGAGCCATTTCTAGTTTTCCGGTTGACTTTCTTCGAGAGTACCTAGATACTTGAACGGGACTGACTCGGCTTTGATTATTAGTACGGGTTTCTGTCCACCTATCATTTTCGAGGATTCGATAGATTTGAACATTTCTCTCTTCTCGTTTTCTTTTACCATATCATATTGGAGAAGGAAAAAAGACTAAATAAAAGGGCAGAAAGGACAGAAAGAAAGGCTCGCTTCGAAATTGACTAAACCCCTTCATTTATAGTAGTCAAGCTCAATCTTTGGCTCCTTCATTCATCACTGCCTACCGACGCTACCGAGCCCTACCTATCTACCCCTACCTACATATCTATCTCTCTATCTACCTATCCACCGACCTAGCTACCTACCGACCTACCTAGGCAATTCCATCATCAAAGCCGAGAAGGAAAACAAATAGCAAAGAAAGAATTTTATCTATTAAAAGAGGACATCAAAGCTTCCTTTCCTCTTCATCCTTCCCCCTCCCTGAACCTTACCTTAGCCTACCTTTGCGTATCTACATATCGACCATTACATTTTTTTAATCTCTTACCACCACCGCCACTACCACTGCTTATATTTCCCACGAGTTCGTTGCGAATGAAAGGGCGCCTGTTGATCAGTGGGAGAGTGGGAGAAAATCGTGGGGCCGCCCGTGCTTACCTTTCAAACTACGGTACCTAAGATTAACCTGCTAAGCTGCTTAGGTGATCGCAACGACAAGACAAGCCTGCCTCGTACAACGGACAAAGCTCCCCGTTCCAATATTCGATAATTCGATATTCGATTACCCATACATGATTCATTATTCATTATTCATTATTCATTACCTATTCGTTATTGACAACTACCGACACGCTTGGGGAAAGCCATCATACCGACATACTGTCTGTACCTGAGAGAGTATAGTACAGTAGGGCAGGCAGCATAGGATACCCGTCGCACATTTATTATTATATCTCGCATCTTCATTTTCCCTATTCCGTTATTCGACCATTTTCTAGGGATCCAATAAATCGACATCATTCGTCATTCATCATTCATCATTTTCCATCCAAGCTTTCAAACGATTCCAGGGTCCTTTCCGGTATCGACAACATACCCACACACACATACACATACATATACACATTTACCTATCCATATCCATATATCTACTATCCACACTTATCCACAACTATCCACTACCACACACATATATTAATTAAATACCTTGAATCCCCAGGAAAGCAGCTACTGTATCCAAGTACCCGCATGCATGGTGCAGAACAAATCGGTTCGTTAGGTTAATGCAGCTGAACGGCTTCTACGCCGCACTCACCAAATATTGGAGCTTGCATCTCCATCTCTTACACTTTTTTTGCGACGAAAGCGCAAACGCGCCGAACGTGAATGGTGTCAGGAGTCGGGGGTCAAATGAACTTCCCATATATTTCATCGCACAATACTTTTCTTGAAAGTGCTTTGGAACTTTAAATTCCTTTGTACTTCTTTTCCATCGATTCGTTCGTTGACGTTGCGTTGCGTTGCGTTGCGCATTTCGTCATGTACTCGGCCGTGACAAACGGCCTTGGAGGGGGAAGTAACGAAGGTCCATTTCAACCCACCACTATTAATCCTCAAGCTCTTAATCAAGGTAACTAGACTCCTCACTAGCAAACATTCATGCGACTTTGGGATTGGATTTCTTTCAAAAAAAATTGACTGTCGTCTCTTCTCGTCTTAACTTGTGGACTTCGGACTGACTTAATCGTTTGATGCGATAGGAGCTCTCAACCCATCTTCAGCATCACCACCAAAAGAAAGTCCTCGAGGGATTAAGAGGAGTCACTCACCAGATACATATAGTGAAATGCCGCAGGCGGAAATCCAGGCAGATGATGGTATGTTGTTATCACTCTTCATATTTCGGGTTTCGCCTCGTTCGCACCTTTTTGTAACGATATGTTACAGGCGCACTTACTTTACCTTTTCAAGAAATGTTACTGATATGATGTCTTTCTTATCCCAGGTGACTCAAAACCACGAAAGCGAGGTAGGCCTATGAAGACGAAGGTGGCCGTCAGTACCTCAGAGCCTTCCCAACAAAGTCAAAGCCAAATGCCGCATTCAACCCCGAACCACACTGGCCGGCCGCAGACTCCTCAGTCGCAGCACACAATCTTGCCTCCCAACCGTACTCCGCTTATACATTCAGTCCAGACTCCTATTCCGAAGCCAACTCCTAAGCCAGTTGTCAAGGCTTTACCAACTGTGAGGGATCACACAACAGATCAGTTGGGTGCAGAAGGAGACGAATATATTCCCAGAGAATATGATGAGCAGGGCGAGAAAAAAGTCTCCGCCAACGGCCATTTAATGGACGGACGCGAATATAGGTGTCGAACTTTCTACGTACCAAATAGGGGAGATAAGCTATTCATGTTAGCAACAGAATGTGCTAGGGTACTTGGTTATCGAGATTCATATCTCCTTTTCAACAAGAATAGATCTCTATACAAGATTATTGCAACTCAAGCAGAGAAGGAGGATTTGATTCACCAGGAAATTCTACCCTTTTCCTACCGCTCTCGGCAAATAGCCATTGTTACCGCAAAATCGATGTTCCGGCAATTTGGAAGCAGAGTCATTGTTAATGGACGACGTGTCCGAGATGATTATTGGGAAACAAAGGCACGTAAGCAAGGCTTCACTGAAGATGATCTAGCTGGAGAGAAGAGACCTGGTGCAGCGAAAGCCAGAGATGCTGCTGCCGCTGCCGAGGCTTCCGCTGCTCTAGCTGCAAGCCACCATCATGGCGATATTTACAGCAATGGCCCAGGACACTATGCGTACCCGCAACAAGCCGTTCCATCTTCCATGATGGGTATATCGGGTGCCAACAATCCACTTCCTATGATAACCACCCTTGCGCCAGAACAAAACGACATGCGCTTGAGAGACTATAGTAGTATTCAACGCCCCAGACAAGAACTTGCTGGGACCGCGTACCAAGATAGGACTCAGCCAAGTTTAAACACGGATCTCACGAATCACGTAAATCAAGCTGTTGAATACAATAAGCAGATCAATCAGCAACGTAGTCGTAGTCATGATTATCTGGAACGAAGGTGGAGACAACCTCATGAAGTAGCTGGGGGTAATATGGTGCAGCCTGTCAGTTCCCAAGACGGGCTTTCATCTGCACAAGCATTGCACTCGCCTAGAGCGTCACAAAGTATTGCGCAACAATCAACTTTGGCTCACCAAGGCCCACAGCATATTTCATACTCACAGGCTTCTCATCAACCCGGTATTGTTTCACAACCTCCGCTTAGAGCTACTTCATCAAGGCAGGAGCAAACGGCTGGACGATCTCCTAGCATGTCAATTGCCTCTGCGGGCAATTTGAACCAAGGAACGGCTCCTTATCAATTTACGTCTCAAAATCAGATGTGGCCATCTAGTCAACCACAGCAGTCTCCTCAGCAACACGCGTTCAACCCTAGTTACCCGTCCCATCCTAGCCAGCAATCACCACACATACAACAGTCTCCACATCAACCTCCTCCACCGCAACTTCGACAATCAGGTAGCAATACTCAAATGCAACCCGCATTACAATACTCTGGTATGCAAGCGATGGGTCAAAGTTACCAAGGAACTCCTCGAAATGTCTATCAACCTGATTCAAACAATCAACATTTTATGCAACCTACAACATCCGGTCCTCAACCTGGTGCTCAGGGTTGGGCCCAACAGCAGCCTGCGGGAACTAGCGCTTCCTGGGGTTGGGCTGGCCAATCACAATAAATAAGAATGGAAACGAATGTTGCATGACTCGCGAGGATGGCATGATGATATACATAACTGCGAGAGATCGGAACGACATCGAAAAAGTGATGCGCTACTCGGTATCACTATGGCTGGGTTACATCCCATTGATCATAATTTGCACTTTCATCGACACATCTCAAAGATTGCACAACGATGGAATAACGAGTTGGAATCATAGTATTTATCGGGCGAATGCTTCTGTGCTAAAGCATTTTTAAGCACTAGGCATTCAGATGGGTTTTTTTTTGTATCACTGGCATATTTCCCCTTTCAACGTTACTATTATTGCTTTTTTGACCCTTGATACCTCTATAGTTTTAATTCTTGTCCTTTGATTCTTTACTTCTCGTTTCATTGTATTTTTCATTATCTTCCAGCTCACCACTTAATCACTTCCAAAATACCTTTTTTGAGATTAAAGGTGTCTTGGCAACTTCATCCTTATTGTTGATTTTACTACTTGTCAGTTCTTTGTGTTATTTCACTTCACATATTCATATGGGGGGTTTTTTCTCTTTCCGTAGGCATAGTCTCAGCTTTGTTCAGATTGCATCTGAGCAAAGCATGCATTGATGGATTGGCTTTTTGTTATTACTTTCAATTCTTAAGAGCACGGAATATTATGGATGGATAGGATATTATATTTTTGCATTGCGTGCAAGGCTTTGGCATACTATTGATAGGAACTTGATTGGGTTATACATGTCACGAAAGTACATATTTAATGTATGGATGGATTGATGATTGTGTGGGTGGGAATGAGGGATGGAGTTCGGAATGGGATACCTCTCTGTTTTTCTTACATATTATCATTTGAAAGGCTGTTTTTACCTTACTTTAACTTGCATGCGTCTCCCTTAGGGTGCTTACATTATGTTAGTGTTGATGAATGACAAATTGTGTCATTTTTTCTGTTCCTGAGAATTCACTAGTTTGTGTGGTGCTTGTCGATGCATTATGGTGGTGGTTTTTTTCTTCGTGTGCTTACTGCTTACTGTGATGATTGGGAAGAGGGGTGTTGCAGAAGATGAGGAGGAGATGTGAAAGGATGAAAGAAGTAATCTTATATTGGGAATCATGAAGTGGTATATATATATGCATGGATGAATTAATAAATAAATACAGATGGATATGGATATGGATAATATGGATATGAATATGGAAGTATTAATGAATGGATGAATGAATGAATGAACGGATGGATGGATGATGGCTCATCAGATATCTATACTCTACTTAAATACCTCCTTTACCTACTCTACCTAATGAAAGTTAATTATCAGTATTTGATTCTGTTGGTTTGGATTTATATCTGTAGATCGTTGGCTTGTAGGATTCTTATCTTTTTGATTGATGGGTAGTTTGTATTTTGTATTTGGTATCTTATGGATTTATTTTTTTGTTTTTTTGTGGAGATGTTTGTGCGGTCTTTGTGATGAGATATGTGATGGTTGAGTGGGTGGATGGATGGGTAGGTGGACCTTGGATGGAACTTGGAACTTGGAATATTCATATTCTTATTCTTATTCTTATTCTATTCTTGTTGATTGATTGAATCAATGAGAGATTTGGGTGAGGGTTTTGAGGGTTTGGAATGTTTGGAATGTTTGCGGTGGTTGTGAACGTGTAGAGTGTTGGGCATGTGGATGTGAAGGTGTAGAGTGTTGGGATCGGCGGGGATTGAGGGGCATTAATGGATAGTTGGATAGTTGGATGATGTTTGGGAGTTTGTTGTATGGGGGAGGAAAGAGGAACGGAGAAAGGAAGGAAGGAGAGGAAGTGGAAGGAGAGAAGGGAAGAGGAGAGGAGGAATTTAAAATACTCAGTTATTTGTGGGAGTTGGGATTTGGATTGGATTGGATTGGATGGTTGGATGGAAATGGATGGATGGATAGGATGGATAGATGGATGGTGGATAGGATATAGGATAAGAAATAGGTGAAAGAAAAGGTAAGTTAAAAGTTAAGTTGGAACTGGGGATGAAGGATAAGGAATAGGAATCAGGAATGAAGAATGAGAATAATGGATAGAAGAAGTGAAGAAAGGGATAGTTTATATTGTATTTGGACAGGTCGGGGAGAGGGAGAGGAGAGGAAAGCGGGTATTGATGTGTAGATTTTTGAACTTGGTGGTGTTTATTCTTTTGGTTTTTGGTTCTTTGCTTTGGTGAATGTTAATTCGGGGAGGAAAAGCTGGAAGAGAAGAGATGAAATGAGCAGATGAAGGTGTGGATGAAGATGGGGATAATGAGTATATAAAATTATTCTTTCAGCAATTATTTCAATAGATTACTGGAAATACTTGCAAATGAGAGGGGATCGATATAATATTTAGAGTGATAATATTATTTTATTGTAACACTGTTTTTATAATGTGTATATGTGTATATTAAGTTTTTAAGAAAAGAGATATTTTATTACAAGACTTTTGTTAAAGTATAAGACTCAGAAAAAGAATATATTTATCGAAAGAAATGAATTTGTAAGAAAAAACTTCTCACTGTTATTAAATTCCTAATATAAGTCTGTCTTTAAAAGGGATAGGATGATGGGAGTAAATGATTGGATGTTGATACGAGAAGTAATTTAAGTAGCTAGATAGATAGGGGGGAGATGGAGAAAAAAAGAGGTCGTGGTGGGTGGTGATTTGAGTTTAGAAGACGATTAGAGACGTGGATAGATGGCTGAAGTTTTGGGTAGAGGGGTGTTGTGGTGGAAAGGTGTGGTGGAGAAGATGTGGGTGAAAGGTATAATGAAGAGGTACAAATGATTAGTTTGAGAAATATGGAAAATTTGAAATTTGAAATGCATATCCTTTCGTTAAGAGTGATTGAATGTCGTATATGTGTTATTTCTGGAACTTGTGGCTATGATAATCGAAGTGATTTCCATCTTGGGAAATTTTGAATTCGGGATCAAAGGCATTGATTCATATTCCACTTGCCGAGTGTGCTTTTTGTATAGTTTGTATTCATTTGCCATCCCAGTTCTATCTATAAGTACGTATTCGCATTCTATAATCTTAATACCATCCTCTAGAGGGCTCTTATCTATATGCTCCATGCCCAAATTCTATTGAAATAATCCATTTAAATCAATGCATTAGAAATCTCCAACTCAATGCCCTCATCAGTCTTTCCGACAACTTTCAAACTCAACAAGTCTTTTACAACCCAGTCAGCACCAGCTTCAATTACTTGTTCGATAGTGTGTGTAGTAACTACAGCTAGAACTTTACATCCTGCTGCTTTCCCAGCGCGGATACCGGCCGGACTATCTTCTAGGACGAGGATGGAACCTTGGGGAGCATTTTCGAGGTTCAATTTTGATTTTCCCATGTTGTAGCATGCTTGGTGGTGTTAGTTTGTGGCAGCAATTGGAGGGGGGAATACAAACTTGGATCAGGTTTTCCATTCGGAACATCCTCGGCAACGACTAGATGTTCGGGTATAGGTAGTTTTAGGACATTGAGCCAACCGGTAACGAGTGGTGAAGTACCGGATGTTACGATGGCCCAGGGATGATTTCCAGTGGTTAGTGAGTCGAGAAGGGAACGAGCACCTGGGATTTCGACGGCGTCATCGCCATAGTTTTTAGGAAGAAGACCTTCCATATACTTTACGTCTGATTTAAGATGTTAGTGATCATCGTTTAAAAATGGGTGTTAAATCTAGTTCTATGGTATCATGGTGGTAAATCAAGTTGGATAAGGGGACCTCAGAGTGAGAAGTATACGTGGGGTCGGGAAGATAAATGCACAAGTCGTTAAGGGGCCTGTTCCCTCAACAGGTCCAAATTTAGCATTTGGACAGAGTACAGATTCCACTTGGATTTAAAACTCGACTCATTTGCATTATCCCCTGTTGCCCATTGGTATGAAATGAAATCCAAAATCAAACTAGGAGTTTCTAATCATCTTCTAGATGTCTCGCTGATAGGTCGAGGGGGTAACCAGAACAGAAAAGTTCATGCTCGGCAGAGGAAAGATGCAGGAAATGAAACCAGTAGATGGGATTTGAAGTCTGAGGTGAAAGGGAAGCCAAGTCTTGAGCTTACAATCCCAATTTGCTTTCTCTGGAGCAATAGCCTTCAAGACATCAATACTTCTTCTTCCATGACTTGTCTGTAAAATGACATTAGGATCTACTCCTATTTCGTTTCCTAATCTGAGAATCTTTGTTATTTAAAGGTTCTCATCATTAATCCTGACAAGGGTAATCTTACTGATGCCAATGCTTAACGATAGCATCGGTACTATCAATAATAGTACCATCCATATCGAAAAGGAACCCCTTGAAGACAACCTTTTGAGGCGGAGCAGAAAACTCTCTCGGAAGAGAACCCATGATTTCTTCTAATGATGAAATAATTGAATAGAATGAAATAAACAGATCGCGGAGATCAAAATGTAGGTTACCAATAAGAAATAGGTGGGGTGGTGGTTGAGATGTGTAAAATTGGCGAGAGAGACCCTTTGACCGGTCTAGAAATTTGCGAATCCTCCTCCTCAAATGAGATATGCAACAAAACTTTTCTTCGTTGATAGATTCAGACCTCGTGATTGTTAAATCGTTTAATGGAAGTTTCTCTTTTGCAAATTTCCTGAGGGAAAGTAGAAATGTTAAATAGAGAATGAGGAATGAATGAAAGTTATCAATGTTTGGTTCTGACTCAAATATATTTATTAAAGGGTTGACGTGGGCGGGGGAGCACAAGCAATAAGTAGAGGCGTCTAGGGAAAGGAGTTGAGCTCGTCCCTGGTTGAAGCGGAGGGAATCATGTGACCAATTCCGTCGGAGATGCGTGATTGGGATTAGTTTGAGTAAGCTAGATGAAAATTGGCTTAGCGTTGATGGATTAGAAAATAATTTTTGTGCGATAAGGGACGGGTGGAAAATCTAAAAATTCCATATCGAAAATAAATCAACTACCTACATATCAACAGCATCTATTTCCCGGGAATTGCCCAACAGTATTCAAGATGCCCAAAGTCGGAAGTAAGTCATTGATACACTTGTCGTTTGCTGCTATGATAACTAATTGATTATTTTTTAAACAATAGAGCCAAAGAGTAAGCGTGTTTCAGTTCGCCTCCGTCACAAAATCGAGAAAGCTTCAGTTGCAAAACAAAAGAAAGCTCGCAAGGAAGGAAAGAAAAATCCAGAGTGGCGGTCGCGTTTAAAGAAGGATCCTGGAATTCCAAACTTGTTCCCATATAAGGATAAGATTTTGGCAGAGATTGAGGAAGGAAGAAGGAGAAAGGCTGAAGATGCTGCGAAACGACGAGCTGATGCGAAGGCTACAAAGACTGGTGAACAAGTTGAGAGAGAGGTAGAGGCTAGAATGGAAGGTGTTGATGAGGAGGATATTGAGCTTATGGATGAGGACGAGGAAATGGACGGCGATATTGATGAATCTAATCCTATGGCAGCTTTACTTGCCAGTGCTAAAGCCGCAGCAGCGCAATACGAGGATGACCTTATTAGTGGAGATGAGATGGACGAAGATGACGAATCGGAATCGGAAGATGATGAAGCGTTCGATGGTGTTAAGCTCTCTGGATTGCCCACACGAAAAGACGGATCCAGAAAAGCTTTCGACAAAGTTTTCAAGCAAGTTGTTGATCAGGCAGATGTTGTTCTCTACGTTCTCGATGCTCGCGATCCCGAAGGCACTCGATCGAAAGAAGTTGAACGTATGGTTATGGCTGCTGCAAGTGGTGGAAAGAGATTAATTCTTATTCTCAACAAAATCGATCTTATTCCTCCTCCAGTCCTCAAAGCATGGCTCATTCACCTCCGAAGATATTTCCCCACCTTGCCCTTACGAGCTTCTGGTCCAGCGGCAAATGCACATACTTTCAATCATAGTCAATTGACTGTGAAGAGTACATCACAAACACTTTTCAAGGCTTTAAAATCATTCGCTGCGGCAAAACAACTCAAGCGCTCCGTTTCTGTTGGTGTTATTGGATATCCTAACGTTGGAAAATCTTCCGTCATCAATGCCCTCACATCCCGTCTCGGTGGTGCTGGTGCAGCATGTCCAGTTGGTGCTGAAGCAGGTGTTACTACATCTCTTCGAACTGTCAAGATCGATAGCAAATTAACGTTACTTGATTCTCCTGGTATTGTTTTCCCAACCGCTAGTGATTCCTCCAAGGCGTCGAAAATTGAAGAACAAGCCAGACTTGTTCTCCTAAATGCTATTCCCCCCAAGCAAATTGAGGACCCTGTCCCCGCGGTTACCTTATTATTAAAGAGATTGAGTGCTTCTCAAGATATGCTCAATAAACTTATGGATGTCTATGGATTACCACCATTGGTTTCCGTAAATGGCGATTCAACCTCAGATTTCTTGATCCAGGTCGCTAGAAAGAGAGGAAGACTTGGGAAGGGAGGTGTACCAAATATTAGCAGTGCTGCCACAACAGTTATCACGGATTGGAGAGATGGAAGAATCCAGGGATGGATGGATGCTCCTATATTGGCTATTGCGCCGGAGAAGATTGCTGGTGCTGCTGTGGGAGAGGATGTTAAAGGTGATCAGAAGGAGATCGTTAAGGAGTGGGCTGAAGAGTTCAAATTGGAGGGATTATGGGGAGATAACTCTTCAAAGGATGAGGTTATGGAAGAATAGATTTTGCTATGAGGCACTATGGAATATCCTGTGGACGATCATCAGTATGGTGTTTAGGCGTAATGGCTGGGTTTAAAAGTTGGCCGGGGTCAGTTTGTTGTAGAAATGAATACAGCAAGATAATCAGCAATATGACGAGAAGCACCTTTATGCAGTCTTCAGTAGTCTTGTATGATACTGAACATACATCTTTTTGAATTAGGTGATGATCGAATTCATGGTGGGATAAAGACAAAACATTTCCCAGCCTGTACATTAGATAATCCATCTACCTGTCAACAAAAACTGGTTCGAGATAGCAGTTCAAATCCAGCAGCCATTCCATCTCATACTTGAGACGTACCCTCAATACTCAAATTTTTCACCCACAGGCTTTCCACTTAATCACCACAATCCTTTAGCCGTCTCTTTATCAAGAGCAGTAGCCCTCCATCTGAGTCTAAATCTGATTCTCAACAATAAAGACTGGTACATGCTCAGATTCTACTATATTGCGTTAGAACTCAGATGAACTGTCGATTCACGGGTTTTGAGATTTACATCTTCGGAGCAAGTGGTTGTCAGCATCATCTGAATATGTGACTTTCTAGGAATCATACATTTAAGGAGTCGTATTTTATTATTCAACATGATTATGACATTGTGTCTCGAGAGGCTCTCATTTTGACTCATATATCTCTCTCGGCTATTGCTGACGAGCAACCGGAAAAGACTACTGAGTGAAACCTTTCTACATATTTCATATAGAAGCTGGTGTAAAGTACAGTAAATGAATGGTGATTTATTGAAGCGACTAGAAACCTCATTCTTCCCCGACATAGATTGAAGCTCCCGTAAATGAATATCAAGAATAGAATACTTGTGAGTGAATCTTGAAAACCAATTCTTGGAACATAGTCTTGTCTGTATAGACGTAATTGATTAACGAGCAACGTTAAAATCAGATACATCAAAGTTTCATAGCTGAATCGAGCAACTATCTCGATGCGATGAAACAGTCAAAATTGCTGAGAATGAATATCTTGATGGAAAGAGTGCGAGAGATTTATCAGTCTCAAAAATGTTTGACATAAAGTACTGCTAGAAGAAAATATTTAGTTTTCCAATGAAATACGTAAAGTTTAGCTCGGATGCTCTAGTTCAGCTTAAATCTTTAAGGAAAGATGAGCTTGATGCTTTAGGAGGAGTATATTAATATCTCTTCTACCTGAAATCCAGCAAATTAATAACAGAAATCAGGGATAGGTCCATTAGCTCTTGTATTGTCCATAAACATCTTCTCACTAACCTCACCCCCTCTATCATCTTCCCAATCACTAACCTGTCCTCTTTCAGCCTGGTAAGAAATCTGTCGTCAAGCGCTGTGATTGTAATCTTTAATCTTGCGGCAAAGGTTCTCTCCATTATCTTTTTTAATTAAATCCGTGATAAAGTCTGGAAGACTCCCATTCTGTCAAAATGGCAATATCTCGACTTCAAGGTAATCATGTGGGTCGCAGTGATGAGGGAACGAGAGGGGAAGAGGGGAAATCTTGAGGTAGGCTTGAGCTACTACTTCATGCTCGGGGTATTGCCGTTTCTGATCCGGATAACTAGCAACTTCATCCGTAGCTCGCTACGATTCATATGCTCTGCTCGGAAATAGTAAGATGGATAAGGTCTCGCTGCTAAACAACATAAAATTAACATTCGAGTCATTATGGTAGGTATGTTGAATGCACGGGCTACCAATACAATCCTGTCTCGCTTACCTCACGAAACAGTATTCTGCTATTTTTGCAGAAGACTACTTGAATATTAATCTGATTTAAAAAGAGAAACATGAAAGGACGCATTTGGATTAGTTGTTGAAATGTCAGAATTAGATTCCCGATTTCAATCGATGACTATCAAAAACTCTACAGCCCCCTGACTAGTTACTGAGGATACTTTTGTGTGAGCGTGCTTTGTCACGTGCTTTGAACGTCTCCGAAGCCCAGATTCCGCACAATCCGTACCGAAGATTAACCGTTCCGGGCAGGCATCATTCATGTTATCAATATGAGTATGTCAGATTTCAACTTCATCTCAACAACAACCACGTTGACGACAACACAATGATAATCCGGCAAAGATTCGCCTTTCTACTCTGCTTTGCATTGCTTGAGTTCTTCAGCATTGCAAATGCGAGTACTGGTGATCGATTGCCTGAATTTAGACAATGTGTTGAGGTATGAATGAAATCCCGAGAGCTTTCGTTTAGTTTGTTTACTTTATACTAATAAATATTTAGGTTTGTCAACGAGAGAATTGTGACAATGGAGCTGGAAGTGCTACGAAGATTCGTATGTCAATCCCCTGCTCCTATTCTTTTGCGCGAAAATAATAATAAAAACAATATAGCACTCCTTCATCGACTTCTCTTCTGGACTTGCCCCGCGGAATGCGATTATACTTGCCAACATATAATCACCAACCAACGTGTCGAATCTGCCCAACCCATCGTTCAATTCCATGGCAAATGGCCCTTTTATCGATTCCTCGGCATGCAAGAACCCTTCTCCGTCTTCTTTTCCCTTCTTAATTTCCTCGCGCATCAAAATGGACTTGCGAAAATCACTGCTCAAATCCCTGAAAGTTACAGTATGCGAAAATACTATGTTATGCTATCATATGCGGGAATGATGAGTTGGGTCGCCAGTATGATATTTCATACGAGGGACTTTGCTTTTACGGAACAATTGGATTATTTTGCCGCTGGAGGAAGTGTTTTGTATGGCATGTATTATACGCCAATTCGAGTCTTTCGTATGGATCGTGGTGGGAAACGTACTTCCTCTGTGTTACGCGCCTGGACTCTTCTTTGCATACTTCTCTATATCGCACATGTGGTATATCTGAAGTGGTGGGACTGGGATTATACATATAACATGGCCGCGAACGTTGTTGTTGGAGTATTACAAAATTCACTGTGGAGTTGGTTCTCGTTCGAAAAGTATAGGAAGAGTAAAAGGGCGTGGACAGCATTGCCAGGATTGGTAGTTGCATGGATTTTCTTGGCGATGAGTTTGGAATTGGTGGATTTTCCACCTTGGTGGGGATGTTTGGATGCGCATAGTTTATGGCATTTGGGGACGGTGGCTCCAACTATGATCTTCTATAGGTATGCTCCCGGAATATTTGGGTGGTGGCGACGCTGTGTGATAGGCGTTAAGGTACTAACTTTGGTATAGTTTCTTGATCAAGGATGCGCAAGATGATATTGCTGGACAGAGATTAAAGGCTTAGATTCTACAAGGAGTGAAGAGAGCCTAGAAGGACGAGGAGGGTTGAGAATTTTGAGGAGGAGCTAATGTCAAATGATAATACTGAAATGATTGATCGTTGTCTCGTACATCTACTGCTCAACTTCGAGACATCACGCATCCTTACATCTTCCCTCGAGTTCATACCTTACTGTCTTGACATACAATGAAGTACATATCATAACGGCAAGGAAAGGCATATTTATCAATGAAATATACATGAAAATACACCCCTTGCAAATCCACTCAACTCCTCATTACCGTGCTATTTCACCTAACTACGCTCAACAACAAAACCACAAGTCTCCATCCTTGGAAGCATGTTGCGTATGAAATTGGAGAGCCAATATTCAATATTGATTGTAAGATTATATTTTATTAAAGGGCCAATATTCGAGGTTAAGAAATATAAAAACTTGGGGCGGGGTATGATATGTGAAGATTAGCAGAACAATGATACCTCGATGTAATCAACCTTAATCTTACTCCTATAAAGAATCTTGAATATTCGAGCTGTTTAAACCGTTTGAGCTGATAGTAAATAATAGGAAGGAAGTTGTTCATAGATTCCCAAACTTTGCTGTAAATAATATTCATCCAGCCTCTATCTTAACTAATTATTGGAAAAAGGTCTATAAAAAGTTTTATAAAAGGCTTTCTCGTATATCTATTTATCTATCTATCTATTAACAGCCAGATATCATATAAATTTATATAAATTTATCGGCTCCCTTTATCACCATTCGCTATCACCATCACCATCACTATTATTATATCATCATTTAAATTTAATCCTACAATACATTATAATATATCAAACGGAACATAACATAACCCGGGATGAAACAAAAACAATAATTATACATACACTACCCTGTTTTGAGCGAATATTTTAAGGGTGCATAGTAAATGAAGGAATTCCTACGTTGTGAGTAAGTATTCTTACGATTACGATTGAAATGTTAATCAGATGAATAAATAATCATTTGTTTAAACCAGGCGGGGATAAGAATATGAATATGAATATGAATGAATATAAATATGAAGAGAAGCTACTTTCTCGAATGAGGAAGATGAAGCAATTAATGCATATCTATCTAGTGGACATCCTTACTCAAGCATCACAATCACCGTCACAATGAGTAGCACACTCAATAAAGTCAATTAATCAAGCAATATCCAAAAAGTCCGATGTAGAAGTTCTTCTATTTCAATGAAGCACTATACAAATTTAACAAAGATAGATAGATAGCTAAATAGATAGACAGAGGAACAGAACAGACAGACCAGACAGGAAATACTCCCTCACACTCCATTCCCCATCAATCCATCCATCCAAGCCACCCATCCAAATCCATTCCTACCAATCCATTCCAATCCATTCCAAGCAATCCATTCAATTCAAATCCAAGCAATTCCTCCATCCCCCGAAACGCCATCACCTCCCAGCACCACCCACGAAAAAGAAAAACCATGATTTTTCTCCAGAAAGAATTCCTCTCCTCGGAATCATCAGGTGGACTTGCTTGCCAAAAATGTATCCTGCTTTTGGGGTATATCTTCCTTCCATATCCAACCCCCTTTCCCAATACCATTCCATTCCAATCCATCCCATTCCCTCCTCTCAATACACATTCCTACCCCTGCCACTCCCCCTCCTATACATCATGAACATTAACAAAAACGACACAACATCCATGCCATTTAGAAATTATTAATTAAGTGAGAGGCATCGTGCCATTCATTGTATGACAACCAATTTGCTGCAAGTAAAGATTCAAGAAAAATGAGAAAAAACGAAGGTACAGAATGAAACGCTTGAATGCCGATACCCAGCCATGGAAATTGCTATTGTACAATGCCAGTGGGTTTTAAATCGATCTGGTTACGATTTAGGGGATATCGACGCTTCGCCAGTATGTCAATATCCGGGGACAAAAAAATTCAAAGGAATCACACTGCCTATACGAAGAGCACGAGTCACCACCGTACGAAAACGACTCTGTCTATACCACCTCATTTCTCCGAATAGTCAGCTGGAGTAACATTAGAAAACTGATATTGTTTCTGTTTCGTTGTCATTGTTGGAGAACTGCCGACTAATCCAAGATTTGGAAATGGTGAAAGCCCATCATGCGGAAACGAATATTCAGCAGATCCGCCCTGATTCGACAATGTATATAACGGACTGGCATTGTTATTGAATTGCGGGGAGTCATGACTATTACCCAAGAGAAGGCCTCCTTGGTTGAAACTACCAAAAGCTGGCGTTACTGGTTGACTGGCGTACGAAGGATGAGGCATCGATAATTCACTGGCGAAAGAATCGTGGTTGGGGGTATAGAGAGGATCATCTGGAATTTCGTAATTCCAGTGTTGCTCAGCATTGTGGTGATTGGCGTTGGTCGGCCATCCGGACGTAGGTGTTGGTTGGAGTCCTAGAGAGGCTTGTGGAGTCTCTGGTGGTGTTTGGTCAGTGGCTTGGTTGGGGTCTACCAAAGCGGAAAGACCATCATGGCCTTGCAAGTTGAACAAATAGTTCAAGTTGTCTTGAGATGATGAATTTTCCCTCTTCAATGACATTTGTCTTTCCCTAGGCGACATTGGCGTTGGTGGTGCCAAGCTACTCGTGAGAGATGAACCGGCTGTCAAACTAGGCTGGCGAATCATGTGGAAATGCTGTTCCATAAACGAACCAGCATTTTCGAATCCTTGTATATTGATAGGCGACCGCTGTGCCGACTCGATTCCAGGCTTTTGAATACGACCAGTTAAAACATTGCCGCCTGCTGAAGCGATCCTGCGCATTGGGGAAGGTAGAGGGCTGACTACTTGGCGACGGAATCCATCAATGTTCGATACGGTCCTTGGGCCCATCGATGGTCTACCTCGCATCGTGTCTGTTCCTAAGGCGGCCGGTTTAACATGGACCTTCTTTCGTCTGGAGGCTAGATCTGTTGGTGGAGGTGGGGATTTGAAGAGAGACGAGGCTGGTGGAGGAGATGAGCCGGACCTGACATTCCAGCTGAGGGGCTGTGTTAGGGAAGATGTTGCGTCATGACTGAGGTCTAGGCCTTGGTCTTCGCCGCTTTCGTGTGGCCTAAAAGTAAGATCTGTGAAAGATTGAGGAATTGCATGAGATGAAGCCGAGGCTATTGAGAGCGACCGTGTAGTGCTTGCATCAGAGAAGGTATTGAACGCTGTTGGTGTATGTCCAGATTCTACAGAAACAAATGAATCCAATGGGTCTGGTTCATGGAACATATCATTTTGAAAAGTGGGTTGGAAAGCGAAAGGATTGCCTTCGAAGTTATGAAAGTTATTGGTAGTAGGGAATGAAGCACGATCAAGATCAGATGGCTCTGCCATACCTAACATGTCTGCGAGCTGAGGTCCATTGTGGTGTAAACTAAAGTTTTCAGAAAATCCTCCATCTTGGGACGCGGCTTGAACAACAGCCATCGTACGTGAAAGAGACTCGAGACTCGCCGAAGTGGGATCTTGGTATTGTGGATTATAAGGAGCCGTCGCTGGTGGGGGACCGGTTGTAGAGAATGGCATTGAAGATGGTTGTTGTGGCACCATTTGATAATCGATATTGTAATTATTTTGAGGAAATTCCGGAGATGAGGGCGCGGAAACTGAGAATCCTAGTGCTTCCCGCGCTTGACCAGCCTCATATGCTTCCGTCTTTTTCTCTTGCTTGCGTTTGGCTCGACGATTTTGAAACCAATTCTGCTACATGTCAGTACTAAGACGTTCAAGTTCACTCCATTTTTGTTCTTACATTAATTCTCGCCAAATCGACCCCCATATCCTCAGCAAAGATACGTTTAGTTTGAGTCGTGGGCTTTGGATTTCTCTTGAATTCACGCTCCAAGATGTCAACTTCTTCTTTCCCTAGACGAGGCTTCGTCTCGTTGGTTTTCTGTCCATTAGACATATTCATCATGTTGGATGGGTGTTGGGATAAGGAATATCCGTGAATAATATGTTGATGGTCATTGTAGGGCCCCCCTGATGCCATGTGAGAAACTAATTGATCAAGGCTCGGATGATGCGAGAAATGTTGGAAGGTGGGTTGAACGTAGTCCATCTTTATTACACTGTTGGTTCCAAAGTTAATCCGAATAGCGTCAAGTTTTTGAAGTCACAAATCGACGGATCGAGCGATCTCGGAATCAAATAATATTGTTAGAAAGACCGAATTTCATGTAGATTACGGAAGCCGTAGATATATGTCGTTCAACGATCGTGAGTAAGAATGTATATGGTGCGTTGAATAAGAAATGACTGGCTGACCACTTCTACAGACAAATGAATGGAGTCTAAAAATTTGAAGTAATGTGGGCGGCGATAGAATTAAAGATGTATGGAAAGATGTAAATTGAAACCGAAAGAATTGAAGGAGTCTCGCAGCCGCTCGTTTCGACTTTGGTTTCAGTGATTGAGTGATGAGGGCGCGTATATATTATAGGTGTGTGATAAAACGAATCTTAAAAAGTTTACTACTTGCAGGTGAGGAATCGAAAATTTCGATATCGTAAAGCAGGAAACTCGAGGCAAGGAACGAAGGAGGCGACTGTAATTAAAGTCAGTCAAACTGGAACGAAGGAGGTAAGCAAAAATGTTGGTGTTGGTAAAAAGGTTGGAGTAGTTAGTGTATGAAGGGGGAGAACTAACGGAGTAGTTAACTAGAATTTAGTATGTTGGCGGGAAATCAGATCTGTGGCTGTATTTGACTGGTACCGGGGGGTTCATGCCCAAAAATATTATCGAAACTCTCTTTTATTCTTCTTCCTAATACATTCGAATGGGGTAAAAATATACAACTGCGGAAAGAACAATGAATATATATCACAATGCAGACGAGCAAGTGGAATTTAACGGACGAGGGAGTGAGAGTGTGAGGATGAGCGGGAGGGGTGGAAGAAGGAGCAGCGCGCAATTCAAGGAAAGGAAGAGAAGTGTGGTGGTGATTGATGTGAAAGTAGGTGGTAAGATGTGAACCAAGGTGGGTATGGATGTATAGGTAGGTGCTTTAGATTGCCAGTAGTATAGCTAAGATGTATGTATGTATGGATCAAATGTGGATATTCTAATGGTGGTGTGTGGTGTGGGTGGATATGGGATATGTGTGCTCGCTGCTGTTCGGTGGTGTATCTGTATGTATGTATGTATGGATGGATGGATGGATTGATGTATGTATGGATGCATGTATGGATGGATGTATGTACGGGGTTTTGTCTGATGAGCGATCTCATAATCTTGTTGGTATAGCAAGCTTACAAGCCTAAAAGCCTACAGAAAGCCTGTGCTTTTTCAGACAGGGGCACGATTATAATCCCTCGCTGTTTTTGCAATACATTGTTAACCTTAACTCCTTGACTTGACCTACCAGACCACAATCACTGGTGTGGTGGCTTTGCAAGGGTTTGCTCCCCGGGACTCTTTCCTTTTTCTTTTTTATCTTACTGGGCATTTCTTTTGACATCTACCTATGAATGAATCCTTGGAATACTTACGTCCTTGGGGGCCTGAGATTCAGCACATGGTATGGACCCCTTCATCGCCTCGTTTATTTGATTTGCCTAGGTAGGATAAGGCTCATCAACGGAAATATTTTATAGTCTTACTTTATTTTGCCTTTTGGTCGGTCTCTTTGTAATTCTACTCTAATACTAGACCCTCACTTTCCCCTGAAACAACTTCATTCATATCAATTGATTCCCTGGCTGCTGAGAATGCAGATAATGATGATGATTGAATCACTCGAAAGTTTCGTATTTACTTCAAGTTCCAAACTTTCTTCCTCCGTCATTTCTATTCGTATGAAATTGATTGTATGACAAAAGAAATATATCTATTTCAGACTCATCCACAGTAGTTTCGTCCCTATCCATGTCATTCTCATGCCCCCAACTGCACCGTGCGTGGAAAGCAACATCATATATGACCCACAGAGAAACCGAAAGCGAGAGAGCTCTAATAACTAAGCTCCGACATAAAGTGGGTTGATTCCCAAACAATGAGCGTGTTGTATTCCAGAAAATCATCCTTGGACATTTATTTACAAGCCACTTTGATTTCAGACTCGGAAACGATGAGGTTTATTAATCGTCAGGTTGAACGGATCATGATATATATCTATCTGGAAGGGTCTCCGTTTATTATGTGAAATTTTGTTGCAACTTGTAAGCGATCAGATCTTAACACTTTGAATTATTATTGTGAAGGGATAATAACATGTTGTTCCCTTTTGTTCTGCGGTCGCTTCCTTAGTGGCTAAGTTCTTTTTGCTTCGCACCTGCAGAAAGCCGGAGTGGATCACACCAACTCAGGTACGAACATGGTTCTTAGCTCTTGAGTTTGGCAAATCTGCTCCAAGTACCTACCTAACTAGTCCTCTATGATCCTCAACTAGCCGTCCTAAGTAATCATTCGCACCTAAGCAAAGCTTACACACCCTCTTTCAGCATCCATGTTCTGGGCAACAGTGCAGCAGCTCAATCAACATATATGTTCTCAACTTTAGGGACACCAGGATATAGCCCTCCGCAACTCGAAGAAGTAATTCAGATGACCTTTTTCGCCCGATCTCGACCAATTGGGGGCAGATCATGATTGTTGCCACTTCCAAAATTGTCATGCAATTTCCTACTTGGGCTTTGGCCTGGTCCAACAAGCTTGAAATAGCTTGGCCTAGTCAGTACCTCGGAGCATAGGCCGAGTTCCTAGAGTCGACTTTTAGCACTAAGAAAAGTAGGCTGCGTGAAGCTTTGGCAGCTACCCTTAATGATTGGCGTTCATGATCGGATGATATTTTCTTTAGCAAAACTAAAGCCCAACTCAATTTCATATCCTCCAGTTTCTCCCCCTTGCAAACATGACTAGAAGATCTAATGTTTTCTCTGGTAAAAGAGATGAGGTGACAATCCGATGGTGGTTAATCGACGAATATGATATCATGCTGATCATCCGTCAGCTATCGTATTGTTCGTTCATCCAATCTTTTAATCCAAGATCCCCAGAAATTGGGTGCCAACCTACCTGTTCCTGAGCTTCAAGCCTCTAATGTATGGAATTAAAAGCAGCGTTGAGCTTATTCTCATGCACTGCCATAAAAGAGTAGCCATAATTACCCTTGAAGATAGCATAAACAGCTTGCAGGGTTGCACAAAGAGAGCTATTTTCGGTCTCCACTACACTTGGGTGTGCATATGCGAGCCAACAGACAGAGGAAAAGTCGACCACACAATGCTGAAATGTGCAGGAGACTGGGAGATTTTGTGCTGTCTTAACGTTCCATTGTGAGAAATCTCCTATCCAATGTCCAAATTCTACGTTACTTTCATCTGACAGGAAGATACGTCGATGGAGTAAAATCTCGTTTTTAGCCGACTACTTGGATTTTGAAATGGATTTGTTAGAACTAGTGGTATGTGCGGGATGATAGCTTTTCCCGCAGCTGAGCGTTATGTCAAATTTCAATCGTACCGGGAGAAGCGATACTCAGCGAACCATCATATCGAACTCAACCCCTCCTTCATCGCTGGACTGGTGGACACTGAACAGAAGACAGAAGCACAAACAATCGAAATAATCTTCTAAAACCCGAAGCCGGAGAAAAATGACACACACAACAAAAAGGAACGGAAGACCCCAAAACCTAACACGAAGACATTTTCCTTTGCATTTCCTAGATAAGACATAGCCAATGGGACGTATTCCCAGCAAAGCTCTCATCCATTTACACATCCCCTAGTCACGCAAATCGCGAACTCTCATCCATACAGAATCCATCTTTCGGATACTTCGATGTGCAATTAAGAAAATCTTACGCTTCCGCTGCGCCGCATTTCAACGGGAACATTGTGAACATCCTCGAATGCCACGAGCATCCAGCGCCAGAGTGAGGGTGCCCACAGTAGGTCCAGATACCCTGTATCTTTCTTTAAGGGTGCCCCCGTGGTTCCAGCCTCGACAATTTCCAAATCATCGTCATGTGGCAATCCATCTGTAGGAGAAGCCGAAATTGGTATACACATCTACGCTTTTATAATAATCGACACGATGAGATGAGACAATAAATCATTGATTAACAGATTATTCATGATATTGAAAAAGATGGAAATAAGACTGATAATTTCTATTGATGATATTTTAAGTACGGTATATTAAAACACTCTTATTAGAAGATTAAATGAAAAATGTTTATTTTAAAAAAGACGATGTCGAAATCTAATTTCTCCTATGGATAAGTTAATTTCAGCTGGACCCCAAAATTCGTGTAGAAAAGCCAAATTGGGAAATGGGGTAGAAAAAACCAATTGTCATGATCGTAACGTGGGGATATACTATATACTTTTTTTGGCTTTGTCCTGCCTGCTACATTGACTTTCTTCGCCTTGATCTTGTAAGATCTTACGATGTCTGTTCGGTCGATGGGCGCTTCTAGTCTTTCTGTCCCAGCATCTTTAGCATCTTTTACTTTCTGTTTTGTGTCTAGGTTTGCTAGCTAACCTTACTGCTACCGACAATTAGACGATTAATTCGGCCTATTCGGGATTGGGTATACCATTACCTCCAACAGCGCAACCAACCTTCCTTCGGACATTTTTCAAGTAAGCATAACGCTTTCCCTTCGCATTGCAGCGCAGAGACGGAATACGGTATTGTACTTCTACTTGTGCTTTTCAAAGCGGTTGGGTGGTGTCTGACTCGGGATATCAACGTTGCTGCCGCTCCTACTACCTAGGCGTCTGCTTTAATCTCCTTTCTTGCTTATTACTCGCTGGCTCTTTTCATCACGGTTCACAATCATTTTTCTTTTCCCTTTTTCGATTGTCGGACTGGTCCGGAGTGCTTTGTACTGGCGCGCGCGACTGACTCTTTTCTGATTTTTTATTTTTATGCAAGTAGGTGTGAGGATCAAAATAATGTACAAGGGATATTCATACGGTCGTGTCCCTGGATAAGGAATAGTGAAATCCCCAAGAGGGGGAAGCGAGTTTGTGAGGAGTTGTGACATCCGTTACTTCTAATGACTTTAATTGGTGTATGTACGACCGAGGCGTGTTAAAGTGTAGAACTTCGGTCCGCTGTCTAATCCGTAGTTGCCGTGGTCTCTAAGTATGCTATTTTGTATCAAATTGTAAGTCTTATGTACTTGGAACTACAACTTACAACTCTTACCTGGAGTTGGGCATTGGCGCCGGTCAAGAATAACTTTTGAATCTACGGAAGTTCCAACTTCCAGTGTCTCTGATGGTGCTTGATCCTTGGCTCCCGCATATTCCTCGTCGAAAATCAAATCATGATAAATTCCCACTTTCCCTGTTCACCCTGCAAGACGTAAGACTTAGATTGTTAATTGAGCCATTCAAATGGGAGACGGGGGTTATGGATTGCGAAAAGGAAGGGACTGTCGGTATGGCTGTAGAGTTTATACGGGTTAGTGGGTGGTCTGGTGGACTCTTCAAGACGGCTCATAACGGAGCGATGGAGATGTGCCCAGCTGTCTATGGGTTCGTAGGTTCATTCTATGCAAGGATTCATTTTCACATTGCTTTTTTGGATGCCTAACTGGGTCAAAAAACATGGAAACCTCCTTGAGCCTTGAACATCTTTGCTTAGGAAATGATTGAGTGTACCGGCATGTTCGCCGACCAAACCTCGTGGTCCAGGGATACTTTGAACTGGGGGAAGGAAGAAAGGATAATTGCCGTCTTCCGCAAACTTTTTTTGAAGACATATCCTAATCCAAGGGACACCAATGCAAACAAGCACGTACTATCACCAACTTCACCACACCAAGTAGTTAGGAAAGGGTGCTAAACGCTTTAACCCCCACGTATCATTTGGAGGCTCTATTCTTGCTAAGCGGTTACAATGATGTTTCCCGCAATACCATTGAAGATGATAACGATGGCAAGCTGCGACTCAAAAATCCCATATAATAGTAATGATAGAAAGGTAAGCATTTTAGAAGCAACATGATCCTGTTGCGCGTCCGATCACATCTATCTCACTGCGTATTTGCGCAATCTTGTAATTTCCCCCAAAGTTAAGCGTGGAGGCCAAAGCGACGCGATAAAAATGGTGGTGGGGTTAATTTAATCCCTTGTACGGAGTAAGATCTTACATTTCGGATTCATATACTCCATAAAATTGTACGAGACAAAGAACACGAGCCGAGGAAGTTATGAAGCTGGAAAAGGAGCACAAAATAAGAAAAGCCTTGGAGACCTGTACACAAACGAGTCTGAGCGGCCACGTGGAAGGTCGGGGGGTTTACTCTTGCCAGTGGGAAAATGCAGGGAGAAAGGGGGAGAAAGGTCCTTGGGGTTCTTGGGGTTCTTGGGGTTCTCGGGGTTCTTGAGGGAAATGCAGGTACAAGTTGTCGTTCGTACTCACAATATCGTGAATAAGGTGGCATTTTTATACGGTAATGTTAATGTTAATGTTAATGCTAATGCTAATGTTACCTGCGCCTCTCCATATCATATCGTTTGTGTTGTTCTTGTATTGCCTTTCTACGTACATGGGAACATGTTATTTGCATGTATCTACAGAGGTATAGCAGTAGACAACCTATCAGAAGATGATAATGACGATCATCGCGCGTAACTTTTGTTTAGCAGCGAAATGTCGGGAGTTGGTATTTAGTATAAGCCTATAAGGGAATGGAAAGGGATCTGATGGATGGAATAATCAATGATAGAGCGAATTGGATGTCGCCCGAGTCTTGGACTACAACACAAGCGGCACGGTGAGTTCTAGTTGTTGGTTGATTGTTTGGTAAGTAATTATGGGATGAGTACTATGAAAATGATTGTTGATGGTTGTCATAAAATGTTTTGATTTGTTTATATGTTATCTGCTAGGTATCATCGGCCCCATTTGTTATACCTCACTATCTGCATGTCGCTCTTTATGTTCGTACCTGCATGATGTTGTGTTTCCAAGATTTGTATCTCCATTCCCCAAATTCTGAGAATTTTAGAAAGGAGAGTGGAACAGCACGTACCGATATTGCCGAAGACACCGAATCATAGACTTTCCCGTGGGTCTTCATGCACGTTAATCAATTCTCGCGATGCTGGCGATGGTGATGATGTTTAGAGCACGATCTGGAATATTATGGTTAACACAAGATCAACAGGGCTACTACGCAATGAGCAGGATTAGGGTTTATTTACTTCTCTAGGATAAGATATTTTACGGCGTCTGTGCATGCTCGAGGAATGGATTATGGATGGTACAACTCATCAGGATTCAGCAAGCTCAGGTCGTCAATGTCAACACTTTTCATGATGATCTTTCCCTCGACCTGCTGACCTGCATAGTATCATCGTATTATGTGCTGTACAATACCTTCCTACATTCTGTAGATATCAGGGAAAGGATGAAAGAGGAGGGAGAACCAAGTCATGGAACCAGCCATCTCATCCTGCCGGTAGCTCACTTACTTTAGCGACGTTGCACGAGAGCCAAGAAACCTAGATATCCCCGTTCGCCTTCTTTCTTCCAAAGTGTAGCTGTCCCGTATTCCATGCATATCCCCGTCTTATTCCTTTACATCGTTCTTATCTGATATCATCCTTCACTTACTCTGTTGCCTAGGACACATATTTATTTATACGTTTCAAGGTCTGGGTTTCCAAATATAAATTTTCCGTTCGTTGGAGGAATGAAAGAGATGGTACCTGTCTGTTCCTGCCTGTTGATGCAAGCAAGGTATATACTAGATTCAAAAAATGACAGGTCAGAAATCCCATCAGATCCAGATGGGTGAAGGAGCCTCAGTACGTTCTAGGTACGCTGCAATCTATGCTTAGTATACAAGCCACAAGCTGTTAATGATTCACATCTAACTGGAATTGCTTAAGGCGGCCTTCTTCACTGATGATCACGATCAAACCACCCTCAGGGTATTTTGAGTATGTACGGATTGCTTACTATCTATCCTTGCTATCCCGAATATACTCATGATTATGGATATGCAGTTAGTTTCACATGACGAAAGCACTCGTAGACGCCCATTTCTTGAAGACGCTGTGAGCATTCTGTGGGCTGATACATATTCCAATGGGTCACACGGTACTCGTTCTTTCCCCAGACAAATTATAATTCTTCAGCGCACCAACCGCTAGATGTGATGGATGATCTCTATCATAATACGGTGAGATCTTCAATCATCGCCATCTGCACCGCCAATATCCCAATCAAGTGCGGGTGTGGGAATCTACGTTCCCCGTACGGAGAAGTATTCCCACTTCAGGTTCCTAGGTGAATTTTGATTTTGAGTTTGATGATTTCAAAGGGTCCTCTTTCAACCTAACAAGAAAAGACGGAGACACTTCCCGTTACCTTTTTGAACCTCTTCCGACTGGCCAAGTGGACACGGCAACCTGCATATTCTGTGCACCAGAGAGCTTCTCTACTTCAGTGATACAACAGCACGAACCCGCGACCCAGTTCCGTAGCCCTGGAAATCTTTGCACCTGCTTCAATGCTATGTTATTGTTGCATAACGGCCTAGCCATCCATTCCATAATTCCACTTTTATTCGTGAATTCATTTCATTCGGGCACAAAGTGTCTGTTAAACAAAAGAGTGTTGTGTGACCCAGCCACCCGCTCGTCCTCTATCATTCTTCAGATTCTCCCCTGCTTTGCATGGCGATACGAGTCCAAGTGGTACAGATGTATAGAGCGATGCCGACGGAATGGTAAATGAATAAAATGGGCGTTTTTCCAGCAAACCAATATTTTGGTATTGGGAACCTTTCTCTACAAAAATCCCGGAGCTTAACCTTCCAGTGTCTCATTGCTGTTACCGTGTCGCATGCTTGCGAAATATAACGAGCGGCATATCTTAAAAATACGGAGCTTACTGTGGCGGGTCTGGCATTTGCAGAGAGGGCTTTCCTTCATCTCATATTTTCTGGGTCGTGTTCAGTCAGCTGTACGAACGTCATCAGGTCCGGAAAACTCCATCGAAGGATATATTACTTTGTCTTTGGAATCTTCGTCGGACATTATTTTCTATATCCCATGCGTTTGTTTGTTTTGCCAAGCTGGGCGCCCCCTGGATCATTCGCGTATGGGTAATGGACGGGAGGAGGGATGAAATACCTTGCGTTTGGAGGGGCAAGGGAGGATTGATGTATTAAGACGATTGAAAATTCAAAAATGTATTTTACATCATTTTATATATTTGATTTAGGCTCTAGTAACTTTTAGAATATCAAGAACCGTCAAATTTGAAAACATTTATAGTATCCCTTATTTAAAATACAAATCTCTGCGTTAAACGTCAAAAAGTAACATGGCCAACCTATATCTACAATAACATCAACACCGTCAGATAGATACCTCCTTACAATCATTTGCATCTACAAACCCTTTCCCCCAACTGCTACAACATCCAAATATCCAACTATCTACTTACTCCATCACCATTTATCCATATTCACACTTTATCCTATCCTTATTCTTATACGCTTTCATCCTCGAATTACGCTCCACTAATCATAATATTATATCATATCACATAATATCATCAATCAATCTCCTATAATCTTTCGGCTATAACTCTGTGAGAATACAGAATGTTTTTATTTGATGATTGGATGGATAGATGGAAGGGTGTAAGATTCATTTTATATAATTAGATATATGATGGGAAAATGTTGGTGTGCAGATCAATCCAACCCATCAAGCTACCCACCAAACGCACACACGACTCAGCAAGCAGTGAGCAGCAGTAAGCACTATAGTGTTTGGGTTGTGGGATTTTTAAGGGGGATTGATATGAATATTAAGATATCTGAAGTGGTGCATGAGGGTGCTGTTTGATTTTTGAGGAATTTTTGAGAGTTGTGGATTGTGGCTATAATATAGGTTCGAGGTTTGATGTTGCTTCATAAGACTTACAATAATGATGCAATGTTCGAGAAAACTTAATATCTTGTAAAATTTAAATGGAAGGAAATATATCATTCACTTGTGAGAAAATGTATTCTTAAATATGGAGCTGGAAAAATGAAGTAAGTTTCTAGTATTTACACTCCTGAGTTATCAATAGCCCGACAAGACAACTTGCACCGCACCATTCCCTCCTTCTCTACCCGGATCCCTTCCTTTATACTTCTCTCTTCCCCCTTCCTTCTCTTCTCAATACGCACCCATCCTCTCACTCCACGTCTCTCCCTCCACCAAAGCTGGCTTACGATATCCACTCCAAATTTTCGCATTGGGAACTAATTCAAACCCACCAATTTTCGCTCCATTACTATCCAGAGACCAAAGAGTTAAAGCTACGGTGTTTGTTCCGTTATGATTGAGGATACCTTCTGGAATGGGGAAATTGGTTTGGGGACCTAGGTTGTTTACTATTGCGAGGGGAGGTGTCAGTTTAGTACTATTGGAGTAAGGGAAAGAAAAAGGAAGGGGGGAGCGGGGAGCAGAAATACGGGAGAGAGACCTACCATATTTTCCAAATTGCCATCCATTGACAAAAAGCTGTACTCTATAATTACCCCCATTTCCTTCTTCACCAGTCGTCCCATTAAACACAAATCCCATCGGGACATCCCATCCCTCCGGTACATGCAAGTCAAACGTCGTAGTGAAAAAGCCCACACCCGCACTTTCCACACCATCCTCAACCGGATTTTTCACGTCCCACTCTCCGCTCGGAGGGTTCTGTAAATGATATCCTTGTCTCTCTGCAAATATCGCCCCTTCGTTTCTTGGTCCCCGTGTTTTATCAATGTATTGTTCGCCGCCCAAATTTCCTGTCATCTTCCAGACGATATCGCCTTGAGGGTGTGAAGAGAGCGAATAATCGAGGATTCCTCGGGGAAATTTAATAGCATCTGTCCCTGGGGCTTCTTCGTCTTGACCCATGTGGTCTATTAGTATCGTGAACACATAATTCTTGCCCGCTTCGAGGGCAGATGGAAGTGTAAAGGTTTGAGCATAAGTTTGGTTTCCACCACTACCAATCCAAGATCCTAGGAATGTGGAATTGAGCCAAATTGAATGAGCAAAGCCGGCACCGCCAGTCGTGTTGATGAATAGTGTGGCTTCATTGCCGCTAGACAGAAAGCGGCCGCGGTAGATGAGGGATCCTGTGTGATAACCGTAGTCACTGGCATACATTGAAGTAGGAGTTGTTAGATTGAGAGTATTGTTTGTAGTTGTATGATCTAATGATGTCCACCGGGTATCGTCGTAAATGGGTTGGAGTTCGGGGAGGGAATCGATGTAGTGCCATGATTGAGTTTTAAAATCTGGAAGAGTTATCGATGGGGGACTGAATGATACCGCGCCATGGAGATTTCCGTTTTTCGATTTCGTGGTATGAAGTTGCTTGTTATTGAAGAAAACTGAAGTTACTTCGGTAGGTGTTGAAATGACTTCAAAGTTAGTCGTGGCGTTGATATCACCAGTGAGTTTAAGTTGTTTGTCTTCAATACTCGCTGTTCGTAGGAGGTAACCACCATTGATGATAACAGATGATTTCGATGGAGATGTGTGGTTTCCAACTGGTTGTGGTGCTTCTAATTCCAAAGACCAGTAATTGTATGCTTCATTTCGCCACAAAAGGTAAATCCTTAGCTTTCCAATTTGGACGACTCGCCTTTCCGACTCCACTGCCCATTGAAGGACCCATGATCCGCCGAGTCTTTGAATATCAACTCCGTGCCCTTCAATGACCTCAGGAACACCAAATGAAGTTGGGAAAGCAGCTTCGTTGATCTCCCCATTTCCGCCATAAAGAACCAAAACTCGTCCTGAATTACTACTCTTAGCCCAAGTGAAAATCTCCGCTGATGAATAGATCATATGGAGTCCTCCGATATCATAATCTGTAACATGTATCTTCGAATCTCGACCAATCATTACTAATGATCCACCAATTTGAGGTATCGTAATGTTGCCACGAGAGGTAGTGACAGTGAGATTATACAATGTTCTTGCAAGAGAAGTGAAATTCGCATGTCGGACCACGTAAAAGTTAGTTCTTGTGCCGTTTGTTTCATTAATGGCACTAAATAATGGAGTTACAGCAATTTCAGCTGGAACTCCATAAGATCCATTCGCGCCATGCCCCGCTGTAGTAGTCAAGTAAGCTGCAGATGCCTTCAAGAAGTTGGCTTCGAGTTTCATTTCACTATACTTCTCACGCCAAATTTGACGGTCTTCGGTGATTGATGCTCCATAATCGTAGGATGTGTATCCTCCATGATAGCCAAGGTTACCCCAGTTAGTACCGCCATAAATCTTTCACGACGTTAGCAACCAAGCCACAGGTGCTGAGGACAAGCTATGAATCTTACCATATAGACATTGAAGATTGTCACAGCAAAGCTGTAAGTGTTTTTGAACTGCACCTTGATCGCATCATTGTTAGTAAGGATGGCGCATCGATCTTCTCCAACACCACCCCTGTTTATAAATCAGCAGTGAGTGCATCAATTTCTTTTGAAAACTTACCACCCGTCTCCACCTCCACCCTGGAACTCGGCGACTGCAAAAGGTGTCGATGGACTATAATTTGCATGAGTCATCTCCCAAGTCTTGGGAAATCTATAAGTTGGCCAAATGTACGGATCCCCACAGTCATAACGCATAGGATAAGCATCAATCCCATAAATATTCACCTCTGCAAGCCCACTGCCGGGTGCAAAATTACCTATATTCAAATTATCATTGACAATAAATGGTACAACGATTCCCGCATCGAGAAGCTGTTGCTCCACGAATGCCATGTAGTCTTTGTTCATTTGACTTGGAAAATTAGTAACACCTGGCCATGATGAGTATTCGTTTTCAGGTTGGACCATGATCACAGGACCACCATTTGTGATTTGTGCTCTGGCTATGATTTTGCCAATAGTAGAAGCATAGTTCTGTGTCGAATCAAGGTAATCCTGATCCGTGGATCTGATTATTCCTCTGATCTTAAGCACCCAGCCAGGGATTCCCCCAGCTGCTGTTTCGGCATTGATATATGGACCAGGACGAGCGATTAAGTAGATCCCAGCTTCCATTGCAGCATCAAAAAATTCATCGAGACTGAATACCCCATTCGTAATCAACTCTCCAGGGTTTCCTTCAAGTAGGCCCCAGTACGTATAGAAAGATACACCACTGAAGCCCATTGCCTTGATTTTTTGAAAGACATCGAGCCATAATCCTGGCGACGGCAGACGGAATGGATGAAATTCACCCGAATAGACCATAATACGTTCACCGCGAACAAGAATGGAATGTTCATCCCAAGACACCTGCGAACATATCAAGGATTAAAATTCTTCTTTTGAAAGTCTCCACTGCAAATAACTGACTGACCACGTCTTGTAGAACATCTCTTTTGGACACGTGAATGCGTGCATTCTGAATATTGCCAACCGTCAGAGCAAAAATTCCCTGCACCAAGCATGCAACAATGAGAAACAATCTGAAATGGATCGACATGATAAAGTATCGGTGGACAGCCATAGGAGCCATGAAGTACTTGTCCAAGGTAGTACCACTGTATCCTTATACTTTTAGGAACACAAACTTTGATCATCTAGACGCAACTTTCGCACATTTGCCCATTCCGTCATGAATAAATTACCCCAACTTTAAAGGCAGAGTGGGACGAATGTATAGGCTGAATGCATACTCCGCACTAGCGGTGGCATTTGCAAATGATCTACAGTCCAATTGTGAAGTATATCGAACGCTATACGGAGGATACCCTTGCGCTCCAATCATGATGTACGCAGGATAGTTTGTCGGGCTGAATACATGGTAAGTTGGTAACTGTATGTACCAGGATATGGTGTTTGATGTTTGATTGTAAGTTGAAGTTACAACTACAGATTGAGAAAGAGAAAGGATGGGATGCTCGGTGAGGAACAAGCACCATCTACCCGAAGATAATCCAGAACAAGCCGAAACATGCACTAGCTTATGCCGACCCCGCCTGAAAAGAACTTTTACCCCACCACAAGGAAAAATCTGACAGTCAAAAAAAAAAAAACAACGCAACATATTCTACTTCGTTACTTTGCACCTCAACAAACAATTAACTAGGTGTTGTGGTTTAGTGGTATAATTCTTGCTTAGGGATAAATCAGTCATCATCGATTGATTATTCATGTAAGAGGTCCCCGGTTCAATCCCGGGCAACGCCCCTTTTGTCAATTGTTTTTGCCGTTTTACTGTTGCTGGTTTTGGAGGAAACTTGGCCTGATTGAGCAGGAAATGTGGAGAGTTACACAGGACCAATAGCAAGTAACATGCTATATATACATGAATGCATTCCACAGGACTAAGCTAAGCCTATCAAGACGGCAGAGTTGCAGTTCTAGTGAATGTATTACTCTTTATAATGTCATGTTTGTGCCCCAAGCTCATAGGTATCAGTCAGTATCAATCAGTCTCAGTATCAGTTGTAGCTGATTTCAAAACACTCATCCTGGTATACATATCAAATTGTATTCTTCCCAAAATCAATGCAAAGCCTTGTTTGTGGTAGACCACGAGTTAGTTGTAGGCTTTTAACTGCGCCGGCTTGGATAATATAAAAGAAGTATTCATAGCCGCTACCGTTGGTGGGATTAGGTCAAACTCATCTAGCCTCCAAAACCTTTCCCGGCTATTTTTCATTTATGCCCAGGATCGTGTTGGGGCTCTAAGCTCTCACTGTTGAGAACATGTGTCTCAGTGTGACAGAAAAGTTCTAACATGGGCACAGAACTTCCTCGGACTTGCATGAGGAACATGCGGTCTTTTCTAGATCTTTAATTCATTGAGTAAACCAGTTTCTGCGTTCAGCTTGTCATGCGTGAAACGTCAACGCTCAAGAACTGAGTAGGCTTTTACCGACAAGCCATATGTTTAAATCTTTGAAAGATCTCCCGTTTCGTTATTCAGTATCAGTGATCATGTTCATACTTTGAATTCGTCCAGGCGTGTCTTGATTCTGATCTAGGTTGAGATTCAAAGGACCATCTGCGTTAACGGGTGTTGACGAACCTTCCCAGTCCAGCTGGTCCTCATAGAACATTATCACCCATGGCGCAGAACTCTTTCTCCAAAGATCCAGCTGTCTTTGCTCAGAAAAATCTGTAGATCAGAGCTACCAGTTTCATTGTCCTCAAATCCGAGATTCGCCATCCCACAAGGCTCTCCTGGTAAATTGATGCCGAAAATACTTTATGTATAGTATTTGAACGCCGTGCAATGACAATTCTCGAATCAGAAGTTTCCGATGTAACAGCGGCTGTACTCACGTTGGTATTGGCATATGTGTTTATATCTCAAAAGTTTCAATGAAACAGCTTTGATATACAGTTTCAGTTTAAGGTTCAATACTGCCTGTCAGTTGTTCTTTTTTGGCTTGCTAGTATTATTTTCATGTTCCTCCGAGCAATGTGTCACTGGAAGATAGTTGTTGCATCCATGATTGAAGAAACCAAGTGCCAGAACATCACCAGTCATCAATAAGCTAGAAAGACGAAGCTGTTCTCCACATTCACTCTCCAATTATCTTGGAAGATGCGATCATTTGAGAGATACATTTTCCACTCCAAATAAACTCATCTCTTTTTCAAAATAGTTATTGGATTGATCACAATGTAGAATTATTTCATTTACTTGTACATGAGATTAAGTTGGTAACTGTTACTATAAGTGTCTCTAAGCTTCTCTCCTTTTATTCTCGCTTATACCAGTGAAGGGAAAGTAGGATTATATTCTAACTGTCTATGGGAAACCAATCGTTATACAGGTAATTTGGACTAACTTCTTTCTTGGATTGATTTCTATATTGTAGAGTAATGTAATCTTTGTTACTCTAACTATTCATAGTAAAGAAGACCTGGAAATCTGGAATTTCTAGTTATATATTGACACTGAAGCAGGATTGAATTTTCTAGTCATAGAATATACGCTAATTGAAGTCTGTCAAAGGTATATTTATACTCTTCTCTTATATCTCATTGTTAGAAGACATGGTTCATGCGGACGTCATGAAATCGCTACTAGCAGAGCCTCGCTATTAGATTAGAGCTCTTCTTTTCATAGAACCCTCTTTCCTTAGCTCATCTAAAATAGTCTGAATGTGCCCAAATTCTACGCTATTTCCCAATCCTTACTTGCCATAGCTATATAGTTCAAACACCATGTAGGAGTGATGTCTAATTCCCAGGAAAAGATATGTAACTTTGAGGGAATGAATATTATAATTGAAAGTTGGCAGGAATGAGAATGGTCATATTGTATGTGTGTTTTTTAGATGCCATCTAAAGGTTCCATTTGTTCCGGTGTTTTGGGAAATATTCTGATGTTTGCTTTATTGATCTTATTCATCCTGTCCATGATTCATTACATCGAATCCATGCCTTACAATTCCATAGCAGCCATCCTCACCTCCCACGCGGAAAGAATATAGGACAAGATTTACCGAACGCTACCATAAAGAATCAAATACATCTAAATCATATTTCTTCTCAAAAGATACTGTTTGATTATTGACGCACAATCACGAAGAATATATTCAAAATGTACCATGATCATATAAAATAATAATCTTATTTTCATATCAAAAACATGACCATAACACTCTGCGAGCATCCAGCTCACCGCGTGCCGCCGACTCGACAATTTTAAGAATAATATCCTTGGATTTATAATATAAGAACTACTAGACTTCTCACAAGCTGTCACTTCCTTGAGTGGGGAGACTGTTGGGGATAAATGTGTCAAATAATCTACTTCTCCTAAAATCTTGACCTGCTCACTCCAGTAGTTCTGTGCCATAGTCAAATTTTATTCATTGTTAATGGTATTTGATAAGAGAGCTCTAGGTTTTCTAGTATCAAATTTACTTCATTCGATCTCATTACATATATTGAAACTTTTCCCCTAATTTTGCATGATATATACGACAAACCGATAAATATCATCTTCCAACGCAAACCAACCAGTCGTTAAATAATTAAATAATACAAAAGCCGAAAAAGATATCCATCGAAAAGTAAAATCCTTAACAATCATTCTACCCAAATAACTTCATCACTTTCTAGAAGTATCCATAATCCCCGGGTACGTCTTAAACTCACCCACCCACTTAAAATTCGCAAAAGTACCCAGAGCCGCCGGAGCCGCAACCTCAACCGATTCCACCCTCACAGCCGCACCTTGCAACGTACTGATATCAATTTCTTGTCCTTCTTTCTGGGCCTTCCATTCTAGATTCGCCGTGAGATAATCAACAATCGTATCTTCATTTAAATCCGCAAGAGTGCCTTCATCATGTTTCTGGAGCAGGGCATCGGTTAGATGCACGTTACTTGATGCAACTACATCATTGGGTGTCATGCTTTGCGTTCCGAGCGTAGCGTGCATGCCGACGAAAGAGGGATCTTTGGCCCAGAATGGAGGAGAGGCTTTGGTTTTTCCGAGGAATACACCCACGCTGTAGGTGCCGTTGAGGGCGGTCCATGGTAACTCGATCTTGACGATCCAGTCGCGGGGAAGTGACGGAGTGGCTGCTTGACGCTTTTTGAATGCTGGGGAGCCGGCGTACAAGGCGAGGATGTTTTGTTGGAGAGTGGCGTTGTCGGGATGATTGATGATTTCAGGGTAGGAATACCCGAGAGTTTCGACATCGCGAACGTCGGCTGAAGAGAAAAATTTGCCGTTTGTGTCTCGGTGGAATGGAGCTAAAGCTTTATTGTGTTAGTGTGCGAATACCTCTCTGGGAAATTGCGAAAAGAGACTCACGAGAGTTTTGGTCTTGATAGGAACCTCGTGGAATAGTCCATGTGGCTGCCCCTTGTCGTGATGTTTCTACATAAGTATCTGGGTAGACAGCTTGCCAAAGGGCGAGAAGTCTATCGACGTTTGCGTGGTGGAACCAGAAGATTGGGTCGAATGCAGCTACTGGAACGATGGACCTGCGTTGATATTCATGTTAATATTTATAGGAAAGTCTTATTTACGTCATGAAGACGATAATAGTCGGGACGGGACGGTATTATAAGCGGATAATACTAACATGTGACCAGGATACATGAGGCCTCCTGTTAATGTATGCACGGTGTCGTGAATAGATTCTACCGACAAATTAGTTCATCGTTCCATGTGAGTATCACGCCCGTTTGTATTTACCAATGTTGCCAAAACCAGAACTACCAGATCCTTTATTGCTGAAATGATTATAGGGCTAAAGAGATATATCAGTAACCGTCATTTAAAGATGAATAGGTTGATATTTTCCCAAATCAAAGCTTTTGTTGAATTACATACTTGCCAATTTGCGAACAAAGTCATGATCTGAGTTCTAAAATTCCGTAAATTGGCTTCCATTTGTGATTCTACTTGATCATTTTGACTTGTAGCAGCTGCGGTGTCTGTTGTTGGCCAACGCAGCGTAGTCTCATATGCGGAGTACGGGTAGCCATTCTGTCTAAAGTTAGCAAGATATGATAATTCCAGAAAATTTGTACTCACTCGAAAGTCACTTGGAACCAAAGGATGAAAACTATAAGAATATAATGGATTGGGAATAGTTGCCGTACTACCGTTAGGATACGTGACAGAAGTAGTTGGGTTGCTCAAGACCTCTGGAAGAATTGGCCCATTGTTAGCAGGATTGGCTGCCCAATCCCAATATGGTACTCTGAGAGTTGAAGATGCCTGTAAATAGGCTTCTGAGTCACTACCGGTGAACTGCTGAGCAATTTTAAACCCCAGGGCATGAAGCTGTTGCTCGTATACTGCAAGATAGGGTCTATGCCAAGGCCCAAAAAGATTGGATCCATGAGTACAGTATCCGGTATTTCTTGATGCTGTAGCTTGAACTCCATCCCAGGCAACCAATGGAAAACCGTGAATACCTGATGTCCATTAGAAAATGAAATTGGAGCATCCTCGAAGCAGTCAATAACATCAGAACATACCTGCAATTTGGTACCAAGACAATAAGTCATTCTGTTCCGTTGCTTGATATTCTACCATAGCCAGCAAAAACAAGTTCCATTGAATTGGATTAGCTGCAAGTGATCGAATCTCAAGACGTGGTTGTATGCCACCATCTTGAACACCTGTGATAGCAAAAGTATCTGCTCGAGCCTTCAAGTTCCCATCCTTGGACAGCGGGGAAGCTATGACAGAGCTAAGTAGGAGTATTAAGGCTCCGAACCTGTTGATGAGGTTTGATGCCATGACGAGCTTCAACAATAATTGTAACTACCTCAGCCTTCAAAGATGGAAATATGCAGCGATTTGCTAGATATTGTGCCTGACAAATGAAGAACAAAGCAGAAAATGATGGACCAGAGAAAATAATCACGAAGTCAAAATACCCCCTTATATTCTCAAGAGATCGATCAACATAGGAGCGCGCGTGAAGCTAGCATGGAGTGAACGCCAATCATCTCCCGTTGCAACAAGAATTGCCCTTGGAAAGCCATGTTTGTGCCTGCATCAATGCACCTCGTCATAGAGTCAGCCTCGTATATGTGTAAGAACCATGTGTAATGGTTTTGATAGAGGGTGAGGATTGCGGATCTCATTGAAAAGAAAAGAAAAGAAAAGAATCAAATGCAACATTGATACGATGAACCCATACAGCTACTTGGCCTAACTTTCATGCATGTTTCTGCCATTTTCGTGATATTCTTAATCAAGCCACTACATGAATGATATTTTCAACGTGCAGATTTACCCTCTAGAAGCTGCATGTGGCTTCAACGCTTAAACATATCCGATCACGATACTAATAAACGTCCAAGCTGATTGATCGGCGCAAAGTATCCCAGTGAACTGGCTAGCAGTTCTTGGCACAGCTGATGTCAGGAACAGTGTTAAATTGTGATAGACGAGCTGCCTGCTCATTGGTTTTTGTTTTTTTTGCGTTCTTATCCTTGGTCGTGCAGCTTCCGAGCTGAATGTATAAATGCATGCCCAAAATTCATTCAGGAGCATTATTCATGATTAACAGCAAGGCTTCTTCTTGGGACGGACCCAAAATGAAGGTTTTTTCATGTAATGAAATGGCCCATTGAGTAAAAGTGCCGAGATTTACCAATACTGTGTTGAAGGTTTTTTGACGAATCGGATTGATTACATGATCCTCATCTTGAGCTTATTCTTGGTTTGCGGAACACAAGCCGAGAAGTCTTGGCATCAGGGTAGGTATTTGTCGGTACATCATGTGATCAACCTCGAAAGGGAGCCGTACTTTCAGTATAAATAGATCTCTTTCCTCTAGATAGATAATAATCATCCATGAACAAATACAAGAAGATAATACATTGCATTGCAATCGTATCACCAAAGTGATACCAACAGTATTCAATAATAATCCTAGAATCTTTCGTAAGATTGAAATACGACTTCTCCTCTTCCCCAGATGACCCTTTTTCATGCAATACTACCCTGGCCTGTTGCGCGATACCGTTATGATGTAACGTAGAACATGAGATGACTGGCATGAGTATACAGAATATTCTGAATATGTGTCATGAAAACATGAGTGATTTCTCTTTCTAGATGTTGATCGATGGTAATCTTACTATTGATTTTGTCGTACATGTAGTAGAATTGTTGAAGGCCATTTGTCACACCCGAATCCCGTCCCTTGGTATTGACTTTGATCGGAGGAATATCGAAATACCCCGATGCTGTCCAACCAAGCTCTTTCTTCATCGTTTATTGATTATGCCAAATATAATCAAATATATCCGGATATCCAGGTATCCTGTTGTTTTCATCCATAGGTCAGCCTCCGTTGATAATATGTATCAATCTAAATATAGCTCGGGGGGAGCATCTCGTAGAATTTGATGACATGAAATTGAATTAGTACCAACATTGGTATGGAAGGGCGAAAGGTGTGAAATATATCGGTGGTGAAGTAAATGATTTTGAAAGATTTACATGTGTGAGAGGAAAGAGAAGACTTGGGACTCGGGTTGAAATGAAGTATATCTATTTGGCACATCTATCACTCATTCTCTAGGGCGAACTAAAAGTATAAGATTTCCATGCTACCTTTCACTTCACTATCGAATTTGATACCTTCTTCATTCATCAATCTTCTAGAATAATACTCCCCCTTATTAGCGAACATCTAGCAAGTACCCGAGGTTTCCCCCCTTAGTACTCGTACCTTCCCTCTTCATCAAAAATCGAACCTCGAAACTCCAATCAACACCAAAAGCTCAATCCACCTTCAAAAAATCCATCAATAGCATCATTAGATTCTATTCATCATTCTCCATAGAAATCTAATGTAAAAAAATCAATTATCAAAATTGCACTTTTGACCCGATAGTATATGGCTCAAATTGATTGATTTCAGGTCTTCAAAGCGAACAAACTACCAAATCTTTGGGCTGTGGGCTGTGGTCTGTGGTTAAAAGACAAGACACCTGAATGTGCTCAAGGTGTTCCTTGGAGCTATTATAAATGCTAAAAACGAGGTTCCGTAACGCCTCAAGCAAAAATAGGGGGCCACCCCGCGTCCGTCATTATGATACTAAGCGCTGTCGTTTGCCCCATTTGCGCCATCACATCGTAATATATTTGGATCATCGGCTCTTGTTCCCTTGGAATTGAGTATTATACGTTCAATGTTGTTTTGCTTTTCACATATGGCAAGTATGGCAAGTATGGCAAGTGAGGAAGGAGTGAAGGTAGCGAGAGTAGAGAAGAATACTTATGGGTGCTCGGGCTGGTTTTGAATTGGCTCTTTTTATACCTGATACTTTACCGAGCTTGTACATAATCCCAACTGGAAACACTTTTGTTTTGTTTATTCTATTAATTATATCAGACTTTATTTTGTTTCGTTACTTTTTATATGCTTGAGACATTTTGGAACAAATTCCAAGTTTGCAGTGTATATTGTGTATCGTAACATCGTATGTCGACTACTAAATATACTGAATTCTTAAACTTTAAGAGGATTAATATTAGCCTTGATTGAAAGGAAAAGGGAAAAAAGGAGTTTGAAGAATTCAGAAATTCAGAAATATATTACAATGAAAACTTTGACCTCTACTTCTACTATAATTTCGACGTATATCATCCCAAAACAACACTGATATCCCACGTATAGTTGACATCGAAGCTATGCATAGTACATATGTAACACCAAACTCCATTTCCTCAACCCCTCCATCCTTCATCCATCCATCCACCAATCAATCCATCCATCCCTTCGATTACAACCAAAACCCCACCTATCCAACCCCTTTCCTTTCTCCCAGCAAACCACTTACACACAGCTACAACACAACCAAAACGCACCAATTCAATAGATCGCAAAAACCATCCTGTCGTGTACCCATCTAATCCGCATCAAGCATCAAGCGTCAAACCTGCATATATCAATATCAATATTTACTTGTGTAGCACCAGCCCCCAATCTAACACCATCAGTGCATACCAACCTTGCTTATAGTGACCCTATATATATGTATGTATGTACATATGTATGCAATGCGAAAAATTCTAAATCTGGAGAATTTAGCTTGCAACTGATTTAACCGTATGCGGACTTGCGAACTTGGGCAAAAATTTATGTTAGAAAATGTTATGATTTTCGATCGATAAGTTTTTTGGAGTTTCTTTTGGCTGATTTGTATATGGTTGTGGTTGTGGTTGTGGTTGTGGTTGTGGTTGTGGTTGTGGTTGTGGTTGTGGTTGTGCATGATTGCCTTTTGTGCGGGGATTTTCTAGGAATTGAGATGAGTACTAATGCTGTCTGTGTAAGTAAGATTACTTCGTTTGGGTGGATGAGTGTTACACAAAGTTGATGCGTGGAGTCCTAGTTTCTGAGGAGTTTTGTGCTACATCATTATCACATCACGAGAACAAACTTGCATACAGAATACTTTTTTAGATGAAGTTGTTGATCCTTTAAAACAGGGACTGTGAAAATTTCACATTTCAAGTAATCATGAGTGAGATATTTTCAGCGGTTTTCCATCATTTAAGAAGATAAGTACTTCCAGCTTGCCATTATTATTATTACAGAATACACATAAATAAGTTGATGAATGAAAAATGAAAAAAAGATAATATTCCAAATTTTTGTTCTCTCCCAGATCCCACGCACAAAAATCTCGACTTCCCATCAGAACTACACCCAAATAACCTTAGTCGGTTGAAAAGCACCCGTAGGTCTAGGATGATAAGTTTTAGGAGTTTCCGAAGCATTACCCCTCTGATTAGACTCAAACCTCATCCCACCATGTCTAACCCTCCCATAAACCTGTTCATTCCAATGCGTATGACCCCAAATCCAGACATCCCTCCAATCCAACTGTGGCATCGTCGTCTCAATCATACTATGATCATAACCATTCCCCTTACACCCATCAATAACATCACTACCATGCTTAGCACCCTGTGAAAAATCCCGCGGTTTTATCGCCGTCTGCGTGGGATCCGAGGTTCCGCTCTTGGAGGGCGGCATGTGTGTTATTATTAGTATACGCGTTAGGACTTCCTTGGGATCACTTCGTATCTTGGCTGTTTCTCTGCGGATCCATTCGCAGGAGGCTTTGTGTCTTGCGGTTCGCTGGGCGTTGTTTTGATCGCGTGGCTCGTTGCTGCCGCCTCTTTTTGTTTCTGTCCATAATGTACAGCCTAATACTACTATCTTCCCACCATTTTCTTCAATCACAAAACTATCATCCTCCAAAAATGTCAATTTCCCTTTCATATCCGGGTGCGCTGCGAATCTTCTCATCATCCCCAATGCACCTGGTACCGTATTCGTGGCAATGGGCCAGAAATCCCTATTCCCGGCTACGAGGAATACACGTTTAATTCTCGGTTTAGCACACATCCTCGCGAGGAACTTCCGATATCTGACTTCGTGCGATGAATCCGCCCATCCAATGTCTCCAGCGAGTATCAGATAGCCCACGCTGGGGGTGAAGTCAAAACTGTCGTAACTGGTTTGCTCGAGATGGAGATCCGAAACATAGTGGAAACCGATGTTTTGTCGGAGGGTGGGAGGTGGTACGCAGAGACTGCTTCGTTTGCCGAAGACTTTCTCGATTTCGGCGGCGGTTCGAGCGGCACGTGCAGCTGCATTGACACGAATAGCAGGGGCGGGAGCAGGAGTAGTGATAATAGAAGGAATAGTAGTAATAGCAGTAGTAACAGCAATAGCAGTAGTAACAGCAATAGCAGGAGCAGTAGTAGCTGCAGGTAAAGGTATAGTTGTTACAGCGGCAGAAATAGGTTTTGGATCAACAGACGAGGTAGTATTAATGATAGTACCTTCAAGCATGGGACTAATCACATCTTTAATTCCTTTTGGTGCCTCGCCCTTGATTTTTTGAGAAGTCGCACTAGCTCCTTTTGTTTTAGCTGCGGCTGAAGATGTTACTGTTGGTGTTTCTCCTAACGTTTTTGCAGGCTGAGTAGTGTGAGTCTCAGTTTCATCTTTTGCCTTGGTGGTTGGTATTGCGGATAGTTCTGCAACAAGATTTTTCATGTATTCACCCACTGACGTCACTTGATCAGGTGTATAACCTCTTGCGGAAGTCGTTGCGGGTATGGATCCGGGTATAGTTTTGGTAGAAGCTTGAGTCTTTGGCGGCACAGGCGTAATAGGAATATCCGTATCGATTGACTTGACGAGACCGTCTATTACTGCTTGAATCTCATGAGATAGAACGGTTGTGGTCGCTGGGCAAGAAGTCAATGCTGTCGTCTTCGACGGAGGCAACGGTGTTTGAGCTTGAGTACTCCTTGTACCAGCAGCCGTAGTCACACCAGTTGTAACTGGAGCTTTTGGTCTAGACCTTGATTTTGGAGGACTATCCCAAAGACTCTCTTGTGTTCCTGGCTTTATCCATTTATTCTTTTCTCCAATGCTGCGGGCATTTGCAATGATCTTCTCTCTCCCTTCCTTCGTATTTCTCATCTCATAGAGTGCCTCCAATTGCTTTTTAGAAGGCGCATTATAAGGTCGTGGCTCTACTCCGGCCTGCTTTCGTGCCAAATTTTGTATGAACCAATGAACATGGCCAGTGTTGCCTTCTCCTTTGTCCTTATATATTGAATTTTGGCAAAATTCTTTCTCGAACTTTTGCAAAAGTTCGCCTTGTTTGCACAATTGGTACATTGATATCGCCTCCCCGGCTGAGAGATCGACTTGCCGCTGTCTTTCAGCTGCAAGTGACATCGCCCAGCCAACGTTTCCGGCAGCCATCGGTACTCTGAAATCTATGTTGGGAAGATCTTGGGAACGGGATGGCTGGGTTACCTTCGGTTTTCTCTTTTGGACAGTTCCTCCTGGTTGTTTTTCCGGCGGTTTCGCAGTTGCTCCCTTCTTCGGAAATATAGGAGCATGATCCTTCACCAACCAAGGAATCAGAGGCGTAGGTCTCAAACTTGTAAGAGGCCGCGACTGTCTCCTCTCAACGTCCGCTTCATCCGTAAGCGGTTTTCCTTTTCCCATATTCTTCAGCGCCGCTTGACGACCACGAGTATAATCCAGGACGAATCCAGAGGGTTCGGCTCCATGTCGCTTGACTCTTTTGGGTCTGTTTTGATTGAATGATTCTTGGTCTTCGGGTGGTAGTAAGTCAACGCTTATTGCGGGGATGGGTTCCCATGTACACGTTTTGCGCTTTTGGGGTCCAATTTTTGTGGAGGTCATATTGATGGTTTGGGTGGTGATGAATAGTTACTGTGCTAATGCTGATAATAGCGACGAGGGTACGGGTTCTATATAGAATGTGGAGTTCAATTGGCATTTATTGATGTTGATACAACATTTTTGGGAGGTTGAGATTTGAGATAGGAAAAACAAATATGCTGTGATTTTCATGAAAGTCTTTATGGATGGTTTCCTTGAGATTTGATAATTGGTGCCGGAAAGGGAATAAGGACTCTTTATTTGATGTTGTTCAAAACAAACGCGGTAACGAGAACCTGAAAATAGGGGAAAATTCTTTGTTGCAATAGACAAACAGTTGATCCATGAAGAGAGTGTGGTCTACTTTATGTTATCGGAAGATGCTACTGCACAAAACCTTTGCTAGGAGTGATTGCTTAAAGTAATTCTTCGCACAGATAACTTCAATAGGCATCAGGGTCAACTGACAGCACCTGTATCTCATAACCTTATTTCAACTAATAATTTCATCAAATGCTCAACTTTCTATTCATCAAATAGATCGTCTAGAATAGTAAAATTTCGCTATTGCATCTCACAATGTTCATCCCTCTAGCTGAAATTGGATCCATATACTCACATAGCACAAACATGGCACACAACCACGCACCAAAGCATCTATTTATTTATATAAAAGCCAAACCCTTCCGATCCTTCCAATTCTCCCAGTACACATTCATCCACACCACTCACCCAACTCCGCATACCTATCTACCTCTAACTTCCCACATCATTCCACGAGAATGAATTTTGATAATCTTATCAGATATTTAATGAGGCTTCCATAAATTTACTTTGATTTGATACAAGATTTATCCTTCGATCATTTAATCATGCCTGAAGTCAAGTCTACTGCTCGTATTGATTTTCTCTACTCCTGTAAGAAGCTCAACTAAGAGCGATGAATAGCACCATTGAGAGCTTTCCATTGGGTACTACCCATGGAGTAATATTCAAGCAACATATATACTTCCACATTCACATTCACACTTCACACCGTTACAAAAAATCCTTGTCTTTATTGTATTTAATTGCATGTGGATATCATCAACTAGATAGCTAGCTTGCTATTTTGCGCTACAATGCAATCTATACTTCACGAGATCTTTGCCTAAATCTAGGATCTCGTTATTCCCACCCACCCATCCATTTATTTGTATTGAATGGGCCCATCTTTGACGCCAAAGGGAATTTCCCAATTCAGTTCATTCATAGACATATCAAATCATCTTTTGATTGATAGATAAGAGTCAAATTCCTTCAAAGAAACCGCGCTCTCAGCCGCGAAAGTCTCTTCTCTCCTTCCTCACTCCGATAGTTTGAAGAGCTCACTAGCACATCTTATACTCAGCACCACCTTCGGCCTGTCTTAATGGATCTGTAGTCTCCAACTTATACTGAATCTTAACATCCAAATCTCTTGGGTTCTTCTCGTTTGGCTTGTTGTCCAATCGACCGACGATTTGCTCTCCTTGCTCAACCGTCAAAACTTCTCTCAAATAAAACACGGTTTGTTTCCAGTGAGTATATTTAGTATGAGGACCAGTACTGAATCTAATAGGTTTGTGACAGGCCGTGAAATCGATATCGAACCATGCGATAAGAGCATGGACGAAATCATTGCGACGGACATCGAGTTTAAAGGGAGTGGAGAAAGCGAGATCCTCCTTAGTGCATGTGTAAAGATCGAGGGTAAGGACTGGGGTGGGGTCGGTAACAACGGCCTTGATCTCGACTGTATCAACGAGGGGTTCGGTAAGAGCGGTAGCTTTGAGAGGAGAGTAATCGAATCCGTAAACATTATCCCAGACTTTCACAGGTTAGTACGCGAAATCTAGAGAATTTATTCACCATGTGGGGATCCCAGAAAAAAACTTACACCCAATCTTCTCATCCTTGTATTCGCCATCCTCAATACCAGCCATGAAGATAGTAGCCTTATCTGGGAAAATCAGACCGTTTGGCGCAAGATACTTGTCTCTAGCATAGAGAACGGTATCCAACATGGATTCATAGAGTAAGAAATAACCCATCCACTCCGAGATGATGATGTCGACTTTTGGGAATGGGAGTTCAACCTCCTCCATCTTTCCCTGGAGTAATGTAATCTTATCGGACATGCCGTTGACTGCGACAATCTCACGAGCCTTCTCGATAATTGTGGACATGTCGACACCGATAACGTGTTTGGCACCGGCCTTGACAGCGAACCTTTAATGGCATCAGCTTCAGGTGGTTCGAGATGCTCGAGAGAGAATACATACATGCTGAGAATGGAGGTACCGCATCCTACGTCGAGTACGATCTTGTCCTTGAAAAGATGCTTGTTTTGCACAATAGCATTCATATATGATCGAGTACGAACTTCATCTTTCTAATTTGATTGTCAGCAGGCGGGGTAAAGAAAGTTTGAGAGGAAGCAGTTTTTTTTGCCTGCTTGTAGAATTACATACCAACATCTCTTCATGGATACCTTTATATATTGATTAGCATTTGCATTTGCATTGGTATATTGTAGAATCGTCTTGCATACCATGATGATTGTAACTATTTTGCAGATTAATATAAATCATCCTTATCGAGAAGTAGAAAAAGGGTAGATAGTATTTACCTGTTGAAGTAATGAGCCTCAGAATGCTCCAATCCCTTCATTGGATCGTCAGCCATGATTGTGATTTTGCTTGAAGATAGCACAAAAGACAGTAAGAAGAGAGAGGAAGGGAGAATGTAAGATGGTGATGGAGAAAAGAGAAAAGTAAAATAAAATGATTGCAGCTGTATTTGAGAGAGATTTCAACCTTGATAAAATGCTTCAATTACCTAGTCAGGGATTTTTTTCTCACAAGCGGCCGAGATTCTGCCACCGCCTTCCGTTAATAGTTTGCAGATTATTTATAACTCGTAAGTCTTAGCAAAAGGTGGAACAACGTCAGGTGCCTAGATCATCGAGGAGGTATTGATTATTGATAGCCAAAAGTTGTCAAGGCAGGATGGATTAACGAAGATGGTAGAAATGAATACGAATCTGACATGATGCTTGCTCTCGACTTCAACTCCGTAGGTAGGTAGACATTCTTACATTCTGGACATCATGTTCACACATGCATGAATTCATCTTACATGGCCAAGTATCGATCTTTTCTGGGCTTCTGGTCGGGTTACACTAACTGCTAGGAGGGGAAGAACGGAAAGTCGATTTGCCAATTCTGGAATTCTTCTCTTGCATTTGAAATCTACTCCAGTTATCGTACAGGACCTAGGTCGTTACCTACCTAGGATGTAGAAACATCTTACAACATAAAGTTTAATGGACATCACTCACAGTATAAGTCCTTCATCCTTCAAAATTTCCTATATATTTTTAAATTGAAACAACAAGAAAGCTTCGAGGGAAAGTCAATCACCTACGATTATTCCAACCCGTCACACTTTTATTATTCGCTAATGAGTTTGCGATTGGCTTAGCGTATCCATCCGTACCCCACCATCGAAAAAGTGAAAGTTCTTGAAGCAAACCACTACGCCAAAACAACACAAATGCCATTTCTCTTTTTTGAATCTTTCGCATCCTTCCACCAACCAACACCCAACTCAACTACCTAACCCCAACGTCGCCATCAGTCAAATATTTCAACCAATCTTTTTCATCTAGCAACTGATACTATCACGTGTAGTAATAGGAGTCTTAGACATTTGATTTGCGACAACGAGAATTAATTCGATCTTGTTGGAAAAAATAGAGATATCGCGGGGTAGAGGCTTAGATTACACTCGCCTCACACAATTTCCAATTTTTCAATTTTTCAAAATTCTTCCGTCACAATGCCTTCTCGACCAAAACCACCGCCAGCGAGGCCCAATCCCTTGAGGAACATGAAGCCAATTAAAGCCCCTACTGCACTGTCACGAAAAGCGGCCATGGGTACCACAAGAGCAAAACCAAGACCCGCCTGTCCAAATCCACAATGTAGTAAACCTCAAATCGAAGATGGTGTATGTCATAACTGTGGTACCGTGGTTGACGATTCAAATATTGTCGCCGAGATTCAATTCGGAGAAAGCAGTAGTGGTGCTGCCGTGGTTCAAGGAAGTCATGTTGGTGCGGATCAGGGAGGTGCACAAACTTTGGGTCCTGCTTTTAGAAGAGCTGGTGGTGGTGAAAGTAATAAGGAGAATACTCTTCGCGAGGGTCAGTGCTGACGAGACCCCTATTTTCATGATTCAAAGTTAACTGTCTATAGGAAAACGTATCATGCAAGCTTTAGCAAATCAACTTGGAATCTCGGAAAATGTGGTCGGTGTTGGCCATCAAATCTTTAAACTTGCATCGATGAACAATTTCATTCAAGGTCGAAGAACGGATTTAGTTGCAGCTGTTTGCTTATACAGTGCTTGCAGAAAGGAGAAACCATGCAGGGTGATGCTTATAGATTTTGCTGACAAGTCACAGGTATACTTGAATCCTTAGCACATCCTTTGAATCCTTACTCATATTTATAGGTAAATGTTTTTACACTCGGTCGATATTTCAAAGCGCTTCACAAACAAATTTCATTGGCTACAGATGGCATTTTACCTGTCCTTCCGGAAGACTTAATCTGGAAATTCGCTTCTAAGCTCGAATTCTACGAACAAACCGAAAAGGTAGCCGATGATGCAATCCGTATGGTTCGAAGAATGAGTTTGGATTGGATGGTCATGGGAAGAAGACCTTCTGGCGTTTGTGGTGCTTGTTTAATCCTTGCAGCACGAATGAATAATTTTCGCCGAACAGTCACCGAAGTCGTCTATGTCGTCAAAGTCACAACAGCAACTATTCAAAAGCGTTTGGAGGAATTTAAAAGAACGCCAAGCAGTGCTCTTACAGTTGAAGAGTTTCTCAACAACGAGTTCTTAGAATCGGCCCACGATCCTCCCTCTTTTTACAGGAAGTCCGAGGCGTATCTCAAAGAGATGGAAGAGAAAAACAAGAAACGTAAGCGCAAGGGCAAGGGCAACGCGACTGAGAACGAAGCCGACGAAGGGGAGCTAGGAGAGGAAAATGATGGGAGCAACAAGAGACAAAAATCTACATCTGGGGCTCCTATGCTACCAGCAGAAGTTCGACGCGATGCAGATGGATTTGCTATTCCCGCCATTCCTTCCCCAAAGGACCAAAACATTGATCCCCGGCTTTTGGATGATGCCATTGAAGATGAATCAGGCACCTCATTTAACAGACTTGTCGCAGAATTTGGTGATGTTGAACCAGCTGACGAGGAAGCCGCGAAGGAACTTGAAGAACACGCAGGTGCACCCAAGAGAGGACCCGGTCGTCCACGGAATGATGAACCTCCTATCGAAATGCCAGAGGAATGGCTCGCAGTAGAAGATGAATTGGAGCAACAAATAACAGAAATGGTTTCTGATCCACATACCCAGGAGCATGCCATCAGTTTCGCAAAAGCTCAAAAGAAGGCACACTATCACCTTCTTCTTGCGGAAGCTTTGCACCCTCAAAAGCACGTCAGCATGGATACTCACATTGGTGAGGACGAATTTGCCGATGACGAAGAAGTCATAAATTGCGTACTACCTGATGCTGAAGTCGCCAAGAAAGAACAAATTTGGCTTAATGCGAATAAAGATTGGCTTCGCAAACAACAACAAAAGGATTTCGAGAAGAGAAAAGCAGCTATGGGTCCACCCAAAGTTACTAGACAGAGAAAGAAGAAGCCAAGAATTGGAGAAGGTCAAACTAGCGTAGCTAGTACGCCAGCAGAAGCAGCTGTCAATGCGATGAAGGAAAGAAGTTGGAGTAAAAAGATCAACTATGAAGCTATTAGGGACATATTCAAGACTGTGGGAACCAGATCTGGTCCAGGTAGTGTTGCCACGAGTAAAGTTACAAGTAGAGCCGGATCGACGGCTCCCGGCTCGGTGGTAGGTAGTGCTGCTGATGGTGGCGAGGAAATAATGGAAGATGTTGATGAAGATGATGACGTTGGTGAGCAAGGCGAGGCAGGTGGTGATGATTGGCGAGGAGATGTCAATGGAGAGCGCTACGATGACGAGGATGATTATGATGAAGACGACGCTATAGGTATGGGTGATATCGATGAGGATGAGTTGTACAATTGAGTGTTCTCTGTAACACAGATTTTCAAAATCATCGGGAAGTCGAGTGGAGGTTATAACTTTTGTGGCATGGAGGACTGATGAATGGGGAGACTTTTGCACATATTCATGCATGAATGGAGCTATCTGGGTGGTCACTGCATAATAGCACAGGAGTTTCACAAAACGTTCGCCAATCAGCGATGGGATGTCGTGTAGATACCTAGGTTGACCAATATTTTCAGATACTTTCTGTTTTAGGACTCAATGCCTGGAGCTTAAGAAAAGAAAAGAAATAATTAAGTCTTACAATTAAAAAGGAAATGGGAACTTGGCCCTCGAGTTGCAGCATGAGACCGTACTAGATAAGTAGTCTGATATTTAGCTTGATCTCGAGCACCTCATCGAGAAGGTTCGTTTTAAATGTGATGTTAAGAGCTTGTATAGATCATTTAAACATATATCCTTTCCCGAGCTTGATGCATTGATCATACTAGGTAGATATCATCAAGACGTGAAATACGAATATACGTATTACTTATTACCTGTCGTCCCTCCTTCCTTGCCCCCACCCACTTCTCCGTACAAATGAAAAAGCAACTTGGTATGGTTCCTCATGCTTAGTCATCACTTCCCTTCCTCCAGGTCATCCATAACGCCATTTTATGCTCAAATTATGCAGCCAAAAGCAAAAGCGGTGTGAACCTTACATTTAAATTGAATAAAGTTCAGCCCCTCAATTATGTCCAACGCATAGAAACGCATAGACAAATCTCTCAACGGGTACGTGAATACTTATAAGGTAATAAATAAGCAAAGGAGGGACCCAAGCTGGATAATTATATTGGGATTTTACAATCTTCCTATTCTCTTCCTCTCTCCCCAAGTCTCTCCCTCTTTCACAGATCTTTGTTCTCTCTCCTCAAATCTTCAAAAATGGATGCCAAAATTCTCGAAGCTTCAAATAATCACCCAAAACCCGTCGATCGGGTCTTTCAATATGGAACTGCGGGGTTTCGTATGAAGGCTACTCTTCTCGACTCAGTGGTATTCCGCGTTGGTCTTGTGGCTGCTCTTCGATCGCGCAAGTTGGGTGGTCAAACAATCGGTGTTATGATTACCGCGTCACACAATCCACCGGAGGATAATGGTGTTAAGTTAGTTGATCCGATGGGCGAAATGTTGGAGAATAGTTGGGAGGCATATAGTACACAACTGGCAAATGCGAAGAACGAGGATGTGGTGGAAGTTTATCGCAAGTTGGAGAAGGATTTGAAAATCAACCCGGATACTCCTGCGAGAGTAATTTTTGCGAGGGATACGAGGCCTTCAGGCCCGAAATTGGTCGCGGCTTTGGTTGATGCTCTCGACGCTACCGGAACTGATTATACGGATTATAAGTTGCTTACGACGCCTCAATTGCATTATTTGACTAGATGTACGAATACGGAGGGAACACCACAAGCGTATGGGGATGTCAGTGAAGTTGGATACTATGAGAAGTTGGCAAAGGCCTTTGGGAGGGCTATGAAGGGTAAAAAGGCTGTTGGGTCGGTCACTGTTGATTGTGCCAATGGTGTTGGAGGTCCCAAATTGCATGAATTGATTAAGTATCTGCCAAAGGGTATTCTCGATATTAAGGTCGTCAATGACGATGTTTTGAAGGCAGAGAATTTAAACCATGAGGTCAGTAATTTCTCTACTGTTTGGTTCAACCACTAATGGTTTGTTTTACAGTGCGGTGCCGATTTTGTCAAAACCAAACAACGAGCTCCTCCTTCATCAAAAGCTGGAAACAATGATCGATGCTGTTCATTAGACGGAGATGCCGACAGAATTATCTACTATTTCAGTGATCCAGATCATGGATTTCGTCTATTGGATGGGGATAGGATTGCTACACTCGCAGCTTCATTCATTGGTGATCTTGCTAGAGAAGCTGGACTTGCAGATGAATTAAGAATTGGCGTCGTACAGACTGCATATGCCAATGGTGCTAGTACCAAGTATGTTGAGAAGACATTGAGGCTGCCCGTGGTTTGCACTCCTACTGGTGTAAAATGGTTACATCATGCAGCCACCAAATTCGATGTCGGTGTTTATTTCGAGGCAAACGGTCATGGAACTGTAGTCTTCTCACAACAAGCCTTAAAAGCATTTGCTAGCACGGAACCGGAATCTCCTGCTCAAGCAAGCGCTTTGGAAGCTCTTCGTGCCCTCACCGATCTCATCAATCAAACCGTTGGAGATGCACTCTCCGATATGTTACTCGTGGAAACAATTCTCGCCCACAAGACCTGGACACCAAAAGAATGGGATCTTACCTACATTGATCTACCCAATCGTCTCGTCCGGGTCGAAGTTGCTGATCGAAACTTATTCAAGACAACCGATGCTGAAAGAAAACTCGTGGAACCACAAGGCACACAAGCACAAATCGATGCATTAGTTGCTAAGTTTAAGGACGGTAGAAGTTTCGCTAGAGCAAGTGGGACTGAAGATGCTTTGAGAGTATATGCAGAAGCTGCTACTAGAAGTGAAGCTGATGATTTGGCTACCAAGGTAGCATCCTTGTGTAGGGTTGAGGGAAGCATCAAAGGTTAGATGTAGTTGTGATTGAGGGGAGTAGTGAGGGGAGTAGTGAGGGTTGAGTGAGAGAGTGGAAGGTTATGAATCACGACTATGCAGCGCATACGACGAATACCAAAAAATGGAGTTGAGATGATTCATGGGGAATATACCCATGATTGATATAAACGATAACATAGCATTTATCGCAGTTGATTTTTGATTAACAAAAAGTTAATTATATTATCTTATTTCTACCTACTACTGAGAAACCCCCGTTGATTACCTACTCGAGTATCTATTAATACTTGATTATTTTGCGGAGACTCGGAGAATTTGATGTAGATCTATGGAAATCCAACAGCTTATGTGGGGTAAACCGTACTGCACCAATTATCCATACCACACCATACCCATTGCAGCTTCCAACATCAATGATGTCAAGACTTGAGACTTAGCTGGTACAGTACACTTTAACTAACTGCATCATAGTCGATTAAGCGTCCATACTATCTATCCATTCTATCCATTCTATCCATTCCATACATTCCATACTAAGCGGTAGGTTGGGAGGTGGGTATCTATACCAAGTAACGTGCAAGTTATCCAAGTTTATTGCTAGATGTAAATACTGGTTTAGTTTCCTGCTTTTGTTCTTGTCCCATCTTCTTGCAACTTCTCTACTTGCAATGCGTTCTCTGCTCTTCTCTTCTCTACCAAAACATTCTTTGATTTCTGCGGGATTTGTTAAGAGTAAGAGTACGATCAAGAAAAGGAGTAAGATCACCGGATTATTATTAGTTAAATATCTTTCCTCATCTTCATCCTCACCCCGAAAACCCTTTTTATCACTACATAAACACAATCACATTCCCCTTTCAATCCAAATTTTATCGCAAAGCCAAACTCGAACTCTCAACACAAATTCAACCATCAAAATGTCAACACCGGCAGAAAATAAATCATATTCTACTACTACTACCTCGAGCTTGGGAAACGCAGATGCGTTCAAGGAGTTGGGGATTCAGAATACGAAGATTAATGCGGCCGAAGGGGTCAATCTGAGTGAGAAGCAGAAGGTCGTTGTGGGTAGTATTTTGGATGTATGACTTCTATTTTCCTGCTACTAAACATTATCCCCCTTGTCTTTTCCCCCCATACTCATCCAAAAATCAAGCATCCACACAAAAACCCCACTAACACCTCCTCCAACCTCAGCTCTTCGCCGGCCGTCCCTCCCTCCCCAAACTCTCCCTCTGGGCCGAAACCGCCATCTTCGAAGACCCCATCACCAAAGCCGAAGGCCGCAAACAATACGCAGCCCAATGGTACGGGCTCCAAAGCGCATTTAGCCAAATCGAACAAATCTCGCATCGTGTAACGAACGGGGGTAATCCTATCGAAATGGATTTGCATACGAGGTATGTGGTTAAGGGGTTGGGCGTTGAACAGGTTATTAAGAGTAAGGTGAGTATTTTTACGAATGGAGGGGATGGGAAGGGACCGCTTGCGAAGGAGGATATGAGTATTTTGAAGGTGGTGGATGCGTGGAATGGGGAGTTGCCGGGGGAGGGGGTGTTTGTTAAGGTTTGTTTTTTCTTATTCGTCTTTGGCTTTTTGGGGAGGGTTTCCCCTTGGATGAGAGGGTGGAGGGGGTTTTTACTTGTTTGAGATGGGATGGAATGAGATGAATAAAAGAAGAAAGGAAATGAATATTTTACTAATCTATCTCATGGTTTGACATTTAGGCAATGAGAAACCTCAATAGTGTCGTGGTACCTGCTTTTGTCAGCGTACCTAAAAATGAGGAGGAGGATAAGAAGAGGGGAAATTAGTTGATTGATATTTTTGGTTATTGATGTATAATTTGGGAATTGGAACTTGAAACTTGAAACTTGGAACTTGGAATTTTGAAATCATAACTTGGAAATTGGAACTTGAGAATCATACTTGTAAATAAAGATTGAAAGATGAGAGAGTAAATGGATTGATTGTAGGACTTGTATTCATAATTATGAGTACGATTATAAATATATATAATATTTTATTATTTCTATTTATTTAAAATTATATATCTATCTATTTAATAGTCATACTATATACCCGTAGAAATCACAACGGGATAAACGAGAAAACTTTGTAGTAGAGACTTGGATTTTATAAAGATAAAAGAGATGAGTATACAATACATGTACCCCATCTACCTACTCACTTCCTAATATACATCAAATCCTGCTATCCATTCCCAATAATTCCTAATATTCCCCCAACACCAAAAAACCCTCATTATTCCCTCCCTCTGCTTTCTCTTCCGCATAACCCCTCAAACAACACCACCCCACACCTCCGCAATCTTCGCGCTCAAAGCCCCTTGTACCTTTTTATTCCCAATCAATGTACCTATCTCCTTGGAAACCATTTCCCTTTTTCTCTTTTTAATTAACTCGTCTGGGTCTAGAATTATCGCTGGACCTTTTCCTTTATTTTTTGACTTTTCTTTGGATATTCCCATTCCCATTCCCATTCCCATTCCATTGCCCGCACCTCCTGCTCCTACACTCGCTGCGCCTCTTTCATTGGCTGCTCCTCCGCCATCGAGATTCTCAAATGCCTCCAAGAAAGCCCTGGGTGTAGGCCATCTCTTTTGAATCTCGATTGCTTTTACAGCTGAAACACTTTTGGTCCGCATAAGCATTTTGAGATAAACATCTTTCAAAGTGAGATTTTGTGATTTACTAGATAGTCCTTCGAATGCATCGAATGTGATACTATATTCCCTATCTGGTTGTGTGCTCCTCAGATGTTGCATTAACGGACTGTAATTTTTAACCGTCAGAGCTGTAGTGGGGATAATATAGAGTGGATTTCCTTCGTATTGTTTCTTGAGGAGTTTCGTCATGCGCTCGATGTACCGGAGACTTTCACCTAGATCTAGAGTTTGTTTAACATTAATACCATCTTGAATCATCATTTTCGCAATCGAAGTTGTGATTCCATCACCCCATTTATCCATAATGTCCGCGTCGATTTTCTTATTTTCGATAAGATATTTCACATTGGTGATACTGGATCTTTTGAGTCGAAATTTTTGCTCTTCGTATCGACCATCTCTTAGAGAAGCAATGAGATCATCTAGTCGTTTGCGTTCCATGATGTAGTCCAACATTATGAGATTGGATTTTCCGAGATTAAGCCATTTGGCTTTGTCTTCACGGACTCGTGCTACCCAGAGGAAATCTCCAAGCGGAAGTGCTCGAACGGAATGAGGAACTCCCATATCGGTTAGTTGGTTGGGTATTCCATCGCGATCTTTTTTGCTGACTACTTCACGGTTGTCGAGGATGAGCTCGACGGTGAAGGTGCCAGGACGGAGGATGATGGGTTCAAAGGTTGGAATGCTGACGGTGTCCCCTTCCGGGATGTCAGGAATGTTTGGATTTGCTTGAGGTTGTGCACGGGTTTCGGGGTCAATTTCTTCGGGTTCGGAATCGGACTCCACATCTTGGCTTCCTGTTGTTGTACTAGATGGGCCCGGTACAGCAGGCTGGAAATCATGTGCTCGTCCTAATGTAGGGTCTCCACTAGCTTTGATGGTATCAGCGAGATCCCATCCCTCATCTGTGAGATAATATCTTGTTGCCGGGTTCTTTTTTGTATACACAAGGTCTTTGTTGATCAACGTTTTCATAGAATTCCATGCCGTAAAAAATTCACTTGGTCTTGTTTGTGTGAAGGAGTGATCACTATAAGGTTCTGCGAATGCGATGATCTCTTCCTTGGTAATCCCAATCCTGCTATTTCGTTGTTGTGTCCCTAAAGCCAACATAATGGCGTAAGCGCCAGATCTTAATTTCGGAACATAAGTTTTTGTCTTCCTAGCTTTCTTTGGTGATGGCGAAGGCGAAGCGGGATCATCTCCGTTGTCTAACCCGCCAGCAGCAACTGACTTCCTCTTTTTGCCCCTCGGCTTTTTAGGCATGGCAATACCCATTTCATCGCAATACTTTTCAAGACTATCTGTCAACCTCTTTGCAAGGCCTTCTCCAAGTCCGTTCAGACATACAGCTTCACTGGGATGATCGAATCGCATAGGGCAAGCTTTCATAGAATCGCGTGCTTTTTTGAGGGTGGGAAGAGATTTGTATCCTCGTTCCTGTGCTTCGACGACCCATTCCTCGAGCCATTTCAATAGCAATGGGTTTCCACAGTCAGCTGCAGGAGGCATTTTGTAGGTTTGGTTTGCAACTCAATAAAAGCACAATGCAAAAGAAAGGCAAAAGAGAGGCAAAAAACGATTCGATGGCAATTGCTCAAACCCAAAGTGAATTACAATCCTTCAGGCGATAAAATGAATGTTATGATACTAGCCCGCAGATTTCTTGTTATTGTTTTGTATTAAGGGTAACGACAGTCAAAAATAAGTGATGGTTGCAAATAGAATTGAGGAGATTCAGTCGACGCGATAACTTGGCAGATGAAAAGTCACGGCTGCTAAGGTTGACGCGAGGTCACGTGTTTTGTCCACATGTCGTCCACCACCTACGTTGTGCATTCACTTCTTCTAATTTTATGCACGAATTATGCAGCAGCAACCATTTTAAGTCACCATTTTTAAACTTCATATTTCCCTACCATCTCATTCATCTCTTTCATTCGGTACGTATAGGCAATTCCATTACTGCTAAGATTTTACATCAGCTTCATTGTCAAATCATCATCACAACACAAACTGTGAGCCACTCTTTAATGAACTCCATGTTGTCAATTAGGCCTTTTCTGTCTAGTGGCCTGAGGAATCAATCAAACGTTGCAAGTATTTGCTCCGCGGTGGCTTCCTCGTACTTAAATGCTACGTGAATACGAGACCTGTTTGTAACGTCGAGTTGGACAATTTCGCCCGTGTTTAGCATGAGAATTTCTTGATAGTATTTGGGAACGCGCGGAAACATTGTTTTTGAAGGAGGGAAGAGAGGAGTTGATTGTCGGGTAGGGGGAGGGAATTAGTTTGGTCCTGTGTTATAAGCTGATGTTTGGCATGGGATCAGATACAGACCTGGGGCCAAAGAATATCTTTCAACATTATTGGCTACTACTTGTCCTCTACTTTCGAGAAACATATCTGCTTCCTCACTAGTTTTTATTAGCCTTCTTAGATCTAGTCGGAGTATTTGGTAAACTTGCGCGAGAAGGATTGCTTCCCACCAATTGAAATATCTTGACAAGGTTCTGTTTCAACAACTCCGGCTTTCATCCCACATTAGCTGCACTAATGAGAAGAGAGGTTCACGAGTGACAATAGCGAGTGTTTCTGCCGTAGTGGTCTTGCCTACCGCCGGTGAGCCTTTCAAGGAAATGAATGAGAGATTTGCCCAGTAAATCGGTTGAGTGATAGAACTTACCATACAAAAGAATGGCCAGCCCTTTGCCTTTTTTATCAACAATATCGTCCACTTCTAGCGCCTGGTTTTCATATTCATCCAATTTTGCTCCATGACTAGACACTAAATCTAGTGTGATCTTTTTGGTAAATTTCCATCTTAAGTACAAGTCTTTCAGACAATGAGCTGCGAAAGTCATTCTCATAAAAGTTCTTGAGAAATGTGGCCTGTAGCTGAGCTCATTGCTTTTCGTGGAAAATATGCCAAGAACACTAGGCAGACGCAACATATACTGCTCGTCATGCCATCTATATTTATGATAAGGCCGCTTCGTCAAATCTATTGTAAAAGTGGTAGGTCGAGATACGTGCGGCCCGATAGCACAGTGTAAGGGGGAATTGAAAAAGAAAGCTGATTAGATTATATTGTAATACATTATTTATGAAGAAAATAGAGTTTATAATAGGTTTAGGGTTGAAGTTATATAAATTCAAAATGTATACATATAGAAGGTTGATTCTACTGAAAAGAAGAGACAAAAGTCTTTTTTTATATATCTAATTAAAGAAGGTCATATGATTGGTTAATTAAAAACCTCTGTGTATATTGTAAATGTGGTAGGTCGAGATACGTGCGTCCCGATAACACGCTGTGAGGAGGGAATTGAAAGAGAAAGCTGAATTAGATTATATTGTAATACATCACTTATAAGTAAAACAGGGTTCACAATGGTTTTGAGGTTGATATTATATAGATTCAAATATATATATATAGAAGATTGATTTTTGTAGAAAGAAAAGATAAAAAACTCTTCTTTTATATCTAACTACAGAAGATCATATAATTGATTAATTAAAAACCTTTATGTATTTGGCCTATAATTCCAACTTTCTCATACTACTTAAATATTTTTCTCGAAGAGGGCTGGTTATTCCATCATAGCGTGACATCCGCAGTTGTTAAAATCCTCCTCTAATTTCAATGTGCCAATGCTAGCAAAGGCTGGTCCGTAGCGGAAATAGGACTTAAAATAAATCATGAATCTACTATCAATCTAAGGAGACCAATCAGCTCTGTAGATCTCACAAGATGCTACGGCCTACATTTACTTGCTTCGGAGTCGATTTAAGATTGCTCAGATCAGTCGTTGATCGGTAATGATACAAGCGGTGTCTGATTCTCTAGTTTTATAACGATAGAGGAGCATCACCATCCTAAAACCTGTTAGTTATACCTTAATGTTTAGAATAAATAGCATTTTTGACAAACTCTATCGTCATAATCTTGAGCCCCTGAAAAGCCCGCTGCTCAAGTATTGCTTGGCCGTCATAATCAAACATGCAGTCTGCATTCTTGGCTGTCCACTAATGACGGAATTTTTCCTCAACTCGATCAATATTTTCTCCACACCTTCACTATCATCATGAAAATGTATGGGAAAGAATGCCAGGGAGGAAATAGCTTTTTGGCCTTCAAAGCTCTCTATAGAGAGCCTTAAAGGAGAACGCTGGAATATTCTTCAACTCAGTCGTATGTCCAGCTAGAAGTATCCAATCACAGTCTCTGGAATGTCGTGCCAAAGTCCCAAGTTCTCACAAACACGCAATATTTGATTTTTGCCTTGAAAAAAGCGACCATATACTAAAGTACCGGGAGGAAAGACTGTCCAAAGTGTTTCATACATCACTATATTTTGATCTATGCCTGATTTGCGACTTTTGAAATAACTTGTTGAGTTTGCTATCTCCAAACTAGACGGCGCAAAAATAACCCGGGGGTTACAGATATCCATGGATTATCCGCCCCATGGGTTACCCATTAGATTTTATAACCTGCCTTACAGATATCCATAAAGCTTTGCAGATAATCTGTAAAACAGATTATTTATAAATATCTATAGATAAATAGATTATTTAGAGAATATTTGTAGGTTATCCGTAAACTATTTGCAAATAGTTTATTGATCTATTTTGCAGATTACCTATTCGAATTCTTCAATAACCTGCCCTACGAATGGGTTATCCGTGGATTATCTATCAAAGCAATAATCGCCCTGCGGAGCCCCGTTGCGCAGCCTGCTCCAAATCCACTACTAATGGTTTCAGAAGAAGCTTAAAGATCAGCCTGTGCATGTTTTTGATTTGCTCTCTGGTTTTTTCTTCTGTTGCCGCTTGTAAGTCATTCCAATACAAGACAAGAGGCTCAGAACGGGAATACAGAACAATTTGACAGTCACCAGATTAATGACAGGATCAATGGTCAAGAAGTCGCTTGAGCAAACTCCATAGCTTTTCGCTCGTGATCTATATCTCGCTTTCGTTTCCTTTGTCTTGAACGTCATCGGCAATCATATTGCGTGGAATAAAAGCATGAAATTGCTCCATAGAGGGTGCCGAGCGAATTGCTCGTTGGCCGCTAATATTTAATTTCTTCAGTCTCTCCATCGGTCCTGCTAATCGCCATTCCTGCACGCGATGGAGGAGAGTCTGTACTGCTTAGTACTGGTAGCTACAAAATCATTATCTCGAGTCACTTTAGTGATAAAATTTTGGAAGAAGAATGCCTGCAGAATGAAAGCCAATACGAGGGGCTAAGTTTGGATGTGGAAAAATACCGTCTTACGAGCGAGCGATGAAGATAAACACTCGGGTGAGAACGAGAAAGCTAATTATGAGCCCTTGAGAAGATCTCAGCATGAATCATTGGTTTCTTTTCCCCTTTCAAGACGCTATATTATAAATGATAGAGTGGACAAGTGTTGGCACAAGACATTGGATCATCAAAAAGCATTGTTGGATGTTTTGGTCAAGATGGTTGAAGTTGCAGGCTGTAAGCTTAAGGTATTATTAGCTGTGATCATTATCAATGGATTTGATTGGGGCTCGGGAAGTATGATCTCAAATCTCAACAGTAGAAGAGAGAAAAGGTTTATAATAGAGCAGTCTTTGGGTCGTGAAAAGTTATGGTATTTTTTGTGTTATCTACTATTGGAGTGGGCAAGAAATTACAATGCTTCATTCCAAAGTACGGTGGCAACATTTTTCATTTTTCAAGGACTCGTGCCTTCAGCGCTCTTCATGGCTCCATCATCCAGACTAAACTACCCTCATGCATTTTGGGGCGCCCATACTCCGTTAGAAGACTCATAACTAGGACTGTCAGTAGATAGTTCTCAAGGATTCTCATCATATCGAATCACTTACAACTTCTGCTGATAGACACCTTTTACACTTTCAGTAGTGACTGCAAAAACACCCGGTGATGTGACTAATGTTTTTGGAGAAGATATAGAAAGTTCCCCAATATATTTCTGTGTAAGTGTTCCAACCTCCATCCCGGTAATGGTAACATAATTTTGATAGAGTTTTCCATCAGCACCAATTCCAAAGACATCAATACGACCGGGAGACACGGAGACAGCAGTCGGCTACATCAAAAAAATGAACTTAAACTTCTCGAGATAGACACGAAGTACTTACGTCATATAAATATGTACCCAAACAGTCCTGCCATGATCCCCACGTTTCGCCGCCTCGGTAACTTAATCGTTTCAACGTGTGTGTTTCTCCAAACACGAAGATATCCAAACACAATGCCTTGCAACTTACAATGACAGGATTACTCACGCAAAAGCCGGAGCCAGCCCAGGTTGTCCATGAATTAGCCCAAACATTTGCCGGGGACGTGTATGTCTGCACAACCAGACCAGTACTATTTTCAATACCGATTAATTCTAGGCGACCGTCGTAAGCGCAGGCTGAAAGAGAGCCACCCCTCCTTTGAACATGTCAGCAATTCTCTTTTTAAACACACACAGCTGATACTATAACTCACAAAGTCTTAACTCTGTCGCCAACAGCTTTCCAGGTGAATGCCGTACTGATTCAAGTTTTAGCTTCCAAAAATATCCTCGATTCTTTAAGCACGATGCGGAACATACTCAGAGGTGTTCAACCCCACCCAAGCCAAATTATCGAACCCGACCACAAACACAGAGACATTGTCAACACCGTGTTTGACAGCAATAGGGGCAGAAATGCCCCCTTTATCCATAGAAGTCCAAGCTGACCATCCACTTGATGGGCTGTACCATTTATGGAACACATTGGAGTTAAGACCGCTATTATAATCAGATATCAATGCGTGTCCTTTCAATACGCTTAAGTAAATTCTTACAGAGCAAAACAATGAATCTTGTTGCCCGGCAAAGAGACAACAACGGGATCTATTCATATTAGAACTTGCTAATCAGAAGTGACAAGCGTTGAGAGAGTTTAAGGTGCTTGCCGTAAATATAGGCTCCGCCACTAAAAATTTCCAGGAATTAGTAAATTCAACCCACAAGAAAAATGCTATGCAGAAGAGCATGTTCTTGATATTTGATTAAAATGGCAATTTCTAGCTTCCGTGCGGAGGATTCAAAGGTGATGCCGCACAGTTCGGGCTAGTGATAGGCGACAAAAAGAAGTAACAGACTGAAGTGGGAACTCCAAGTCGGAAAGAAGATTGCGGGGTTGAACTAGGGCAAGAAGTAGAAGTGCTTTTTAGACCCGAGCTGAAATTCACCCTATTTTTCACGACTAGAATCCATACCACTATGGTTTCCCAGAAAGGACCTTGGTCTTGAGAAGAAGTTGTCGAAAACGTATTGCAAAGAAACCAACTCACGCAACGCCATTTTCGTCGACATCACACCACTTGTTTGCCTCCCAATCTGTTGTCCCAAAAATTAGGTAAAGTTAAAAATCAAGCACCGATCTCCTTCCCCGGACAGGATGGGAATTCAAAAGAATAATGAATCCTCGGCAATCCTTACATCCCGATCAGTACTATACGCCGGGGAAAACATACTTTGCAGCCAAAGAGCTCTGAAAAGAGAGGTTAGCGAAAAAATATCGACGTAAATACAAATCGATGACTTATCAAAATTGGGAAGGGTTTCATGATGAGAAGAAACAAAGCAAGTTTGGGAAAGAAGAATGGACAAAAGGACAAAACCCTGACTGCAATCCCTAAGTATGAACTCACTGATCCGTGTTAATAGACTCCAGATCTGCCCTTACGGTTGACATAGTGACTCCTTGAATAGCAGAAACAGCCATCTTGCTTTCTAAATCGCGAGAAAGAATCGAACAAAGTTTGTGTTCTCTGTTCAAAAATTCGAATAGTTAGAGATTGGGGGTAAGTTTGTGGGAACAGTAATTAAGTGGGATGGTCGGATCTTCCACAATTTATCGATTTAGATTTTGTGATGTGATATAATTGGTGGAAGAAAATATAGTAGTTATAGAATTGTAACAAGCAATTGGGGCTGGAGATAGCAATATAAACGAATTCCGTGTCCAAGTTGTGTTCGACCCGGAAGGGGATACCGATGCGAGCATAGTAGCAGTTGTGCTTCGGGGGTTCCAAGTCCCTTTTCGAATTCCAGTACGATGGAGCCTACGGTACTCGATGACCTCGTAGTTGTAGGACGAAGAGTAAGTTGCATGGAGAAGGATATGACAAACAGAAACATAGGCGGGGTTTGTATAAAGCATGTTTTTTTCCTTTATTCTTTAGCTTTTAGAAGTACAATTAATTTTAAATAAGAAATTAAAATAAAACTAAAATTTGAAAAAGATTATAATTTGAAATAAAATAAATCGAAAATTTTATTTATATTTTAATTTTAATTTTAATTCTTTAAGATTTTGAATCTTAAATTATATAATTAAAGAATCAAATATTAAAAAATTTTCAATTTGAAATCTTGAAATAATTTTTTTCTTGAATTAATATAATTCATTAACTTGATTTTAAAACGATTCATTTTTAAAAGTCTTTTAATTATGAATATTAATAATGAAAACTAATTTACATATTTAAATTATAATATTATTTTAATTATAAATTTTTGATTATATTAAAACATTTGTAATTATACATAAAAAAACTCATTTTTCCACAATTTTAAGATTTTGATGTGTTTTGTATTAAAAATGCTATAGGGACTCAGACTAAGAACTACTCGGTCGGTTATGAGCACCGACTATTAGATCAACCCCACGATCAAAACATGATCGATCGTCTAATCGTACTCGTGCCATCCTGCAGTCCGGGTAAACCCAGTACATACCGGTTGTCCCCGAGGTGCGGGTTTTTCAGCACCATGCATGTTCTACTATGTAGTACTCCAAGCAATCGACAGCATTATAATATTTCATCACATTAGCCTGTGACGGTAAAGCTACAGCAAAGGTTGTTTGGGCAGAGGGTTGGACCGTTGTAGGTTTCTTCCTAGGTTTCCTTAAAATAGAATGACTTTGTGCCCCCAAGCTCGGAATGCAAGAGACCAACTGATTTTATTTGCCACACTTACTTAAAATGCATAGGGAGCTGAATTCAGAATTAATCGACGCTCCTGGACCCTCATCAGTAAGAAAAACAGGTTTAGAATACGAGGGAGCTCGGTGGATAATAAATCTGTACATATGTGTTAAGAACTTATCGGAAGCGATGTAAAGGGGCAAGCTAGTGCGTCCTAGCATAATAGAAAGCGCCAAAGAGGAGTACATGAAGCTACAATGGACACAGTATGAGCCTCATACTATGAGGGGATTATAGATGCCCACAATACCAAGCCGTATCCACATTCTAGAAGCAGACTTGGATATGCGGGTTTCAGCTTTCGACTTTATCAACGGGAATGTGGGGACTGCAGATAGTTTGGCGGGGAAAATATGCTCCACATTCATTTAACCGTCACAATCGAGAGAAATCCTCTTTTGATCTTTCGGATTCTTCCATCGTATCATGTTCCCAGATACATGTGCAATCTCTTTAGTCACGCATAGTCTTTTTGAATTTCGAGGCTTTTTTAGTTTATTTAGTGGCTCTTTCCTTCGAAACACTGACGTTTTAGGATCTACGTTGATCTACGGTTAAATTCACACAATTCATATCTTTAGAAATATATGATGTATTATATTATGTATTATTTTCTGTCAGAAAGACGCCATTCATAGAAGAAAAGTTTTATCATTCGAAAATAAAGAGGTATTGTACGTGGCAATCAAATTTTGTAGTTGACAAAACCAGCCACAAAGGCCCGAAGCACAATACCAGATAGTCATAAGTTAAGAGTTACCCCAATACCCTACAAATGCCATCTTGCACTACCAGCAGGCGATCAAGTGTGAGATACTCCTCTTGATTGATCAGCTACCGCTTGAGTGACCGGATAGGGAGCCGGATGCTGGCCATCCGCTTTGAGTTCCAGCACCAAAAATGTACTTGCCCGTCCTTGGACCGGCCTGCTTGGTCTGATACCTGTCCACACTTCATCTATCTGCATAATATAGAGACCTGCATTATCTTTTGTGGAAACTGCTCCGCTTAGTTCCAATGAGAAGGAGCCCTTGGGAGGTATTATGAATTTAGTGGGCAAATCCGTACCATCATGTGCGGTACCGAGTACTTTAGGGAACATGGTGAATTGGAGGCCGCTATCGAGATTCCCTGCCTTCAAATTAAGTGCTTGGTCGATTTTCGTAGTAAAAATTGACCAGGTATTGGTAGACGTGGCATTAGACACATCCTTTGCTGTCCAGTGCTCCGGTCCAGTTGCAAACAATGTTTTTCCGTCCAAAGCTTTCATTTTCAAGCAAAGCGCGGAAACGTACTTGAATGCCATTGCATCATTCGAGTTATTCAAACCTGTCAAGGTGACTTTTATGGTTTGCGAGGAGGTATCGTATGTGTTCACAAGAGATGTCCAAGTCAGATGCGGAGTATCAGTAGTCACAGAGGTATCGGAAATATACGCGCTATCGGGCGCTTTGTTTCCAAGGCTCTCTGCTTCTGGGACTGGCCAAATAACTCGGCTTTCTTTTAAACTAAGCTATTTTTAGTATTCTGGTAGTAAATAGGTCAGTTTAGGGAGGAAGGGTCTATGCTTACGAGAAATCAACAGTTGAAAATATATTCATATCTTCATTCAACATAGTTGGTCCGAATTCGAGCTCACCGTTACCTGGATATATGAACTTGTTGATTCCTTGAAATGGTTTAAAATCGCTCGCCATTTTTGCTAGAGCTCTGCCGATATTGATCTTCATCGCTGTCCGTATCAGAATCCATGTTGGATCTGACGGGTTTCCAGCAAGATTGACGGATAAATCATTGGGTATGAGGATATCCAATCCAGTATATGGATCCTTCTCTGTATTGCACCCTGCAAATATGGCACTGATATTGTTGAGAACTCCGAGATTACCTGCTGTGTCCTGGGAACCGTTTATGCTTATAGTGAAGGTCCAGGGAGCAATATCACTAATGACAAGGCTTTATGTTGTTAACCCCTACTCTAAAGATGAGGGATGCATTACTTGCCTTGAGAATTCACTCCGACGGCTATAGCCATACAATCCGCTCACCTTGAACGCTGTCGTTTGTGGTCCAGCTTCGATTGTGATTTTCGACAAGGACGAAGTTTTAGACTTCCTCTTCGGAACATCCACAAGAATACGAGTAGCGGCTCCCGTATCATTTCTTAGTTCCTCCCAACGATACGGCTTTCCAGCCGTAAAATCTGCCGTGTTGCCGACTACGCGAAGTCGCCGGCCAGACGGTAAGTAATTACCGCCGATTCTCACTCCAGGATTAAGAGGGATTGTCTGCATTGCAAGGCAAAGCTCTTGCAATTGCGATAGCAACTTATTTCCTCCGGCGAAAAGACGGTGGTCAAGAACGAAAGTTCCCAAGTACTCACCACCTGTACCTTTACTAGGCCCTGCTAGGTTACCCTGTGCCAAAAGGTCAGCCTGATGGTTCTATTGATTTACCAGATTGATATCATTCGGATAACCACTTACAGAAAATGGCAAAAATTTGGTTCTGGGAAGGTCAACTCTGCTTCCAACAACTTCACAAAAGCAGAGGCAGTTATAAGGGCTTCCATTTACACCCTTCATCACTTGCTTAGCACTTGATAATTTGATCTGTTTCCCCTCGTCGATATAAGGGTAATTCTGCAATCGAAGTGTTCTCGCAGCTAGGCTCACGGTCAGAATACAACTGGATTAAGAGGCTCTCAGATGAGACTTACCGAAAGTTACCTTGTTGTTGCTAACTTGAGAGAAGTCAGCCATGATAATAATCGTTGAAAGCGAACCAACCTTTTGCTTTGGGGACTTTCAACAACATTCCTTGCGTGAAACAGGACGCGAGCTTGTTTTCCAAGGTCCATTCTCTCAGACATTGCTGAACCTCATTGTATAGAGCATTATTGGCAGGATTTCGAGCCCATTGATCAAGATAGAGCTTCTGCTTATTAGTTTGTGTCAAGTATGAGCGCTCCCATATAATGCTTCCCCAGCTGAGATCTGTGGATGAAATTAGCCTTGGACAGCACTACTTGTACAAAGTACAAAAACTGACCAGCAATGGCAGCGAACAGCCGGTGAATGGAGTATTCTCCGGGAATTATCTTAGTCGGCTTATCGGATTTGAACACAACGTCCTCTTCCAAGTCTTCCAAAGTCGCCGCTAAGGCAAGATCTCCACTTGATGCATTTAGACAATCTTCGAAAGAAAGTGAGAGAGCGATCACCCAACCATCGATCGTCTGATAGGTGTTTTGCCCAAGGAAAATTCTCCCTTGGTCGAAGCAAAGTTGGAGTAGAAATTTGGCGCTATCCCCAGATTCCACGTCAAGCTCTGCAAAATGACAAATTTAGTATTCGATTTTTGAGGAATTTTATGACAGAGCCGCCGAAACATAAAACTTTTATGTTCCATTAGACGTTACGTCCATTAATGATCTAGGAACAGCATTCGAAGTTGTTGTTTACCTATTTGAGGAGGCAGCATTGTAGCTACCAATTGGCCATCAAAAACACTCTCATTTTCCCAATGCACTGATCGGGCTGCAAGCGGCTGCTTTTCGAAAAGCTTGATGAAAGCATTGTTGATGGCCGCTTGGGAGATGGCACATACTTGATCGTAATGCTCCAACCCGTCGCCAGTGCCAGTAGTATCGAGTTTTGCAGGGCCGTAGGAAAGGCTCAGAGACATTTTAAGATTTTTGGGTGAAGTTATTTGGATGTTGAGGAGACAGTTGAGTAGCTAATAAAAGAGATGTTTTCCTTATTATCCCCAAATATCAACGGTTCTAAGTTTCAAGAAATTGATAAAATAACGGGATGTAATTATTCCACCCAGATTGAAGAAAATAGTCACAAACGACAGAAAATGTGCAATATTACTCGCTAACATCAAAGTTAAAGAAAATTAAGGTTATAATAATGTAAAAGTGGTAGGTCGAGATACGTGCGTCCCGATAGCACGCTGTGAGGAGGGAATTGGAAGAGAAAGCTGAATTAGATTACATTGTAATACGTCACTTATGGGTAAAACGGGGTTCACAATGGTTTTGGGGTTGATGCTATATGGGTTCAAATGTATATATGTAGAAGGTTGATTATTGTGAAAAGAAGAGGCAAAAGGCTCTTCTTTTATATCTAACTACAGAAGGTCATGTGATTGACTAGCTAAAACCTTTATGTATTTGGCCTATAATTCCAACTTTCTCACAATAAGAAGTGTGACTTGCAGGAATTCCTTATTGGCAACTAAAACTCAGGGGTGCGTAATCACCCGGACAGCCGATTAGAAGATATTACCCCTATCAGTATGACTTGCATAACTATCGCGGAACCTAGCTCAAGGGTACAGAGCACAGTGTGTCATTAGTGGGGGCGGGGTTGGAAGTTCACCACATTTTTGCTGCTGCGGCTGGCTATGACTAACTAATTATAGTGTACAGCGGGTTCTTCCACCACTTACAATACAGTCCAAATGTTCGTCTAGAGATCCGACACCCGAGTAGGTAGCCCTAAATCTAAACATTTCAGACCTTCTAAAAAGGATCTTCGCTTTCTGCTAGCGAAATGTGATCATCACCCGAAACCTTATCGTCGAGGCTTTTAACTTCGGGTCACCTCCGAAGGTGGGTTTTTTTTAAATAATGAGCAGAACTAGACTTTAAACTACTTACATCGAATGTTATTTTTACTGAAACTATTTTCTTCTTTTAATATTACTAACCCAAGAAGAAATCCCAGTACAAAAACTTTAATTTTGAAAAATATAAAATTAATAATTTAATATTAGAATTTCAATATATAAAATTTTATTATTATTATTATTTAAATTTCAGTTTTGTAAGATTATATTTTTCTATTATAAAATTGAATTAAAAATTTAAAATTCTTTATTTTAATTTTTAAATTCATTAATACAGAATTAATAAATAATAAATAATCTAATTTTAAAGAATTTATTATAATCTAAAATTATTTGATCGAGATAATGTTTTAATAATTTCGTTTAACTTTGTTTTTAACAAATTAAAAGTTCTACAAAATCTTTTAAAGACTACGAAACCACATACCGTCTGAGTTGCTTGAAAATGTTAAATCATTGATTAAAAGAAAAATACATATATAATAGCACAAACAATAGTTTATGTCACTTGCTGCATTAGCTTTATGCGATGCACATCCCTGGTATCACTGACCTACCTACGGAGTACATGCCTCCGTGCGAACCTGCGGAAGGCATGTCATACGATGAATGCGTCTTGCAAACGAGCTGAGTAGATCAAACTAATTTCCAAGAAAGATGTTCGATTTTCGTTTCTCTGTAAAGCATGGGGTTCAAGCGGGTTGTGAGTTTGCGTACGAGTGGAATCGAAAAATAATACAAAGCAGGTAACCAACACCCAAAGATTATAGGAAAAAATAACCAACCACAAATTCAGGGTCGATTGAAGCCTCAAATTGCCGTTTTCTTTTCATAACTACAAAAAATTCCCAGCTCATGCTGGACTAACCAGTGATATCACTATGCCGTCTTTTGTTGAGGCTATTGACGAGAGCCTTCTTGGCGGCGGCCTACGAGATAGGTTGGCTCATGCCAGTGACCTTTGGCCGGGAGATCCTCGATCGGCCATTGATTGGTTCTTGGAAGAAGGGAATGTGCCTGCGCAGACAATTAATGTTATGACCTTTGTGAGATCACTCCTGGGTTACTTCGACGACGAAGAGTATGTTTGCGGTCGAATCCTCTCTCTTCTGGGAGCTTATACGCTTGAAGATCTGGTTTTGTTGCTTTTCCCTCGCAATGTGCTGGATCAAAAGCTGGATGTAAATCCAGCCGACTTTCCATATAATTGGGCAACAACAAATTTAACGATCACTAAATTGGAACAAGTTCGCGCCGAGTTCCTAGATGATTATTCACTCGTTGTCATGCTTATTTTGTTGAGGGAAAATAAGTTCTCCATCGCAGACCGCTCTGAGCGTATAGCCGAGTGCATTCTAACTGCGATGGCGCTCTATAAGCTTGATATTGGATCGCAAAAGCTTCTGCCCCTTGTGAAGAAAAGCTTCCCCGATTTGGGGGACGCAGAATTTTCTTCAGCCATTGAACTTATCAAGTCTTTGAAAATTCTCTGCAGCTTCGTTGAAGATCCGGAGGACGTGGCACATCTTTATAACTCCAACTATCGTTCTGTGCGAAGCATCACGGTCCAGTCAAAGAATAACTTCAAGAATGAGTTACTCGCGGCTGGTGCTAGCATCGAGAATGCCCTCAAAATCTATGACTGCGCTGAGCGCGTGGACTGCTGGAACGAGCAACTCTGGCTACATCTGATGAATTCCCGTAGGGCAGACTCGGTCATGATTGATCCTTACTTCGAAGCAGAGACAATCGATGCGCCAAGTGATGAGACTTGGATGGGCAAGTCTCACAATAACCTCACTGATATCTTTCAGCTCGAAGATTTGACCTGCGAGGAATGCTGCTCGGTCACTTCCCTCTCCGCCTATTTCGCCGACCTTATGAATTTGCTCAGTAATACGACTCCAACAGGGGAAATTCCAAAAGTCCAAGACCCACCAGGCACTCGGAATAGTCTGCTAAATCATCTGTCACGACGGCGCCCAGATCTCAGGAAACTTGAGCTCACCTGTGCAAACTCGCAGACTATGATTCCGTACATCAGTCTCGTAAATGAGGTGCTCGAATCTTTCATTCGCCATAAGTGTCTTTCTTCTCCTGATTCTATTCGTGCATTTAACACCCCCGTTGATGCGCCAGACGATGGTCATTCCCTTCAGCCGCTCAATCTTCCCGGAAATACAGACTATGAGGTCTATTCTAAGGTTATCTCGCATCAAAAATTCCCCTTCACCTGTTTTCCTTACGACCAGGCACGGAACATGGTAATCTCGTACTTCAACATCTTCCAAGTAGCACATCGTGACTTTGTTGATGTGTTTCAAGCCCCGGAGCTTATTCTGCACAAAATAAAAGGGAAAATCACTAACGATGACATGGAGAGATCGCTAATCTGGGGAGCAGGAGAGGTATTGGAGAGGCAAAGAGCAGCAGAAGCGTTGGGCCTGCACCAGATGGAATTTGCAGCAATTACAGGGGAAAGCTTTTTTCCCCAGTCTTTGAGTGACCTCCTAAGAGGTCTTTCGAGTGACACCCTCATTGATACGGGCATACAAGAATACGAGTTTTGCCAGTTGTGGGGCTACGAGGATGATGAGACCATGTTAGGAAGTGCCAGCGGCTTATCACAGATTAAAAGCCAACTTATGCAGAGGTCTGGCTTGGAATTTCAAGACATTCTTGACCTCGTAAAGACTCAATTTTTCGGCCAGCAACTAGTCATTACGAACGAGTCTGGGTCCAACGAGTTTACCGAATCAATTGCGGATCTTCGACTACTGTCGAACGCATCTAGCCCACCATTTCAACCTCTTACCTCAAAAATATGCAGAAATCTCCAATCATTCCTGCGTTTGAAGGCTAAACTTGGCTGGTCGACCAGAGTACTAGATGCTGCTATTTACTGCTTACGCAACAGGGAATTGGAGAACTCACCGTCTTTTAAGTCGAGCACTACAACTGAATTACAATCAATTTCCGTCTATGTGATCAAAGGCATTGCTGCAATTGTTAAGTTGAATGATCTGTGCGGAATAGAACCTGCTTCTCTTATTCCTCTGTGGGGCACCATTGATTCATTCGGAGAAGAATCACTCCTTCACCGCAAATTTCTTCGTCCTTCTTTTGGGCCAATATTCGCAGTTCCTAAAGATGCTTCTTACTTTCAGCCTGATGGGAAAACATACAAAATTCAAGCATGCGGTGCCAACATCTGCGCAAGCCTCAATTGGCGTTTTGAATACTTCGAAGATCTTCTCCAAGCCACAAATCTCACGAATGCTGATCTAAGCATTGAGACCTTTTCTAATTTATACCGATATGTTACAATATGTCGGATTCTTTCTGTCAGCCCCAAGGAATGTGTGCCATTCTTCAAGGTCTTCTTCGAGAAGGAAAATCCCTTGGCAAGTCCTAAAACCACACTTGCTAATATAACACATTGGACGACGCTACTCAATTCAGGTTGGACTATCGAAACACTTCTTTTAGTTCTTGGAGAAAATAAAAGTAATGACAGCAGTATGACAGCAGGAAATTCTGGGCTGCAGCTGACGAGCGCAATACTGGAAGGGAACAAAGAATTGAGAAAATCGCTTTCATCCCTTTTCAGTGGAGCTATTCCCACTCCTGAGACTGTCGTCGAATGTGCCGGACGTGCCTTTGACTCAGTTACGGCCAAGCTAGTGGTCGAGTTTGTTGAAGGTGAAATTCCCTGTATTCTATTGCTTATGTTCTAATACACTAACATCTATTCTGCAGGTTCCCAAGTTAAAACAAATGTTGTAACACTTGACACACAGCAAGATTTACAAAGAATCATAGACCTGTCGAAGGACTGGCCCAAAAAAATCTTAGTGATTCCTTCCTCAACAGCCCAAAAGTATTCTGCTCAATTCAGGCTCTGCGGCCTTTTGACGACAGAAGAGAAGCAGAAAATTATGCTTGATTCTTCAGTGCTACCTTCGGTAACTACTGCGCTGCGACGTCTCGTTGAAAATTCGCTTCTTCCTCAGGCTGTCATCGAGTCGCGCTTTCAGAACAACTCTCAGAAGCTTTCAAGTAATATCCTCATGCAAGATTGGGCTCCGAGCCAGCTCGGTGTAAACAATCCGTCGGCAACCACGCCTGCTTCGACTCCTTCTCCAAATGACATTTTGATCGAGACCGAGTCCCAAGTTCGAGAAAGAAGAACCGCGTTTGTTGATTTGGCAGGGCCTGCAATCGTGCAAGATACTCTCACAACTTCTATCCTCAACATTATGAAAGATCTTGTACTAGACGTCGATATATCAGTCCTCTCATATCTTCTTACAGATACTGTGAAAGTATCAACGAATCAAAATAATGGACTTGAATCAGCTATGGCAGCCCTAAAACACCTGAGTGAACCGGTTAAACGGGAGATTTCTGGCGAAAAGGTAAATGCATACTTCATACCCACAACCACCGATGATTTCATATTGCACTATACTGGCATTTTAGATGCTCCCAGCTTGACGATAAACGGGATTGAGGTAACATTTAATACTGCGTCGCAGGCGTGGAATGCCTTTCGCATGAATTCTGGACAGTCATACCTTCTACAGGGTGGATTCCCTGCTGCGGAAATCGCATGGTCAACAAGCAGATCAATGATGACCCTTTTCACGGAGGAAGAGCTTCTGCCATCATCGATTGTTCAACGAGCCAATTCAACCTTGGGCACCATTCGTCGTGCAGTGTGCATCTCTCAGACTGTACAACTGACGACATCAGAACTTCAGTACATCAACCGAAAAGAACAAGCAGAGCACGAAATATTGGCAATGAATCTCAATTCACCGTGTTTGATAGACTTGGTCCACCTTCAAGAGTATCGTGAGCTAAGGGATGGACTCCTCAACGTCAATACGAATAGTAACCTTACCAGTCTCTTTTCGTGGCTGTATAACTCCGCCAACCCGGATGTAAAAACAATTGCAACCAAGATAGGAGCGAGCACTGGTTGGAAAGATACACTGGTAGAAAGCGTTCTGAATGCAAAATACCCAAACTTTACTCCTGCAGATCTTGTAGCTACTTTGCGCCTCCATGATGCCTTTGTAAGCCTTAGAGCTATTATCGTCTTTTACGAGAAGCTAGGTGATTCATCCGATGTCACCTCCAAGCCTCTTATGGTTGAGCTCTTTGACCTTGCACGACCTCCACCACAGCTCCGTAGCGGAGATACCTATATGGAAGCTGCTAAGAATATTCAAAACAGATTGACGCCTTCACAACGGGAAACCGCGGATGAAGGGTTAATGGAGAGTCAGCGAAAGGCACTCGTAAATTTTCTTTTGCAGCAAAAATTCATCACACAGGACCTTGGTATTTGGGATGCTGATGGACTATTTGAGTATTTTTTGGTCGATGTGCAGATGGGCCCCCAAATTCGAACTTCACGAATCAAGCAGGCTATTTCAGTTGTGCAGATGTTTGTTCAACGATGTCTGCTCGGACTGGAGGAAGGGGTCGCAAAATCAGTTCTGGGGCATGAGAAGTGGGATTGGTTGCAACAATACACCCTCTGGGAGGTTCATAGGAAGATTTTCTTGTACCCGGAAAATTGGATCGACCCTACACTTCGAGATGATAAAAGTGAGCTATTCGACCAGTTCGAGGCCACCTTGATGCAGAAAGACTTAAGCATCAACACTTTTCTTCAAGCCATTCAAAGCTACATATATGATCTAGACGGGATTTCCAGTCTCGATATCGTCGCATATGTTCACGAGCCGCAACCGGCAGCCGCGGACATTTTCCACTTATTTGGGCGGACCCGAAGTGGACCGTATACCTTCTACTATCGCACTCTGACTAGGCTGAGGACCGCAGAGGTGTTTTGGCGACCATGGACCAAGGTTGAGATGGATATCCCATCTATTGAGACGGAGTGGGAAGGCCAGCGACTTGTGGATACAGGAAGTTATCTCCTTCCAATAATGATCAAAGGCAGGTTATACTTGTTCATGCCAACGATTATGCCCAAGACAATTGTGAAGAATATATCAAGCCTAGATGGACTAAACTCATTCGATGCTTTGCGCACTCAAAAACCAAATATAGCGGAGCCTGTGCGTATTTGGGAGATAACAATGGCGTGGACAGAATTCGTCAACGAAGGCTGGTCACCCAAGCGTGTTTCATCCAGCAGTCTCAGTGTTGGTTTGGATGCATCGTCATCGCAGTTGCGAGTTGATCCTGACTTACAAGGCAATACATTGACACTTAAGGTCAGTTATGGGCAGGCTGGAGAAACTACTTCCAAAGCCATTGGTTCATTCATATTTTGCAATGACCAAATGAGCACTGCAAACAACTTTACAACCTCCGCCCAGGCCGGATCTTTTGAAACCTACTTTCAAAAAGCATTGCAGAAAGGCATGGACCTCGAATCGCTGCCCGGAGGAACTAATTATACCAACCTGACAGCTCTACTTTGGGTACCACCGGAATTAGAGAGCACGGGAGCGGTAGATGTGTCGTGGACTTTGTCAAAATTGCCACAGAGAGTAACGGGGCTCGTGGTCAGCGCAAAAGTTAGTGAGGGCAGAAGGGCAAGTTTCTTCAACATACCAAAGTTGGAACTTCTCAGCTCAACCTGGACCAAAGAAATCATAAAAAACAATACGGAACTAGTTTCAATCGACCATACATTCTCACACGAACTCATGGAAGCTACCGCTGATCGCGTTGATCCGTTACGCTGTTTGTATAACAAGATTGCACAGCTACCCGCTGGTACAATGAGAGAGAGTTTTGGCGCTGGTAGTCACGAAGCATGGTAATTATCCTCCAGTTCCCCTGAACCCGAAGTCTAGTGAATGTTCGGGTCTGTCTTGAGGAGAACATGAAAAATTCTTATCCATTTTTCTGACTTTCTCAAACAAAATAAATTCGGAACAGGGAAACTGACTGCGCAATATTACAGGTATCATGAATTAGGACGTCCTACCGCACTTTACAAGTAAGTTAATTTTTCTAAACGCCGATACATCTTTTTTTATAAAAAAGATGGAAACCAGGTATAGTAGGGAACAAATTCCCAGTGGAAGTCGTGCAAATATTGGACATTTGCTCTTGGGACGTAGCTCGAGGAAGTAATCTTTCTGGCTTGGAAATTGCAGAACGGGATGGAGAATTTCCATATTGTCGACCTTCTGGTGGTGAAGGATTACTTTTTTTTCAAACACGTTCCTGATTTTTTTACTTTTTTTTGGGAATAACAGCTGATCACGTTTGTAGCTGGGAAGTTGGATTGCACACGGTGTTATTGGCAGTTGATCGATTTTCCGTCACGCAGCAGTATGAAGAGGCTTTGGAAGTTGCAAGACTGGTGTTTGATCCTTCTGCAGATCTAGAACTGGATGCAAATAGCCAAGGAAGCTACCGGTCATGCTGGCGTTTCCCTCCATTTCAAGAAATGGCACGGCAAATTGCTAGCCGTGGGGAGGAGTCATTTGATCCTTTGAATCTCGATCATTTGAGCAAAGAGATTCAACTTGCCATCAAAGAGCGCCGTTCATACGGCTCACTCGTGCATGCCGCCGCCAGAGGAAGACCAGTCAGCTACATGAAATGGATAGTAATGAAATACGCCGAGATTCTCATTGCAATGGGTGATGTTTATTTCCGCAGAGCTTCCCTCGAGAGCTTACCGATAGCTACGCAGCGATATATAGAAGCCGCACGGGTATTGGGGCGCGAGCCACCAAAAGTACCGGATTTGGGAAAGAGAAAAATGAAGGCGATGACTTTTGAGCAATTGAGAGAACAGGATATCATGTACGACTCGGTCATATTTGATTTGGGCTTGCCGTTCTCAGCCAAATTGAAAAAAGGCGCGGCTGAGACGGCAGACAGGGATCCAAAGAAGGAGAACATTGCTTGTTTCCTTCGGACAAACTATTTCTGCGCCCCTTTAAATCCTAAATTCAAGCAAATGCGAAGCCTTGTCCAAGAGCGTCTGTATAATCTCAGGAATTCTTTCGACATTCAAGGAAAGCCGGTAGTCTATGGCCTTCGTGAACCACCTATTGATCCAGGAGCCTTGATTGCCCTTAGCAAACAAGGTTTGGGGGTATCCGATGTGCTAAGTATGGTTTCTGGCGAACGAGATAGTCCACTGCCTCGACAGCGTTTTGACACTCTTTTGAGGAAGGCTCTAGCACTGTGTAGTGAGGTGCGAAAACTTTCCGGACGCCTTCTTTCCGTGGTAGAGAAGAAAGAAATTGAGACTTTCAACATCGGCAATGCTCAACATAGCACAGTAATACAGCAAATGATGCTGGACATCAAAAACGTCGAGCTTGAAGAGGCACAGCAAACTGTTGAGTCGCTCTTGATGAGCCGTGGCTCGCTAGAGGCACAGTTGAATTACTACCTCCAACTTATCGGCGAGCCAGATTCCATGATTCCAAAGCCTAAAGACGACTGGGTTGATATCCAGCAGAGTTTTGATGCACCAACAAAGGACGAGTTGCGAATGTCTTCATATGAGGATTCGGAGATGAAAAAATCTCTCTCTGCCGCGGCCAAAAATCGTGCAGCCGTAGTCACTGACGGAATTGCTATGCCCCTGTATGTTGTACCACAAGCAACAACCAATTTCGAGCCTCTTGGTGTTGGTGGATCTATTTCCTTCGCTGGCAGCTCCATTGCTGATGCCATAGCGGCGGGGTCCACGTTGGCGAGAGGCATTGCTGCCGTGTTAGCAGATGAAGCAGCCCGAGCAGACAAAAAAGCCAACCTTACAATGCAGTTGCAGGAACGGAGACTCCAAGCAAATATAAATGGACGCGAAATTAAGTCAATCGACAAAGAGGTTGAAATCCAAAAAATCCATATCAAATCAATTCAGAAGGAAATTGAAATGCAAAAATCCGAAGTGGAAGATGCTGCCGGCGCTGAGGAGTGGTACCGCACCAAGTACACCAGCGAACAGTTATACACATGGATGGAAAAAGGTCTCAGAAATCTTTATTTCCAAGCCTACGAACTAGCCATGACTATGGCTCTTCGAGCAGAGAGCTCTTTTAACTTCGAAAGCGGAAGCAAAGGCTCCATAATCAGAAGGGGTGGATATTGGAACCCAGCTCAGGACGGCCTTCTTGCTGCTGAGACCCTATATTTGGACCTAAGAAGACTCGAAAGTGCGCAACTGGAAGCACCTGCTGCTGACTACAGCATCAGCAAGACAGTGTCTCTAAAAGACTTTGACCCTCTGGCTTTGATGAAACTCAGGGTTACAGGAACCACTGATTTCTCTATCGGCGAGTTGCTTTACGACATGGATTTCCCGGGACATTTCATGCGCAGGATCAGATCTGTTAGCGTCTCGGTACCATCAACTTTAGAGGCAGGAACTAGCACTAATGCCGTCTTGACGTTATTAGAGCATAAGTACCGTGTGACCCAAAACGCTGCTGACTATGCCGCTTCCCAGTCATCTGCCGGCAGTGAAGCATTCCGAACCGACCGTATCCCCATAGCATCAATAGCTGTAAGCTCTAGTGCCAAAGACTCCGGAGTGTTCGAGCTCGATTTCTCTGGTCCCCGGTACATGCCATTCGAGGGCGCAGGTGCTATTTCAACATGGCGTCTCGAATTCCCCTCGCCAATCCGCCATTTCGATTACGAGACCATTAATGACGTACAACTACACGTGCAGTACACCGCGTATGAGGGAGGTCCAACACTGAGAAAGGCAGCGAAAGACGCTGTGATTCAAGCCGCTCAAACAATCGAGGCCCAAGGTCAACATCAAGGATACTGGGCACTTTGGGACCTCAAGAACGACTTCAGTGATAAATGGGGCGACTTCCAAAGCAAACTTCTCAGCACTGCGGCGGCAACTCTGGACCTCGGTAATCTAAAAAATCGTTTGCCTTTCTGGTCACGTCATCAGGGAAGTCTCCAAGTTCAAACTTTCACTTTGATGTCTCGAAGTAAAAACGTAAGAGATAGATTGAGCATATCGGTGGATCCAAGTGCACCGGAATATAAAGGGACTGATGGTATTTACTGTGGCGATTTCTTTTCCAAAACTTGTGATATGACGGAAAAGAACTTAAATTGGAAAATCTTGGCGAAAGCAGTTGCACCTGCGGCGGCCGGAGGAGAAAATATTTATTTGTTTATTCGTTATATTTATGTTGGGAAAAATATTTCATAAGTCGATTATTTGTGGATTTCCTGAATATTTTTATATCTAGTTAGTATTTTTGAATAGTTTTGAAGGCTTTAAATGTTATCATGTTTCTTAATGATTATTGTGAGAGTATAGTGCACCGACTAAATGGAAGTTTTTGCTAATTTCATGAGTAATCAACCTCTGGCGTACAAGTAATCTTACCTTACACGATAATTCATCTCGAAGGATTGTTGGCTCATGTGGTCAACCACTGCTCTAAATCTCAAAATCCATTTTAATCAACGACAGTTCATCACTCGCCACATTCCAAAAATGCTTCATAGGCGCCATTCTTTGCTAATTAAGGATCTGGTATAGCAATCTTGTGAGACTCTCATCCTTTTTGAACATTCTATTATCAAAATCCTTCTTATGCCAAACTATACCCGACCATTTCAAACCCAACGTCCCCATACCGGGTGCTTAATAATATCCTATTCATTTAGACACGATGAAACCTTCACAAAATCTTTCCACCAACAAGTCCTGCAATAAGGTCATCAGTTCGCTCCATTCTACCGCTATCAGAAACATGAGTCTCGAACTCAATGTAGACTGCGGCAATTAACACTTTTATAGTCTTTGAGATCATCAGCTCGATGGCAATCCTCTAGTTCACCATGAAGACCTACTGGAAACAGCAAATATCTTCCAAAATATCCCCTCGAGCCAGCTCCAAAGGCGCAAGACAAATTTCTCATCAGCTTTTTTTTTGGGATATCAATATTCGTCTACTTCTCCGGAGCCATGTTTCCGAATCTGGAAATACTTCCGCGTTGCGATGTAAACAGCAACTACCTCGAAAAGCCGAGAACAGTACATGGAAGCACAACAAAATGTTCACCTAACCTTGTGGATAATTTAGATGCATAACGAGGCCGGGAGCCTGGATTCGGTCCATGTCGTGGAAGTGTCTACACAAAAACAGTATCTAGCAAAGGCAACTTATCAAGTTCATGGAACGACTTTGTCAAATCATCGGTAAAAAAATTCCGCATCTCCTTTCTGTCGTATTTTGGGTACAAATCTTTCATCAATGGATAGAGCTCATTATTTTCACCAATACTAGCGAGCTGTAAAGATAGGAGTGTGAATACAGCACTAACCATTTTTGGCGTTCTGTATGCGTTTGGTGTGTCAATTTCACCAATACACAAGGCATTCTATTATTCCCCATAATCAGGCCATCACACGCATATACACTTAAAAATGAAGACAAAGCACGACTTACTCATCGCTCCAGAACGCACTTATACACGACGTCGGTTTTGTCCAACTTCCGGGAATATATCATTCTTACACCATTCTCAACCCAATCCACACTCACTTCTTTGTGTCCGATTCGGAGAATTGGTCCTATTTCTCACGAGCTATGTGTTGAGCATGGTTTTCACCGCTTTGGATATTTTGAGAAGGAGCCAGAAGGAGGAAAGCGGATGCTGAAATGTGCTAGGGGAATTTTGGAAAAGGAGCAGAAATAGGCGAGATTAATCCTGTGGATGAGGTAAGGATGGGTGGGAGAGGAAGATAAGCGATGGTAGGATGGCGAGAGAACTAGATTTATCCAAACACAATTTAAACATACAGACAATACAGTCAAACTTCTCCATCCACGATTGGGGGAGGAGATATTAAAGTACCTGAAGGATAATTATCAAAGTAACCTTATGCGTAAAAGATGTTGATTGGGTTCCCCGCTTCGACACCTTCTTATTGTTATTATGCATTAAGTAAGAGTTCTGGAAACTTTTAACTGTACATTTTATCGAGAAATAATTGTAACCTTATTTTCAATCCTTAATTATAAATAATTCATCAAAATTCGAATTTTCAATATTTTCTATTCAAACTCAAAATAATTATTAAAATTCAAAATGAAAGTGATAATCATAAATTTCATCAAAATTGGGGTATCCTTTATAGAATTAGAATCTTTCAGGTTAGAAGGGATGGAAAATCGTAGTTTTGGATCGAACAAAATTTGAGTGTATTTTGAAGTATTGTAAGAAGTATCATTAAATCGAATTCATTTAGAATTATTTGTAAAAAGAAGGTATATTGATTCTTTATAATGATAATTAAAAAGATTCAACAAATTATAAAGGAATTGATAAAAGATTGAAAAGAAAGAAAAATGATTTTTGAATAAATGAAATATATATTAAAGGTTAAGGCTTCGATGTATATTATTCGATATGAATTATATCGATATAATTATAAATATTGTATAATTTATTTTAAATTATTTATCTTTAAGAAACAAATAAAAAAAAGATTGGATTTTGTATATATATATCATTGATAGAGGATAATTAATATAATCTTCAAAAAGTTTAAAGAAAATGATTAAAGGAAGATATAACAATTAGGTAGAGGCAGCGGCTGCCTTAGGTTTTCGTCTGGTTGGTAGTTGTAGATTAAGATTAATAATTATTGATTATTTATTCGAAGATGAATATATTATTAGATTAATTGAAATATAAATAAACTAATTGATAATTAAATTGAATATAAAGTTTTTAAATTATAAAATTATTCTAATTATATATTAATGAATATAAAAGAGTTTTGTAAAGTTTTAAAATTCTAAAAAACTTTTAGAGTTTTAAAAGTTTTCGAAGTTCTTAAAGCTTTTTATTATATAATTAGAATCAAATTATATATCCAAATTTGTTGAAGATAAAGAGATTATATAAAACGGTTGTCATACAAATTTGTATACAAATTGCTTTGCTTTTCGAGGAGGTCCAAGCTCCTATAGACAGGTTGACTGTTGCCTCTCAACACACTATAATCTTAATCGTGAATCGTGACAGAAGGTTATATAGTCGAATGAAAGCATTTTCGAGGTTGAAAAACATAATAGAATATAAATAATTTGTAGAATTAAAAAAAAGAGATATAAGAGTTGTATCAAATTAGTATATAAATTAGAAAGGATCTATCACGATTTACAATTAAGATAAGGATATATTAAGGGGCAGTAGTCAACATATTCATATAAGCTTAGATCTTATCGAAAAGCAAAGCGATTCGTATACAAATTTGTATAATAATTGTTTTATATAATCTCCTCATTTTTAACAAGTTCGAATATATAATCTGATCCTAATTATATAATAAAGAATTTTAAAAATTTCGAAAGTTTTTAAAACTTTAAAAGCTTTTTGAAATTTTAAAGTTTTATAAAGCTTCTTTATATTTATTAATATATAATAAAAATAATTTTATAATTTAAAAACTTTATATTCAATTTAATTATCAATTAATTTATTTATATTTCAATTAATTTAATAATATATTCATCTTTAAATAAATAATCAATAATTATTAATTTTAATCTATAACTATCAATCAAATGAAACCCTGAGGCAGCCGCTGCTTTAATATAACAATCTGATCGAGGCAGCGGCTGCCTCAGGTTTTCATATGATTGATAGTTGTAGGTTAAGACTAATAATCACTGGTTATTCATTCAAAGATGAATATATTACTAGATCAATTAAAATATAGATAAACTAATTGATAATTAAATTAAGTATGAAGCTTCTAAACTATAAAACTATTCTGATTATATATTAATCTATTTTGAGAGCTTTTAAGAGCTTATACTTCTAAAGGCTTCAAGGAGTCTATAAAAGTTTATACTTCTAAAGGTTCTATTATATGATTAAGATTAGATTATATATCTGAGCTTGTTGAAGATGAGGAGATTATACAAAGCAATTGTTATACAAATTTGTATACAAGTTGTTTTGCTTTTCAACAAAATCAAAGTTTATAAAAATAGATTGATTGTTATCTTATAATACTTTATAAAATGATTTTGTAATATTATCTTTTTTTTAATCAAATATTGTTTTTAATTGTTTATAATTAGTATATAACTTATTAGTTTTTTATTGTTTTATATTTTGATCCTTTTTCTTATTATAAATGATTTATAATTCAACAAAATTCGTTGAAAGAACAAGAAGAAATCCTATTTTATAATTGAAATCGAGAATTCTGATATTAAAATGATTTCGTATATCTATTATTATATAAAGAATTTTCGTTATATAAAAATTCTGAATAATTTATAAAAGATTTGTTGTTCTGAATATATATAATCTTGTATCCTTTATAATGTAAAACAGTATTTGAAAGATAATTAAAATAAAGAAGTTCCTTGAATAAATGATTAAGAATTCTTAAATAAATAAGAAGAAAAACTTTATAAAAAAAAAAAAGTTATAATTAAAATTCTTTGTTTTTGAAAATAACAAGATTACTTATAAAGTTATTATAAAAAGATAATTGAGCAAGATCTCAAATATCTTGATGAATTGAATGCTTTAGAAGAGAAAAAGAGAAAAGAAAAAGAGGAAATTATTGTATCCTCAGTATCTGTTATTAATTCTGACTTTTCTAATCAATTTGATTAATTTAATCAATTTGATCAATTTGATCAATTTGATCAATTAACTCTTAATCAATTTGATCAATTATCAATTGATTTTATCAATTTCAATAAAATTCTTATAAACAAATTCGATTCTTTCAACCCTTCTTTATAGAAAATAATAAATTCTTTTTCTTTTTAGATAAATCCAGTGTCACGATTCACAGTTTTCTTTATAATAGTATTATTGATGTCGGTGATTTATATGTCGATTATAAAGGGGATATGATTTAACCATTACTTTCGGGGGTCCTGATTACCTAAGCCTAAAACCCCAGGATTCCTAGGATAAGTATTTTAAATAACTATAGTAAAATAGGATAAATATTCTACCTAATTAATTGTAATAGGACTATCACCCTAAAAAATATTGTATCCTAAGATTAGGGTCTCTAAAAGGAAAGCTTTTGGAACAAGTATTCCAGGAAAGGAAAGGCTTTGGGATATGAGAGGCTTCAGGATCAATCATGTGATATGCTAGCTCTGTTAGCCTAGCTAGCAAAACTAGCACCATAGGAATACTAACCATGCTAGCCCAACTAGTATAATTAGTATAGAAAAAGAGATTAATATATAATCAAAATAGTTTTATAATTTAAAAATTTTATATTCAATTTA